ACAAACCAGCCCAAAGAGAACATTCATATTCCAAGTATAAATAGATTAAACATAACACCAAACAAGAGTACAACTCCTTCACGTATCTATCTCTCAACTTTTATATTGGTTCCAAACATTTAATCCCATGCTTGAGACTTACTTCCAGGTAACTGTGTGTGATCTATCATTTGACCTACCTTTCTAGACATCCCTTCCTCTAAGGCAGCAGTTCTCAACCTGTGGGTCCCCAGATGTTGTTGGACTACAAGTCCCATCATCCCTGAGCTCTGACCTTGCTAGCTAGAGGTGATGGGAGTTGTAGTTCAACAACATCTGGGGACCCACAGGTTGAGAAAGGCTCCTCTAAGGAACCCACAGAAGCATATTTTCCTCTACAGTAGTTTAGGTCAGGGGTGACTAAACTGTGGCCCAGTGTTTGACGTTTGATGTGAAACAGGAAGTATCTACCTGCCACTGCTGCTGCTGCCACTGCCAGCACCACCCACCCTGCCACCTCCACTGCTGTTGGAAAAGCAGCACCAGCACCAGTGCCGATTTGAGGAGAGATCTCACCAATTTCCATTGGCGGAGGAGGTCAAGGGGGGGTGCTGCCTCAGTAGCTTCCAGTGTCTTAGAACAGCCTTGGAGAGTGAACACGGGGCAAGGCTTCTTCTTTCTTTGGCGATCACTCATAGCGAAGTAAGATTGTCTTCCATGAACACGGTTTTAACAGTGGGTCTGTGAGTACCTAGTGAGTAACTTGCTCCAAAGAGTCAGAACTGAATCGAGGCATTTTGAACTTCTGCCTAAGTCCTTCTCTCCTACGCTTGGCCCCTTTCGGACAACTGCAGTCTCTTAAAGGGCCAACTCTCTGGCCTGAAGATGGTGACTTCTCTTGTGCTCCATGACCTCCCGCCTGGTGTATTCCTTGCTCTGTCTGACTGATCTTGCCCTCAAAAGTACAGTCAACCTGATTGCTTATGACCAAGAAGCTTTTGGCTGTGAAACTGCCGCTCACTAGTCCAGCATTCCATGTAAGAACCTGTTTTATATTTGACAAGCTTTTATGCTGAAAACACTAGCCTCGACACGTACTGTGTCCACCAAATGGATCACATCCTACCAGGGCCGTCTTACCGATAGGCGCTAGGGGTGCTTAGCACCCAGGCACCGGGCTCTCAGGGGCGGCAGGTCGAGAGTCCAGGGCCTGAGAGTTGAGTCCAGGGAAGAGCCCATCCATCAGTTGGAGCGCCGCGGCAGGCTCTTCTGCTGCGGGCAGCTCTGCACCGTGAGTTTGGGGGCGACAGAGCCAGCGAGACGCTGAGGCGGCCAGCCAGCTCCGCTCTCTTGCACACCTGAGACTAGGCAACCTGGGGGGGTCGCCAGGTGGGTGTTTGCACCCCGGTGCCACATATGCTTCAGACAGCCCTGCAGTCTACCTTTTAATCCAGTGAAACTGAATGTTGAAAGATTCAGGACACATCAAGAAAGAACTTCTTCATGCAGTGCGTAGTTAAACTATGGAACACTCTTCCACAGGAGGAAGTGGTGGCCACCAGCTTGGATGGCTTTAAAAGAGAATTAGACAAATTCACAGAGAAGGTTATCAATGGCTACTAGCCATAATGGTTATGCTCTGCCTCCACAGTTGGATGCCAATTGCTGGAAATCACAGGAGAGGAGAGTGTTCTTGTGTTCAGATCCTGCTTGCAGGCTTCCCACTGGCATCTGGTTGGCCACTGTGAGAACAGGATGCCGGACCAGATGGTCCATTAGCCTGACCCACCAGTCTCTTATTAAGTTCTTACATTTCACATATCCTCTAACCTTGAATAGAACAGACAGAGAGAGGGAGGAAGAGAGATGTGTTTCATGAATTTCAAAAATAGAAGCAGAAGCAGAAAAGCTTTGAGGTTTTGTTTGTTTACTCTCCTTTTTTCTTGTTTTATGGAAATTAAAAAGAGCAATTCTCAGATTTATGTTTTCACCAATAGGTGGAGCTAGCTATTCTTCTATCTCCTGCAAAGTAAAATCAGGAAGTTGTGGGAAACCATCAGTTTTCCATATCGTAGAGAGATTTATTAAAGAACTTCAGAGCAATAAAATTCCAGAGCACTAAGGTGAAACAGGAATAGGTAAGTGTATAAGGGTTAAGTTGGACAGTGAGCCCTATTCGGAAACCCTCTTTGCAACCCAAGTATTTAATTAAGACTTGCGTGTCAAAATATATTACATTTTAATGAAATTTCACTCATGAACAGACATTTACTGGTAAGCATCTGTCTTCAGCTTTGTTTTTAAATGGAGACAGATAACAAATCATCAAGACACATTTGTGTAAAAAGACAATATGAATAATATACTTACCATAATTTATGTGCCAAACAAGTATTCACCATTTATGAAACCCAGGGGGGCCTATTGGTAATGTTTCTTTTGAGTGAAATCCAGGTGGCAGATTTATAACTTTCCGGCTTTATTGAAATAGTTTGGTTAGGAAGGAGAGAAAAATGTGTGGCTTTTGTAGCCGAGGAGGAGAATTAATGAGAGCACGAGATATCTTTATACTGCCTGATTTGGTTTCACACTCCCTATTTCCAAATGAAGTTCCAGGGGCTGCCTTTCAGGGTTTAGTATCTTCATTGAGAGAGCATGGAGAGACGGCAGATTTATTTACAAAGAGGATGTGGCAAAGGTCAAGATAAGAAAGCAGCACTGCACACATCCAATTGCCAAATGGCAACTTGCAGAGCACTCTCAAAATGCTCCAGTTAACTCCCACTATAAATATATATATTTATAGAGTACATGACTGGTGGGTAGAGAGGAGGAAGGACTGCTGCAGCAGGCACCACACTTGACCTCACGCATTTCCAGACTGTCATATTCCAGCCAATTCAAACTGCACAATTAAAGCTCACTTGGAGCTCTTGTGAAACACAAACCCATTTTCATCCAAACGCTGGACTTTTTGAGATAAGGAAAGTGATGGAGAAATGCATAGGGTAACTCTTGCTTGACACAACTTCATCTAATCTCCCCACAAACAAATCAGGATGAATGCTCATTAACTAGTGGACATCATCTTTCTGCAGACCAGTCAGGCTGAATGTTCATTAGGCAAGTTGCCTGGAAGCGACCTTACACAACGTATTAGTGCTGCCCATCTCTTGCATGCTGAAGGTCCCCGGATCAGTTCCTTCCATTGACAGCTAAAATAGATTCCAGGTCAAGAGGTTTGGGGCAAGACTAGACAAAACACCCATTGAGACAAACCATGACTAATCAAATCAGACTGAAAAACCACAAAGCATATTCCGCAATAAATCACGGGAAAGATTGTCTAAGCATGTTTAAGGATCCAAGACTACTACTCATCTTCCTTACTGTATATGTGTATTCTGTATGTGAAAGAGAAATATGGTTTCAATCTTTACCGTTTGCAGTCAAGACAAGAACCTTATTCATGATACTTATCCGTTTAATCAAACAACACATGATGCAGGCTATGGTATGAATAAATAGTTCTGTGCTGGCTTTCTCAAGTCTGAGCCTCTTCTCCCCAAACCAATCTGCCAAAGGGGCTGATAATTCCCCACTTTATATTAACAGTAAAGACTAAGGGCTCATCCGTAATTCTATTCATCCCATGCCTAGGAAGCACGAGTTGAAGCTGTTTTCCACTTGTCCTGTGCTTTCTAAGCACAAGTCCCAGTGGTTTTGCCTTTGCTGCTTTCCCCCAGAAAACTTTCTCTTTATCACTAAATTGGAACAAACGGTAATCCACAGAAAATCCTCTTGCTGTTTGTTCTGATTCAGTACTAAACCATGGGTTTTTTCCAGGGGGAAACAGTGGGGGGAACTGAAATGCAAATGAGCCCTAAAGTATTCATTTGGAGTCCTGGAAAGGAGAGAGACTTTTATTGGAATTGTGGATTAATTTTGTCATATTTTTAATGTCTTTAAATTAACTCTGCACCAAAAACATGCAAATTTTAAGTCCTCATACTGAAAGTGAATCCTCTAACTGGACACTGAAAGCAGTACTGTAGTTAAATGTTCGAGGCCAAGTCTGTATCAGCAACTGAATATACCACTGTTCAAATCCAAAATCCACATATGGAATAAAATCGTGATGAAGAAGCTTATTTATTTCTTGAGAATCAGAAATCAATAATTAATTGAAATTGGTGGAGTTCATGTGATTGGATTCAATTTGCGGATCAAGGGAAATGTTCAGCTCTTCAGACTGTGATTATTAATGTCCACCTTTATTTGCTCTGTTTTGTTTTACACTGCTTTGTAACTGCATAAAATGTTTTTAAATTGTTTAATGGTTAAATTATTTGATACTTGGAGGCAGTAATTTATTCCTCTTATATATTTCTGGCATCATTCCATCAATGGTTGCCTTACCATTTTTAGTACTACAGTACAATCTCATTTATCAAAATGGCCTATTTGAAGCATCAGTTTAGATAAATTCTTTACATAATACGCACTGGATTATTCAAGACAGTGTTCTTCAGCATTGGGCCTCTAGATGCTGTTGGACTACAACTCCCAACTTCCCTTGCCAACTTAACATTGTTTGAGGACTCAAATTGAAGAACAGTGCTGTAAAATTTTGGAATGATTTCATATGTAGCACATTTGTTATAGAGAAGTACTCAACTTAAAAGCACCGCCTTAGCCTGCACACCTAACTGGCTTCAGTGGCTTCTTCACATCTGACAACCCAAGGCAGCAGTATATTACAGTTTTGCCTGAATTTAATTTTAGCTACTTCTTCATGATACCTATTTGAGTGGTAGCCAAGGGAGGCAAGGGAGAAGATTGCCAAAATGTCTCCTCAGGCAACATATATTCACTGCCTGAAGAAAAATCTGGAATGTTGAACTGGTTTTTCATTGGTAATAGAATCCAAACTGGAGGAATTTCTTACGCCAATATCTCAATGACTTTTATTTAATAGTAAAATATCAATGTTTCTCAATTCCCATCATGTGCAACACCTCCCCGCCACAACCACAGTATCAAGGAGATGGTAAAACATGGGTTTTACATTTAGATTTGAGATTTCCTCTTTACAACTCACAATAATATTTTTTAAATGGAAACTTGCAAAAGCCAACCTTGCTTTCTAAGATATCGCTTACAGTTAAATATTTACTATATTTAGCTTGCAGATGAAAGACCAAGGGTGCAGGAACTACTGTATTCCTTTGGAGTGCAGTGAATGTTTATTACTGACTCTGCTGTCAGAGTAAGTTTCTATACACGTCTTCACAAGGAGTTTACTCTTCCGGTGATTGCATTCAGAGGGGGAGAAATCTGAACCACTAACTGGAAGTCCCTGTAATAGCGATCCCGCTTGGAAGGAAGCCTGAACCCATATATTGCATCTCAGCCGGCTCCAACCACCACCACAGATGTCATAGTGGTTTGTCAGTAGAGACAAGGAAGGAAGGAAGGGTTAGACTATAAAAAGGAAGAAAGTCTGTGAAAAGAATGTCTGAATAAATATGTATGTGGGTGTAGGCTAATATAAGGCAACTGGGATTGAGTTAAATGTAAAGTAGCTTGCATTTCCCCACTGGCTCTCTGCTTCTAACTACTGCTCACACCACCAGTGACTACATTATACCATCAGTGGTTTTATTACATGCCGGCAAGCAGTGCGCTTTCATCGTAAAGGACAAACACATCTGTTCCAAAAGGGCAAGGGGTCACAGTCAGTACTTTGAGCGGAATTCTCTCTCTCTCAACCTTTTACTTTCTTTCAGCTTCTCAGATCATGCTGTGCCCACGCTATTTAACTCTGCTAAGGAATGTCACCAATGCGGGTCACCTTTACAGGTGTACTTTGCCTGTCATGTCATGCTTCTCTTTTCTACAGCGATGGCTGGTGTCCATTAGGACTCATAGGGCACAAGGCAGGGAGGCCAACAGTGGATGAGTCAGGGACAACGAAAGGAAAAGCCAACTAATTCCAGTTTTGTATTCCTGTACTTATCGCTGCAAGCTGCTCCAATTGGAAGAGAACAAATCTCCTCAAAAGGGAAGATACAGGAAATGCCTCACATTCCTTGGTTCCGATTGCTTAGCAACCGTGATTAAGTAGCTAAGTTTCCATAGCAACAACAGCATCTCCAAATCAGCCTAATAAGCCTTGGAACACGGGTTCCCAAACTGTGGCCCGCCAACTTCATTCCAGTGGTCCACAACATTTCTGTAAAAATAAAATTAAAGATCATGCAGAACCCAGCACAGTGCATTATGCATTACAATTGCTACAACCAGCAAAAAAATCTTTATGTGGTCCACCAATAACCTGTTGGGGGACCATTACCTTAGAATGCTACCTCCATGCTTTGTTTTCTAACTTTCTTTATAAATGTCAATTTTTTATTTTTTATTTAAAGAAAGCTAAGAGTCCAGCCCTTCTGCTGCGGGGGTGGGGTAAGTAGGTAGGAGATGAAAGTGAAGATGAACTACAAAGTGTTCAAAGTTCTACCCCAAAATGAACTTAATTGACCTTTAGTTTTTTGATAATTATGAGGACTACTTTCAGATGCATTTCAGAGATTTTTGAACTAGTTCATTCCAAGCACTGTTTTGAATTCCCATGTTAGTTCCAACTCCTTGACCTGAGAGGATAAATGACTTATTATTATTATTATTATTATTATTATTATTATTCTCTTATCCCCCAAGTGCATTTAGCAGGGGTGTCAGTGGTCTGGCAATCTTCCCCATAAGGTTCCCATGACTTACAGGTATGTTCAAAGCAGCCATTTTAAGCACTACCTTGTCTCACTGAATCAAGTGAGGAAGAAGCCAGTAGCCAATGCTGTGTAACAAATCTTAAAAGGACTTAAAAACCAAGCACTTGTAACATTTGTCTTGCTGTTGAGAAAAATGCTCTCTCGTTTCACTGGTTATATTGCAGACCTAAATGCAGACAGGAATGACAAATGTGGCAGAGATTACTGTAATTGTCAAACATAACGCAGGTGTCCTTCATAAATGTCAGCTATGTAACAATGGTTCCTAAGAGATTGGAGTTTTACAAACATGAACATTCTATAAGCATTCATCATTGAAACAGACGAAGTGTCATCCCTATAGGCCAAAACAATGCCAAGCGTTTTCAACCAGACATGTCCAGCCATCCCCAATTCTAAAATGGAAAACAGAATATTTGTTTTTAAATTATCATGGGAAGTCAAAGCAGAGTCCTACAGACTGGTTTGCAGATTTCAGCCAGAACCTCATTCTTTTTCCTCAGCATTTTCCAAAGGAAAAAGTAATAAAATGAACTATTTCAGAGAAGGGAGAAATGCCATGGTTTTCCCTAAGGAAAATTGCTGTCTCTTAGCAAGTTATATTAGGGTTCCGCAGTTGGTAGATAGACCTATGTAGACAGATATTAAAATAAATTGGCCAGTAAAATAGTAATCATGAAAAAATTTTCTCTTCAGTATAATCTTTCCACATGGAGCCAATTTCTGTTTAGATGAAGAAACAGTAGGAAGTTTTCGGAACAGCAATATCATACACTGTGAATAAATGTATTTAATTATCATGGATAGGATTATTCATCGGACTGTTCATGGACTTTTACAATATTCATCAGAGTGCTCTGAAATCAGACACATTTCTGTATGTGAGTAATTTGGCATATAATGCTAGTGGCTGCTATGAGGATAGAGTAAGGTTTGGGAAATTAATATATTCAATTTACAAACCCAATTTGTACATATTTGTACAAACCCAATTTACAATACCAAAGACAAGGTTTCATCTGGTAACCATTTAGCAAGTGAATTATTCATCAATGGAGCTTGATTTGAACTTTAAATGTTCAAGTTTCAACAAACTATCATGCTGTTCTTGTGATCAATCATAGTGGGAGGTATAGTTAGCAAAGTGTCATCTCTCCAGCCTGCAAAAACTTAGATTCTTCAGTTTCTCCAATCTCTGGAGAAAAAGTAGCAGGAAGGTGCTGTACCTGTGTGAGGTCGTCCAATGAGTTTATCCAACCAAGGCTCCCTTTGCCATGGCTTATTTTGAACCCAGCTCAGTAGAACTTACCTCAGAGCCTGTTTGGAATACCGGGGTTCAGTCCTGAGTTGGAACATTGGAACATGTTCTTGGACTCCAACTCTCATCAGCTCCAGCTAGTATGGGCAATGCTCCAAAATAATGGATGCTATAGTCCAGACATGTTCAACCGGTCGACCGCGATCAACAGATGGATCCCTGGGATGATCCTGGTTGATTGCGGGATTAAATAAAGTGGGCAAGGAATGTAATGGCCCCCGGCGCTCGTCCCTCCGCTGCAGGTATGGCTGGTGATCGATTTTCTGTATACAGTGGTACCTCAGGTTACAGACGCTTCAGGTTACATACGCTTCAGGTTACAGACTCCACTAACCCAGAAATAGTGCTTCAGGTTAAGAACTTTGCTTCAGGATGAGAACAGAAATCGTGCTCTGGCGGCACGGTGGCAGCAGGAGGCCCCATTAGCTAAAGTGGTGCTTCAGGTTAAGAACAGTTTCAGGTTAAGTATGGACCTCCGGAATGAATTAAGTACTTAACCCGAGGTACCACTGTATTCCCCTAAAAGAAGCTTAAGAACACTGACCCCTCCCCAAAAAAGCTCAACAACTCTGGGCAACTCACCCCACCCCCCACTCATCCTCCTTCCAATGACAATGGGTAGATCACTTCCATATTTTTTATATACTGGGAGTAGATCGCAGTCTCTTGGGAGTTGGGAGTATAGTCCATCAACATATAGTGAGCATCACGTTGATTATCCCTGACCTAATTTTTTTTATCCAACTCCTTTTCCAGTTGACACAGAACAGCTATACTCAGTGTTCCACCCTTCTGCCCTCTTCTTTTCCTTTTTTCTTCTATCTTCTATTTTTAGTAACTCCACAGAGGCCCAATGCTGTAACAAGATGCTCATCAAATATGAGAAGCCTCTTTTGTCCACAATGTGGGTTTTCAACCACGCAAATGGATGATGCATCTGTTTTTGAAAACATCGAGTTTTTCATTTATATTTTTTTCTCTTTCATTTTGATTATACCATTGTTCCAGGTCATCTTAATATATCACTGGTACAATATTTTGGGAAACACTTGTATCCGAGTAAGTATTCGCCAGTTAATGGTAACCTTTTCCATATGCCACACTCACCACAACCCAAGGTCTTGTTTCTTTAATCAGGTGGCTTACTTCCAATTTTGCAACCCACTGGGTGTTGGAAAATGCCTAGGGGTGCCTGCAAACCCCCGGAACTCCAAGCGTCCTCCGGTATGTGCAACCCTGGAAAAGGCATCTCCCCCATTCTCCAGTGCGCTCAGCGACATAAATCAGATGATCTATGCACACTAATCTTCTAGCTTAACACAGCAAGAAGCGTGAAACATCATAGTCTAATCTACTATTTATTTACACACTATGTACAGACAAAGGCATAATGGCGTCTGTTCTCTCCAGCTCTCAGAGAACAAACAAAACAAAGCAAAAGCAAAAGCAAAAGTACAGACAACAAAAGGGAGAAGGCTGTCTTCTGTTCCCACAGTCTTCTCAGACAGGCATGTGAATTATACCAATCACAAAATGCATCATCGGAGGAGTGAAATTGCTAACACTGGGGTGGCAGGGAGACCTGTTTGAAAGAAGACGTTATATGAGAAATCCTTAGGTGGGGAAAAGTTTACCTCCCAACTACCTGTTCTCCCCTGCAGATGCCCTCCATCCCTGCTTTAATATTTTTAGATGAACACAAATTTGGCAACCCTCTATTTGCCTCATAATTCCACATCACAATTAGACTAATTTGTTTTATTACTTACTGAAACTGTTATCTCCAAGCAGCGTTATCCTATAGGCATGTGCAGTGCTTAAAAGACTGAGTACACTGCTCCTGCTGACAGAACAGACATCCCAGGTTTGTGCATATCATCATGGTCCTAAACCACAGTTTGGCATGTTGCTCTTGTAGAGCTCAACAGAGAGGAGGCCGAGGACAAAGCTAGAGTTAGATGGCTCTGACTGTCATTGCCTCTTGCTCCACCTACTGTTTGGGTCCTCCCTGCCCTCTGCCCCACCAGTGGGGATGGGTGGGAGATGTAAGACCCGCTGCAAAAGAGCCAAAATCTCAGGCCCCCCCCCCGAACTGCCCCCTAACAACTTCCCTGCCTAAAACTGCAAAAACAAAGGATTGTCCAAAAAAAAAAGATAGACCACAATACATCATTGGTAGACTAGTTTTGCTTGTGCAGACCACATATATATGAACAAATACATATTTGGTACTAGTGTGTGGTTTATCTGATATACATAGTAGCGATCTACTTTCTCTGCCCATGAGAGAAATATTACCAGATGTTTTACATTTAAGAAACTATTTTAGAAAAACTGAACTCTTTTTAGGGCTCGTCAATACTTCCATTCACCCCACTGCTTTCCCCCAGGAAAACCCATGGTTTAGCACCCATGGCAATTGGGTTTGTCACGGATTGCTGTTTGTTCTGATTTAGCACAAAAGAGCGGGTTTTCCATGGGAAAGTTGTGGGACGAAGGCAAAACCACTCAGACCCTTGCCTAGAAAGCATGGGTAAGTGGAAAATTGCCTGGATGCATGCTTTCTAGCCCTTATAGATTCTGTTTTACCGAACCCTCACCCTATATAGGTTTTGTTGGAAAACCCGTCTAAAAATATTGCACAAATTTGGGTTGGTAGGCTCTCCAGTCTTGGGAAATCCAAAATGTACCCTTTTCCCAGATTCATACTCACAATTCATACTCACAGGAGAGAGAGAGAGAGAGAGAGAGAGAGAGAGAGAGAGAGAGAGAGACCTCCCTTTCCCTGGTCTCTGCCACACTGCAGTGCCCTGAAAAAAATTGCACCTGCCATCCATCTTTGAGTTCTGCAGCTATTTAAAGCACAGGAGTTTACTGAGGGTCAGGCGCTGGCAGTGTCAATGTATATAGGTAGCTGCACCAAGTGAAATGCAGAAGGAGGTAGGAGTCTTCTTTGTGTTAACATCCATGAATCTCTCTTCTTCATCATTCAATATCTGACAATGAGGATAAATCCAGAGAGGTATGGGGTAGTGACTTGTGTGTGAACGAAATATTTTAGAATGTGTGTATACTTGTGTTATTATAATCCATGTTATTGAAAGTTTGATTTGATGAGGAAGAGGAACCTAGTAGAACAGAGAGATGTGGGTACAGGAAGAGGTGGATACAGAAAACTTTATTTTTTCTGTTCATGCAAAAGTTGTCAAGTATCTGCTGAAAGCTTTAATAAGATAACAAACAAACAAAATTGTGCTTGGAAGTATACTACGTGCTGTACATTACTTAAAATTCAAATGTCGGCCCACAGGATCACAATCCCTCTTATTTCCATGTACACACAATGGAGGATATACAAGCAATTGGTTCTGTGGAACTGGAGCAAGGCGAGAATTAACATGGGAATGCAACCTTTGGATTGCACCCAGGAGCTGAAGCATCAACGACAGCAGAGGAAGTAGCAGCGGCAGCCACTAATCCTGCTCTAACGCCACAGCAGCTTGTCATTCCAGTGGATCTGCTAATGGAGCTACAAACTGCCTGTGTCTCTCAGGAAACCACACATGGAAATGTCCCAGCGAGTCTGGAGGAGGTAAGATACTGACCCCCAAATACAAAGTAAATTTCATCAGTTATGTTCCTGAAGGTTCAGGTGTTTCGTATTATGGTAGGTGAGAATTAAATGGAGGGTGGGGAGAGAATGGTAATGTAAATTTTAAATCAGATGGTTTGTTTTGTTTCATGTACCCATGCATGTTCATGGATTCATTATACAAATCAAGTGTCTGGAAATCAAATAGCTTTCTAATTCAGAATTCCCAACGGAAATAGTAACAGAGCCCTGCAAACAGAATAGCTATGTGCCTCATTTGGACTTAAACATTGCTGTTTTTCTTTCGTTACAACCTTTATATCATTTGGTTGCATAATGACATTTTCAGAGCAAATGAATACTGTATCACAGTCTATTTTAATCTTATCTGAGTACCTAAAAACACCAAGGGTGGCATAACATTTGCAAAACATTCTATAACATTGGCAAAACATTTCAGCTTTGGGATTCTGAGCAGTTCAGGCAGCCAGAAGTCCAGATTAAAAAAAAAGAAGACAACTGTCTTGGTATTTGGAGTTGTTGTTGTCATCACCCAGAAAAAGCCACTGGCTATTACAACTCAATGAAAGTAAGGTAGTTGTCAAGAATGAAATGACTTGCTGTCAGGATGTCTGCTAGGTACTTAAAGGATTCTGGGCAGAGACTCACAACACACATTTGCATTGAAATATAGCATGCCCCTAGGAAAATTAATATGGTTCTCATTAGCACTGCACTTTGCTGCCCACCCAGCCACGTTAAAACAAATTTTAAGGGGGAAAGGGAAGGGGCAGCAGATCAGAGGACCCTGTGCTACCCGCTAACGATGTCTTTGTTTGCCCTCATGGTTTGAACAGCTTTGGATATCATACTGCATAGCTTCATTTGAGCCAGAGTTCACCCAGGTTCAAATAATTATTATAGGGCCAGGTGTCATATATAAGTGCCTTTATACATCTGCATGTATAAATGAGGAGCAAGCAGATCGCCAGGAGGCAGGGGCTTATCCAGGTCTTGCTCCCTTGTTGACCTTGCCTGTGGTTGGACAACAACTGGGAATACCCCACTACTGAAGCCTGACCCCTTATAAGAGAACCCAGTTCTTTAGGACAATGTGACAATTTGTAGTAACCTTCCCCATCCTGGGGCCCTCCAGGTGTGTTGGGTGCTGCGCTTAGCAGAGGCTGATGGGAATTGTAGTCCCTAACATCTGGAGAGCACCAGGTTGGGTGAGGCAGAACTGAAGGAGCACAAAGAGAATCAGGATGGAGCAAGCCAGATGCTAGAGAGCTGGAAATAAAGCAAAGCAGGAACTGGGGAGGGGGAAGGAGGGAAGCTGGAGCCTAGCAGGCTTGGCTAGAATTTCTCAACTGCTTGTAAACATGTAGCCCAATAGGATGTGTTTCATAAAGCAGATGGCTCTTTGCATTAATATTAAGCCTTAATATGCTAATTCAAGGTTCTCAGAAACCCTAGACACAAGTCACCTTTCTTTTAACTTCCTCTTGACCCTTTCTCTTGCATGCTTCCTTTAGTTATCCTCTTTTACAAACAAACTTTGTTTTCCCTTGATTCGTGTCCAAAAATATTCTGGTTTTGATCTTTGTCAGCAACAAGCAGTCATCCATGCACTCACACACTCACTCCTGTGTTATCTTTTCCATTTTTCTTGGGTTCCCTTATATCCATTGCACTGTTCTGTGATCAAATAGCTGCACAGAACTCAGGACTCAAAACCACATGTGGTTCCTGCCAAGATGGCATTCAAGCCTGGGTTGGCATTTGCATACCCTCCAACATTTCTCCAATGAAAATAGGACATCCTAAGGAAAAGCAGGACATTCTGGGATCAAATCAGAAACCAGGACGGCTTCTCTAAATGAGGGAAGTCCCTGGAAAATAGGGACACTTGGGTGGTCTGCATTTGTTGGGGCTCATAGTCATCAGTGCCTAGAACAGCAGGGGGAAAGGAATGTTACTAAACCTAAACACATTTATTTAAAACCAAGCTGTACCAAATTCAGTGGTATTCATTCATTCGCTAGCGTAGACCCAGTTTAAAGTGCATGCATCATGCATAATCTGTGTGAGAAACATTTTCAGAATCTGGCCATAAGATGGGCACTTCCTGCATTTTATGGCCTCCCTCATGGTGAACTCCCTGTCTGGTTAGTATATGGGATTTTTTACAGAGCCTGGTGCCATGCCATCAGGTTCAGTGGGTTCCTGCCTACCAGCCTCAGGTTCAGGGCTCCCCTGATTACCGGCATAAGGCTGAGAGCCAGGTACCCAGACTGGTTCCTAAGCCATTGACACATTGGCTCTGATGGTGTCCTGGTCACTGCTGGACTATGGAATCATAACACTCTGGTTGTTTCAGTTGTAAGTGCTTAGGCTTACTTACAAGCTGAGTTACATTAGGGTGTGGGAAGGAAGGGATTGTGTCAAAGATTCCACAGGAAAAGTGGACTTTATGGAGGTGAGAGAGGTAGCATTCACAGGTGTTTGGGGGTGTGATTCCAACCTAGGGGGCAACAAGGTAGAAAGGGTGGAGGCTTTTAAGGGAACAGGGGATCTCCAGATGGCAGAGGGTGGTGGTGCCTTAATTCTTTGAATGGTAAAAGCAAACCCCCTCCAGCAGTGACCCAGCTCAACTCAGCTACCCCTGCTTCCCTCTGACTAAAAAGATGCTCAGGAGCATATCAAAGAGTCCCTGCAGTGTCCTCCAGCTCCTCAACTGAACAAAAGCTCTGAGCCTCTTCTTATAAACTAAAAAAGCCTGTCTAAACTAGATTATACTCTTCTGGGCACGAAGGGGCCATATATTCCCCTTTCTCATCTCTAAATACAGTGGTACTGACGCTTCAGGTTACAGACTCCGCTAACCCAGAAATAGTACTTCAGGTTAAGAACTTTGCCTCAGGATGAGAACAGAAATTGCGTGGCAACAGCAGGAGGCCCCATTAGCTAAAGTGGTATCTCAGATTAAGAACAGTTTCAGGTTAAGAACGAATTAAGTTCTTAACCCGAGGGACCACTGTACTCATGATGGCCAGTGAAAGCCCACCATCATAATACTTCACACACAAAAACCAAGGATTGACTTTAAAGTGAGTAAATTTGTGGTGGTTTTCACGTTTTTCATCATCACAATCCTCTCCCATCCCACAGAAATCCCACAGAAATAGAGGACCTTTCTGTTCTTGCGTTTAGCAAAGACTGCTGTGAAATACATAGAAGGTCAGCTTTAAAACAGGTAGCTCAAGCCACAGCGCTTCATGACAATAGTAGAAAAACAGTCCTTCTGCTTAGAATCCCCTTTATACTTGGAATCATTGTTCTTTGCACACAAAAACAATCAACGGGTTGGGGGCTATTAAAGAGTGCCTAGGAATAGGCACTTTCAGCCAAATAGTCTGAAAGCATTACAGCTGTCAGGATTTGGAGGTGGGGGCAGGGGTGTATTTGACAGGAAATAAAGCTTATGTTGATTTTTTTTTGTAAGGTCTAAGAAGAGGCTAAGTGACTGTGCTGAGAATATGAATAGGCAAAGTGGAAGAAAATCCCTCCATTTTCAAAGGAAAAACATAGTGATTATATTTCATTATAATGGCTGTACAAGCATAAACTAAGCCATATATTAGTAACAGAGCTGAGCTGTCTTCTCAAGGGCTGGGAGAAAGGAGCGTGCTGTAACAGGGAGATTAATCACTGGCAAATATTAAGAGATTATGAGGAGAGATTAAAAGATTAAAGGGAAAGACGAAAGGAACCTAAATCTATATATTGTGTCCAGATGACAATATAAGGGGGGGAATGGTTTTCTGTGCACATAAATCACCTGGCTGTACAAAGTAAGAAGTATTAACTATACATGATTGTATTAAGGACTGTTAAATGGAAATATAAGGAGTCATCATTCATTTATATGTCTGAATGGAGTTTGAACCATGACTAGCCCATTGAGCTCAATGCTGGAAGGTATCATTAGCACCTCTTCTGTTGACTTTGCAAACTTATTTAAAAGGCAGCATGGTTGAGGGTCCCAACTGCAAATGTGAGCTCACCAGTGGCAAGAACATACTTTAATCTGGGGAGATTGTCCAGTAGGAGGTCAGAGATAGTCCTTACCTTTCTCCCTGTTCAGGAGAAGATCTAGCAGTCTCCTAACATTAGTCTGAGCCACAGAAGCTTTCAGATTCTCCAAAACGACTTCAGACACAAGACTTGATCCCTCCCTAAATTGGGTGAGGGAAAGGATCAATGTTCAGCACTGATCATGGCTGTCTACTAATGGTGGTCAAAATTTGTATATATTTGGACATGGAAATTAAGAAGGAAAAGCATGTGAGAAACCTTTTCGTATAACCATTCATCACATAAAAATGTCAGCCCCAAAAGCAGTCTTTTATATTCACCCTAAGGCAGTCTTTACATACAATTTCCTAATGGGTTTAACCTTCAGGTTAACATATCATGAACATCACATGTACCTATCTATGTGCAATTAGCATACACATGCCAATTTAGCTGTGTATACACCCATTGGGACACCATAGTTGATCGATAGCTTCCGGACATGTGTTATTGAATAGATAGGTGTCAAAATAGCGACATGTTTTCTTATCACACATGGCATAGTGTAGAAATACAGAAGTGTTATCCATGCACCTGTGCAGCTCCTTGCCATTTGGGGGTTGCCCTTCCTAGTGGACTGTGCAATACAGCCCACCCAATTGCTACATTTTCAAATAGTGTTTTTTTGAAAACCTCACAATATTGCAATGCTGCTCATTCCTTGCTGTCATGGAGTCTATGAAAACATATGGGTGGGAGCCTCAGGCTCAGGAGCCAAATGCTGCTGTGAGTACTTCCTTCCCCATCCCCTGCTTGCCCCCGTGTGTCCCAGTCACTCGCTGAGATCCTTTTCCTCCTCCCTGTTGTCCTGCCAGCTCCTGACACTTTTATACATTGACTGAACTGTGGTGCAGTAAGCTCCACCTCCACAGAGAAGCTGGCTTTTAGAGGACCTTGCCTTATACTGCAGTCAGTTTCCTGTAGGGCTGAGGAGACAAAAGTACCCTGGAAGACTCCTCCTCTGACTCAAAGTAAGGTGGCAAGGCTGTGTTCTCAAGTGAGGAGAGCCTTGAAGATGGTCCTGGCAGCTCTTCCCTCAGTGAAGGTTATCTTCTCTGAGTCCATTGCACAGCGCAGGGTCTCTGAGTCATGACAGAAGAGTTTAAACCTCTCCACCTTACCACACCTCACTGTTATGTCATCAGGAGGAAATACTTCATTAGTGCCATTTTTCATATATATATTTTTTAAAAAGTTTCTAGTTCTTAAGGCATTGACGATATGCATGAAAGTTTGTGCTGCAGTCTCAGGATCCATAAGGATGTCTTACTAAGGTTTTCAGTGATGGGTGTTAAGGTTCCAGGCCCCTTCATGGCTTTATTTATACTAGAGCTTTCTGCTTGTGTAACAGCAGCATTGGACACAACACAATTGCTGTGTGATTGAGATACTGTGACCATTATCATATTTGTCATTGTGTTTTATTTTCAGATCATGGAAGTTTAGCTCTCCTGGTGAATCAAAGGTGGCCGTCCTTTTCTTTTACAGTTGCACATTTCTGTGGGGTTACCCAACTTACCTGTTTTGGGTAAGGCAATCATGGTCTTGTTCAAAATACGGCTCTTCCTTGTGCCCGTTGTATAGAATAATAGTGAAAAGGGAAAGAGTTGCTTTCCATGAAAGCCTTGGTCTCAAATGGCAATTAGCCCCACATACACCAATGCTCTCTATTTAAGGGACTGCATTTTCCCTACAAGAAAGGTAGTAAAATAAAGACTCTAATCATTATATAGCTATGGATATAGATAAAGATATAGTTGTATAATTTGTTGAATCAGAATTAGAATTCAATCCTGCAAAGGCTTATTCTTATATCTTATGATGGAGCAAACTATTTTGGTAATGCCGTTGACCTCCTGCTTTCAGACTGGAGAAATATATTAGTAGTAGCATGCTAAGAATTGCATTAGGATGGCCACTTACACATAGCCAAAAAAGAGGAAATGCATCACACACATAATACATCAAGATGAAAGAGGGCACAGATACGCACATCTTATGCAAATGACAGTTTTTATGTATAGATGCAAATTTAGAAATAATTGCTGTAAGTTAAATAGAAATGCATCTCACTATAAATGGGAATATTGTGAATATTGTGACCAGGTGATCTTGATCAGTCTGCTGCCCAGCTTCTAACTGCTGATGGACAACTACAAGCCACCTCCCCTGGCTCTCCTTTTTATGTTTCTTTCTTTAAACTGAACTTGGATTTGGCAGCACCACAAACAGAGGACTAGCCTCTGTAAAATAGGACACCTTGCCAACCTAGATTATATAAAATATCATTGTAATATGGAGTTGGAAGAAGATAAACTGGTACCGATATAATCCAGGGCTACCAGTATTTCTGGAAAATAAAGGTAAGAATTGATATACCAGTACACTCTGATCCTGAAACTGTTATTAAGAACAAATTTCTGTGGAATTACATCCAAGCAACTGCTCTTAACAGTATGATAATGATGCAGTTGATTCATGGTGTGCATCACATCAATGCTGAATAAAAATGTACAAATGGTTATTTCAAGCCAATATATGTCTATTATTACTTGGCCAAGATCCCAGATTCTAGGCAATTCCCCTTGGTTTACAGAGAAGAAAGGAACAGACAAAAAGAAATCCTGAAAAGAGTTTATCTCAACTGACTCCATGAAATGCAGCCAATATTAGAAAGTTTATGGTACTTGTTATCTAGTGTGATATCAAACTGTTGCATTCCATTAATATGCTTTTATTTAAATAAATGATAGACATGCCATATCATATGGATATCTGTATCTCACTGACCTGAGAAGGTAGAAGGTTCTGCATTTTCTGGACTTTAATCTATACAATACAGTACAAATATAATACATTATTCTGTTTATATTCCCTGTTGCTCTTTTTATGGGAGGGAGCTGGCTGGAACTTTTCCCAAAGCTTTAGTGTGCAATCCTTGGCTCAGTTTAAATCAAAGGCACTTCTGTCATTGACTTCATTGGATCATTGGATCAGGATTGCATCTTTAATTCCTTAATCTGAGCATAATTCTTCAGTCAGCTGGCGGGCGTATTATGGAACAAATGGTAGCATTTTATCTGTGCAGAGCAAAATTGCCAAGCTAAATTGAAAACAAAGATCAGAAATATATTCTAGAACAGTACTTAGCTGTAATTTATTAGCATCTTTCACTTTATTATATTTCATGAAATGAGAAAGGGGAATATCTTTGCATTTAAGTGAATAGATGACTACAGTTGTCACAGGATCGATTTTCAGAGCGGCTTTTACAACCTCTAGGCTTTGATACCTACATTTACAAAGTGAAATAATCATATTTTCATGAGAAGTGAAGTTTTAAAACATTTTCTATCCAAGGCAAGGGAAAAAAGAAAAGCAGGAATTCAACAGTAACCTCCCCTTTGTTTGCTTCTCCTCCAACAGTGGTTTCTCTGCCTAATGATTCAAAACGTCTCTGCAAGATGCCTTTCCCTTCACTGTCATTCACGTTATGCATCTCCATAGCTCATTATTGTGGCTATGTATAATTAAACTGACTTTCTGGCATGGCCATACTTCTGGTCCTTACTGTTTAAAGATCTCCACTTCTCTTCTCAACTAAGCAATTGCCTGATTAACATTATTTGAAATCCCAATATGCTTTTACACTCAGTTTGTAATGATGCCTAAACAACAATTCATGTAGAAACATGGGAGCCAGTTCCTTGTGTCTGGACCTCATGTTGCTGTGGCAATATCTGTAGAAGGAATAACGTGGAACAGATGGATTACTTATCAGTGGACAATACTGTCCTGGCAAGGAAATATATAATTTGCCCAACCCGTATGGTTCTTTCCTAAAGACTTTAATGGAAAATCTACATGTAAACAGCTCACCCATAGAATCATAGAACCGTAGAGTCGGAAGGGACTCTGGGGATCATGTAGTCCAACCCCCTGCAATGCAGGAAAATATGCAATTCCGTAACATATAAATTGTCACTTTGTGATTTGGAAAACTGATGCAATTCCGTAACATATAAATTGTCACTTTGTCATTTGGAAAACTGATGTGTAGACTAAGCCCTCATTTTGAGGGTGTCTGTATCTCCTATCTACAGGCTCAATGTCAGGAGTTGGCATAGTTGAGCAGCTGCTGGATTCTCTGACCTAGCAAAAGGCCCATTGCAAAGCACCACTCCAAGCACCTCCATCTTTGTTAGGCCATCTGCATATATTTAGACACAAAGCTCCATCATTTAACAACAACAACAACAACAACAACAATTTATTAGTTTCCCCCAGAAGCTAACAGACAGCCAATATGAATCAGGTGCAAGTTACCTCATGCCCTCAAACCCTCACACTGCTTATTTCTCAGAAACCTGGTGACACAGGAAAACCCACAGCAGGTTTCTTGCCTGTGGCCCACAGAAACCTGAAACTTGGTCACGCCAAGTTGGTTTCCCTTCTTACACATCTCCTTGTGTTATCTCTTCTCAATAAGCTTGCCTACTGTTAGCTCCTTCTGCTTCCTCATACTGCTTGCCTATAATATTCTGTGTCTCTTTCACCTCTCATGTTGAGAAATCTCTCAAGAACTGCTCCTCCAGTTCCATCCAGTTCTTGTTTCTGTATCCCCAGTTATGGATTTGTCAGTCCCTAACTGTTGAAAGCCACCTTGAGTAGTACATGGACACTAGAAGAGTGGGATAGATAGCATAGATAGCAGAGAGGTTGGGGAAAGAGAGAGAGATTTCATGTAAACAGTATACATACATAGTCAGCCAGAGGTCAAGTATATGACTGGTGCTTTTGTACAATGATTTGCATGATGTTTCAGTTTGTGTGCCAGTGTATCAGATTAGTTTTGTGTATCAAAGTGTTAAGACATTTGTCTATTTTCATTGCACAGATTATGCCGTTATCTTTTAATACCCTGTGGAACGCCCATGCTACCTTCCTCCTTGGGAATGCTCTGATGTGGTTCCTCTTCTTAAAAGCTTCTATGATGAACCCAGGTTTGCTTCCTCAACACACTGATGAATATTACCAGGCCATCAGACAGGTATTTCTCTCGTACACCTTTGCATATGCAACCATCTCTCACAATTAGTAATAATTCTGTTGCTGAATTCAAAGCATCCTTCTTTTGTCATCATTTTTTATACATGCCTAAATGTTGAAGATAAGAAAATTCAATTAATGCAGGCAGCTAGCAAAGAAAGGCTTCAGCACCTCTGCACACGTATCTGGGAGAAAGTCCCACTGACTTAACTTCTGAGTAGACAAGTATAGAATTGTGCTGTTTTGGTGACTGATTTTGTTTTCCACTAAGAAGTCATGTTTTATAATATGATCACGGGACATCCCGATAGTATAAAACAATGCAACTACATGAGAATATGAACCATTCCCAATATATAATATGGATTGAATCTTCCTGCCACACCTGCCATCCTCGCCTGTCACACCTGTATGGTGCGCCACACCCTTTGAGAACCACTGTATTACATGCTTCCTGCTTTGGAAGGGAGAAATTGCACTTTTTGCTGATGCATTTACCATGGAGATGGGTAAACTCATGCAAGTCCACCTGAACATAAAGCATGAACAGCAGCTGAATCACCTGGCTTTCTGAAATGATGCTATTGTCCAAAGCACATATACAAAAGCATTAGGTTAGTTGGTGTGACATTACCATATATGAGAGAGTGCTGGAGGGGAAATAGTTAAATAGGTTGCACAGACAGGACCCAGGGGGGTGGAGTCAGTTCTGGGACGAGTTCGTTGGGAGTTGTGGGTGGGTAGTTGGTTGGATTTCGTGGGTTGGCTGGTGGGGAAAGGCACTTGGTAACAGAGAGACAGTTAGGGCCGTGGGTTCTTGAGTGTGGGGAGGTAGAAGAGAGAGAGAGGGGAAAATAAGACTAAGAAAGTAAAGAGCAACAACGTTTGGAATGCTGTAAAAGTTTTGTTTGTGTCTGAAATAAAATACACTCTTCTTTATTAATTGAAAAGCTGACTGAGACTGAAGTGATTTTACCAGGGAGGACCTGGTTGGTGGCAGCGGATTAGTGGTGTATGGATCAATAGTCCATGCGACGACCGGGGGCTCCGTACAAACACCACAATTGGTTCTTAGATTCTGCCATTGCATTTTAGATTCCATCCTGGATGTCTTCTTCTTTCTAAGGTGGATTATCTTAATTATTGGGAAGAGGGCAAAAGCCTGTTGCCTAGACTATGTCATGTGTGCCACCTTGTGAAACCTCTTCGAGCTAAACATTGTCATATCATCAATCGTTGTGTGTCTGGCTTTGATCATTATTGTCCTTTTATCTACAACAGCGTGGGATACAGGAACAGGTAAGGTAAAGGTAAAGGGACCCCTGACCAGTACAGATGTGCAAAAGATGTGCAAAAGAGATTTTTCCTGTAGCATTTAAGATAGCCTTCCACAACCCATTAGCTTTCAGATGTGTCATCAGTTCCAGCCAGCATTGCCAGCAAGGTGATGGGAGTTGTGACCCACAACAGCTGGAGGGCAAGAGGTTTGGGAAAGATTGTTCAAGATATTTTTGCTCGTCTACTTTATAAGTCTTTAGTAACTAAGCGTTCTCTCCCCCCCCCTTTTCACAACACCGTCAGATGTTGCACTGTTGATATCTTTCATCAGAAACATTAACATGTGACACAATAAGTCTTTGGATCACCACTGTATCTATCAGCCATCTGTGGCCCTACAATCAGCAGGTGGACCCTGTTGGTGTCACCCCACTTGGGGTATACTCAGCTGGTGGTGACTTGTGTCAGGGCCTTCTCAGTAGTGGCTCCCCATTTGTGAAATGCCCTTTCTAGTGAGCTGCATCAGCCTCCCTACTTACAAACTTTTTAAGGGAAAAAATATTTTTTAAAAAAATACTTATTGATACCTAGAAAAATTGTAAAGTTTTGATGGTTGAAAGTTCTGTCCCTGAGACCTCTGAAATTACTGTATTAGTTTAAGGGTAGATTATTACTTTCAGGAGTTTTAAACTGGTTTTTAGAAAGTTGTTCTTAACTGTTTTTTAGAATTTTTAATTGTGTTATTTTAGTATCGAAATGTGTGCTGCCCTTGATTCCTTTGGAGCAGGGTGTGAGATATACATTTAATTAATTAATTGATAAATAAGTCATAAACTTATTTATTTGGCAAAGCCAAAAATGTGGTACACAAAACAGATTTAAACTGAGAAAATGGTTGTGGCTCCTTCCTCCACCCCATGAAACAATGGGGGAATTGATTTTCTGTAAAGGGGGAAATGGTCAATGCCATACTTAGAAATCCAAGACCAGGTATTTAGTGCAGAAGACATGACAATTAAGCTCATGTAAAATCCACTGAAGGCCAGTTGATGGCCTATATTATCAACTGCTTGCTTTGCTGTTCATTTTTAATCATATACGCATCCAAGTCACACAGGAGACATTTCCTCAGAAATAAGGTGCTCATAGAAGGCACTACCACAGTTATTTCCCCACATCATCTTTTACGGGCATATTTATGAAAGGTGAGGGACGCGGGTGGCGCTGTGGGTTAAACCACAGAGCCTAGGACTTGCCAATCAGAAAGGTCGGTGGTTCGAATCCCCGCGACGGGGTGAGCTCCCGTTCCTCGGTCCCTGCTCCTGCCCACCTAGCAGTTTGAAAGCACGTCAAAGTGCAAGTAGATAAATAGGTACCGCTCCGGCGGGAAGGGAAATGGCGTTTCCGTGCGCTGCTCTGGTTCGCCAGAAGCGGCTTAGTCATGCTGGCCACATGACCCGGAAGCTGTACACCAGCTCCCTCGGCCAGAAAAGCGAGATGAGCGCCGCAACCCCAGAGTCGGTCACGACTGGACCTAATGGTTAGAGGTCCCTTTACCTTTACCTTTTTATGAAAGGTGACCTTGAGCACACTCTGCTACCATTTGAGGTTCTTTTCTGACAGATTTTGTTTTTAATGTGATCCGACTTCATTTAAAAAAAGTGGTGACACAGCAGGAGCCAAGGACTAAATTCACAGAGTAATCAGTACCTCCAGTAAAGAGTACTATAAAGAGAGTGCAGTTTTGGTTAGCTTCTGCTTCCAGGCTGCCCACGGACATCTGGTTGGCCACTGTGAGAATAGGATGCTGGTTTAGATGGGCCATTGGCTTCATCCTATGGTCTTATGAATTAAATCACCACATCAGCTGCATATGAGAGAGGTTGTTCTAGATACTGACTGAACTTTGCAAAGGCTTTGTTAGCTTTTTACATAGTAGAAGCATTGCTTTGTTTCTGTTTTGCTTCATTCTAGGCCCTATTTTGTAGGATTCCTCACTACTATGTGTCTGAACTCTGTGGTTGGAATATATCTATGCTGGAATTGGTTTAATGTAATGGGACGTAGTATTTTCATCGGGATCGGATTTCTCTTTCTTTCCGTCATTGCCACAACATCAGCAATGATGACTTCACTGTGTGTATGTATTGTCTTGAATGCATATTTTTTATTAGCAGGCTTTGGGGAGATGACAAAAATGCTTTTGGCATTATAGCTAGCTATAGGATCAGTCAATAGTTTTTATTAAAAGGATTTTAAAAAATAAAGTAAAAAACGGCAACATTTTAAGGGGTCACCTTTTGTCATCACAGCATCGAAGTAGAGGACTCATAGGAGCAGAAATGTTTGCTTTTTAATGACAGATTGGGGGGAGGGGTCTTCGGGAGCCAGCTATGAGCCGCTGGGTAGCCACTGCTGCCCTCAGAGATGGCAGGGGTAGGATTTTCCCACATAGTAAAAAATGAAGCAAAGGCACTGACTCTCTGAGTGGTAAGACAGGCCTCGTTCTTATCCCAGACCGCATATTGACAAGTCAAAGGGAAAAGACTGTGTGAACCTGAAACATGTCACAGACAGCATGGTCAGTAGTCAGGAATGATGAGAGTTGTAGCCCAGGGACATCTGGAGGCCCAAGTGGTCCCAATCTCCTGCTTTCGGGTTTCTGCATTCTGCCTGAGGCAATCATTTTAGTATTTCGTAGTATTTAGATGCTGGAGTTGCATATTAAAGCTCACCAGCTTTGTTACATAAAGGGCAATCTTCTCTCCCTCAGCCATTCACACAGGATGCTGATGTTAGAAAGATTGTCGCCTAAAAGAGGGAGCGCAATAAGTTACGAAAAACCAGATGAGATTAATGTGTGTTATATATAGTACTGTAGAGTGGGAACAGCAGCTCACTTTAGATAGAACTGTTAATGCCCTCTAGTGTCTCTTTATTGAAAGCCAGAGAGAAAGAGAAAGTTTGCTCAAATAGGATGCTAAGTAACTGCACTATTTTCGACTGGCTGATTTCAAGTGGGATCATACTGAAAATAAAACAATAGCATGCTTGGTGGGAAATACATTTAATTTGCAAGGGAGTAAGTTTTAGCCAGTCCCTTTGGATATACGGTCTTTTACTGTTCTGGTATCTGCATATAAGCATATATTAACTTTGTAACATGTACTGAAGAATAATTTATGTTTTTATATACCACCCGCATAAATAATACAGCTGGCAACAGAAATGATTAAATTGTATGCTTGTATTATTTCTGTTTGGGAGTTTCTACTACCCAATGACAGGATAGTCTGATATCGTGGGATGAACTCTCATAAGAAGAATCATTAACTAAGATTACAGGCAGCAGAATATTTGGTAGTTCACTTACGCTACTATTTGTTCCTTATGGTCCTTGCTTCCTTGAACATGGAAAGCTGCCATATACGAGTCAGACCAGTGACTCTCAGCATCTCCACTAGTTGTGATCCACTTGGCTGGATCTTGAATTTTGGACTTCCACATGCAAAGGACTTATTCTGCCACTGAGCTAGGCCTTTCCCAGTGGTCCATTAGGGTGAATGGAGCACTGCCCTACCAAGCTCAGTCTGCCCTTGACCAGCCTGCTTTTCTTACTTCCACCCAGCCCAGGTTTGTGGCACTGCCTGACAGTGGCCTCCTCCTTAGTTTCAGTGCTGCTCTTGTATACCCTCCAACATTTCTCTGATGAAAATAGGGATGTCCTATTTCATCACCATAACAACAATAATTTTTATTTATACCCTGTCCATCTGACTGGGCTTCCCCAGACATTCTGGGCATCTTCCAACATTCCCTACACAGGGTTGCCCTGAGATGTATTCTAAAGATTGTATAGTTACTTATCTCCTTGGCTCAGGGGGTCACATAACTCCATCCCCTCCAACATTTCTCTGATGAAAATAGGGACATCCTAAGGAAAAGCGGGACATTCTGAGATCAAGTCAGAAACCAGGATGCCTTCTTTAAATCTGGAACTGTCCCTGGAAAAGAGTCTGCTCTTGTAGAACTGCGGAGGGAGGAGGATGGGGACAAAATTAGAATTAGATGATTCTGGCTGTCATTGGCTCTGGCACCACCTGCTGCTGGTCTTCCTACCAGTCCAAATAGGCACTAACCACTGCTGGCCTTTCTCCAAACAGCCAGTCACAAAACTGATGGTAGAGTTAGCAGAGATAAAACCAAGACCTTCTAGATTTGTATCCTGCTGCCCAGTATGATAAGCAACTGGTCTTGGGCTGCTACTATACCAACAGGAAAAGGACAAATACATTTTGTTTATGTTTGAATACATCACCCACAGTCATAAGAACTGGAATGTAGAGATGATTCCAACAGACTGGACTAGGAATGGGGATTCTGTGGCCCTCCAGCTACTGCTGAAATACAACTCCCACCATTCCTGACCATTAACCATGCTGGCTGGAGCTGATGGGAGTTGGGAGTCCAACAGCATCTGGAGGGCCACAAGTAGTAGTAGACTGCACAGAGGGAGGGCGGCACCACTTATGTGACCTCCCTCTGCCCAAGTTGCTGCTGTATACCAGGGTGGAGAGGCAACAGAGTGGTGAGGTTGACCAGGTACAAGCACACCAGTAGTAAATCTGGTGGTCCTACCACCATGTTTGCACTGTGTTGGCCTCGCCTTCCCCACCCCCTTCCCTCTTCCCCCTTCTCTGTTCTTGTGTGCAGCCGTGACTCAGCTGGAGGAAAGTCAGGTAAGTGCCATCCACTACCAGCCACAGGTTTCCCACTGCTGGGTTAGACCATAGTTTCCTGTGAACTGAATTTAGAGCTTTGGCTGCTATTGTGATCCTGCCTGACACTCTCACTTGTCTACTTTTGATAGATGATTTACTGTTTTTCTAGTGTCCCAAACTGGCTTCTGCAGAACTTGTCAGACTGTCCCTGTATCTATTGCTGGGACATTTAGCCTAGTCCATATTTAAGTATAGCTTTGCTCTGCTTTCTCAGTTCAGTGACCATTGAAATAATCTATATTGTTTCTTGGTGTATACACAACCTTTCTGTCAAGGACTCTTCTTGGCAGTAAACTAACAACTGTTATATGTGTTGGTAAACTCAAATTCTTCAGCTGCTATCCTTTCTCCATTACACCAAAACACCCAAGAGTCTATTGCCTCTGGTCTCCACAGTTTAATTGCAGGTGTTACATACAAGTCAGACATTTATTAAAATGATGAATTATTTCACAAAGTTCAGCTGGTCAGCTTGTAGTGTAATGAATCTTAGTTGCAGTACGGTGTCCTCTGCTGCAACAGCAGCAGTGCAAACAGTTTATATGTAAAGCTGAAAGTCAACTCTATGTGTTTCACTTCTAAAGGTTTATATGGCGGCAGTCAACTACTGCAGAATGTCTCAAAACAACGAAGTATGCATATCTCCTGGACCATCAAGGGAAGTTCTTCAATCCATTCGATAGAGGAATTATACTAAACTTGATGGAATTCCTTCACATCATCAAGCCTCTAACAGAGGAGGAACTGAAAAAAGCAGATCTGACTTTGGTATAAAGACTATAGAAGAGTCATGTACTCTATAATATACATCACTTTATCAGTAAAACTGGCGGCATGTAGTGCATGGTTTTGAGCATGGCCTCTCCCTAGGGAAAAGAAATGTCTTGACAGAAACCTTTGCACGTGTATGGAATGTGACAGACCTTTGAACATGTACAGATTGTGAGTATATGTATGGAGTAAATGGACCTTTCTCCTTAAGTGCAGGATATGACCTTAAGCACAGCACAGCAACACATTTATTGGTTCATTTTAAAAATTGCATATTTCAGTCATTGTTCCCACCCACCCACAATTCAAGAGAAAGGGCAATAAATTATCATTGTACAATACACATTTCATTTTCAAACACTATTAATCACTGTGCACATTTCATTCTGCCTTATTCAGTATTAAATATATGCATAGCCTATTATCCATTCTAAGATGCTGATGGAGTTACAACAAAGTTAACATAGAATATAAAATTTCCCCAGCAGTTCTTAACTCAAAATCTAAATACTGTATTACACTGCAGTTTTGTATTTCTATTCAACACTAGATGGTGCTGGCTTACTTTTTTTTACTATGAAGCTGACTTAGAATGTCTTAATAGAGTAAATGTTCAAACACAACAGAACTGGGTGAATTTCAAGTTCAGATTTTGCACTTTTGCACCCTTCCCCCTTATGCTGGCAGGCATGCTGTTATATCCTGCAGAAATGTAATAAAATAGCACCCCGTTGCAGACTCTGTGACTTAGTGACCCTAAGCCTGCGTGCTCAAGACTCAACAAATATAATTCTTCTCGGTGTCAAAGGTTAAAAGATTTGCAAGAAATATTTGTGAGGGTTCGTTTTCACTTGCTTGAAGCTTTCTTCTATTTCATTCCAATGAACTTTTCTGTAGCTGGGGGATATATAAACATATGCATAAAAAAATAAAAAGCACTTTTCCTCCTTCAGTCTGTTCACCATGTTATTTTAGATTGGTCTTTTTTGTTCTGGATTTTATATTCTGTACATATTTCTCAGACATTTCAGCGATTTCCACCTGGGCACTGCTTCTGACAACCGAATCCCAGCTATGTCCAGGAAATTCCAGACCTATGGCAACCCTATTTTAACATGGTATCTTGCGTAAAAACATTTCAAATCATATTCAGTTAACATGCTGGATGTGGGCAGAGGCTTTGCCCTTGGCCTACAAACACATAAAGGTAAAGGTAAAGGTTCCCCTGACCATTAGGTCTAGTTGCAGACAACTCTGGAGTTGCGCGCTCATCTCACGCTATAGGCCGAGGGAGCCGGCGTTTGTCTGCAGACAGCTTCCGGGTCATGTGGCCAGCATGACTAAGCCACTTCTGGCAAAACCAGAGCAGCGCACAGAAACACTGTTTACCTTCCCACCAGAGTGGTACCTATTTATCTACTTGCACTTTGACACGCTTTTGAACTGCTAGGTGGGTAGGAGCTGGGACCAAACCATGGGAGCTCACCCCGTCACAGGGATTCGAACTGCCGACCTTCCAATCAGCAAGCCCTAGGCTCTGTGGTTTAGACCACAGCGCCACCCGCATATACATATACGCCTGTAAAAAGCTATAAACAAAAGAGATAGCTCCCTGCCCCACGGAGCTGACAACCTGGACAGTGGGAGAAGATGAGAGAGAAGGGAAGGAGACACAGGAGCAACAAATAATACAGAGAAGAAGAAGTCAGAAAATCACAGGCCATGAGGGAAGAATGCTTAGCTCCAAGCTTACATGCCTTGGCCACTGTAAAAATAGGGTTGCGCTGAAAAGATACAGTGTGCGGAGGGATTTAAAGGAAGACAGATACATACCATCATATTTGCACTTGGACAGTGTCCCAGGCCCACTGGGCAACAAAAGAGATTGGACTCATATAACTCTGGGGAAATTGTACAGGCACAGACCCATTTATTTATTTATTTATTTATTTATTTATTTATTTATTTATTTCACTTTTTAAACCACCATTTCTCCAAGCTGGATCCCAGGCTAGTTAACAAAATGCTGTTTAAAACATGACAATTGCAAGATGCCACCAATAAAACATGATTTAAATAAAACCTCCATCAAAATTTGAGGTAAAAATTATTGCATACTATAAAATCAGCAGCATTCAGTAATTGTGCTAGGACCCCGAGCAGTCAATTTCCTCCTTTCTTTTATGCTGTCTCCATTATTTTAACGTAAACAGCTTTTGGTGAAGCTATTTCTGGTTTTTAATGAAACTGCTCTTGAGCAATATTTAAGTTTGGTCTTTTGTAAGAGAGTACTCAATTTTGGTGTCTACAGGAAACATCTGTGATACAGATCTGTGGGAAAGGGTACTGGCAAACTTCTTCTAATCCTTCTCAACCATAGCAAATCCCTTAAGTTTGTTTTTTATTGTGAGCCCTGAGACATTGCCAAGTGGAGTGGCAGGCTGAGACACATGAGGTGGGGGAACAAGGGGATGACATGGTGGTGATCAGAGACAGGGAAATAAAGGCTGGAGGAGGCAGCTACTCCCTTCTCCCAGGATACGGCTGCTCTGGATGGGAAAGCAGGTCTCCCATTTCCCCTCTTCCCTCCCAGAGAGGGAAGCAATAGAATCCAGGATAGGGGATCATTCAACCGCTAGGGGTGGAGGAAGCAGAATCAGGACAGGAGACACAGCCTGGTCACCCAGGACCCAGCAACACTCCCATTGCTGGGGACAGATTCATCCTCCCTGATGTAGTGAGCATCTACATGCTCAGCAATCTTGCAAGGCACAAGAGTCTTGCAAGTAAGCTTGCCTTGCCTTTCTTTAAAAGCATGGTGGACAGGTGGGCAAACCCGTTAGGACAACTCTGTTGCTTCAGCACAGTTCTGAACTCCTTCCCCAAGTCTCCATAAACTTGAACTGCTTGTTCTAGCCCAGATAGTCTTGACTTTCCTGTCATCTAGCCTGAGCCTAAAGGCTACCTGTTGCTGAGCTACATTTCCTCAGTAAAAATCTCATGTTGCTCTCAATTAAGAGCCTATTTGGTAATGACTGGAGTCAGATGAGTTTTAGCAGTTGAGAGTTGGTATATGTGGCTCTGCCATTAGGCACAGGGAGGTCGCTGCCCCAAACAGCTGGTTTTGGGTTTCATGGAAGGGCAGCAAATTGTTAGATATTTAATTATGTTGTATTTTTACTGTCAGGGAGGGCAAGAGGTGCTTGTGGGATTTTCTGCCTTAGGTGGCAAAATAATTTGATCAATCTTGGGTCCTATGCACCCAAATTTGTTTTGTTTTGCCATGTTTTGTTTTGTTGTTTTGTTTTGTTGTTTTGTTTTGGAGGGGAAGTACCATTTGCTATTCCAACTCAGGTAGTAAACTATCTTGAGCCAGCCTTGAATATATTTGGGTATCTTCATTTGACCCTGAAAGTATCTTCAAACCTTTCTCATATCACACATCTGCATCTGCAAATAAAAGTCAGCTTCGGATAGAAAACAGACATGACCCTTTTGCAGTGAAATTTACCAGAACAGAATTCACATTCACACTACAGAGACAACAAAGGTTTTAAATGTCATGTGTGAAAACCTCTTAGCAGCAAATGTGATGACCATCAGCCATTCTGGTGGTGGCTGGTGGGAAATGTTGTCCCACAACATCTGGAGGACAGCACACTGACTACTCCTGTCTTAGACCTTATACCATTATAGACGTTCTGGAGAAGATGATGAGGCCATCACAAAGAAAATGTTATGAGCCATTTCTTCTCAAATATGCATTGGTGTTTTGATAGCAAAATGGTGGCCTGCTGCAAGGTAAATCTACAAAGCAAGAATCTACAAAATTATTCCATTTTCAAGTGGTTGATTGGGGTTTTAAAGCATTTGTAAATGGAATATATTTATGGCTTGCTTTTTAACCAATAATAATAGAGATACAAAGTTAGCATGATCAGATGTGTTGGCTGAATTCTAGTCACGTCTATTCCAAAGTAAGTCTTACTGAGTTAAAAGTATTTCATCTGCTTAAACAGCCAATATTGTGTGACTGTTTTATGAGTGATTCTCTAAATAAAAATGTTTCAGGTTGTAGACTCTCTGGGAGAAATTAAGCAGAGGTCCTGCTGTTTCTTACCAGCTGAGTGCTCTAATTGCAACTTGAGCCAATTTCACATGTTTGAGTATTGCAGTTGCAAGCATTGCAAAGTCAATACTCTTTTCTAAGAAATATGTGTTGAGGGGTTAAATTAATTTTATTTCTGTAACTAAAACATAAAAAGAAACATTGTCAGTTAACATTAACAATAAAAACACTCATATGATCTTGACTTAAGCATGTAAATTAATATAGGAAATCCATATGTAATAATCAGTATTCAAACTAGATTGATGATTGTAAGCTATACGTTCAAACATAGAACATATCTTTGTGGGGTTTGTCTAATACATTTATTAAGGGATTTATTAAGGTTAACAGAGCAACTTTACACACACACACACACACACACACACACACACACGCACACAAGCAAATTACATTCAATAGAAAGGATGGGTTGTAATTTTACAAAAGAACAGCAACAGTCAAAACAGCAGATGTTGTTATTGCTTAGTCGTTCAGTCGTGTCCGACTCTTCGTGACCCCATGGACCAGAGAACGCCAGGCACCTCTGTCCTCCACCGCCTCCCGCAGCCTAGTCAAACCCATGCCGGTAGCCTCGAGAACACTATCCAACCATCTCGTCCTCTGTCGTCCCATATTAAACACAGCAGATAAAGCTGCATAAATCTAATTCCATCCAAATTAAGAAGTTATTAAAAGGCCTGGGACATTTAAAAGGTTTATTATGACACTGAAAACTAAGTAGGTACTAGGTGATATTTTCTGGAAAGAGTAGTCTACTGCTAAGAAGGCCCTGGCTGTTCTTCCTACTTGCCTCTCCTCAAATGGTGGGGTCACCTAGAGGAGACAGTCTGAATATACAGGTATGTTGATGTGGAGGCAAGACATTATCTAGTGAGTTTATTCCAACCCGTTCAAGACTTTAAAAGTGAGCATCAGAACCTTCTGAACAAGAGATAGTCCACTGCTCAGGGAACATTGAATCACACACACATGCAAATGGTGGGACAAATTTCAGCGCCCACTGCTGTTGCCATTGGGCTGTCAGTGGCATTACTACAGCTGATGAGGCTTTCTTGGGTAGTGCTGGTGCTGATGGGAGCTCTAGGTCCACATGGTGCGCAAGTCCTGCCTGGTATCATTAACATGAGTGCCAGCCAGCTGATATACTTGGTTCATGGGCTCTGCTTGGCTGCACTACCACCTGTCTGTCCTTTACTGATCTGATCACAAATATGCTCCACTCTTTCTGTTGTAAAAGTATGCAATGATGAAATATTTGCAACGCATATGCAATGATGAAATATTTGCAGAAGGAATGCCTACCAGATGGGCGGGGTAGAAATAAATTATTATTATTATTATTAATTACCTCAGTAGGTCAGAGTGAATGGATGGGGACAGGGTAAGGGGCAGATCCACAGCATGGAGAAAAAGGGAATTAGATAAGGTCAACCTAGAATACACTGTCATTGTATGCAAGTACTTTACCCCTTGAGTTAATTCATACTACACCATACCCTCAAAAAGAAATACCCTAGCTTGTGGAAACTTTCTACTAATCTCATTATCTCTGGTATGTAAAAACACACCCTCTTACACTTAAGCAAACTCCTCTTATTTCACCTATATGAGGTGAAGTACTGGACGCGGGTGGCGCTGTGGTCTAAACTACTGAGCCTAGGGCTTGCCGATTGGAAGGTTGGCGGTTTGAATCCCCACAGCGGGGTGAGCTCCCGTTGCTCGGTCCCAGCTGCTGCCAACCTAGCAGTTCGAAAGCATGTCAAAGTGCAAGTATATAAATAGGTACCACTCCAGCGGGAAGGTAAACAGCATTTCCGTGCACTGCTCTGCTTTCGCCAGAAGTGGCTTAGTCATGCTGGCCACATGACCCGGAAAAACTGTCTGCGGACAAACATCAGCTCCCTTGGCCAGTAAAGCAAGATGAGCACCACAACCCCAGTGTCGTTCATGACTGGACTTAACTGCCAGGGGTCCTTTACCTTTACCTTTTTACTAGCTGTACAAATTTTTATGGTGTATTTCCATGTTGCTTCCTGAAATGACCTGCAGTCATTTTTCTCCAGTGGCATTTGCAGCTGTTTCCTGAATCTGAGGTTAACTGGAGTGTGTTTAATAATTGTTGATTTATTATTATTATTTTATTTTGGTGCCTACAAAAACACCGAAGGCTGTGTGCCGGGGGTTTTAATGTGAACAAATTCTCAACAGTCGTATTCCCCCAACCCTGTGTGTATCAAGAGAAGTCCAGTTGTCAGCTGTTTCACAATCAGGCGCAAAGGACGGGGTAATGTTAATTTTATATGATATTTCTTACCCTTTTCCTCTCAGAAATCAGATACCCATCTCAGCAAATGTACATTTGGTACTGAATAAAAAATACAGTAAAGAGTGAAAGCTCCCCACCAAAAAATAAAAAATAAAAAAATCCTGGGAAATATAGTTTGCTAAGCTATTGTTTGTATCATTTCCCAGGGTGGTTAATCATTCCCTCTTCCCAGGAAACTCTGGGAATTTTAGCTCCGGAAGAGGAATAGGGATTCTCTTCCTAACAACTCTGAGCACCTTTAACAAACTACAGTTTCCAGGATTCTTTGGAGGAAGTAATGTCTGTTTAAAGTAGTACGATGCTGCTTCAAGTGTATAGCACAGATGGCAGCTATATTTTCACTATGGAGTAAATCAATTTTGCTTAAACCACTTGTAATGCTGTTTTCTGTGTTGCATGAACACCCTTCAGAAACAAAGCACACAAATATCACAAGAGAGCTCATATTTTTGGCATCCTGAGATTAAGTACGTTTATTCAGAACCAAGTGTGTGTCACTGAGCTCTATGGGACTGACGCCCGGCTAAGTTCACATAAAATTGCAGCTTTTTCGTGTCTCGATTTTAAAATGGCACGAGCCCTGCCTAATTTTCAGAGTTTGAGGGGACTCTAAGACCCAGGAGAATAAGAGAGGAGGAGGAGGGAGGGCGGACAGGCGTCCCACCTGCTCTGCTAAACTAGAGCAGCAAACCGCGAAGTTTCATCTGCAGAAGTAGTTTGCTGTTGCAACGGCAGGTTAGGGCTCTCTCCCGCTTGCAGCTGGCCATGGGAAGAAGGTGGGGAAGTGAGATCTTCGAAGGAGGTGGAGATCGCCGGGTCCTACAGACGCCAGAGATTGGGAAGTAAGTTGCTTCCAACTCCCGGACGCAAAGGGCTGCTAGCAGCTTGGTAGGTTTCGACGACCCATCTCTCCTTCTCTGCGCTGTTTACCTTGTCTGGAGTCGAGGAGCGGTTTTGCAAGATTGTGCATGAATCCCGATGGACTCTGCAAACGAGGCTTTGCACCCCGGCAATGAGGAGGAAAAGGCGCCGTCTCTTTCCGCAGCATGTTCCGCGTTAGCAAGCGCAGAATCCCCAGACCTGTCACCAGGAACCTGGAGGATCTGGATTCCGTTCAGAGCATCCTGCTGCACAGGTGAGTGCGAACCATTGTGGACTAAGGGAAAGTGCCGGTATGGGGAGCCAGGAGCCGTCCAGATGTTGCTGAACTCAAGCTCCCATCTGCCCAAGCCAGCATGGCCAATGGTCGCAGGCATGGCCAAACTTGGCCCTCCAGATGTTTTGGGACTACCATCCCCATCATCCCTGACCACCGCTCCTGTTAGCTAGGGATGATGGGGGTTGTAGTCCCAAAACAGCTGGAGGGCCAAGTTTGGCCATGCCTGCCTCAAGGGTGATGAGAGCTTGGAGTTCAACAATATCTGGAGTGCACACTGATTCCCCATCCTTAGTTAATGCTTCCCCTTGGAATGTGATATGTGTTACAATTTTTTCTCTCCTCTCTGATGATAATAATAATAATAATTTATACCCTGCCCATCTGGCTGGGTTTCCCTAGCCACTCTGGGTGGCTCCCAACAGAACATTAAAAACACAATCAAACATTACAAACTTCCCTAAATAGGGTTGCCTTCACATTCTTTCCTACACACAGCTGGGGTTACATGCATCACACACACACACACACTTATACCCCTCCCCTTCTAATTATTTTATTTTCTCCCATCGTTTCCATGTGGAAAATGCTCAGTGTTATAATTCTGCATATAGCAGAGGAGTCTGCGATATATTATAAGGGGCACCCTCAGCTCTCATAGGGCACTGGCCAGGTCTGATAGGCATTAATGTTGCCCTTATGCCTGCCAACACATTGCACATTATAATGTGAGACACACAAATACTTGTGACTATGGTAATGATCTTTATTAAGATACATATAGTACTTAAAATTGACGGCTTACATGAAGCCCCCCCCCCATACACACTCTTTCTGAGAAAGTTGGGGAAAGTGTGGTGATTAGTGTAAATCAAAATCATGGAGTGCTTAATTGCAAGTGAATGATGTAACTATTTTAATGCATGGATTTAGTTTTTATATCCTTTGAGTTTAAATGTTTTGTGTCTATATCAACCTATTTTTCAGCAGCTAGACATCTGAAAGACTGAATGGTCATATATATCTTTATTTTACTTACTGAGAAAGCATCATTTAACAGACTATTAATTCTTCTGAAGGTAAACATGGTTGACTATTTTTGGAGAGAGAGGAACTCTTTTCTTTTCCTCCATCTACTTCATACACAAAATTAATCATTGTAAAAATAGCTATCTATCCTTCACACTTTACTGGTGTAATGTTGCTGTAGGTCATAGGTAGTCAACATGGTCCCATGTTACTAGATTGCATCGTCCATCAGCTTTGGCCAATCTGTTCAATGTTCAGGAGTAATTGTAACATCTGGAGGGCACCATGTTGTCGACCTCTTCTGTAGCCTCAGTAAATATAATTTCTGTGTCAAGGATAATTGCTTCTTTTCCACAGTTTAGTATTTCTGTAATACACTATATCAAACGCAGAAACAAAAGATAAGTGGGAGTAGTATTCACTCTGTTGATTAAGGTATGCACATCACTTTGTCTCCCTGACTGAGATGGCAAATGGTAGTGTTGTAATAACCTGCCTTTAATTCCTAGTCTAGACAGAACAGAAAATAACAACAAAAAAGACTTTAAAATACTGCAGGACATCTCCAGTGAGCTTTACTTACAGACTGTGCAATAAAGAAATCCTCTCTTGCTGTTTTCATATAACTTAATTTATAGACCCTGGTGCTGGACATACTGCTGAGGAGCAGACGGTAGCCTCTGTGTAACAGGAGACTTAATGTTGCTTATACAAGTAGCAGTTCAGCGTGGCTACTGCTATTGCTTAACATAACCACAAGAAATTAAAGCCAAGAATGGCAGTTGTTAAAATTACACGTTGTTTCTCCATTTCTTCACTGATGAGTCACAATCTACATTTACTCCTTTTGAGATTTATCCAAGAAACTGACGATTGGAACACTCTTTTTAATGTTTAGAAAATAAAGTGTGCCTTCTTCTTAGAAATGTGCTTGGTTCAAAAGAGGGACTTATTTCTAAGTAAGTAAGTATAGGTGTAGGCTGTAAGCCCCAACTGTAGCATACAGGAGAGGAACGGGATAAATATTTACTAGTCAAAACATTGGCTGTGCATCTCTAGTACAAAAAAATGAGAATGGCACCTAAAATGAAAAACTGAAATGGCACCCAGTGACTGCTACGTGCTAGCAGTTTTTGGAGGAACTACCTGCATGACAGGCAATTCCTCTATAAACTGCTGACAAATAACATCTGACTTCATATTATATACATCTCTCCCCATTGAAGTTATGCTTGGATCTTCCTCTGCTTTCAAGCTGGAGAGGGAACGTTTCCTGCCCATCATCCAGACCTATGAAGTGCCTCAGATAAGAATGCAACTGAAAAGTTTCCAAGACTTGCAGCCTTAAGAGCTCAGTCCTAGGCATGTTTGACCAGAGAGTTAAATGGCACTTACGTTCTAGTGAACACAACCGTGAACTCACTTACTAGGGAGTAAGCCCACTGAACGCATTGGAATTTGCATTTGAATAAGCGTGCGTAGGATTGTAGGGCAATGATCCATAGCACATTCTACCTAGGAATAAGTCCCACTGAATTTACACGTGAGCAAGGATTTGCACGTGCGCAGGATTGCGCCGCAAGGCGCCCAAACCCACTTTATCTAAGAGAGGGGAAACCCGTTGAATCCTGCTGAATTCATTTGTCAGTAGATTGCGTTGCAAGGCTACAGTCCTCGCACCTTACCTGGGAGCAGGTAAAGTGCGAGGACTGTAGCCTTGCAAAGCAATCTACTGACAAATGACCTGGGAGCAGGTAAAGTGGGCTGTATCTGGCCCACTGAACCGAGTGCATTAGGCAGGGCGACGAATGAAAAGGGTATATAAAAGAGAACGTTTCCTGTTAGCATTCAGAGCGGAGCAGCTCTTTGCAACGAGCAGAGTTTGGGCTCAGGGAGCTTCCTGGGTTGCCATGGTTACCGCAGCCTGCGCCAATCGGCGAGCCGCTTGTGCGTCACGTGCTGCGGCTCGGGCTTCCGGAGTTCGCCGTCATGGCGGCGGGCTGCTGCGGATCTTCCTGAGGGGAAGCTTCCTCCGGACGCCATGGACAAAGCGTCGCCGTTGCCCTTTGAGATTCCTCGAGAACCGCAGCAGCCTGAGGAATGCGAAGGCCGCCTCTCGCCTGGCAGCGGAAGCTCCTGCTCTGCGTCTCTGTCCAGCGGTTCCGAGTAAGGAAGAGAAGGGGGTGGACGCAGCCTTTCTCAACCTGTGAGTCCCCAGATGTTGAACTACAACTCCCATCACCCCTAGCTAGCAAGGCCAGAGCTCAGGGATGATGGGAGTTGTAGTCCAACAACATCAGGGGACCCACAGGTTGGAGAAGGACCCACGCTGGAGAAGGGCGCTGTGTAATTGGGGCCTCCTGCTGCTGCTATTCCAGCGTTTTCTGTTTCTTACTTCCAAATGTTGGGATTTAGACTGTTTTTTTATTTTAAAAAATCTGTCCATATGTTATTCTTTGCTACTCCGAAAAGATCGAGAGGTGCGAAGGACTCACAAGGGTCATCTAGTCCAACCCCATGCAATGCAGGAATCTTTGGCCCAGCTTGGGACTTGAACCCACAACCCTAAGATTAAGATCCTCATGCTCTGCTGACTGAGCTTTTCCAAGCTGCAGAACTAGGATCTTTGATGATGGATGGATGTACCTGCTTACAATCGCTGAGCCCCTCCTCTCTAAACAGCAGTAACCTTCCTGTCTCATTTGGACATTCTTCGTGCCTCTTCGTGCTATGTACACACAGTACATTTAAAGCACTTTACTTCCCCCAAAGAATCCTGGGAACTGTCTCTATTTCAGAGTCTATATCAAACTTTATTTTGGTCACAGGCCAGCATAAGATAAAACATACAGATAAACTGAACACATAAGACTTAAAACAGGTAAGGGATAAAAACGAATAATTAAAATGTGATTATACCATACATAACTTAAAAAGATAAAAATAAGGACAAACGGTTAAAAGTGGCCATAAGGGAAGGAATGTAAAGGAGCAACTGGGAACTGTAGTTTACCCACCACAAAGCCACAATTCCCAGCACCCTTAACAAACTGCAGTTCCCACAAAATGATTTTTCGGAAAAATAAAAATATGGTGTATACATGAACTATATTGGAATGGGATAGATGGGAATTCCTCACCTTTGTTGATTCTTGGCTAGGTTTACTGAAAAAGAGGGCTGCTGATTGTTCAGTTGCCATGGGCAAGAAATTCAGATATTCCTCCCTTTGGGGTGTAAGTATAAAATGTAAGCCTTCACTCACTAGCCCTGTTTTTGCTTTTGTTCTACTCAGTTGTAGCATCTGTGGTTTACATACCCTCTCTTTGTTCATCTTCAGCCTCAAGCCCTTCAGGAGCTAGGTAATCAGGGTGCTGTTATTTCATAGAAGTTTAGATATTTGTGACTCTTTATATTTTATATTTCAAGATCTATGGAACTCCTTGCCACTTTAGAATTCGTCAGTGTATCCCTTTTTTGCTGCCACCAATTACTTCAGAATGCTTTTAAATCCATCTAATAGCTTGGTATCATAGGCTTAAGCGTGAGATTTATACTGACACTGGAAATAGGATGAATGTTAACTAAGATAATTTATCAAATGAATATTTTGTATGTAAGGGAATACTGATATTTACATTGGAGTCATACTTGTATTGGACAATTTCTAAGGACTCAAGAGCCACTATTGCTGACACCAGCTTCTAAGTGGTTTTACCACAAGCTAAATTCCCTCAACCTTCACCTCAGCCAAATTCACTCAGTTAGGTTCCAATACTAGGTACAATCTGCCTCTTACTCCAAAGCTGCTCCAGTTGTACTTCTAATTGCTTGGACCGTTTAGCTGGTTTTAAAAACCCACTTGTGCAACCTTACTTTGGTAAAAATATTTGGATAGAACTTCTGATCGAAACCAGAGATGAATAGTGTTAATATACAGCTCTCTGCTGTCCCCTTTAACATTCTCTGTTTTTTACCTAAACTTCCCTCCTCATCTGACTCCCATCACAAACAGTTTCACTGTCAAGAACCTCTAGCCTACTGGAGTCTATTTTTCCAAGACCAATCACAATGAATTTACCTGATCCAGACCCTGTCTATAAATACCTTCTCTCCACTTTCAGAACCTGTTACTAAGCAGCTACCACTGAACAGGTTTGCCAAACATAGCAGCACAAGGCCTTGAACTCTGGCATCAACAGAGGTCAAAGAAATATTAAAGCACAAAACACAGACTACCAGACATACACACAGTATTTCTATACACACATCTACCCTGACGCTGCAAAGCAGTTTTTGCACCTCATCCAGACAAGTACTAGTAATGCTTGCAATGTTAGCAGCCTCTCCCGGGTTAGAGCATGGTGATTTATTTGTATTCAACCTGTAAAGTGTCTGAGACAGGGGAAGAGTAGGAAAGTGCAACAGGAAACTTTTTTAGCCATTGTGCTCTTCTTTCTTTCTGCACCTTTGGCCCACAAACCATTTTTCCCATCACAATTCATATAAATTCAGTCTCCCTTTACTTGCCTTCCCATGTCAAGTCTTAATGCATACAGCTCTTCCAGCAGCAGTGCTAGACCCCAGGGTTTTTAGCATGTAGAGTGTATAACTGAAGTCTGGCTTTCTCAGAAGCAATGTGCACATTTAAATAGTGCTATTACCATCCAACCTGTTCCTTCTCTCAATCACGTAGAAAAACCCTTTCTTTGTCTTGTGATTTTTTCCATTCAGAGTAGGATTTTAATTGCTATCAGGTCCCTCCCATCCTTTCCTGGTAATCTGACATGCTCTTGCTCTTAAAAATAGAAAAGCATCCTAATGCATCTGAAATTTTCTATCTGGTTTTAGTGACAGAACACAGATTATAAGCTCTTAAATTCCAGTACCTCTTTATTGGTAACATTTTAAACCACATAATTTGTACAGATGTTTTAGTTGCTGACTCTTAATAAAATCATACGAGTCGTAGGATAATGCAATAAGTTGTAGGTTGCAAGGAAATATGAAACTTGATTTTGTGCTCAGATCAGTACCATATCCCACTAACTACGTCAAAATCAGAAATGTAAGACTTGGAAGGGAGCTGGTAGAATAGGCCTTGGTTTACAGTACAGTCCTAACCATGTCTGCTGAAAATTGGCTTATTGAATTTCCTGGGATTTACTCCCAGTTAAGTGGGGTTGGGATTGCAGCCTTAATTTCCTAATTATGTACAAATCATAGAGTTGTATTCGACTAACCCATACTCAGTCATGATTTCAATGGATCTGTGCTGCGTATGAGTTATTTGGATATAACCCTTAATTTGCAAGTCTGCACTAAAAAAAAATGCAGGACCTAATATGTACTAGAAGCTGTTTTGAGAAGTTAATTCAAATTTGACCATAAAGGCTGCCTCCACCATTTTCTTGAAATTATAGTATCAATCTTCTGTTGGGATCAAACAGACCCCCTGGTCATAGTATGCTATTGCTAGGCCTGTCTGAGTAGTGTCTGTCTGACAACAAAATGTGCTTGCCAGATGGCTATATTGTACCCACCAACCTACCCCTGCTCCATCTTGATCGCTTTCCATTTTGACAAGTGATCAGTTTCGGTACTTTAGATAGGCACCCATTCAACTTAATTGGGTAAGCTATGAGTAGCAACATTTTAAGAACTGTTTGGTAACCCTGCTGTGTCCCATGAAGCAAGCACATAGTAAGAGAGACAGTTCTGTAGTACTGGTTGAAGAAAGTGGGAATGGTGTCCAATACATTAGGGAGAAAAAGATCAGTCCATGAAGGAGCACAAGCAGAAAGATCCTGTGTTGTTGTGATGCAGCGTTAGCAAATAGCTGGGCAGGTTAGTGTTTTGCTTTTGTAGTGGACTGTAGACATAGGGAGACAGCTGAAGGTCAGAGTGTCAGTAACATCCTTTTTGAAATATTGGGGTTAAGAGTGATGGAGTTGTATACTCCATCTTACACCCACATATCAGGCCACATCCTGCTAAACCATGGGCTCGTCCACTCCCTTCTCCTCCACTTGCTGGGGAAATGACTTTTGGTGTCCTTTAAACATGGCTGCTTGTTGAGTCTGAACTGAGGGTGATAATTTAACACTAACATAGTCAGTTTTAAAACAAGCCAATGTCAAACCATCGTTTCTGAAGCTGGCTTGTTGAAAATAAGCATTGGATAAACCAGGATCCCCAGTTGTATGTATTTAAAGGAAGTCAAAAGTAAAAATTTCCAAAGTCTTTGTTCTAGCCACACAAGATATAAGAGGGTGCAATGAACAAGCCCAAGGCTTCCTGCAGCTCATAAATATTGTACTAATCCATTATTTAGCTTTATATGCAAACTGTGCCACAGTAATTCAATTGCAGGGAATCTACATTATTATTTCTAAATTGCTTAACTAATAAAAAACAAGTTTAAAATGCAAAAGTAGCTTTCTTGGTTTGCTTTTATCAGTCTGAAGTGTCAAATGGGGAACATTTTTAGATGTAACAACAGAAAATTTCTCTAATGTAGGCCAGCAATATAGTTTTAATTTGCATGCTGCTCATAATGCCACAGCAAATACTTTTCTTTCCATGTGCTTAGACTGAACTGGAGATGGGGCAGGTTGCCTTGTCCTTTTAATCAAAATGAGACCTCTCACTTGTAAATGTATGGTTGCTTATTGAGGCATGGGTGTGAAAAGAATGCTTCAGTAATGTTGGTTTCTATGATAGATGCTTTTGCCACGTCTGAATAGTAGGTCTCTGTTGAATGCAGCTGCTTTAGACTGAGGTCTGTGGTTCATCCCATCCCCCTCCTTGTAAGTGCTTTTATGTTACTAGCTCCAGAGGGCTGCAAAATTAAGCACATTGTAAGTCATTCTGTCTTCACTGTCACTCTAATACTGCCCTTGTCTTTCACAGTGACCTTGAACCTGAATGGTTAGATAGCGTACAGAAAAATGGAGAATTATTCTATCTAGAGCTGAGTGAAGATGAGGAAGAAACTCTCCTTCCGGACACCTCTCTGGATATGCCTGTGGTGAACCGTGTCAGGTTTTGTGAAAATGAAGCTGAGGTTATTCGTGAGCGATCTCAAAAAGATAGAAAGAGTGAACACAGACTGGAAAAGTTCACTAAAATATTGAAATATAAAAGGTTTTTATCAAAACATTCTAGTAAGAAGATGTCAAGTGACAAGTGCGATGTTCGTGCCTCTGGCCCAGCATCCATACTGAAACACCATTCTGGTCAGAGGGTGGAGGATGTCGCCCAGCAATGGTACAAAGATGTCTGCCTTTATGTAAATCCGAAGAGGCTATCAAATGCTGAGACAGGAGAGCAGTTCAAGCTTCTGGAATCATTAATAGGGATTATCCATCAATCTCCATGGAGAAAAACTGAAAAACATAATCACAGTATTGAATCTAGAAGTGCCAATGAAGAGAAACTCGTAGTACATGGTTTGATACCAGGAAGCTCAGCAATAAAGTCTGGTCACATCTTGATTGGTAAGTGTCACAATTTATGCATTTCTGGCCATGCAACCCAGTATTGTGGGAGGTGAAAGGGTTACCTATTTCAGTCCAAGTGACAACTTTTTAATTGGTTGGCATGGTCGTAGTCTTGCCATGGATCGAGGAATCTCTGCTCTCTTTTGACAATAGACTTGTCCCTGCGGCATGTGCAGGCAGCAACCATATTGTGCAAGGGTTCCGTTACTGGCCCCCATGTGCATCGGCAGAGCAGGCATAAGCGCACTCTGAACTGCCCTCTTCCAGGTCTAAAAGGACCTGCGTGTCGGCAATCACGTGTCAACTGGGCACACCTAAAATGGTTGTTGCCTGTAAGTAAGTATGGGGGGGGGGGGTCGGTCACAGTTTGAATATTTTTCCTAATTTCAATGTAAAACATCTCCAATAGAATACCTCTCTGGGTTCCAATATTATTTTTCTTCCCTGAGCAAGCATGTTGTGGTAGCTTTAAAGCACACATACTCATCCAGTAAACACTGTTCCTTTAAAAAGAATTACATGCAAACACGCACAATGTTAAGATTTCCTTTTGTGTACGTATCCTTTTAATTCCTTGAATGGCACTTCTGCTTTTGGTTATGCTGGTATTATGTAATACCTAATCTCATTAATGTTAGCAGAAATTAAATCCATTATGAATGCTACTGAGTGATTATGAACTTTACATTTATGGAAGGTTCATTTAGGCATATGGCAACTTGGAAAAATGGCAATGAAGAATTAAAACTTTTTTTTTTCCCAAAAGCATATTAGCATTGAACAAAAGCATATTTGCAGTATCCCAAGCTATCAACTGCTATTTTATATTATGTTCTGTTTTTGTTTCTATCATACTTCAGTCCTTTGGCTTTGAACTGGTAAGTGAGCTGCATCTTCTGCCAACTCATATCCAGATATATAATTTCCTTATAAAGTACTTTAAAATTATAGATGTGCAGTGAACACTGGGTACTTTTAGATCTAAATGTGGCATACAGCAAAATGTGTATGTTACAAATTTTGTTATAGTTGGCTGAAATAACTTGTAATTAAGCACAAATACATTGCTTTTTCGTCAAATGTCTTGATCAAATTTTGCTTTTTTGGCAAAAGAAATATGTTAGTGTAGCGTATTTAGAACTAGAAAAGTTTTTAACGAACTGTACATCTCGCTTTTAAAATGAACACTTAGCTTTAATTTTAAGACACTGATGTGATCGCAAAGTTTTATAAAAAGAAGCAAACATACAAAAACCCCACTTACTTTGAAACTTTAAATTCTCTACCATGTTGTTTCAGGAATAAGTCGGAATAGGACCTGAGTGGAATCCAAAAATGGAAGTAGGCATGGATACGTAGGAGAAAATCATGCAACCAGATGGTGTTTTGTTTTGTGTGTTTCCACAGCAGTTGTTACTGCCAAAGAAACAAGCTGTTTGTTAAACTGGACAGCTTAAAATGAAGGTGATATTATGCTGCATGCCCAGGCTTCCTCAACCTCAGCCCTCCAGATGAATTGAGACTACAATTCCCACCATCCCTAACCACTGGTCCTGCTAGCTAGGGATCATGGGAGGTGTAGGCCAAAAACATCTGGAGGCTGAGGTTGAGGAAGCTTGCTGTATGCCTCTGTGCTAAAACTCTTAAAAGAACACCAATCCTGCCTGACCTACCAGCAGGACAGATACCCTTGTAATGATACAGGGTCCATAATAAAATAGCTATGAACATAATGAAACTTGGTCTGCTATGGGTAAAGAGTTAGCCTGGAGCAGTAATCTAGCATAGTGTTTGTTGGGAAATGGCAACACTTCGTTGCATTTGCCATCTCGCTAGCTGGGGTTCTGCCAATAAACCCTTTCGTGTATTTGTAACCTGAATTATTCCTTTTCTTTATTCTTGTTTCTTTCTTCCCTTACCTGAACGGTAGGTTAAACTATATTTCCTGGCCTTCATTCAGCTAAAATTAGTTGTGGTTATATTCTGCTGAAAGCAGCAGGACTTACTCAGAACTAACCTTAGCTGGATCAGGGCCTACATCATTCTCATTTATTGCCTCCATACAGCTTTCTAAGATGGGCTAGGCAAGGCTTTCTCAAGATTATCCAGTGAACCTCGTGGAAGTCATTCCCTAACCACAATGTGACATTGACTAATTACAACATTCATACATGGAAATCCGTGTATTTGTTTAGCCATCTTTAGTAAGAATATTTGGTAGCTATCATCATAACTGGTAAGATTTGTTAGCATATAAAGTGGCACTGTAGAATTCATAAGTCAACCAACATCTAAACAGTTTTTTATTATAGAATCGCTTTACCTCAAATGTGCCCACTTGGCTGCTTCAGTCTGTGGGTTGCCACACAGTAGTTCCACACTTATAAGAAATCGTTCTTTTAGTGTGGCAGCACCTACACTTAAGAACCCTCTGTCTCCTGACACCAGACAGGCACTTTGGCGTATTCTTTTTGGTGCTGGCTTAAAACATTTTTGTTTAGGCCAGCATATCCAAACACATTGATGTTGAAATGTTTTCAGTTTCTTTACTGTTGATTTTAATTGTTTTTGAATGTTTCCAATTACTTGTTTTTATTTATAATTTTAATATTTATCATAAACCACTTGGAGCTTTTGTTACTATCAAGCAGTGTATGCGTTTTGTTAAATAAATACAAATAAGTAAATTTTGAGAAGACCGCTATTTAAGACAGCTGTCTGAAATTTGCGTGGCATATTTCTGTTGTGCACCTTATATATGAATCTATTTCTGTACCTTATTAAAGGGGCATGGGAGTGCCCTTTTACTTAAGTAAGAAAAACAATGGCCTGCAATTATAAGCCTTAAAATTCTTGAGCTTGCATATATGGGCTATCTGATGAGGTCCGTGAAAGTGCCAAATTTCAAACTGATCTGATTTTTTAAAAATGCCACAGGTGCAGCTGATTTTAAAGTACTGAAAATTGATATTTCTTTCTCCCTTTTTCTGATTTTTGACCAAGTGTGTCATCCCCGCCCCCCATTTTTAAGAAAACTATTGAGGTTCTTTATTCAGGCTTTATTTGTGATCTAAAAACAGCAGTTTAAAATCATTGCCGATACAGTGTGAAGTGGATAAGTATTCTTGCTTGCCCAGCTTTCTTTCAAAGAGCTTATGCTAGTACAGGCCTAACTTCTAAAGCATGCCAAGGAATTCTAAACTCATTTTTTCACTTTTTGTTTATTGCCTGCCATCCAACATTTCCCCCCATTAATTTTTCTGTATTCCAAGTAAGACACCTGGCATATTAACCAGGTGGGTGAAGAGGCTTGGAGCTACAAGAGCCTTAACAAGAGGCGAGATTGTGAGTTTTCAGTGAAAATTGGCATCCCTTACAACTTCTGTCATCATGACATTTTTGAGCAGCTTACTCCTGCAATGCATTATTATGAAGGAATTGCCTAAAGAAAAGGTAATAACGGTGATACTCTGGTGGCTAGATTTTAGGTATTCAGTTTCTATGCAGCCACAATGGAAAATTTTAATGTTACAGCTGCAGGAACAAAATAAATAAAAATGGAATCCCACAGCTGAGTACAGGAAACTTTATTTCCGTATTTTTTCCTCTCTAGTTTTTGAGATATTAGTTTGATTGATTAGTGGTAATTTCTCTTCAGGGAATCTTTTTTGGGTGGGGAGGTGCTGTGGGCAGGGGTAACAATTTAGCTTAGTGGTAACAAAATTGACATGGTTCAGGCTGATGAACCATGGTTTGTCTGGCATAGAAGCCAATCAGAGATGTAAGTGAGGAGAGCCCACAGCAGTCAGAAGGCTTTTTCCAAAAGAAAGTTTAGAAAGAAGACAAGATGATGTCATATTGGCCACTTGTCACTGATACTCACTATTGATTTATATAAAGCATTTTTATGCTGCTCATCAGCCAAAATTGATTCCTAGAGCAGTTTACAAATTTCATTAATAATAATAATTTTATTTATACCCCGCCCATCTGTCTGGGTTTCCCCAGCTACTCTGGGCAGCTCCCAACAGAATTAATGATAATAATAATTTTTAAAATGATAAAACATCAGACATTAAAAACTTCCCTAAACAGGGCTGATTAGACTCAGATGTATAATCTAAAAAGACATGGCAGTAAAGGGAAACGGTTTGGAGGAGATGAGTGGGGGGAAGCAAACTCAAAGTTTTTTCAGTTGTAATGGCTGACTGAAATGGAAAAATTTCAAGGAGAGAAGGCTCAAGAAGTTGCTGGTCTTTCTACAGAGCAGGTGAAGAGGTTCTGCAGTCCCAGCTCTCTTTCCCTCCTATATTAGCCTTTGGCTAATCTATTGCCTTTTAAACTGTGGGGTGGTGTTCTGTTTATGGTGGCGGAGAAATTTTATAATCATCATCATCGTTGTCTAATGGAATGGCTGCTGATGAGGGAGAAGCCTGACAGAGCTAATCTTCCAGCAAACCCATGGGGACACTCTACAATCCCATCTCTCTCCCTTCCAGCGTGTTGGGGGGGGGAGCAGGCTGTCTGATTTGAATTTACAGTGGTGTCTCGCAAGACGAAATTAATTTGTTCCGCGAGTTTTGTCGTCTTGCAATTTTTTTCGTCTTGCGAAGCATGGTGTCGGGAAAGTTTTGGAAAAGCTTCAAAAATCACCAAAGTCTTTAAAAACCTCAAAAAAGGCTACCACACCGCGTTCTATGAGTTGCTCCTCGAAGTCAAGTCGCAATTGTATTAACGGTGTTAAGAAAAAGGAAACAAACTTGCAAGACGTTTCCGTTTCGCGAAGCAAGCCCATAGGAAAAATCGTCTTGCGAAGCAGCTCAAAAAACAAAAAACCCTTTCGTCTAGCGAGTTTTTTGTCTTGCGAGGCATTCGTCTTGCGAGGTACCACTGTAGTAGAAATAGATGTGTGCCTGCTGGGCAAATAGAGAAATGCAAAAGTTGAGCTGGATGCTGTCTCAAGGAGAAACTTGCTGTCGCCATATAGCAACTTGCTTGATGCTGAGGAACCTAGAATTGGTACGTTCAGACATGGCAGTGCTCTTCCTTCTCAGTTGTGTTAGCACACATACTATTCTGAAGAATTCCTCTGTTGCTTCCAGTGATGACTGTGTAATTAGATTAGGAATGTGATTGACAGATGAATTCAAGAGTCAGTCAGACTTCTATATAAACTTCTGCTAAGCAGGCAGAATAAGAAAATGTTATTTGAGGGGAACCGGAAGTTGTTGTTTTTTACACTGGGCCTTCCAAGAATTACTTTACATCGGGGTGGGAAACCTTCGGCCTGTGGGCCAAATTAACCCTCAGTGTTCAGTAGTAGCTTAACCAATTCTTAACAGAAAAACTTCTGTGCCATACTTTCTTATAAAAAAATGTGTTCTTTTCTTGTTCTGCTTGCCTGCTGCTATTTTAATCTTATTTTTTTGTTTCAACTTTCAGGAGATGTTCTTGTCGCAGTAAATGATGTTGAGGTAAACTCTGAAAATATAGAAAGGGTTTTGTCTTGCATTCCTGGTCCTATGCAGGTATACTATACTCAGTTTTAAAAAAATTAATGTTTTAAGAAAAACATACAAACTTGAAGTCTGCGTTTTTACATGTAATTTATACAAGTACATTTCTCTATAAAATTCAGCCTCCCCTCAAAATATATCCCTTTGTTTCGGAGTGTGGGGGAGTTGGGGGAGGGAGAAGCATGTAATTCCACCCCAAGGGCAAAGTCATACTTGGAATAGACCATTGAAATCAATAGACATAAATCCATTGATTTCAATCTGTCTAACTAACATTGAATATCACCCTTTGTCTTTTGACCTTGGATAAGAGATGGTATTATGCCTGAACTTGTTAGTTAAAACTAATGTTAAACATTGGATGGTATCCAGTGAGAATCTAGTTCACTGGCTGCTTTTAGCCAGACTCAGAGTTGCTGTAGTTACTGCAGTATGCTGGCATTTGAACAGGAATAGGCAATTTTGTTTAGTGAATTCCCTGTCCATTTATTAGTAGAGCGTTGATTTGCATGATGCTCAAACATTCCAGACAAAACCTTTCATAGCAGATGGCTGCTATGAATTAAATGCTTCCTGCATTTCTAAAGCTATTGGATAGTATTCAATAGAAATATTTTATTGCTTCTCACATAGGTTTCCCAAAATGCTGTATTATATTTCGCTTGTTCCTCATGTACTGAACAAGCTGAGCCAAAAGAGAAGCAGGATCACTGAAAGCAAACCTCTGGAGAGCTTTAACTTGGATGCTTTGCAATTGAAATTAATTCTTATACTGTAGCAGAAATTGACTATTTTTCAGGCTAATGCTAAAAACTTCTGAATAAACCAAACACTTGTGCTGTATTGTGAAACCTGCTCACTGTCACACTTTGGGATTAAGTTCAAAAGCAATTTAAAGGACTGGTCTTCACCTAGCAGGTACAAGCTGTTAAATTATTTTAACTCTTACAATAGGTGAAGCTTACGTTTGAAACAACATTCTTTGAGTCAAAAGATGCATCCCAACAAAGATGTAAGCAGACGCAATCCTCCATGAATAATCTGCTCAAAGTGTTGTGGAGAGACCATTACAATGACCCACAGTTCTCTATCCAAAGTATACCACATATTATTATGTACCTCTCACTCAAACTGGATTCTGATACATCTAAGGATGAGGTATGTATTCTTAACATAAAGAATTTTGAAACCCATTACTAATACTGAACTACAGTAATAGCAATAAAGAAATATAATACTCAGAACCGTGTGTGAATTTCTGCTGTGTTTTTTTTTAACATAGCAACTTTCTAGTTTTTAGTGCTGTGAAAAAATGTTTTAAAATGTTTTAGCAGGGGCAACTGATACCTTGTACCCAGAAAAACTGCTGAAGGAAATTAATCTGCAAGGAAATCACTGTTGCAGCTAGTTTTAATCTTGTCTTGCACTATTAATATGAATGTTACATGCCATTGTTTCAGCTTGGTGTACCTGAGCTTGCTTCATCTTTATATGATGTGTGTGCCTTAACAGAGCAAGTGCTGCCCACACCATTAGAATTTTAGTGGTCATCTAAACCAAGGACTCGGGCTTCATAAGCTCTTTCTGGTATGCAAATTCTGAAGTTTTCATAAGATAGCTCCTGATTTGATACCATGAATTTGAATGAGTTTCATAGAAGCTACGGTTTTTTGTTTACCACAGAGCAGCAGACTATTATCTCCTTTCCCTGAGAAAAGACACTCTTCAACAAAGGGTGCTTTTTTAGAGTCCAGTTCTTGGAGGCTCTTGCAGCCTTTCAGCTGCACAGTTCTGTGTCAAGAATTCCATTCAGTGCTCTCATAATGCCCAAGCTCTGTTGATTGGAGGAAAAGTACATTACATTAGAAACAACCAAAATTAAAATGTAATTTATTTACTGTCAAACTAGTTAATAGAACACTGTTCTGTTTAGAAAGAAACACTGCGTTTACAACTACAATTTCTTTTATTTTATTAAGTCCATTATCCCTGGCTTTTGTACCCATTAAAATCTCAAGACTCCTTTCAGTTTGTTTTGAAGATGCCTAATCTGGTGCAGCAATACGTGTTAGACCTTACCAACACTTAATATTTAGAAGCGAAGCTGCTGCTAAATTCTTTGTTTTGCATTTTCTTTTCTTTCCCTGGGATAGAGTATAGATATTTCATAGATGAACCTTGTAAAAGTATTTTTGTTCATTAAAAAGGAATAAGGTTTTTTTCTCCGTTTTGTGCATTGCGATAAAAAGACAAGCCCATTTCCCCCCCTTGTTGAGACAGATTGATGCATAATAATATCCTTGTTAGTTGGGCATTTTAAAGACAGATAATTAAACTCAATGAAAGTGGCACAGACTTGCCAGTTCTCTCAGTTGTGAGATTGAAGGTCCTTTTTAATAGTTTGAAAAGAACAATTTCCCAACAGGGTTTTGGTACTGCCTAGAAAGAAAAAGGGAAAGAGCCTCCAGGACACAGTTAAATTAGTTAAGAATAATAATTAAGGTTGCAATTCTAAACGAGCTTACTAGGACACAGTGGGACTAACTTCCAAGTAAATATGCCTAAAATTGACTTTTAAATCTGAATCTTGAGTCTTGTTTTAAAAGGTTTAGATAATTATGCAATGGTATCCTGAAACAGGTGACATCATATTTCAGTTTATTTCAGACTAGTGTTGAATATCACCCACAAAATTAAGCATTACAACTCATACATACAGTAATTGTAATTGTAAGAAAACAAAATAGAACTATCTATTGATAGTATATGCTTTTCACAGAGATATTTTTAAAGCAACATTATCTGCAGTTTTTCATGTAGGAGATTGGGGGGGGCTGCTAAAACCTGCTAAAATATAATTCATCAATCATTCTTTCTTAACTGATACACAAACTGGCATTTTTTGGCAGCAAGAAATTCTTTACCAATATCCCATATCAGAAGCTTCCCAAAAAATGAAAAGTGTAAGAGGAATATTTCTTACGCTGTGTGACATACTGGAAAACATGACAGGAACACATATAATCAGGTCAGAGTCCTTTATTTCCTTCCTTTTTCTCTCCTTTGCCTTGTGGGCACAAATTTTATAGATATACTAGTTTTACATCAGTAATGTTTAACTGTCTCATATAAATTATGCTGCTTGTGGAATTTGCAAATAAAGAAATAATAAAACATTGACTGAAAAAATAAATCATATAACTTTGTAGCCAAAAACATCCACATTACCAATCAGGAAAAAGAAACTTGAATTGTTATTGGTGATGATAGAGTTCACCCCCCTCTATCCAACCTTCCCCCTAATTATAAGCTCAAAATCACAGAATTAACCATTTTACTATGTAGCCACTATGGCCAGCTAATCAGAGTTATGGGGCAAGGTATTCTAGCCTATATATTTCTTTATAAGCTGCTTTCATGATAAATTGTTCCCTTGTGTGCTGATGTTTTGTAGTTCATCAATGTTTTTATGTGGAAAACTGATCCATGTCGCTTACTGGAAGGAATCGGATAATCTCCTTGTAATTGGCCTTCCAGCTGAAAGGTAAATTTGTGAGATATTTTTTCTAAGTGACATTTTTAAATGGTGGTGGTGGTGGTAATGTCTAAAATAAGCCACTAGCTCTCTTATATTGTTGCTGGATAATGTAGATAGTTTCTGACATTATGTAACAGCTGGTAATCCTAAATTCAGAGCTAGCATTCAATTACTTTCAGTGACACTTAGTTTCAACTAATTACCTTTTCCTGGATTGTGCTCATTTTGTCATTCAGCTGTATCTGTATTCATTGTATTATGTTAGCACAATTCTTAGAGGAGTTGTTTTGGTTTTACAGTGTCCCTCTCTCTCAGCTAAGGAACATGATTGCAGATGTTGTCCGGACTTTGAAATTTATGTATGGCTCTCTGGACAGGTAAAATACTCCTAAATATACACTGTTTTGTAATTACTAATCCTTTTGCAAATTTGGGATTTGGATATGATGTTGTGTTGCTTGAAACCTGATTTCAGGAGAATTTTCATTTGGATCACAAATCCCTGTCCCTTTATTTGCAAACTTGCAGTTCCAAAATGATTTGCCTTGAAGCGGCATAGTGAGAAACTCAATTTCAAAGCTTTATTGTGTACAGAACTAGCTGGGCAGTTTAAGGCTATGTGTAATTTATGTGTTTCTTTGACATAATTTGCTAAAGGTTATCCTACTTCATTTCTCAGTGACAGAATTAATTTTGCGTTCTGAGCATCATAACTTACTCATATTTCACATTACTTTCCAGATGCCACTTAATAATAATAATAATCATAAACTGGAATGAAAGACATTCCATGCTTGTTTAAGTTCTTGCATATGCCCTGTGACATTGTTTGAACTTTCTTTGAACAGTACGTCCCCATTCCATAGCTCAAACTTCATTTGAATGTTTCACTATGTGGCCTAGGGAGATCCTCTTAGAAAAGCACAAGTCCCAAAGTTGTTTGGATACTGTAACCATAGAAAAGCTGCTGCAGGGGGTGAGGCCAAAGGAGTGTACATTTTTCATATTTTGGCTAGTAAAAATCACCTGCTTCTGGGCTTGAGGATTATATTTTCAACCAGGAGCTCTTCCAAGCCTAACTCCCTCCTACCCTAGGCAGGTATCATAGATGCGCAGAACTTGTTGTATGGTTCTTTGGATCACAGTCAATGTCTAAAACATTGTAAAATATGTTCCCCAGTAAAATTTTAGAAAACATTTTATTCACTTCTTATATTTCAACTATTAATATACCTCTTAATTGTCAAACTTCCTTAAGTGGTATTTTTTCCCATTAGACATTATGTGTCATTGTCTTCAAAGATTTAATTTTAGTTGTAATTTAAGTGTTTACATGAAGGCTAAAATAATGTGTGTGAAATGCTGAAATGTGCATAACTGAAATTTCCTCCAGTTCCTTTCCTTTTTATACCTTTTGAATCTCATGCTCTAAACAGCATAGTTAATGGTTTGCCATGAATGCCCCAATCCCATCCACTTTTCTCCTTGCTGTATATTATATATCTAAGTTAGAGTTTTAACTGTGAATTATCATGACATGCAAACAACGCTATTGAAGTTCAAATAGCATGAAAGGGGAAATTATGGTTTGCTGTCTTGTGCTTCCTTCTGCCTTCCAGAAAGTTAAGTCAAATTGTGGTATCCTGCCATAAAACAATTTCTGCTGTGCACACAGGTTAAGGAAGGACATTTCTTGTTGTTCTAAATTTTGCTTTATGTTTGTTCAGTGCTTTTTGTCACGTAGGAAATGTTTCTCGGTTGGATCACTTTTTCAACCTGTTCTTCCAGCAAGCCCTTCACCCTGTCAGACTCCGCTCATGTACCAGTCCTAGTTCTCAACACTATGATAACTGCAGTGCATTGCTTTTATACAACTTTCCAGGAGTGCGGTGGTTGTGCCTTCCACAAGAAATCAAGGTAACCCTGACCACAGCTTTTTAGAGAATTATTAACAGATGAGAACCCAAGGTTGAAGAACCCAAGGTGCATAGAGAAATCTTCATATATTACACATATTATAAGGCACAACTCTTGCCTAAAACGGTGTGTTCTCACTCTCAGGCTCAAATTGAGTGGGGGGTAAGAGGGGGCACATGCCTTCGAAAGATGATTAGGGGAGTGGCAAAACAGCATCTTATCATGACAAACCCACGACATGGGAGATAAGAGGAGAGAGGAGCAACAGCTGAAGCACAAGCTCATTCATTCCTTATGGTCCAGCCAGGTTCTGCTTATTATAAGATGTGGGTGGTTGTCCACCCACCTTCTCTATTAAGCACAACCCAGCCAGAATGTAAGGGATCACTCGCTGAGCATGTACACCTTTCTCGCTGAGCATGTACACTCATCAGCTTAACTTCTCCTCTTTTACATTCCTGCTGGACCAGCAAGAACGTAAAGGAGAAGTCAGGCCCTGATGTGGTATGCCTGACAGTTTTGCTTATTAGAAGAGGTGAGTGGCCATAGAAAGGCCTGCCGCCTCACCCACCCCGGGAAGAGGAAGGTAAGAAGCCAGAACATGAACGTAAGGCTTCCTTTTTGCAGCAGCAGGGGAGGGACAAAGGCTCCTGCTGCTGCCACTGAGAGAAGGGCAGCTCTAAAGAAATGTGTAGCTCAGAAGATATTTGGGCTTGTATTTCTGAATACTTAGCCCTGTGAAGTGAATGCACTAATAATTATTTAATAATTATTTAAAAGGTCGCTATGCACAACTCAGTTCCCATAATATTGTCTGTTAAAAGCATACCCCTTCTCTAGGTTTTGGAGTGATACAATTGTAGTGCGAATTTTTATATTTTTGATAGATTCAGTTAAAAGAGTAATTTTGCCGTAAAAGTTACTTATCCCATTATTAAGTGGAAGGCTAGCAGCAGTTTCAAAAAAAAAAAAATCCCACAAACTGAGAAAAATTGATTGCCTACATGGGACAGGAAGTGTTTTCAGTTGGAGATTAGGAAGAACAGAGAAACTAACTATTTGAACACCCAACTGTGTAGCTGGCAATTCTGGCAGTACTGGTTTAAACCTAATTTTTCTCACTAAGATATCTTGTTCACATACTCTGCTGGAAGTGCTTTCTTACAAATTAAGCTCTTTTCACTGTGGAACATATTTTTGGCTGGTACCTTATGGAATGATTATGAAGATCTATAAATAAAAGGTTTTCTTAATGAAACTTACTGTAATGCACCAGATCCTGAAGTGTGCAAGTTTAACACTTCTTGGGTGAAACAATGGTAATGTATGAGAATGTTTTGGAAAATTTCCATAGAGACAAAAACTAAATCCTGAGTGAAAAACATTTTTTCTAATAACTCAGCTGGATACTAAAGCTTTGCCAGTTTTCAAGGGAACTTCAGGCCTTGTTTTAATCCATGAAAATAGTGAGATTGGCATGTCTATTATATTAAACAGTGGGTTTAGGAGACTGAGAGAGAATATTTTTCTTTCAATTCTGAAGGGGGACGTATGCAACCACTGGGTGCTTTTCTTTCGGCCCTGATTATAGCAATCTGCAAGAGTTTGGAACCTGATTTTGCTCTGGTTCTGAAATGCCATATGCATCTGTTGGTGATTCTGTACTGTGTACTATTGTCTCAATGCTGAGAGATGCCAAGGAGGCTTCGTCATTTATTTGGAATAAATTTAATGCTTTAATGTTTTCATTTGCTAATGTTTTTCAGGTAGAAATTGATACAGCTCTGAGTGAGTTGGAGGCGGCAGACTTTGCAGAACTAGTAAGAACCTTTTTTTTTCTCTTTTTACACACTCTTTAGCCACAGTCAGGGGCACTGTTGGAAGCCCACTGAAACCCCTGTCACAGCAGGAAGACTCTGCCTGAGATCTGCAGCCCCATGGCCTAGTTCATGGGTAGGCAAACTAAGGCCTGACAGCCGGATCTGGCCCAGTCGCCTTCTAAATCCAGCCTGCAGATGGTCCAGGAATCAGCGTGTTTTTACATGAGTTGAATGTGTCCTTTTATTTAAAATGCATCTCTGGGTTATTTGTGGGGCATAGGGATTCGTTCATTTTTTTCCTTCAAAATATAGTCCGCCCCCCCCCCCCCCAAGGTCTGAGGGACAGTGGACTGGCCCCCTGCTGAAAAAGTTTGCTGACCCCTGGCCTAGCTGTTCCTTCTGGCGGCTTTCTTCCTCTGACTCAGAAGGAGAGGATCAAAGGCCTGGAAACGATGCCTTATGAGGAACGGCTAAGGGAGCTAGGCATGTTTAGCCTGGAGAAGAGGAGGTTAAGGGGTGATATGATAGCCATGTTCAAATATATAAAAGGATGTCACATAGAGGAGGGAGAAGGGTTGTTTTCTGCTGCTCCAGAGAAGCGGACACGGAGCAATGGATCCAAACTACAAGAAAGAAGATTCCACCTAAACATTAGGAAGAACTTCCTGACAGTAAGAGCTGTTCGACAGTGGAATTTGCTGCCAAGGAGTGTGGTGGAGTCTCCTTCTTTGGAGGTCTTTAAGCAGAGGCTTGACAACCATATGTCAGGAGTGCTCTGATGGTGTTTCCTGCTTGGCAGGGTGTTGGACTCGATGGCCCTTGTGGTCTCTTCCAACTCTATGATTCTATGAGGATCAGCCACCTCCCATTTGTTCCCTTTCCTCTGGGCCCCAACCTGACTTGAAGGTAGAGAGAAAAGCAGGCAAGCAATGGCTTCTGCTTTCCCTCACTGTCATTGCCTTTGAGAGAGGGTGATATTCAAGAGCAGCCAGAGCCCATGCTTGCTTGTCTCTCCCTTTGGACACCAATGAGATTTGATGACAGCTAGCCAATATTGGATCCACTGAGGGAAGGTGGGGGGAGGCTCTGTAGTGGGATGCAGTGAAGTATATCTATGTTTACTTATCTGTAAGCCATTATAAACAGTACAGAAAAAAGAAAATATAATTTTAAAAACTGAGGATTATTACAGCTATCTGTTGTACAATGGTTGCTGCAGAATATATTACTAGTAAATAGTATGTGCCTGTGCTACATATACTGACAGAAGCTGTGTGTACGTGCTGTAATCATTGTGATACGTTCTTTTGAGCTCTAGACATATTTTATTATTTCTGTCTAATAATAAAATATTGCAGTTTCTCCAGGAAACTTTAAAACTTGCTTCAGGGAACTTGAATGTGCCAAAAAGTGATTTAGTTACTCTGAAGTAAATGTAATATGCGTTTAATACTCATTTTAATTAAAGTAGATCTGATTTAGTAAAGTAAATATGTACATCTGATGCATAAAGAAAACAATTATTCTAGCTCTTTCACTCACTTTCTCCCCTTGTGGCTTTTATTCTAAACATGATTTCACAAGTTTTCAAGAAATACTATACATATGAAAGGCTATGCTGTTTTGCTGTTTGTGCTGGAAGAAGTCCCTCTAGTGGCAAGAGCTGCAACTTTGAAAGCAAAAGAACTCTGTTCTGACAAAGATAGCTTTTGAAAATGAATCTAAATTGTATTATATTAGTTATAATCAGCTTGACAAAATTGCTGGTAATTTTGTGACAAATTAGAACTTCTGGAAAGAAGTTTCAAACTTCTTCAGTGTCTATGTATCACTGTTGGAAGACCTTTGCTGGCCATTTAAAGAAAGTATCCTGAGGAATTAAAGTACTGTGTTGTATAATGCTCAAATTGCTTAGCTGAAATCTGAAATGGTGCCTTAATTGTTTTATTTTACAGTCGGAAGATTACTATGACATGAGACGACAGTATACAATTTTGGGCTCATGTCTCTTCTACAAGGTAAGACATCGAACCCTTACCAACATACAGTCCCTGGGATTCTTTGGGGGAAATCATGTGCTTTGAATGTATGGTATGCAATGCAGCCTAAGTCCATGGAAGTGGGAATAATTTGATATGAAAAGGCAAAACTTTATACTAGACCTCCAAGTCTCAGAGCTTTTATGAAGTAATGGCTTCATCTTTTCAAAGTTCACCTTTGCAGCCTTTGGGGTTGGAGGTTTTGCCTTTAAATATAATGAAAGCTGGATTTCTTGGGAATCCAGTGGATTCATTGCTTGGTTACAGGCAATGTGGCAACATTCCCTGGTTGCTATGATTTCTTTCGCAAATAAAACCAAACCCTTGCAGGCAGAAAACTCTTTGAATAAAGAAACTGGTTATATATGATATCTTGAATCTGTGCTGTCTCTTTGTTTTTAATTCAGGGATATTTAATTAGTAATCACTTGCCAAAGGAGGATTTGATTGATATTGCATTATATAGCAGGCATTATTGCCTCTTGCCCTTGGCAGCAGAACAGCGCATTGGTCAGTTAGTAATATGGCGAGAAGTGTTTCCACAACATCATCTTCAGGCATGTGAAGCATCTTCTGAAGGGTATGAAGAACCCAAAGCAAGATACTTTTTACTCATAGTTGGTCTGGTAAGTTTTGTGGGGTGTTTGGTACATTTGCAGCTGTTTTTCTGTTAAAATGCATGCTCTAATGAGCATGTGCTAAAGTTCCATATATGTCATTTATGAGCATTTCCTGTCTGCTCAAGTTATTTGAAATATATTTTGTGTCAGGTCAGCAAAGGAGGTCCTGCTTCAAGTAACCCACAACACATGCACACATACTCCACTGAGCGGGGTATTGACATGATACAATACCCACTCAGTTGCAGTACTATACCACTAGAAAAGTTTGGTTGCCACCATCCCTGTCATCGTAAATCATGTTTTTTTTTTATGTCTGGTAGTTGCTTTGCTCTCTGAGTTCTGAGATTTTGACTCTTGCTTGTTCTGGCTTTTCTGTATACTTTTGAATGTCACAGACATTGAAAAATGGAATCCCACTAACATTATTGTTCCCTTTTTCTTTCAGAGGCACTTTATGTTGAGTGTCTTGTTGGAAGCAGGAGGTTGTGCTTCCAAGGCCATTGGAAATCCGGGGCCAGATTGCATATATGTGGATCAGGTCAAAGCAACTATCCTTCAGTTGGATGGACTAGATCTCAGCATAGATGAGAGTTTGGAATCACCCTCCACTCCACTGCTATCCTGTGTAGACTGGTTCCTCCCTGCATCGCGGGACAAACTGGAAAGCTTGACCAGCTTGTCTTTTCTCAACAAACTGCAGTACACAGCAGGCACTCCCGCAAGTAAAAAAGTGTCATTTAGTGATTCTTCCTTAAGGACACGTAAGCCTAGTCCCTTAAGAAATAGTGGGATGCCTGACAATGATAGCAACAGCCCTGAAGCTGGAAGTGGGAACCTTAATACAAATCCTGTGCAACTGAAAGGTCCTGGACGACTTGATGGAAGTAATAGTCTGTTTACGGTAATGCTCTTTCTTTCCCTAAATTTCTTAAAATTATGTTTCCCACATAGTAATGTGTTGGCACAAACAGCGAAAGCAAGCTGAAGGAGTACTTCCTGAGTGTAAGGGGAGGATGTGGTTCATGTCCATGATGTAGCTTCCCAGTCTTATTTCCTTTGGGTTAACTCCTAAATCATTTTCCATCCATAAGCACAGCTTGGAGAAGTGAGTTGCCAAAAATGAGTTATGTATATGGGTGTGCCATGTATTCTAATGAGAAGGTTTTTGTCATAGTTGTATAACCCTGTTTCAAGGGTGCTTTGCATGCCGTCATTGCGAGATGAAGTTACCAAAGTGTTCCTTTCTCTTGCCAGTATTCAATAAATACCCAGCTGAGTTCCTTTTTCTTTCACATGGCTTCCCCCCAGCACCTATCCTACAAAGGTTTTTTCACACCACTTAACCAAAAGTATGTGTAAAATAATACACATTTGGAAGTACAGTACTTCTAAATTCCAAACTAAACAACAAGAATCAAGCATGAAATTTTAATTCTGATTGGCATCAAATCAGTTTAGTCTGATCCGCAAAATTTATTAAAACTGCATAATACGTATTTGTGCTAAAAGCTATGAGTTGTATGCAACTAAATTATACTTAGACGCTTTGAAATCTGTGAACACACATTAGTATTGTCCATTATTTCTTTGGGTTTACTCAAAGTATGACTTCGTTGGCTACAACCGTCCATCTCTCCAATAAAGAGCACAAAACAATTTGTAACAGAAGATTTGTTCAAGTTGGTTTTGAAAAACAATTACAGTTTTGAAAATAACCGTAAATCTTTCAAAAATAATGTAGCATGTCACTTGATAGCTCAGCATAGGATCAGAAAGCATGTGAATTGCTGAACTAGCTTAATATTTTTAATAACAGCCTTGGTACTTGTATGTTAAAATCTGAATCACACACCTACTATGAGCTTTTAATTCTGCTTGTTTTTCAGATCGCCAAAAAGAAAAATATTCTTCCAAATCCTTTTAATTTAGGAACCCTCAAAAAGAACCTTACAGATAAGGAAGCTGAACTGTATAATGTTATGAAGTAAGGTGTTACTAACTTTTGTTCTTTAGCTTCTGACTACATTAATATTTTGTGTGTGGATGTATGCAAATATAAAAATAAGGCTGGTGTGCCAGTTATTAGACTGCCTATTGGAAAGTGGTCAGTTTCTGAAGCTGTGAATGTCCTTGTGTGGCTGGTAGCCTATCTTTATAACTACATTAAGGTGTACAGCCATTGGATAGCCAGTGTGCTATTGTGAGTGTACACACTTTTCCTTAGAATGAATTGCCACTAACCATGTACCTCCACACAGGAAACTTCCCCATGCTTTCTTCACCTTCCCCACTTAAGCTATGTGGGGCAGCAGGAAGAGCTATTTGCTAGGCTTTCCTTGGGAATCTGGTATAAAAACATGAGCTTTTCACTAGTGTGCATATTTTTTGTGTGCAAACCATTGCAGTATTTCATTACATTTATTTAGGATTGAATCTGACCAGAAAAAAACCCCACGCAAAATATTTGTTAATTGTTACTGGTACAGGTTTCTTGCTGCTGTTGCACATTTCTTATAAACTCTTGCTTTAAATAACTTAACTGTTTGACTAATCCTTTTGCGCTAAGCCCAGTTCCCTGTACTTTTGCTGGGGCAACTTTTTATGCTTGGTGTGGGAGATTGTGAAGAGTGGATCTTGCTGTCATCTCGTGCTTGGGCATGGGCCACAATGGACTATGCTTAGGAGTGGCCTTGCTGAGAAGTAAGAGGGACTTTCAGGGTCTGGACACAAAGATCGGTCCAACATTAATAATGACAGTTAGAATAAACAGCTGATTTCATCTGCTGTCTTAAACCACTCTTCCTCCACGGACAATCCAACCAAAAAGCTGGTTGTTTCTACTGTCAGCAGGTAGACTATCAGCAAAATTAGAGTTTCCCTGCTTAATTTGACCAAATTCTTTGAAACTGTAAGGAATAAAATTGTGACCCTGCTACAAGTTGGTTCAAATGCCAAATCCTACCAAAAAAAAATCTAACTTAATTTCAGCTAAACAGAATAGCTTGGAATCTTAAGAGAAGTCACCAGCTTCTTAGGACAGAACATACATGACTATTTCAATAAAGCACTATCTATGTTCACAATTAATTGGTATAGAAACAAGCCACGCCCTAGGAAAATTTCTTACTATGTTGCAGCTTTGCACAGTAGGATTTGTGTTCTTAATTGTAAAAAGGTGATGGTTGATCAACTATTTTCTTTTGCTTTTGAAGGTTGACATCTGGTCCTGAAAACACTCTCTTCCACTATATTTCTCTAGAAACAATGCATGGAATTTTTATCACTCCAACACATGCTGAAGTCGCACAGCTGAGTGGAACTATCCATCCCCAGCTCATCAAGAATTTCCATCGTTGTTGCCTTTCCATCCGTTCCATTTTTCAACAAACTATAACAAGTGAAGTATGCATCATTATCTTTAATTATGGGGAAACTCTTTTGTTCCAAACAAGGGAATACATAGCTACTCAGAAGTATGCCCTACTGAATTCAATGGGACTTTATCCCAGATAAGTGAGTATAGGATTGCAGCATAACTCTTTTCTCTTAAAATGGGGATAAATTCAATTTTTAAAATAAATTTAACTTCTTAACTGCATTACTATGGCAAAATTAACTGTTCATTAATGAAATATGATCTCAATTTAAATAATGGCAGAGCCAGACTTTGTGGAGTTTATAGAGGCTGTACTTCCAAGTAATTCACTCTGTCTCATTCAGATATGACAACAAACCATGGTTTCTTGTTACAATAATGAGCTGTAGCAAGTATTGGGCTTACACACACCTTTCTACAGTTCATAAGTACAAGGAGAGGATGGAAGGAAGAGAGGGGAGCACTAAGTCTGGAGCGTGCTATGGCATGTCCTTGTATCAAAAAACTATGGTATTTGTGTTAGGTTGAGACACAGAATTTAAGCTCCCTGGAAAGATTAGTTCTACCATTCATGAAATCAAGAGAGGATTTGGTTATTGTGGTCTGTTGTTACACCTGAGCCAGGCTGCTGCATTGTCAACTTTCTTTAATCAGGACTGCTTTAGCACAATGGTCAGTACTATGTATGAAAATTAAATCTGTTTTACTATATGTATTTTTAATCTCAAATTAGATGCATGTGATTATGTCAAAAATAGACATGTGCTTACATAATGTTTTAATGTAACACAGATAAAACTTTTTTTGTTATAAGCTGAGAGCCGAACAAAGTGGATAAAATGTGATTTAAGCGAATTCTTTCAACTGCTAACTTTAGTAAGAAAATCTAGCTGAGAAGTATATTTAATTATCATTTTCTTCAGTATATATATCTCCTTAGCTGAGGCACCATGCCTAGTTTTATTCTTTATGTCTGCAGCAAAGTCGCTTTGGAAGCAAACATTCAACTTCGAAGAGAAATCAGAGTAATGTTATATCTCCTGAGTCTGAAAATTTCTTTTCAATTCTAGCTGTAGCTGAGTAGACAGCTATTTCTTGGTTCATACATCACATTAAATCATAGTTTAAAACAAATTATGATTTAATGTGAAGACAGATTGTGCTGATGCATGCTGCTGAAATGTACAGCAGTGCCAGGAAACAAGCCAGAATCTGGATTTTTGTAATGTCTGAATCCAGCATGGTGGGCTTTTTTTCAGCCAGAACTTGCCAGGACTCAGTTCTGGCACTTCACAAGTAGGTGCCATTGCCATTATAAGAGAACAAGGGAAGTGGTAATGGTGAGTTCTGGCACCTGTTTTTATAGAAAAATAGTGCTGAGCGTGGTTGCTCTCTTCAAACAATCCATGAGCAGTAACCAAGGTTTGTTCTTGTCTTACTGCTTATAGTTTGTTTGGAGAGAAACGAACAATGATCCCACGTTCAGACAGCACAAAAAGCCAGACTCTGGTTTGTTTCTTGACACTGCAAAATTAGCACTTTTCAGGAGTGTGCACCAAGTACACTGTATGGTCACATTAACCCTTAGTTAAAAACAAACTATGGTTGAATTTGATGTGTGACTTCAGCCAGTGTGGACAGCTATTTATCAAAAGGTGTAAAAACGTCCTTAGTCATAACATTTCAGAAAATATTTGATCTATGTTTTATCACAGACAGTGAAACCAAGGTTCCTGTTCCTTGCTCATAATGCTAATTCAAATTTCATTGCCCATTTACTTTCTTGTCTTTCATTACAGACTAAAAAGACTGCAGGTAATAGAAGTTCAGACCACAAAAAAGCAAGTTCTGGCCTACATCAAGTGAAAGAACATGGGGTGTTGTTTGAATGTTCTCCTGACAACTGGACAGACCAAAAGAAACCTCCACCAACTATAATGTACTGGGTTGTGGGGTAAGTGAGCAATAATACCCTTTTTTCTGTTTTATGGACTGCCCAAATCCTCAAAACTTCTGTTTTCCAAAGTTTGTAATTCAGCATCTTTTACATGGGTAAAAGTCACTTCCCTAATGCAGCGATCTATTTTTAACTTTTGTACCACGAAGGATGAAAACGTAGCAGAGGATCAATTCAGTGTGCATAAATATACCTAGCAAAGAACATTTTGAAAGCTCAGCACGTACTGCTGTATAGTTATTCCATTTTTAGTTCTTTATTAAACCCTTACAAAAGCACGGACTGTTTTTAGAATAGCCTAAAGATCTTATTCTGACACAAAGTTCTTTTTTTTTTTTTTTTTAACAGGAGACTCTTCATAGATCCCAAGCCTCGGGAGTTTTATGTCTGTTTTCATGACTCAGTTACAGAGGTTGCTGTTGAACTGGCTTTTAAGCTATCTTTTGGCTTAGCTCTGTAAATTTGTTTAGCTATACATCATAAACCTTCCAACACACTTAAGGCACACAAATAAGAATTAAATTATGGTTTTGTCCTGGATGCTCTTTGAAGTCTTCCTCTAGAATAATCTCGATGAATAACTTTTCAAATGTTTATAATAATACATGAATGTCATCAACAGTATTCTGAGTTGGCTGACTTTTCAAATTACTTGTTTTAAAAAAACTAAGCAAGTGGTGATTATCTCTTTACTGCCTTGCAACAAATTTTGCACGTAAGCACTGTGATCAAGAAGGATCTGTACATGTGAACCATATGTAGATCTGTATTCTCAGAGCTGAGTTTCTTTCTTGCAAGGTTTAAAAGCTCAAAACATGTTATACTTTCCTCAGGTTAAAAATGCAGTTGGGCAGGGGCAGCGATCTGTGGGGCACTTTGTGCAAATGTGAACAGCCGTAAAGACCTCAGTTTCACACACACACTTCTGGACGTCAACTAAGGGAGTGTAATGTTTAATATATTACATAGGGTACAGAATTCTAAACATGCTATGGAATGTATTAAAGATCAGTGGGGGTGAAAAAACCCCCTGAACGTTTTCTGATTTTTATCTTACACAGGGGGCGGGGGGGGGGGGTTGAGAAGAAAAAGACTACCTTACATTAAAGGGCTATAATATTTTATACAGTAAATGATGTTATGTATAATTATGTGAATGAATAAACATTACTTGTTATAAAGTAACATTGCCCTTATTGCAGATGCTCTGTGGCAAACATCAGAAGTAAATAACCATTTTGTTTTCAAAAACTTTGTATAAACTTTTTTATTTTATTTTTTTACAATAAAGACATATTTGCAGAACGTGTCCTGTGTATTTTTATATTCTCTCATGGGACTGTATACAACATTTCACAAGCAGCAGGCAGGTCACACAACCAGCATTTCCACTTCCCCATAAGCTCCCTATATGCACAAAAGCCTCTGCAGAGGGTTAAGGGCATCTACTTAACTGTGGGCTGATCTTATGGGGCTGGCAGAAGAATCTTGCATCATTCACACAAGATTCCCCATTACTGCATTCATTCTTAATGTTTACTAATTATTGCATAACTTCACCGGAAACTTCACTTCTCTTACTGCATATCTCCTAGGCCAGGGATGGAGAACCTGTGGCCTTTTAAAACATACTGGATTATCGTTCCCATTAGCCCCACTCATAATCAACAATTGGGGATGATGGGAACTCTAGGCTGAGGTCCCCCCATCTTTGCCTCAGGTAATCTTAACAGCTTTGTGGGTTTGCTTGGTCGTAATTCTCCAAAATAATAAAAATAAGGACACTGTGGCCTCTTAACTTTTGTACCACTAAATTTTGGACGCTAAATTGTTGTTGCATAACTACAGAACCCACAACACTGCTGAAAGCCTCTTCTAAGAAATGCAACAAGAAATGCTGAATTAAGTGGGGATTGATTGAGTTAGGCCCTAGAGTTACGGTGCTGCTGCCTTTTAAAGCCAGTCTGAAATATTTTAGTCCTAAAATGCATTCCACGAGGCCTTGTGGGATATCTTGCCAGCCAAACTTTTGTTTTTTGCTCGGCAGCCAGAGCTTGAACACCTGTTAACCTTTGGTTGGAGAAACTGTGTTCGGAGGAGCCCATCGTTGTGATTCAGGCAATGTCCCTCTCCGGGTGCTTGCTTTGCTGGTTTCTAGGCCCTTGCTAGCAGAGGTTCCTATTCCTTGCTCATAATGCTAGGCCCTTGCTAACCTCCATCTCCAGGAGGCCCAGAATCTTCTTGGAGAAGGGATGCCCAGGAAGAGAGGCTCTCGTGATTGGGCGCTGCCAGGTCATGTGGCTTGAGAATGCATGCTTCTGATCCGGTTGGGGGAGGGGAACTCCATTGGCTCTTCCTGAGCAGTGGCAGTTAGAAGTGTTGCCTGGTGCTGGGGGATGCCACTTGGGGCTTCCATTTCCATCCAAACCCCTGTGCCCACCCAGTCGACAACATGCTGGCCACAGAGGGGCAGCAGTTTTTCGACCCTGTCTCTTTCGGGAAAGACCTCATGATAGGCGGGGTGGCGGCAGCTATCTCCAAGACTGCAGTAGCGCCCATTGAGCGCGTGAAACTGCTGCTGCAGGTCCAGGCCTCGTCCAAGCAGATCCGGGCTGACCAGCAGTACAAAGGCATGGTAGACTGTTTTGTGCGCATCCCTCGGGAGCAAGGTACGTGTTCCCCAAAGAATAAGCCCTCCTCGAAGGGTTGGTGTGGTGTGAGAGCCACAAACATTTGCCCCTTGTTTAAATAGTGCCTCAACTGTGAACAAAATAAGTGGCAATTCTGTTGTGCCAACCCCCCCACCAGCTGCTCTAAGAGGCTAATAATTTTGGCCTACCTTTTTGAGGTGGTTGTAAAAGATAGTGGGGAAATGTGCTATTAAGTTCTCTGAATACCTAGCACAAAACAAATACTTATTACTAATACTCTGAATAGTTTGTGTGTGTGTGTTTGTGTGTTTTCTCCAAGGCAATATTCCAGCTTTTACATTTTTCCAATCTTTCCTTAATGGCTGTGTGCTTCCAATGAGGCCTAACTTCCATATTCCTATATTGTTTTCATTCCGACCAAACAGTTGCACACTCCAGAGTACATAGTGCATAATATCCTTTTTACGTCCCCCCCCCCCCCCCCGATTGTACAACTCCCATCACCTTCCTGGCTGCTTCCACCACGCCAGGTTTCCCTAATTCATACTGACCTATCTACACATGCAAAATTAATACAACATGCTCACATTTCAGCTAACAGGGAATATATTCACCCAGCAAGCAAGGATTTCTTCTGTAATATATACTCCTACTTCTCTAAGCAACAGAAATACAAGACTCCCACTGCACCACACATGCAGCCTGATCCTAGATACGTCTGCTTGGAGCAAAGCCCCACTGAGTTCAGTGGGACTTACTCCCAGGCCATTGCGTAGGATAGAAACTTAATTTGACTTCCTGGAATAATAGCTGAAGATCTCATAGGTGGTTATCTTTCTCCAAATAATTATTATAACATTGTACACTGACCTGTGCCATGTATTTTTGTGCAGCTACTCTATTTATGGTGAATTCTAGGTGTTTTGTACGAATGTTCATACTTTTAAATTAGAATTGTCAGTGTAAGCAGTTCTTTGTGTTTATAGATCCCCACTACAGTGCTGATTTGATTAGGAAAGTAGCAAATCTAAAACTACAAATCCACTAAACAACTAGTTCCAAGTACCTCCATATACCTTTAATTCAATAGGCATCGGATCTGTTTCCTTGCTGTGTGTATATAGTGTTAATGTGCACTAAATCTGTAGTTTAGCATGCCTTCAGTGTCTGTTTTACCAGCAAAATATTTAGCCTGGCTTATTTGGAGCCCACATCATGAAACAAAGATTCTGAACATTTTAGCTGCAGTTCTAAATCACTTTTATTAAGAAATGTTTTACTGAACTCCGCAGGACATACCAGACCAACCTGTGTAGAACTAGACTGCTAGTGTTTGGGTAGTAAGGTGAAATAGGACAATACAAATGTGTTATCCCTAAATGTGAAGTGAGCTTTTGGACCTAGTAAAGGAATATGTATCTTGAAGATATTTCAAAACAATTGGCAGTTCTTACCATGGCTTGATGACTCTCAAACTGTGATACCTTTGAGCATTTAACTTGAAACATTTGGTTCCCGTTTTAGAGTTATTTTACATGATAGAAGATGTTCTTCTGAGAATGAATGCCTTCGTTGTCTTCGTTTAAACACTACAGATTGAAGGTTGTCATATTAAATGTTGGGCGCAAGCTAAAATTTGTTCTATAAGTTGAATGAAATATGGATTACCAACTGCTCAGACTTTTATTTTCCATGTCATTCAGTTACATAACTTTAATAAAATATGAACACAAAAATGAACATAATTATCTACTATTCTTCATCAAATGTTGGAAGTATGCCCTTCATTTATGGTCTGCCAAGCTACTGAATAAAACAGGAAACATGCCCTGCTTGCTCTTATTAGCAAAAACATTAGTTTTAACTTTTTTCATAACAATCTTTTGCACTCCTGTCTTGACAGCCACTGATATTTGAAGCAATACTTTCCTTATCACTTTAAATTTAAATATTTGGTCCTGCAGTCTAAGCCCTCTCCTTACAACTTGTACTGAACTGCAGTGGTCACAACAGTAAAGATCTTTCATCGTACTAAATGTTTGCAGAAGCCTTGTTTTCCATCAGAATATATAGAGTGCCCATTACTGATTGCCATTATTTACCTTGGTGCCTGCAGATGCAACACTTTCCCATCCTTTGACAACTTTTTGTCTTAAACAGATCTTACTTGCATGTTAAACTCATTTTCCACTGATCTAAACTCATCCTGTAAAATTGCCCTCTTTGACCTAACCAAGATTCTCAGATCTTTCCAATAATTCTTCCTCCCTCCTTCTCCCTTCCAGTTAACTGGTGCCCACAAACTTTCGTATTGTTTGGCTTCGTGCTCCTTTTCAGCTCTCTTTACATTCCTGCAGGGAGACCTTGGCTTCTGGGGTCCTCAACATTTCCATTTGTCCCTTTGTTCGACTTTTCCTGTTCTCAAATGCTGCTCTTTATATGTGGTATTTCCTCTTGAAATACATATGTAGTTTAATCCAGGTCTGCCTATCTCCCTTTCTTTTGCCTCTTCAGATCTTCCTCAAAGCCTAGTTTTGCCTTCACTTTCCCCAGCTCTCAGCAAAACTCTTCCTCCAAAATAATTCCTTTTGTTGATCTAGTTTCACTTATTAAGGCACTAACACACTGCATCACCTGAGTCTTAGTAAGGTCACCTGAGCCTGAACAGCACAGTGGTCAGAATGTCTAAAATAATTATCGTTTGGCTAATTCTGGTTATTTAAAATTTATGCATGTATTCCTCCAATGTCCACCACTCCTTATTAAAATAGGTTTTGGACCCCCTCTGGTGGTGAAAACATAGCCTAAAAAACAGCTGTACAGTACAGTACTATCTTACTAAGACTAGGTTGTATATTTGATGGCAATCAAACACACAGATTTAGCATGCTTTACCATCACGTGGATGGCGCTGTGGGTTAAACCACAGAGCCTAGGACTTGCCGATCAGAATGTCAGCGGTTCGAATCCCCGCAACCGAGCTCCCATTGCTCGGTCCCAGCTCCTGCCAACCTAGCAGTTCGAAAGCACGTCAAAGTGCAAGTAGATAAATAGGTACCACTCCGGTGGGAAGGTAATCAGCGTTTCCATTCGCTGCTCTGGTTCAGCAGAAGTGGCTTAGTCATGCTGGCCCGGAAGCTCTACGCCGGCTCCCTCGGCCAATAAAGCGAGATGAGCGCCGCAACCCCAGAGTCGGCCACGACTGGACCTAATGGTCAGGGGTCCCTTTACCTTTTCCTTTACCTTACCATCACAGTGTGCTTTCTATTTCCTGCTGTTTATTTGTTAACTCTGGTTCTTTAAAGGATTAATAGCATCCAGCTTGCTGCTATCAATCTGAGCTTCCGTTTTTTCCAGGATTTGCATCTCTCTCTGCTTTTTAAAAAATAAGTACTGAGACAGTTGTACCTAATTATAGGGGAGCTAGATTTGAGGTGAAAGAATTGGATGATCACTGCACATTAAACTCTTTATGGATTCACTTATTCCACAAGTACCATTTCAAGCATATGAATAGGTCCAAGTTCAGTACACATGAACATGTAGTTATGCAACAGAAACAATTTAAGATCATGTCAACTGTACATTTTTTAATCTTCTGTCTGTAGGATTTGCCAGCTTCTGGCGTGGCAATCTTGCCAATGTTATCCGGTACTTCCCAACTCAAGCCCTAAACTTTGCTTTTAAGGACAAATACAAGCAGATTTTCATGGCTGGAGTGGATAAAGATAAACAGGTAAATGTGGTCTAACATTTTGTTTATTGCTGATGTGTCCAAAACCATTTCGCTTGGTCCAAACATGAAGAAATTGGGATATCCTTTTGAATTATTAATAGTATACAGTACATTTCAATAGGTGGTGTATAAAAGAGGCACTGGGATTTGTATTTAAGAAAAAAAGCCAATGAATATGAGTAACTGTGTGAACAATATTAATGCCCATCATATGTGACAAGTGGGACTTGCAATAAAATGTTCAGGGTTACTGCCAACTCTTTTCCAAGATACTTCATTCCTGCTCTCCTCCCTACAAGTAGGCCAGTGCCCCAAAATTACTGTGCATGCTCAGTTCCCATTGGGATATTTTGGGGCTACATCTTAAGAGTTTTTACTGTGATTTTTGTTTTTGTACTTCTGCAAACCTTGGAGGTCACTGAAGCCTGCTGATACCTCCTCTTGTTTGTGAATGGTGCTATTTGAGCAATGCAAGTCTGTACTCTGAAGAATGAGCTTATTAGTGTAGGATGTTTCTACTTGAAGCTCAGTATCATGCTATTTACAAAGACATTCTTTATCTGAATTAGGCCTTAAAAAAAAAAAAAGGCCAGCTGGTACTTTAAGCCAAAATGAAAAAAGCAATTGCTCTTAGTAAGTGGAGCAAGCAATCCTCTCACTGATTCCTGGAGCTCTCCAAACCTGTTCGACTTGACCAGTCGCATGGTATGCAGAGGCGTAAATCAGCAGTTTGGAAATGGTTTTCTGTTAATAGCACTGATGGTACTGACTGTTCCCCAGCTCTGCTTTTTTGATCTGTAAAGGTAGATGCATGTATTTTCAAAGGACACCATCAGAGTGCAGAGCTGCCTCCTTCGAAAGGAATACTGAAAAGGCAGTCTTTAAGGGCAGGTTTACACGTCACTGTTGTTCATCACTCTGTGACTGCAGCATAACATGAAAATTTGTGCATGTGAAAGTGCCATTGCAAATCAAGCTCTATAAGTACATTTTTTTAAAAAAAAGAAAAATCAGTGGAGACAGTTCACACATTTAGCAACAGGACTAGTTTAGATATTTGTTTGGGCTGCTGTCCCCCCCCCCAAAAAAAAACCCACTCATGCACAGTAATGTGTGAGGCTGTAATTTCAACATCAAAGTAAAGTGTGAGGTGACATTGTACTTTACACAGAATTTTTAGGCGCTGTTGCAGCTGTGGAAATTACTGCTGTCTGTTTCTGATTCATATCGTTCCCATGTGCATGGGAGTATTTCTTATGGAGCAAAATAAATGTGTGAATTGATCCCAAGTGATGGGGATTTTGTGAATCAGCTTAAAGAGAGGACCCAACCCTACTTGATCCGCTTCCCTGGCTACGCCTCCCCAGTTGCGATAGATACTTTAAACTGAGGTTTGGTAGGAACCTCAAGGTTTGCGACTTGGAGAGGCGGTCCAGGAGTGCTCTGCCAGGAGTCACGTAGGATCGAGGGGGGTTCATGCAGGCATGCTAAGGGCGCCCTCCATTTGATGTGGAGAGCGGTCATTGTGAATCAGCCCTAACGTTCCACAGTTTGAGAAGGGGGATCAAACAACATACAATCACCTCAGCAACACAAAAAGGCTGTTATAGGCCATATGTTGTTGTTGTTGTTTAGTCGTTTAGTCGTGTCCGACTCTTCGTGACCCCATGGACCAGAGCACGCCAGGCACTTCTGTCTTCATATGCCTTTTGTCTTTGTCCATGGAGTTTTCTTGGCAGGGATACTGGAGTGGCTTGCCGGTTCCTGCTCCAGGTGGATCATGTTTGGTCAAAACTCTCCACTATGACCTGTCCATCTTGGGTGGCCCTGCACGGCATAGCTCATAGCTTCTCTGAGTTATTCAAGCCCCTTCGCCACAGCAAGGCAGTGATCCATGAAGGCCATATAATATACTATATATGTATTTTGGGGACATCTTTTATTGCTATGTAATCTTTGTTTGATACTGTCATGGGATTTTTTAAGGGATTTTTTCCTAACAAGTTGGTTCCTTTTATTTCCTCCCAGTGCCTTCTGCATTGCCAGAATCATACTTTCTAAAGCACCTGGTACTATTTCATGCTTAATGACCATTTACAAATACTCTGCATTTGGATTTAATACCTTGCATTGCATACTTATTTTCTGTCAGTATTCATATGTAAGCCATTTCAGTTTTAAAGCTCTTACTCTGAAAGAACACGAAATACATCTTGACATACTTTGTGATATAAATGCTCCAAAGGGTAAAAGTCTTTTTGATTTTTTATATTATCATACTGTTATATTTTCAAATAAATAGTTTCAACAATGTGTGTCTTGAATATTGAAGTTCCCATCTAGCTTAAGTTAGTTGTGTGTAATAACTCCCATTGAAACTGTAAAGTTGTAAATGCCAGTACCAAAAGATTCTGGGTCATATTTAACTAAGTTAAGGGTAGACCCATTTAAATTAGGCCCATTAATTTTAATAGGTCTACTCTGATAAAACTCAGTTGACTACCACTCAACCTTCCCTCAAATGTAAAGAAACCAAAAAAATCTTCTACTTCAAAACACAGCCTTAACCTAGTTATTCAAAAATAACTTGTGGCACCATAAATACTAAATATTCTATTATGGCAGACGCCTTTATGGACCACAGTCTACTTCATCAGATGAATGAGGTATTATCCTGAGTTACGTATGTGTGTATAAATAGATACACACACACATGGGGAAGGGGAGAAGGTAAACAATGTGGTCACAGGTAAATGAAATGCAGTAAGTACAGTGACAGTGATAATTGCATAATTTAATCTGATCATTCATACAACGGTTGAGGGTAACACAGACATCCTGGCGTTGGTAAACCAATTATCATGAGTGTAACAATTTAAAAAAAACAACTTTGTCCTGCTTCAAACTACAGGTTTGAGACTACACTGAACCTCTTGATGAATTATACCTAATTCACTGGTTTCATCTTTCTGCCTCCCTTTGAAGTGCCTTTGTTACTCAATTTTCATGGCACAATTTGTGTTGGGATGGATTTTGTGAAAGAGCCTCAGGTTGTCTAAAATTTGTTTTACACACAAGCCAAGTTTCACCACCAAGTCTTGAGTTTGGTGCGCCCTTTGCAATGCAAGTTGCGGATTTTCTCATGGGAATTTGCAAGAGGAAACTCCATATTGAATTCCCTCAACTAAAATGTTGCCGTTAAATCTAAGTTCCATAGAGCACTGTTGATTTATTCAAGCGTCACCATTGGGAATGCAAAAAACCCCAGTAATTTCAGGCTTGTGTCATCGCACCTTTGCTTCAGGTATTTGTATTAAAAAATGGAGGATTGTTACAAACCCTGTTTTTGAACTCAGCAGTTTTTCCTTTTCAGTTCGGGAGGTGGTTTGTTTCAAATCTGGCTTCTGGTGGAGCAGCTGGAGCAACTTCATTGTGTGTGGTATATCCATTAGACTTTGCACGGACCCGGTTAGGTGCTGACATTGGAAAAGGTAAGAGCTTCATCTTCATATTTTAAGGGTTGTGTGCTGAGACTGGCAGTTTGTGTTTCTGCCTTCTTTGTGGTGGTGCCCCAGTTGATGGAGTTCCCTTCCTAGAAATATGCATTTGTTCCCTCCATTACCATCATTTTGATGTAACCTGGGGGGGGGGATTTCAACCCAACTGTTTAGTATGTGATGGGTAGTAGGTTTTCAGCAGCTGAAAATTGTTGTATTTATTTTGAAAAATGTTTTTCATGATATTTTACCTGTTGTATGGCTCCTTATATGGCTCCCTGGGCTCCTTTGGGAAGAAGGACAGGATAAAAAAATGAATTAATAGTAATAGTTCCCCTGTTCATTGTGGGGAATGCTTAGAGCTAAAGTGCTCCCCTAGTTTTGTTATTTCGTCTTTCATTTTAGGTATGGAAGAGCGACAGTTCAAAGGCCTTGCTGACTGTATTGGTAAAATTGCAAAAAAAGATGGCATTACCGGCCTATATCAAGGATTTGGTGTTTCAGTACAGGGGATCATTGTATATCGGGCATCCTATTTTGGATGTTATGACACCATAAAAGTAAGTTTTCTGAGCAAACTCACCCTTTTCCATTAAAAAAGAGGATTATTTGTCACCTTTATTATGGATGCATTTTACAGTATTTATCCTATCAGCTAAGATATTATTAATCCTATTGCAGAAACAGAGAGCTAAGACTTAAAAATAAAAAGACATGCCCAATTTGGTTTGTATTCCTTTAGTTGGTTATTATTTTATAAATTTAATAAATCTACTACATGATCCGGAGGAGCTCTGTGGTTACCAATGGTTGATGATAACACTTGTTTTAAAGCTAATTATTTCTACACATTTATTCATCCCAATTTGCTAATTGGTTCCTGAAGCCCAAAGGTCTGATGCAATATGATGCTCCTTTGCTCACAATGGCTGCCGTGTTGATTTAAAATGAGAAAGCAAGTTGACTGTTAAATTGGGCAGCCCTTACAATCAAGATCTCAGTGTATTCATTGGACATGGGGATGCTCATATGTATAGATAAAACATTTATACTATTTAGTTAATTAATGTGCCTCACAGATGAATCCTGTGCATTTTTATTTAGAAGTAAATCTCTTGTGATTTCCTGCTACAGAAATGGCTTTTAAGCTCTAAGGGATGCTAACCAGGCTCCTGGACAGTCTCGTTCGGACTGCGAGAGATCTTGCAGGAGCCTCCCAGAGCCCACTTGAGACTTTCCCAAAGCCCAGTAAGCAAGCCTGAGAGCCTAAAAGCTCTGTCTTGTGTGTCTTTAATTTGTATGATATCAGCTGGCCAGCTGCGAAGCTGTGTAAAGCTGCAATCGCACAAGTTAAATGTGCTTAAGTTGCAATCTTAATATATGTTATTTGCCCCCTCCCCAAAAAAAATCATTTGGCTTGTTTGCCATGTGTAAAGTGTAAAACAAAAGGAGAAAAGAATATGTTTCCAACTACACTGACCATGTAAAATAATCCATTCAAAATACAATGCACTTAGGAAATTCTGAAGCAATATAATGATTTGACAGCATCTGTTTTTCCATTTAGATTCTCAAGATACCCCAGTGAATTCTTATTTCTCTTTTCTCTTCTTAGGGAATGTTGCCAAATCCAAAAGAAACACCATTTGTCGTATCTTTTGCAATAGCTCAAGCTGTGACTGTATTTTCTGGCATACTGTCATACCCCTTTGACACTGTCAGAAGACGCATGATGATGCAGGTAAACAACATATACTTGCTGGTGTCTAAGCACAGGAGGCCTATCTAGAAGGGTAGAGTCCTGGGGGGGAATTCTAGGAGGGGAAATATTAAAAAATTTCAAAGCTACACTCTTCTCCTGTCCCCCACTGACATCCTTCAATTTGCATTTGCAGAGGCTCCTGCAGCCATTTTTATCAATCAGCTAATTGCACAACATAGCATATCACATATAACAAGTGCTATCACCAGGACTCTCTCAGGTGTGGAGGGGAAGCATTTACCTGGGTATGTGGACCCTACATTTTGACCACAGATTTGTGTGGTTGCCCAGCTGGCTAGTCAGAAACATGTATTTGCCTGTTGATGTGCTGAGCAAACCAGGTGATTTTCCTTTTTCATGATTTAATTTCAAAGCAGCAGTGTGTGTCTCTGTGTTAAGAGAAATACATTTATTTTTATTCTTTTCCTGTTGGGGGTAAGGGGGCAGTAACCATCCTGTTGTCGCCCTGTGGTGCAAAGAACGCAAGCTCTGTCGTGTGCTTTCTTGAAGGTCTGCTGTGTATTTCAGCAATGGGTCTGCTTGACAGCTGTTTTATGTACAAAAAGAGAAACAACTTATGTAATTTTATGTAATCTTCCTTCTGGATTTTTTTTCAACATTAGAGACTTTTGAAAAGGAAGTACAGTATGCCAATTTGAAAGCAAGAGAAATTATTTTTTTATATCTTACAGATTTATATGGGATACTATTTGACTATCTCAATATAAATATCTATCTTAAAAAATAGATTAAGAAAATTCTCCGGTGTAAATATTTTGATGCAAACACATTTTTAAAAATATCTATCAAAAAAACCATACTACCAACTTTGGGGAAATCTAAACACTTCTAGATTGGTACTTGTCGGTGTTGGTGATGGGGGTGGGGAACCATGTGAAGTTCAGCGAAAAGGCAGTGAAGAACAATGTTCCAAAAATATGCTTCAGACATTATCCAAGAATCAGCATGCTTCAAAACACCCTGAGGAATGACATGACCTTGTTTAACTCTGAAGCTTAAAAGAAACATCACAAGAAGATCACAGACTTGCTAAATTTAGCTGCAGAGAACTACATCAGGGAAGCATTTACTCATTAAGGTTCTTATATTGAAACAGAGATAAAATTAGTGAGAGGTGTTTCTAGACTTATAATTACAAAAATGCCTAATACTATATATCAGACCTTAGACTGAAAATTATAAAAATACCAAATGCCAGATTAGTCCCTTGCCACATAGTAAGCATGTACATTTTCCAATCATCTGTCTTTGTTTAAAATTATTTTAACACAGAGTGGAGAGGCTGAACGTCAGTACAAAGGAACCATTGACTGCTTTTTCAAGATATACAACCAGGAAGGATTAAATGCCTTTTTTCGGGGAGCCTTTTCAAATGTACTTCGTGGGACAGGCGGTGCCTTGGTGTTGGTCCTATATGACAAAATTAAGGAGTTTCTTAATATTGATCCATCAATAGGCCGATCATCTGACTAAAGTCACTGATAATAGTCACCTGTCCCTACTGTTAAAAATGTCATTCATTATTATATGATGAGTACTGTAAGAACAATCAAAAGTTTTGCATGGGTCTGCTAATCATTTACACTAATGATTTGAAGGCAGCTAAAGCGTGATTTGTTTCCTTTCATAAAGAGTTGCATTTACTTGTTTTTGTGTGTGTGCATTCCTTTCAAATGCCTGGCTTTCGTTTTTTCACTTGTATTTGTTGTGTCACTCATTTTCACTACCAAGTCAAAACCAAGGTTGCTGCTATTTTCATCTAACAATTGGGCAACTTATAGTGACAAAACCCTGTTGAGTTCACGAATGAGCTGAGGTTGGAACCTAGATTTCCATGAGGCAAGGTCAGCACCAGTCACTAGAGAGCATTGGGGAACATGCAGCCCTACAGATGTCCAAATTTTCTTCAGCCCAAACCAGCATGGCCAATGATCAGAGATAATAGGAGTTGTAGTCCCACAACATCTGGAGGGCCACAGATTCCCTATCCATGCACCAGATTTTAGATTTTTTTTAATTAGTGCAGTCAGAAATGAGGTGCTTTTCCTGACAAGACACACATCCGTCTATTTTTATGAGGCAGTTTAATATCCACAGCCATCAAGGTAGCAGAGCTCTTGCAAAAGTTGTAATTTTCAAATCTTTAACTCCACACTAATCCCTTCCAAGTTAATAGAATTGCTCTGGTGTAAATTACAGATATGTGGAGGAAAGCAAATGGCTATGAATAGATGTAGCTTATGGTACTTAGTAGACAGCTTGCTTGCATACGTATTTATAGCACTTCTATCCGGCCTTTTGCCAAATAGCCTTAAGGCGGCTAACAATGTGAAGTAGTAAAATGCAATAAACATAACAACAAGAGATAGCTAACTAAAACAGCAGATAAAACAATAGAGAGGGTAATTAGAAACTCAGATAAAGACAACATAAACAGAAGTGAGAAGAAACTATGAGTCATTAAAGGCACAAAGAACATAACAAACTTCATCTGACACTTAAAAGATTACAAAGAAGGTGCCAGGAAGATATGCCTGTGAAGGGAGTTGCCCTTTTCTCCAGCAGCCACATGCCTACTGTGGTTGGGCCCCCAAAATAAGGGCCTTAGAAAAAGATCTGTCTGGTTCATGTGGAAGAAGACCGTCCTAAAACAGCACTTTGAATTGAGCCCATAAACAAGCAAAATATTCATACTGAAGTGATGTATCCTTAGCAGTTAGCTTCAGTAAATAGTCTAGAGATGGCATTCTGCACCAGTTGAAGCTTCCATGGTGCTTTTCAGAGGCAGCTTTACAAGTGGTGCGTTACAGTATTGTAACCCGGGTGTTACCAGTCTGAGAAGGACAGGCCAGAGAATACCTTAGAGAACATGCCTTGAAGAATTTGAGAAAGAGTTGAAAGCTACTATCGTTCAGTCATGCCCAAGAAAACAACATTGATTTGCCCAGCTTGATATGTAACCCTGACCGACCTTGGGGATATACAAAACAACATTTGACCATTAAGTCAATGTGAAATCGAGGCTGGTTGGGTTCCCACTCCTTCACCAAATCAAATGTAAAAAAGCACTCAGGGTTGCCAGCTGAATGGCTGACTTCCACCACCTTGAAATAGAAAATTAAGGAAGAAAAAAAAAAATCTGCTTCTCATTCAACAGATGGTGGGAGTGTGTTAATTCTTATACTACTAGCCAACAAGCTTGCAGGAGAATCCTTTCCCCTGGTGTATTCCTTTCACGCTTGCAGAATAAACCTGCGGCGATAACAGATGCTCAGTTGGCAGCACCCTGAAAGCGTGTTTCAGAGAGGACAAAACTACAGTCGTTTCAGTATGCCACGTTTGCATATGCCTACTTTCAGAGGAAGTCCAAAAGAGGTCTTGGAACGTGGGGTTTAGGTGATGGCACTCTCGTTCCTCCTGGAAATAATGGGTCATTATTTCCTGTTCCATCGTTTAGAAAACCACAAGGTTCTTTGACATGAAAGGTGGTAGAACTGCAGAAGAATCTAGCAGAGCAGAGGTTCTCAGAGTTTCTACCCTCCAGGACACACTTGAGAGGGGTGGAAATTATTGGAACCCACTAAGTGGCAAAATGGCAAGGAAAGGGTGGAGCCAAATAGTGTTGGGTAGAGGAGGAGTTTGGCATAAGCAGCAGTTATGGACATCAAATTCTGTTGATAATTAATCCCTCTTTGTAAATTGTTAATTTTGGCAAAATTTCATAACTAATTTTTCCTCACGCCAAGAATGGGCATTAGCCCTGATTGTAGTGTGACATGCTCATTTTAGGGACACCTTACTCATCTAATGTCTCTATCTGGACAGAGTTTTTTTTTCTGTATCCCTTATGCCTTTCAAAAGTATTTTTACTCAAATATAATTTCTTTCCCCTTTTTCTTTTCACTCTCAATTTGTACCTTATTTCTCCACACCCAGACTGTCAATTCCTTTAATCTCTCTGTCCTTCCTCCTATAGCAGCTTTACATTATTAACAATTGTACGCACTCACTATTTCCTTTAGCACATCCTATGGCCCTTTCCCTTCAGAGGAAGGAAGCACCTGCCTTCACCCCTCCCAAATTCACCAACAACCCTTGCTCAGTGTGTGGGGAGTTGCTGGTGTAGGCTTCAGTTCAACCCAAAATTATGGCATGGCCAGAGGGCTGGTTGAGTGTGTGAGGAGGCACTGGGTAGGCTATGGCATGAGGATCAGTTGTGGGCCCTGGTCCACCATTTAAGAATCTGGACGCCCAGATTCCCTTTCCCTCCATCTCCTCTGAAAACGCCCCCCCCCTTGCCTACCTTTGTGGACCTTGGAAAGTATTTCTTACATTTTTTAAAATCTCATGTAAACCATAACAGTTCAGTGGCAACCTTTATAGGACGTTGGAGGAGAGAAGGAACCACAAAATATGAAAGCAGCAGTAATACGTTGATGCAATAGCATGACCACCATTAAGGGCAAAAGGTCCAGAAATTCTACAGGATGGTTACCATGGCAACACACCAAAAGCCTACTTGTTTTCCTTGGGAATGAATTGTATATGAGCGTACAAGGTGTTATGTTCAGTGGTTTGTTTTTCATAAGCACTGCTACTCAGTTGTGGCTCTTAAGGGAGGCATAATGTTTGGAACTGAATATGCTGGTAAAATGATTTACAGCCTGCTGCACAGGGATGAGGTTGCAAGGCACATTATATCTATAGTCTTCCCTAGTGAAGCCCTCAGAAAGGCAGCTTTTCTCACAGAATAGGCTGTATTTGTCAAGAGATAAGAACATTTGTTTTTCTATGCAGTTCTAGGGCAGCCTTTAAAGGCGCTTTCTCATTAACAGTGTAGATTTTCCTGCTTTAAAAGAGGAGAATGCAATTTCATTTGCTTGTGCATTTATAACATTATACTGGAACTTTAAAAAAAGTGTATGTATAAGTGTCAGTCTTGTTGGCATCCGTATGTCTCGAGAGACAATGGAGTGCACCTCCGGCTGTGAAATCAAACCTCTGTGTTAGCAGTACCAAAGTGACCTCGAGGTGCAAACCTGGGCAGTGTGTATGGAGGTCCTGGGATGCCAAGACAATAAGACCCCCATCTTGGCCTCACTGATGTGGTTTAAAGGAAAGCAGAGCAATACATTTGGCACCAGCTGGGCTGCAGGAGTTGCCAGAAGAAAACATATAAGGCACCATCCAACAGTCTTAGGGACTCCACTACAATTTATGTAGAAGGCTCCATCCAACAGTCTTAGGGACTTCACTCCAATTTATGTAGGGTTTACTCCTTAGCGTTTTCTTCTCCTGGAGATATTCCACAAGGCAGCAGAGGTTTAGGATCAGAGTTTTCCTTCTCTTAGATGGGCTACCCTCCCAGGTTAATGAACCCCATCTGTCCCTCACTTCTCTCTGCAGCACAGGCAGAAACTGTCTTTGTCATTGGACCCACTATTGGTCTCATCTGCTCAATCTGCTGGAGATTGCTGCATGCAAAGGGAAGTTCCTAATTTATCCAGGGTTTGAGACCCATTGTCTACCCTCCCTTGGTTTAGCCAGCCAATCTAAGCCATTCTCAGGGTGTGGCGACTGCCGCACACGACGGCTTCTAGGAGCGACTGCTGAGAGCTGAATGCAGGGTGGAGACCAAAGGTGGACAAATTATCCCAGATGTGTCTCCCACCAGAGGTACTACCCCTCCTTTAACATCCCATGCACCCCATGTGTAAATACACAATTACAGTGGTGCCCCGGGTTACAGACGCTTCAGGTCACAGATGTTTCAGGTTACAGACTCTGCTAACCCAGGAATAGTACCTCGGCTTAAGAACTTTGCTTCAGGATGAGAACAGAAATTGCACGGTGGCAGCGGGAGGCCCCATTAGCTAAAGTGGTACCTCAGGTTAAGAACAGTTTCAGGTTAAGAACGGACTTCCAGAACGAATTAAATTCTTAATCCGAGGTACCACTGTAGTATATATGACCAAGTAATCTGTATTTCCAGGATGTCCTGGGAAAATCAGGACACTTGGAGGGTATGTGACCAGCCTGCACAGTTCATGGGCAGGAAGTGCCTGATGGAGCTGGGATGAAATTAACTCTGCTTCACAGCTCTCCCACTGAGGAAGTTTGATGGAATGGCTGCCCTAGATAACAGCTGAAGGGGAAGAAGCCTGATGGTGCTGGTCTATGTCTATAGTGAAACAGTGGTATTTCACTATAGACTATAAAAAGAGGGGGTTGGATCAAGGAAACCAATAGGAAGAAAAACTGATACTTGGATAATTCTTCATGACTCCTCCCATTGAGATCAACTAGAAACTCTCAAGCAGGCAGGACCCGCTTACCAGTACACTTCCAATTAGCACTGGAAAGGACATTTGCTAAAATAAGACCTGTGAATAAACATGACAGAAATACCTTTGTCATGGATAAGAGCATTAAGTGCTGCATTGAACCTCCATTTTCATTCAGTTTCCACCTGATTATGAACAAACAATGCCTCAACTGTTGTAAAAAGGGTTCTGGTCCGTGAGCAACCTGGTGCAACAAATATTATCACCAAAAATGTATCTAGAAAATGACAAATACAAGTAAGATACCCAGCTACCTATGATGGTCCCTAAAGCAATGTTTTTGGGGAAACTATCAGCATCATGTAGCTGCCCCTCCCAACATGACATTTTGTGGTGAGCTTAGCCTCCTTATTCCCTTCCTGGCACTTCTCATACACATCTATAAATCTGTAAACACTGCATTTTAATTTTATTCAGTGCAGCAACACTTAGAGGCCACTTTAGTTCATTGACATATGTATCAGAAAAGGGAAAATAATGATTTAATGATGGAAATCTAGTGACTACTCCTTTAATCACCTCTTGATTTCAGGCCTGATCATTCAGTATTTGGTTTGCAATGCAGTGTAGGTAACTGCTACAAGATAGTACTGGAAGTAAAACCTGTTCCTTTGATGCAGACGGCATGTTTTACAGAAATCCCTCTGACACATGCCCTGACTAGTAATCGCTGCTTTGCTAGATCACCGGGTGTGGAAATTTCTTCTCTCTCTCTCTCTCTCTCTCTCTCTCTAGTTTACACTTTTAATTGTTTTCTTCACAATAGATTTCTATGACATAGTTACTTGTGACATACTCTGGATGACACAAGAGCATTTGAGTAATGTAGACTGTTCTGAGACCACATTGGATTTCTGGGTCTTCAAGACACTTCAAGTGCTCTAGAGTGTCACTGCCCTAGGCACTCTTTGAGCATAATAGTAAATTAAAATGGCAGCTCCACTTCCAGGTCTCTCTTTGAGTGTTGCCGCACCACCACTGCCAAGTGCACCAGGGCGCCTGAGGTGTGCTGACGTCACACACGCCCGCCCCGTGGCATGCATGTGCTGCTGAGTAGAACTTGGGGGGCAGCCCCTTCACTGAAAATTTGTGGGTGCCGGGGCCCCATCAGCCCCACATAGATGGCGCCTATGACCATTCCCAAGTGAGCCTGAGATGGCCCACTAGCATAACAGAGGGTCCAGCAGAGTGCATTTGCGCAGACCTCCAAAAAACGCCGTTATTTTTAGTCAGAGTTGGCAGAGCTGGGCTAGATTTCCCAATAGTCTACCTCAATAGAATGCAGCTTCATTACATTCACATATTGTAATTGTCGCCACTGTGTGAAGGGCCTGGTGAAGGGCAGGTAATTTTTTTTTATAAAGTAAATTAAATACATAGTCCATCAGTTACAAATGGGAGTAGGGTTTGTGTGTGCATAGAGCAATTACCAGATATATACTTTTTTGTGATTCTGGCCTGAATAGCTGTAAAAGGGGCAAGAGCTTGTCTGGTCCTGCTGTCAGGAAGAGACCATGCTGTGATTAATCAGGGCATGTGAGGGGAACCTTTGGCCCTCCAGATGGTGTTGAACTACAACCCCCATATGTCCCCAATGGCCAGGGATGATGGAAGTTGTGGTTCAGTAACATCTGGAGGGCCAAAGGTTCCCCATACCTGAATTAGGGAAACCATAATAAGCAAATACTTCTGCTGCTATGACAGCAGTGAGCCTTGAACATTCCTTATTCTGCATTCCTTTGGCTGCTTACCTAACAGTGTGGAAGATTCTAAAGGGTGTGGAATCAATAGAACAAAACTGCCCTCAACCTCTAAGTGATGTGGGATTCAGGTCTCCTTGATCAGAAGAGTGCTATGCAAAGTCCTGAAGTAATAACATATAGACAAGGAAGGTGATGACTGAAATAAAACTACACCTGAAATACCTTTCTGGTTTGCTCATTGTAAAGGTTATTTCCCCCCACCTGCAAAGGGAGTCTAGTTCATGAGGCAGTGATACACTGCGTGTGTCAGAATGTTACCATGTTTCATGTCACAATGGTATGACATCTTCCCCAAAACACATCACAGAAGTTTTTGATAAGATCTATAAGATTTCTGTGCGATCTTTGTTGCTCATGTATTGAGGATGGGGGTTGAGTGTGAACAATCAAGACATGAATTGAATGGATAATCTATTAATTTATATTATTGTCCAATTAATTTTTGCTATCAGCCAGTGTCTTTTTATAACAAAACATTTGTATAGCCTCTTATCATTGGAATTTAGTTTTCATTAATATCTAGCAGTGCTGGTGCATGTAGTGAGTTCAGGTTACATGTATAAATTAACTCATCACTGAAAATCAGGGCAATGTGCTTTTTCTGTAGTGCGAAGATGTTTGTTTTTATTCCGTTCTTCTTAAAATACATTGTTGGCCCTTTTAAAAAAAAGTGATTTTATTGTAAATATGCAGCAAAATACATAACAATAAAAAACAGTAATAAAAACGTAGTTCCCCTCCCCCTTTCTTGTATTACCTTTTTATTGAAATACAGATCCTTCCATTGCCTTGCAACATATTTATGCTGTTTAATAATGGGAAAACCCTTTCATGTCTTCAGATTTACAACATGAAGAATAATATATAACACCCACATGAAATAAGATCTGCTTAGCTATGTCAATCTGTGTAATTACAGAAAATGATAAGTTAATAAGCAATCATGGTTTAATGAAATAATGACTCATTGAGCTTCAAATCCTCAAGGACTTATGTCACAGTTGTCCTGTGGAAATTTCCAGGACTACTCTGGGGTGGAGACTTACAATCATAGGGTGTGACCACATTTCCATTTACTGTGGCTCCAGTGCATTCCCAACCCCGGATTTTTAAGCCGGGTTCACATGATGTTGGACCCAATTCATCTGTATCCTGCAGCTTTTGGAGAAATGCTCCTCTTCCATACACGTTTTCCTCAAACGAGCTTCAGGGTGATTTGAAAATGGAAGCCACAATTGGTGTGAATAGTTCAGGATACGTGCACACAAATAATGGCACATGCACAAACGAAAGCTTCACTGACGGGTGTTCAGAGCAGGAAAAGCAATAATTGGGTGAAGACACACCCAGCCGGCTGTGGTGTGAACAGAAGAAGAAGGAAGTAAATTGGAAATGCAGCAGCGGGAAATAACCTCATACTGTTTCAATCAGAGCTGCATATAAAAAAGAAGTCCAGGAAGCTGGACTCGATATATGGGCAGTGGTGGAGCAGCATCCCACCCAACCTAACAAACCAACCTCCACTGTCATCCCCTGACAAGGGAGAGCAGGGGGGACCAGCTGCCCCCCCCCCCCCAGATCCACAAAAAAAATATTGAAAAGCATTGAAAGTACTCAATTAACTGAGGTTCTGCCCCCCCAACCAAAGCCTTCCCCCCACAATGTCCTATTTTGAGCGGTATATTTACCCATGATTTCTCAAAAAAGCTCAACAACCTTGGAATCCTAGCTATGCCCATGTTCCCTGAACTGTTTTCACTTAAAACCTCATCCATGACACTCCATAAATGTTTCTGGTCAGAGTAAATTGTAGGCCAAAGGCTTCACACCGTAATGTATACTTTGCATAGCAACTGCCACCTCCACCCTGTCGCCCGACTAACAAACATGTTTTCCCAAGATGCAAAATTTAATTATTACTATTGTGTAAGTAATATATATTTTGGACAATAGGAACACTTAACATCTGCTTGCTTATGCAACACGATTGAGTTCTAGTGTTTCTCTTAATTTTTTTTCCTTTTGCTATTATTTGCTCATCAGGAGCCTGGGAGCGCAATTTTAATAATTAACCAATCTCTCTCTCTCTGGATTTTCAATTCGTTGCTTAATTTATTTCTGCATAACAATATCTAGGGCTGCTGGGCCGGCCTCTGTCATGTTAGGCCACACCCAGAAATACTTTTTCCAAAGTCACATGTTCCTGCCGCGCGACCAAACCACCTTAGCAGCAGCAACAGCAGTACTGACATCTGGCCACAAGATGGCGACCGAGGCCACCGCCCCCCCCTCCCTGCGCGCGCTGCTCCCCTCTCCGCTGCTCACCTTGCCCCCTTTCCAGATCTTTCTCGAACTCGGGGAGGCTTGCCGGAGAGCCTGTGCGGAAAGAGCCGAATGCCGCAGCCGGAGTTTCGCGGCGTCCCCGCTTGGCGGCCTCGGGCGCGTGTGGGCGCGCGTGCGCAGAGGCGAGGAAGTGCCGGTTGGTGGCTGTTGCTCCGCAGTGAGTGAGAGAGCGAGCGAGGAACCGCGTCGCAGCAACAGCCGCAGCCGACAGCAGCGCCCGCCCGACGAGGCACCGCCGCCACAGCAGCGGGCAAGCGGGGGGAGGAAGAAAGGGGACCACACCCGGCGCAGCCATGTCTGTGGTGGGCATCGACCTGGGCTTCCAGAACTGCTACATCGCGGTGGCGAGGAGCGGCGGCATCGAGACCATCGCCAACGAATACAGCGACCGCTGCACCCCGTGAGTAACCGGCCTTCTCGCCGCCGCCGTCGCCGGCCTCCCAACCGTCATTTGGTCTTAGGCCCCGAGAAGGAAAGCGGCCCCCCTCCAACTACCGCTCCCGGCACGCTCCCCCCCCCCCCGCCCCAAATAACTACCGGCTTCCTCACCTTACGCAGCAACTACCGGCCGTCTCCACACCGCATAATGAGCTTCGAATGAGAAACGGCCGGGCGCCGGTGTCTCTCCTCTCTCTCCTTCAGCCGCTGCCCGCGACGGCCGGGCGCCTCCATTTTCATTCATGTACCCCTTGCTCTCTTCGCCGCACCCCCGTCCTTTTAATTTTTCCCCTCCCAAGGATTGATTGCATTCATCTCGCTTAAATGGGTGATGCTCCGCACCCCCGATTCTCCGTAAGAGAACGGTCTGGAGGTTGTTGTTTTTTTAACCTCCCTCGGAAATTAATCACTATGATGACAGGTCTGGATCTCCTTCAGCCTTTAAGGGCTTGGAACCCACTTTTAGCCTCAACCTATCATAGGGACTGTGGACCCTCTTCCTACTTACTGTTTTAGAAACCGTGCTTATATCTTTCCTTGGGGGGGGGGTCTTTTGCCATCTCATCGTCCTTCTGAATTTTACTTCTCTTTGAAAATAATCCCCCTCTCCATTTTTTTAAATGGTAGAAGTATTGGTGTGCAACTCGATCACAACCCCGTGGTTGAAACCCTGTGTCTTGCAGGTTACAGCATCAAATAATCCCGAGGGAATTATTTCGTGCGTTACTCAGTGTTCTGTTCTTTTTGTGAGCTCTTCACTATACGACTTAATTAAGTTTGGACAGGGGAAAAGAATAAAGCATTTTCCTACTTGGTAAATAACCCCAGATGGTTGGACAGTGTTCTCGAAGCTACCAACATGAGTTTGATCAAACTCCGGGAGGCAGTGGAAGACAGGAGTGCCTGGCATGTTTTGGTCCATGGGGTCACAAAGAGTCGGACACAACTAAACGACAACAAAAATAACCCCAAGGTTTCAATGTTGACACAGTCTTTCCAGAAGCTTGAAAGGTGGCTATAATACTTTACATGAACAAAATAAAATACTCAGTTTAGGGGTAATTCTGATTGCAGCAATGTGCAACATTTACAGTCCACCCTCTGAATTCACCATATTGGAGTTGTGTGGATAAAAAGGAAAGGCAGGATAGAAGGGATAAAAGTTGACGCAGCTCTTCTTCTCTTTTTACACCCCACACCCTTCTGTCTGACCTGTTACTACTTGTTCAGTTGCCTCACCTGGATGTAGGGCATGGAAGGTGATGTCAGTGAATAGTTGGTGTGCTGTACGTATAATAACAGAGTATGCAAGAGTAGGTGGAGATTCCTCATTCTCCCTTGTTTCCATGGGTTACAGCTAGAAGTGGTAAATGAGCAGTATCTCTGTGTAGTTATTCTAGCACAAACTAGGGATTCACATAACAAAAAGCAGGGGATCTGTAATTGCTGGCTTTCTGTCTCTTTGAAAAGCAAGCTTATTGCTAGGAAAGCTTATAACTATTCATTAATCACTTAAATATAGCATAAATGTAGTGAGGATGTGAAAACATGATTATAGGAAAGGTTAGAATGTTCATGCAAGAACTTTTTTGTTGGACCAGACCAAAAGTTCAGTATTTGAATGCTCACAGCCAGGTCACAAAGATATTTCTTTTCAGCATTTTGCTTCTTTGAGATACTGCCTCTGAAACAGATGGGATGGGATTGGAATAATGGGAAAGCAAAAGTAATAAGGGGTGGACATGAGTAAAAGCAGTTATACTAGGGTCCTGTTTGCAAACAGTGCTAAATTATAGTTTAGCAATTACTGGGGAGAACCTTGGCTTGCAGGCCCTGGGTTTATGCACTCCAAACCCTTCTCTCTCCTCCTTCACAGCTTTTGTTGAAGCATACTAGGACCATAAAGCATTGTTTGCTCCTGAATTGTTTTAAAAATCTGAAATTTAAATGAATCCGTTTGTTTTAAAATGCCCATCAATTCCAGTCTCTTGGTGGTGTCTGTTCTGGAGAAGTAGGGAGCATGTGAGCCCAACGTTTGCTCAGGCTTGTTTTCATAGTGCTAAACTATGGTTTAGCATTGCATCTATACCTAGACTTCATTGCTGTTGAGGATAAAAGCTAAAGGTTAAGGAATAGCTTTACTTTTTAATAAGTGTATTACATGGCTACTAGAAAGGTTTCACAGAAAATTTACCATAAATTTTTAATGACGATTACAAGAAATAATGTATGTGGACAAATGCTGAATAGTCCCTTTCTTCTCTCCCTCTCTCCATCGAATACTTTTCTGTGAACCGCCCTGAGACCTCTGGGTATAGGGCGGTATATAAATTCAATAAATAATAATAATACTAAGGTAGCTTAGTTATCAGATGAAAAACATAAGAACCTGCTGGATCAGGCCTGTGGCAAGTCTAGTCCAGCATCCCGTTCTTGCAGTGATTCCCAGCAACTGGTATTCAGGGGTATACTGCTTCTAGCAGTGAAAGTAGAACAGCCATCATGGCTAGCAGCATCTTCCATGAATTTGTCTGATTTTCTTTTAAAGCCATCCAATTTGGTGGTCATTACTACTTCTTGGAGGAGCATATTCCATACTTTAGTTATGAGTTCTGTGAATAATTTATTCTTCCTTTAGTCTGTCTTAAATCCTTCAACATTCACCCTCATTGGATTACCCATCACTTCTGATGTTAATGAAAGAGGGAGAAAAACCTTTCTTTCTCCACTTCTTCCACACCATGCATAATTTTATAAACTTCTATCATGTCTCCTCTTAGCTTTTCTCTAAACTTGTTGTTTAGTCGTGTCCAACTCTTCGTGACCCCATGGACCTGAGCACGCCAGGCACTCCTGTCTTCCACTGCCTCCCGCAGTTTGGTTCTCTAAACTAAAAAGCCCCAAATATTGTAATATTTCCTCACTGAGAAGTTGATATATTCCCTTGACCTGCATTTGCTGTTTTACTGCCCATTAATTCAGTTTGGAGCTCTTCTCAGTCCTTTTTTGTTTTAGTCTCCCTGAACAATTTAGTCAGCAAGCCTGACTACCACACTACTCTATCCCTAAATAATTCATGAACAAGTTAAAAAACACAGGTCTCAATACAGATTCTTGGGGAATGACACTTTCTACATTCCTTCATTGGCAGAGCTGTCCATTTATTCCCATTCTTTGCTTCCTGTTTCTTAACCAATACCCACTCTTCAAACTTTTGTATGTAAAGGACTTGCTAGATGCAGCTATTCAAGGCTGTTGGAATTCTAGCCAAGGAAAGCACCAAAATAAGTTTTACTGTTGGAACCATTAAAGGAACAGATCTCTCATGCTATGAAGTTTCCAAGCTCTCTTATATAGCTCTTGTAAAATCATAATTTAAACTTAACAGTGTAAGTACCATGGTAGGAAGCTCATGATCTGGGTTGCCCTAGTAGAATGGGAGAACCCAGCTCCTGGAGATAAAATTTAGCCAATCGCTGCTTATATCCTAAGAATCCTAGTCCACTAAATTGATAATACAAAATGAGCTTCCATAATCTTGGGAAACATGCCTGATCAAAAGATAATTGAAGTGGGGTATTCCTAAACTAACTCAAAATGCCATGTTTTCTATTTCGAGCCTTATGCAGTTCATTGAGGTCAAAGAAGCCCAAAATTTTCTGATTTGTATTAGACCTGATGATGTAGTCTAGCTCCTGGAGAACATACAGTTATTGGTATTCTGCATCTCGACCTTAGGTTTCCTAAAATTTAGCACTTTGGCCTTTTCATAGTTATACAAACATTCAAGGAGCTACTCTAAAGAAGAAAGTCCCAAATGATGTATCAGATCTTTTTAGTATAAGGCTGGTTTTGGATGTTTAGGTTTTATGGCTTCATTCTTGTTGTGACACTTGGAATGACAGAAGTAAGATACTGTTTGCAATTGCTGTTTTGAAGCTACATTGGAAGGCTTGGTAGTGCTGAAAACTGGGAATGCTCTTCACAAGGAAGTAACCCTGTAAAAATCTGCTCCTAAAACTCCCTATCATTTGAGGATTTGAAAATTGTGAAGGAGGATGATTACCTGCACAAATAATCAATGCATGTGAAATGAAGTTGCTGTAGATTGATGCAATGCATCCCATGGTGCAGTACATCCAGTGAACCAAATAACTGTAATAAACAAGATATTTGTAATTTCCCAGTCATTTGAATGCTTTGGGAGGAAGGGTGGGATAGAAATATAATAAATGGAAATAATAAACAATGATTTCAGGACCTCATTTGCACCAACTTTAAAGTGGTCAAGAGTTTTAAAAACCCTTATTATAAACCTTACAATGATCATACATGTAGGATAAGAATAATGACTTCTGCTCTTTAGGCTGATAAGGAGCTGTAAATTAACTAGACATGAATTGATTAGGAAGTGCTTAAAAGGCATTATTGGGGCATATATATCTGAGACTATAATTATTCTTAGTAATGGGCAGCAAGAAAACAACTGTGGAAAATAATATGTACAAGTTTTTTATTTTTTTAAATTTAAATCATGCCATGCAATATGCAAGCAAAATGTACTGTGGGCAAAGACTGTCTCTAATTTCCTATCCCACATTGCTGAAAAACTACCGTCTGCAATTAAAACAAGAATTAGCTTTGGGTTGCACACCAGGGGGTATCCATGTTCTTGGCTATGAAGTGCAACTGTGCCTCTTTGAAAAAATGGAGGGTGGTGCATCACTCCATGTGGAAAAAATGAAAAAAGGCTAAGGCTGGAATTAGTCAGTCTTGGGCATATACTTACTTTTCTGGCTGAAGAAAGTCAATATATACAACAGAACTGAGGCAGTTGTTAACTAACATTATACTATCAGGCAAATGTGTACTTTAAACTAACAGTATTACCCAGTTCCTTTGTTTGTGACATCTCCAAAGGAGCTGTGTTTTTGTTAGAAAAAGATGTAAATTTGACAATCTTACTAGAATGCATTACATAGAATTCTCCATATGTTAGCTCACCAATTTCTGAGATAGATTCTTGAGATTAAGACCATCTGTCCTTTTAAGGATGGATGAATAAAGCAAGTTGGCTGAATTTGAATACATGTGGAGAGTGTCAAGATGATAGTTCAAGGTTCTGCTTTGCAAATTATGCTAATGGTTGAGTTTTTGAGATGCAGGTGTGAGTTCAGTCTGTTTGTGTGATTGCTATTTGTTCTAGTACCACAGTGGTTTACTTGCATGGTTTTGCTACTAAGATAACTAATGACACAACTTTACTTGTGTGTGATGGAAAGAAAATCTGATTGTTTCAGAAATAAGTATCCCCAACTGACTGTTTATTCTTTTCTGGACTCATTTGAAAATTGAATATCTTTTCTATTTCAGAGCTTGTATATCACTAGGAGCTAAAGCCCGGACTATTGGAAATGCAGCAAAGAGCCAGGTAAATGTTAAATTATTAGTACTTTTGTGAAAGCTGTTGTCATTCCAAGCAGCAGTTCTTGATTCTCATGAGAATTTATAAACATTGGAAATTAGTAATGGCAATTTTATACTTCAACAGATTATCACAAATATTAAGAATACATTGCATGGGTTCAAAAAACTGCATGGGAGAGCATTTGATGATCCTTTTATAAAAGCTGAAAGAGCCAAACTGCCCTATGAGCTTCAGAAGTTGCCTAATGGGAGTGTTGGAGTAAAGGTGAGTGTTCCAGCCCGTCTTGCAATATCTACATTTAAACTGTTAATATTTATGGTGTTTTGTGCATCCTATCAAATGATCCCTTCAGTTTGACTTGCCAGAATGTTTAATGCCAAAACAGGGCAGTGTTGATGATTTGATGAGATAGATCTGAATATTTGCAGACGGTATAACGGAGATACTGAATCTGCTCACGTAAACCTGTCTGTGCATCTTTGGAGGCACTCCTCAAATGGGAGATGAGGCAGATGGCAACTGGAAGAGGGCCTTTCTGATTGTTGTGTGTCACCTGTGGAATATTTCCCTAAGGAACCTTTCCTAATGCCTACTTTAAGATCCTCTTGGCAGCAAAGAAAGACCATTTTTTTGCCCTTTTCCATATCATTATTCTAAAGTAAACTTATCTGTGGTTTTTGTTCTTTTGTTTTATTTATTTAAAATGTTCTGTGTGTGTGTGTGTGTGTGTGAACACTGTAAGTGTATATATCTGTAACACTGTAAGTCAGAATTCCCATATTGTGATTGGTTGTCGATTCCTGTTCAGTGTACATTTAGTCTCATCTGCCTAATTAATGTACCTTCATGACATGTTAGCCACATGCATGATTTACCTTTAGGTATGCATACAAAATATCTTGAATGGATATCTGATACGTCCATGGGGCATTTTATATTGTAGTTCAGAGGGTTATTAAATGTTATGGCAATATTTTGGAAGATTGCATTAAACATTTATTGGAAACACATTATGATAAAATGTAACACTTCTGGGGCACTGTGTGCTTTAATGGATACTGTTTTCCTTTTGTTGCAGGTACGATACTTGGATGAGGAGAGACCCTTTGCAATTGAACAGGTTACAGGCATGCTCTTGGTTAAGCTTAAAGATACGTCAGAAAGTGCACTTAAGAAACCTGTAGCAGATTGTGTAATTTCAGTAAGTTGGCATTTTATGACTTTAATATGCTTAACATCAATTGTGTTGTATTCTATTGGGGAATATCAAAATGAAACATATTGCTTAAAAGGAAACATAAATATGCTAAGATGGTTATGCTTTGCAGAATATTTACCATAATTTCTCTGAGTTTTTCCAGCTGGTAACACTTATAGAAATGTGAGCAACAGAAGTCCTTTCATTTACTGTTGTACCCAGTGCTGTAAAATCTTTTCAAAGACAGGCTTCAGGTAAAGTTGAAGGTTGACCTACTTAGTTTTACTGTGTTCTCTATGAACAAGGATGCAAGAGGGAGAGACTAGCTCGGTGGTAAGTCACATGTTGCAGTCTTAGAAACCTTGGGCAGCCTGAGTAGCTAATACTTAACTTGGTAGACAGACAGATCTGGTTCACACAAAATGATACACCATGGTTTGGTTAACCAGTGTGATTTGTTTGAATATGTGAGCCCAGCCCAGCAGACTAACTATGGTTTCTTTTCTGTCAACAAACCATACTGTGAAGCCATTGGGTTTTTTTCTCTTGGTTTTAGAACCATGGCTTGTTTTAACAATGATGAACCCAGCAGCCTTGCTTAAACTTTGGGGTTTTTTTAACCATTCCACTCCAGATGCTCTCTGATAAAAGGGCTCAAGGCAAGAACAGCTAGAAAACAAGTCAAGCTTTGGAGAAACAAGCTGTTGCTTGTTTGCTCATCTGCAAGATGATTCCTGAGTTGTTGAATAAATTTTGGCTTAGCATTAAGTGTTAAATGAAGCCAATATCTGACATGGTGCACGGCTGCTTCCTCTTTTCAGTGGGAAAGGAGTCCAGGTTTAGGGAGTCAAGTTAACCAGCCTTTGATATAGAAGAAGCATCAAAATGCATGGACAAGAAGTAGTTTTAGTGTGACAGATTGATAGAAGCTGTACTTTTTTGTTTAGTAAATTGGTAACCACTAGAATCAAGTATTTCATGCAGCTTTGGATAAAAAGTAAGAAATCTGAATTCAACCAGGAACCAAGCTTTTAGAATCTGACTGGATGTGTACATGATATTACCTTCCATAATATACCACTTCTGCAAATATCACTATTAGATTACAACACTCTTGTCACTTTGTGTTACATTTGACTAGAAAGAACGTAAAGGAATGTGTAGGCTAACATTAAAGGCTTGATTTTGTTGTTGTTGTCAAATGAGCCTCACCAACTGGGAAAACGACCAACAACACTCCTGTAGATGTTCTCAGTGACCAAGCTGGGATGTAAGGGTTCAAGCAGTCCCTGAGCTACTCTGGACCTAATTTGTAAATTAATACAATAACCTTGAACTTGGCTTGGTAGTAATTTTCATTTTGAATCTAGATTCAGTTTGAACAGAAATATTTAAGAAACAAACTTGATTCCTTTAATAAATTTCCATGCATAGTCATAACATAACACCAGCATGAGCACCATCAAAAAGACTTCTATCCAGCACTTTGCAACCATTATTCTCTTCTCTTGTCACTCCTTCTGTGACTCACTTTCTTAAGTCCTTACTTTTTCTGCCCATTCCATGTCCCTTCTATCAAAGCCCTTCACATCCTTGTCCGTCCCTCTATATTTCTCCATTCTAATAACCTGATGCACCTCTGACTGTGTTCTTTACTCTTTAAGCTCCATTGCCCTCTGTGGTCCAAAGGACTCTTCCTTCCTCAGCTCTTTATACCTTGAACTGCTTCCCAAACACCTCAGTTAAGCTACCTTGAAATTCAAAACCCATATTTCATTAGGCTTTTGGCACACACCAAATGTCCCTATACCCTAAACCTGAGTATATGCAACTGAAATAAATGGATATTCTTTCCCTATTTACACCTATTGTCTTGTCCTTCTTTTGTCTCCCTTGTGCTGGACTATGGATAAGTTTTTCAGGATAAGGACCAGTCTTCCTGTACTTACTAATGCTGAAAACCTAAAAACTGTAGTGATTTCAGCATTTCTACTTAATTGGAATGTGAATTGAACTATTTAAGTACTATGCGTTAATAGACTTATATCTGCTTAAATGGAGTATTTTTGAGTTTTACAGTACAATAAGATGTTTGGAATATTCCTTGTGTGAAATTCATTAGCAAAAAAGGAATGCAGTGAAGCTAATAAAACATTTTTTCAACAGATCCCAAGTTTCTTTACTGATGCTGAAAGAAGGTCAGTAATGGCAGCTGCGCAAGTAGCAGGTTTAAACTGCCTGAGGTTAATGAATGAAACTACAGCAGGTAAACTTGTGGCTTTGATTATTACTATATAGCATACAGCTTAGTTTAGAATCAAATTTACATTGAGTGTCAAGATGTAAACCAGAGCAATTGCTGAAATGGTGCACTATATCATCACCCCCTAGGGCAGCTTGTTTACAAGTAAACTACTCTATAGTAGAGGTGGGAGATTAAGGCAATGTATATGCAAATCCATCATAGTTTTTAATCTTACTCTGAGATGTCTCATTTAACTCCTTTCACGTTTTTAATCAAAACATTTTGAAGATGAGTGTTTAAAATGTCACTTCTTCATGATGGCTTTTAATTTGGCACTATCCAAAATGCCACTTAAATACTTACATGTACTTTTGGATATATCTTAATACACAGAACTTTCTAAGTTGTTACAGTTACCATCATAAAGCTATTGATGACACATTCAGTCTGTTTTAATAATAGTAGCTAGACAAAATTGCTGATCATGTGTGGATTCTGGCTTCAGTGTTTACCTAGCCATTTGATTCCAGCAGGACATTGGAATATAGGAGCCTACACTGAATCGTTTGCTCTTTCTGTCTTTGCATGTTTGAAATCAAGTGCAAAACACCATAATTGGATAATTCAGACACTGATTGTATTTAGATATAAAATGGTTTGGATCTTATCCATTGCTGTTGTTCTGCTAGCACAACAGATACCTGCTTGCACAATGAAGCTTTCCCCTCCTCTGTCCAAAGGTTTGGCGGACCCTCCAGATAAGATTTTGAGGGTATGCTGGGAGCAGGAAACAGAACTCCACACAAATAACACTGAATACAGTCCCTTTTTCTGTTAGAGAAGATAATAGATTATTCTAATGCAAGTAAAGCAGACTTCTTGGAGGAGCCTGAAGATATATACCTAATGCCTTTTTAGTTTTTTCATGATTCTATAATGTATTTCATAATAGTATTCTAATGCTACTTAAGTTTCACAAAATTTATTCTTTACTGTCTTGCAGTTGCACTGGCCTATGGAATTTATAAACAGGATCTACCAACCCCAGAGGAGAGACCAAGGAATGTGGTTTTTGTTGATATGGGACACTCTGCATACCAAATTTCTGTTTGTGCTTTTAACAAAGGAAAATTAAAGGTAAAATATTGAACTCATATGTGATTCAGAAAAGTAAAGAAGCATAGGAAATTATCACAGTTACCAGTAATTCATATCTATAATGGGCTGCTGCAAATCAGTGTCTGGTATTGTGACCATTCCTTTAGATCAGGCAGTCCTTTCTGAAATGCATATAAAGAAATATGATTTGCCTACTACTTCATCCTAACCTAGTTTTTTTGTTATTGTGGCATGACAATAACAAAAGCTTCTTTTCTGAAGGAGGCTGTATAACATTTTTTCCAAAATCCTGTCCTTAGTACCAGCGCATCAGGATATAAACCATCTACTCATCCTCGTATTACTTTGTGGCAGTCAAAATATGTCCATCCCCTCTTATTCAGGTGCAAATCTTGGTTCTGAATCCTATCATACCACATTGGCAGGGGCAGGGAGGGAAAGCTATTCATGCCATAAACTTTGCCAACACTTGCTCAGACTCCAAACACTGCTGACATGTGACTCCCAACAGATTACCCACATAGGAATGCAGCCCTAGATTAAAATACTTTTACCACCCTGCTTTAGAGGGTTGGTATCTAACTTGAATGTATTTCACTCTTGATGTAGCTGAATAAGTTGTCCCTAGCTTATAAATAGTTAAGTGTATTAGTAAGCATTTTAGACATTAAAATGCTTGTATTTCCCATTAGAGTAACAAGCATCTTCAAAACTTCTTAGAAAATAAGTGAGCCAAAAGCAGTTTGAAATGTCAATATATTGGGCAAAATCCAGCATAATGCAAGTCAATTTTCACTTATGTGACAGGACTTCTCTCCTGTTCCCTCACACCCTCCTTAAATTTTAGGAATGCACAGGAGGCTACAGGGACAGGGAAAAGGTGAAGTCCCATTGCACAAACCATAAGTCCATTCCATAACCACACAGGGACACCATTTATCTCTTATTACTGCAGCTTTTTGGCAGAGGATAGTGAAGACTAAATCTTAAAGCCGCAAAGAGATTCATACATGTTTGATCCAACTTTCACGAAGGCAACAGAAGCTGAAATATCAGCTATCTGTTTCTTTATCCATGGATACCAATTGTTTGGTTTAAGAGGTTTAGAAGCAAATCATAGCTTTAATCTCTGCCATCTTTGCAAAACAGTTAACATTTTTTGGACTGCTACTAAAAGATGTTTATAGTAAGCATTGCATTAAACTTACTGCACGATACTAACTTCCTGGGAGGCATAAACTTAACATGTTTGGCACCTCCTAAAATATTTATTCAACTAGGTCTTTGCTGGTCATTGAGCCCAAGCCTTTGAGAATTGTCTGGCTACTGTGGTTCTTGCTGTTTTTACTGTATATATTAGATTTTAATTGACTATTTTTATTGTATTGGTATTTACGGTCTGTATCCAATGCTGCAGCTCCAGTTGTGCAACAGACTGCTCTGTAACAGAACTTCCTCTCCTGTACCTTCCATCCCCACCCCACAATCAGAACCAGCTCCAGAGGGTTGGGGGGCCCTTTGGAGCAGATTTGGGGTTACACAGAGGGAACAGAGGGAATAGAAGTCACATGGTGCAAGAAGAACTTCACTCACACAGCATTTGATGCAACTCATGTGTTTTAAACTGCCCTAAAGGGTGGTGGTATGAAGGACAGTATTAAAAAGTGTTAAATAACTTACTTTCCTTACCACTATCATGCTGCATCTTTAACTTCACAGGTACTGGCTGCTACATTTGACCCATTTTTGGGTGGTAGAAACTTTGATGAGGCTTTGGTAGATTACTTCTGCGAAGAGTTCAGATCAAAGTATAAACTAAACGTGAAGGACAATCCTCGAGCACTGCTGCGTCTGTATCAGGAATGTGAAAAACTGAAGAAGCTTATGAGTGCCAATGCCTCTGATCTTCCCATGAACATAGAATGCTTCATGAATGACATTGATGTCTCTAGTAAGATGAACAGGTATTGTGTTCAGTTTTGTATAAGGCTTAAATAAAAAAGTAGTCATTTCTGTCCATAATCCTAAATGGATTCCTCCCTTTTAAACAGGGCTCAGTTTGAACAGTTGTGTGCATCGCTTCTGGCCAGAGTAGAACCTCCTTTGAGAGCAGTGATGGAACAAGCAAGTAAGTGAAAATTGCTTCAGCTTATTATGAATACCTGTCTTCTTCTTGTCTTCAAGCTAAAGTTCTTGTTTGTCAGTCTGACCAGTATTTATTATTACATTATTTATTTTTAAAATTTATATACCACTAGAGTGTTCCTGGCATTGGGCAATCAGGACAGATTAGGGATTCTGCTGGGTTACTGCCCACCTTGCTGCCCAGCAGTCTCCCTGCCTGAGCTGACAGCTGGTTTCAGAGGTGATGTTGAAGACCCCCAGATTTCTGGTTTTGGGGGACTTCAACATCCATGCCAATCTGACTGACTGGGGTGGCTCAGGACTTCATGGCTGCCATGACGACAATGGGGCTGTCCCAACATGTCATTGGCCCAACACGTGTGAGGTGATGGGAGAGTTAGGGGCAAACATTGTGGGACAAGGTTTGTCAAAGGGATGGGAGGTTGAAGGGGTTTGGATTAGATGTAAAGGGAGGGGGTGGCAGTGTGGGGTAGGTAGGCTGGGTTGGCGAGCAATGTGAGCAGCAGTGGCAATCCCTAATAAAGAAATAGTTGCTGCAGTCATGTATACAGTCATGGTGTGGAGTCCAGTTTTAACAGCAAAAGGGACACATCGTTCCTCTCCCTAAGTACTTTTCCCCCAGGCACAGAGTTCCAGTATAAAAACTGCAGTATCTTCTCCTCTAACTATGGAAGCAAATTGTCTGCTTATGTGTCTACTAGAACTGCAGCGTGAAGATATTTACAGTATAGAAATAGTAGGTGGAGCAACTCGAATTCCAGCAGTGAAGGAGCAGATTAGTAAATTTTTCTGCAAGGAGATAAGTACCACACTTAATGCTGATGAAGCTGTTGCAAGAGGCTGTGCGTTGCAGGTATGTTTACTTAATAATATTTCATTAGTCAGCAATATTACTTAATATTTCTGGGATTGGTAATTTGACCTCAATGAGACATGCTATAATTATAGTGGGATTTGGACCAGGCCATCATAGTGAAAATTGCAAGGCACTGGTATAATGCCATATTTTAATTGTTCACACTATTTTTTTGTAGTAATTTCCATTTTGAGTATATTTTTTATTGGGGAAGAGAGTTGCCATTCTTTCTCTTCTTGTTCTTTGCATATCCTTTTTGTGCTGGTGGCTAGTGTAACAGGTCTTCATGAAAATCATTACTTTGTGAAATTAAATGTATGTTGCTGGTCATAAAGCCAGACACAAAGCAAATATGTAATAATCACAAGACTTAGTGATATTTTATCTTTTTTCCTAGTGTGCAATTCTTTCTCCAGCATTTAAAGTCCGCGAGTTTTCCATCACAGATGTTGTTCCGTACTCAATTACTCTGAGGTGGCAGTCATCTTATGAGGAGGGGGCAGGGTAAGAATTTGAGCAACGTTCCAAATCGATAGTGTGTCAAAGGGTCAGTAAATAGATGAGTTAGATTTGCTATTTGTAATACAGGGAAATTTCTAAAAATGTGCATTGGATGTAAGCAAAGCAGAGATACACAATCACTTTGACATAGACATTCCCATGAAGAGCTTTTCTTTCTTCCTGTTTTGCTTGATAACATGGTCTTGTGTCCTTTCATAGTAAGCTAGATAGTTAACACATGCTGGAAAACATTTGTGTGACCTATGCTATACAGATAACTAGGGATCTTTTTAACCTCCAGCTCTCTAGGGAAGGAAACTAGGACAGGAGCACATCATACAGATTCATTTGCGATGTTCACCTTGGCAAGCATTCCTCTCTCTTGTAGTGTGAGCACCTCTGAAACTCATGATGACATAAAGAGCCATCCCCTAGCTTTATTCTTATGAGATGTATTCATAGTGGGGAAGAGGAGCACGGGGAAATGCAGCCATGCTGGGCATCAGAGGTACTTGGAGCACCCCTGAAGCTTAACATCACTGGGAAGAGAGCACCCCAAGCTCTTTTCTTCTTGATTCCAAACTCAGGAGGAGAATTGGGACTTGTCCTTAACCTTGTGCTGGACTTTGGAGTTGTACCACAAGCATCTCCAAATCTCAGTATGATATCTGAGATGAGATCCTGCACCTCTTAGGTAAAGTTAGTAGTGACAACAAATTTTGAGCAGCTACCAAGGACTTTCTTATAACATCTGCTCCTCTTTCTTTCCACAAACTCTCTTAATATACAGGAGAACTGGGAAAAGGATATAGTTGAATTATAGAGTCAACATATGCAAATAAAAAAGTTTGAGTTTGAGTCAACACATGCAAATAAAAATGCCTGCAAATAAAAATGCCTGCACCTCCGAAACTCATGAATGAAACTCTGAAATGTCTGATATTTCATTGTTGTTGTAACTTATATGGTGTACAAACTTTCGTATGGTGTATAAAGATTATTTTATTTTTTGTAGTGAATGTGAAGTGTTCTGCAAAAACCACGCTGCTCCATTCTCAAAAGTTATTACTTTCCACAAGAAGGAGCCTTTTGAGCTGGAAGCATTTTACACCCATCCACATGACATTCCTTATCCTGATACAAGAATAGGTAACTTGTTTCTTTACTTCTTGAGCATGGCATTACAGTATGTTCTAACTTTGAAAAAGAACCATTGCTTCAAATACTCAAATACTAGTGTAACAAAATTAAGAAATGGTTAGTCTCAGAATCAGTCTTTGAATCCGCTCATGTACAGTGCTTTCATTTACACTTTGTCCTTAAATATATTTAATGTTTAGCTTTTCTGCTTCAATTACTTAAGACTGTATTTCTCTCCCTTTGAATCCAGACCTCTGTATTTAAAGAACTACGTAACAATCCTCATTCCCAGGGGAGCTTTTGATTTCGGTTTTTTTAACAGTCTCTTGCCTGTAGTGTTTTTTGAACAGTGTCTTGCCAGGCTTGCATTGCAAGTCTCTTGGAGAAATTTTCAAAACCAGTTTGATACGGCAAGAAGTACCTGCCATTTAAAAGTTAAAAGTAAAAGATTCCATGGGTTGGCTCTGAGTGAACCCAAAGTTGCTCTTGGATTCCAAGCTCAGTAGTGTTTCAACAGATAATTTAAACAATGTGTACTGCAAAATTCTAGCAATACTTAGCTGAGGAATGATAGCTGCGAGTTTACAGTGGGCAGAGGGAAATAACATGAATATAGTAGTTGTCAAAAGGGACGCTGGTGGCGCTGTGGTCTAAACCACTGAGCCTCTTGGGCTTGCTGATCAGAAGGTTGGCGGATCAAATCCCCGTGACGGGGTGAGCTCCCGTTGCTCAGTCCCAGCTCCTGCCAACCTAGCAGTTCGAAAGCACACCAAACAGTGCAAGTAGATAAATAGGTACCGCTCTGGCGGGAAGGTAAATGGTGTTTCCGTGCGCTGCTCTGGTTTCGGTGTTCCGTTGCTCCAGAAGCGGCTTAGTCATGCTGGCCACATGACCTGGAAAAACTGTCTGCGGACAAACACCGGCTCTCTTGGCCAGTAAAGTGAGATGAGCGCCACAACCCCAAAGTCGTCTGCGACTGGACTTAACTGTCAGGGGTCCTTTACCTTTTTTTAATAGTTGTCAAAGCAGAGGCACAACACTGTCATTTGAAAGGCAGAAGCCACTTAAAATGCAGTTTGGCCTCCATTGACTGCTTCCATTCAGTATTAATATGTTCTGGCTTGGCTGTGTAATGCAGTGGAGTGGCACATCCTTAAGGCCATCAAGCCATGCAGCTGTTTCCCTCCTTTCTTCTAATTTTGCTGGTAGAGGTTATAATTTGCTTCTGGGCCATTTTGACTTCTCCCTGTATCTGTAAGTGTTCTGCTTCTCTGGCATATCTTCCTTGGTGTATTTCCTTTTTCCTAGCAATCGTTGAGTATTCCAGTCTGGGATGAAGCTACAATTGGGAGCTGAAACAGCTTTTCTTACCTACATGGGCTCATTGCTTTTAGATTAAACAATCATAGTGGTACCTTGATATTATTTTAAATTAAAGCTTTTCTTTTCTACAGTGTAGTTGCATAAGTTCAGAAGGTCAGTTCCTGTCAGGAGTATGTGATGACTGACTCATCTGTCTCAGGGCGCAATAACAGACAGTACTTCGTGGTCTTTTTGTATGCCTAGGCAGATCAACATTTGAGCTCTTAGGAGCTTACCAGGAAGGCAGGGACTTATGCACCTCTGTGCATGTGCCCTGAAGGCTAGGACAGGCCTCTGCATAGCTCAGGAAGTTTCCAAATGTTGATCTGTGCAGAAACAGAACCAGTACATACAGAGCCAGAACCCATTTCAAGAGCAAAAGTCCTTTAGCTTGAGTCAAATGTCACTCAATGTGTTTATAATCCCACAGTAATTTAATTAGATTGTGAGCACTGGCAAAATAGATCTTCTGGTTCAAGTTTGTAGAATATTGAAATGTTAAATAGCGCACATCACATTACAATGCACATTGCTGGTGAGTCTACTCTGTCTACTGTGCCATCTTCTTTTCAGCTGTAGATTTGTTTCAAGAGTTTATCTTGTCCTTGTTGGGGACAGAAGCAATATAGGTGCCTCTGATCAGAGGCAGCCTTCATAAAGCATCTTTATGAACAAGTTGTAATCTAGGAGTTGCTACTTGCTAACATTAACTTTTTTAAAATGTGTAAATAAATGTAAGTAATCATGAGGGCTTAGCACAAAAAAACAAGTCTACAAGCCAATGTCCAATGTCTGCTTTGTATTGTTCAGGTCATTTTGTTATTCAGAACGTTGGACCCCAACATGATGGTGACAATTCAAAAGTGAAAGTGAAAGTTCGAGTTAATGTCCATGGAATCTTCAGTGTGGCTAATGCATCTGTGATAGAGAAGCAACATGCAGAAGGTGATCCAAGCGATATTGCTATGGACACAGAATTGCCTTGCAAGAATCCAAGCAAAGAGGAGCTGGTATGTTAAACTATGAAATCCTCTCACAACTACAAGTAGAACATAATTTTTACTAAAACTTTATTTTTTAATGATGTACTGAAAAATCTACTTGCTTAAGTATCCCCTTAGCTTTTAGTAATATTTAAAAGTTATGTAAGTTCCTGTCCCCTTGAAGTTTTCTTTGTCCACCATTAACTCCGTTTCCGACTTCTCCTGATCCTTTTCTGGTATCCATACTTGCTCATAAAGCTGCAGTTTGTAATTGTCATTGTAGGCAGTTCACCTGCACTAATACAAGTTGCTTTCAGTAGCTCTATTTTTTATTTTCCTTTTACCAAAATACATGATTCCTCTAATAAAGCAGGAGTGAAAACACACACACACACACACACACACACACACACACACACACACAAACACACATATGCATATATAAACTCGATAACCCAGCTGTGCACACTAATACTCACTTTGGATTAAACTTCAGTTTCCGCAAATAGATTCCCATTTACAAATTTTTGCAGTGCCTCCTTGGCTTGCAATGTTTAAAATTTCATTCTGGAAGTTTTTAAACATTTTACTAAAACAAATTCTTACTGAAGGTGAGCAGTCGATGCTTGTGTTTGTCTGTCTTTGAGGCATACAAGTAACCTGAATATCTGCTAAACCTGGTTTTTAAATTTTTAAATGTCCTGAATACTAAGTAGAAAAATGCTTTTCTCAATAAAAAGTAACCATTTTTAATGTCTAAGTCTTGTTTTCTGTGGTGTACGAACTAATTATCTTCTGTTTCTACTATGATGCATATCAGCAATTAGCTTTCATAATTGAGGATGACTTCCTTGACTCTGAGGATGAGGTTTGTTTATATACGTAGCATTCAGTTTGCTTTAAGATAGGAAAGATACTTTCCCCTCAGTTTGTTCCTTTTCTGAGAAAAGTGGGACATAAATGAAAGAAATCTTTTCAGAAAAGGAAGTTCTTAAGTACTTGGCAATAGCTATGCATTTCGGAATTAAAATACTACCAGTCTTGGTTTTAATATTGTGATATTTACATCTTAATATTCTATAAGATAATTCAATATCTTTAGCAAAAATTACTTCTCATCTAGTGGTTGGTTAACTGCTTCAAAACTAATTATTAAATGAAGCATGCTATTGGTGCCAGTGTAGACACTCAAAACTAGTAAACGGTATAAAAATACTTGCCTAAATTTCTTATTTACTGAAATCTCATATACAGGATGAATGCTCTGCTATCCCTGAGTTCTTATGCTTCTGTATCCCTCTGTGACTCCTTGTTGTATTAGTTTGCTAGGTTTGGGGCCTATACCGTAGGTTCTTTCCACCATCTGTTTCTTGCTGTACTCCTACTTACCACTATAGCTGAGTTTAAATCTTCCAATTTTTCTACTCAGCTTTTTATTTTTGTAAGCTAGAGGAAGTCCCTAGTTGCAATGCTGTTTTTTTCTATATTATATTTTTGGGCTTCTTTGATATATTGTGACAGTTTATGTCAAAAAAATCAGATTACTTCTAAACTGTCACTAATGTTGTATTTATAAGATAGATAGGCATTTGGCAGAGCAGTTTAAACCTCTTTACACTGGCCTTGGAGAGGAGAAAGAAGTTGGATTGGGTGAAGGTGCCAAATGGCCAGGCAGAAACCAGCAGAAAGCCCTGAAATGGGAGGGGACTGAGTTGGCCTAGGATTCGTTGGTTTCCAGGCTGGTTCCACTCCTGTCATGTGGCTGCATCAGGCTCAATCCAGACCAGATTGCCTCATCATCTCAAGATTTATACAGAGATCCACCTGTCCCCTTCTTCTGTCACATCCAGCAATGCGGATGCAGTGGTGGCCCTGCTAGTTAGTGTGTTAAACCCCACTGAGCAACGACCAGAATCTAATAGAATATGAAAGGATTCAGGACCCATAGTTCTGAAAAGTTTTGTCTTCATTTGGGGTTAATCAACTCCATCCTCTTGTCGTCTTTCATTTGTTTTCCAGTATTGTGGGAGTAATCTAATTGCCACCATTTAGAATTTCATGATCTAGAATATGTTTTCCTTGCCTTTATCATGTTGAAGGAAACAAGGCTTGAGAAGCCTTAAACATTATGCTAAGAGTAACAGTTATGTGCTTCAAGTAAACAAGCACTAGTTAAGTAAAGTGCTTTTTTTACTGATACATCTTGTCTGATTGCACAAAGCTGCTATGTAGATGACTAGAGTACACCTTCCTGTAAAGTTTAGTGTGGAGGTAAAACTTTTCTTTTTTATAGGCTAAAATGCAGGTTGATCAAGATGATGGCAATCACAAGAACCAACATGAGCAGCATAATCAAGGCGATGAGGAAGTTGATCATATAAGCTGTGAAGGAAAGGTCAGTATGAAATAGCAAAGATAAGTTTGAGGACCTCAAATCTTAGAATAGGAATGGCTCTTGTCCAAAACTGCTAAGAAGTTGATGGGGAAATACCCTTGTACTATTGTGTGATCAGTCCGCAATAACTTACTTAAATATAGCCATGAGTTTTGCTATCTAGGCATTAAACACTCATTCATGCGCTAATGGGCTTCAAGTGCATCCTGTGACACAGAGAATTAAGATAGCCTTACACACCCTCAATAGAAACTGATGCAGTAGCTCTTCTTTGGTTGTTAATCTAAAGCGCTTCTAAGAGGATTTTCTATTTAAGCATTGCTTGAACTAGCTTCCTTGCTTGACTTAAGTGTCATCCAAAAAATCCTGCAGCATCTGCAGATGCTAAACAGTAATATTATCCTTCTGTGGATCTTTCATCTTAAAATTGTATTTCGTCAAATTTTTATATGACACATTTTTGTACACTGGGTTCAAATATTCTGAATGTTGACATATATTTCAATGTGTAATTCTGCAGACTGCTTCAGGAGACAAGATTGACACAGCTCAGTCTGGCAAAACTAAAGCAAAGATCAAGAGTATTGATCTACCTATCCAGGTTAACCTATACAGACAGGTGGGACAGGACGTTATTAACTGCTACATTGAAAATGAGGTAAGGATACAGAGTTATTCCATGTCTGTACAGCAGATGTCTCAATTCTAGATTAAATAAAATAATTAGAAGAAACTGAGTTATAATAGTAAATCTATTACAGTTAAGTGATGGAATATTGTTTTGTTTTGTTTTATTCATAAGTTTACCAAGTTTAGAGTACATGACACTGTGGTTGGTTCAGTTCAACAGATTCCAGAGTCTGAAGAGGTTTGTTGTGGAAGATTCCCAAAAACATATTTGAAAAAAAATAACATCTCTGTACTTGTCAAGATTTAAAATGACTTAAAATTTTCTTACAGGGGAAGATGGTAATGCAAGACAAGCTGGAGAAGGAAAAAAATGATGCCAAAAATGCTGTTGAAGAGTATGTGTATGATCTAAGAGACAAGCTCTGTGGTGTCTATGAAAAATTCATCACTGAAGATGTAAGAATCATTGTGTATTTATAACATGAGGAATCTGTTTAATTGGCAAATCATACTGAAAGAAAAGGAGGGTAGCTGATGTCGGAAAAGTGCAGTGTGCCTTAAATCACAGCTGCACTATAGCATTGAATTCACCCTACTGTATTTTCATTAAACAGCACATATAACAAAATGAAAAGTTTTTGAAGGCATAAGTCTTTGTCACATTGGAGAGTTCTGGCGATTAGTCTGGCATAGGTCTTGCAGAGCTCTTGAAGATCTTTGCCATCACCTCTTTAAATAATAATAATAATAATAATAATAATAATAATTTATTATTTGTACCCCGCCCATCTGGCTGGGTTTCCCCAGCCACTCTGGGCGGCTTCCAACAAAGATGAAAAATACACTAAAATGTCACATATTAAAAACTTCCCTGAACAGGGCTGCCTTCAGATGTCTTCTGAATGTCAGGTAGTTGTTTATCGCTTTGACATCTGATGGGAGGGTGTTCCACAGGGTGGGCGCCACTACCGAGAAGGCCCTCTGCCTGGTTCCCTGTAACTTGGCCTCTCGCAGTGAGGGAACCGCCAGAAGGCCCTCGGAGCTGGACCTCAGTGTCCGGGCAGAATGATGGGGGTGGAGACGCTCCTTCAGATATACTGGACCGAGGCCGTTTAGGGCTTTAAAGGTCAGCACCAACACTTTGAATTGTGCTCGGAAACGTACTGGGAGCCAATGTAGGTCTTTCAAGACCGGTGTTATATGGTCTCGGCGGCCGCTCCCAGTCACCAGTCTAGCTGCTGCATTCTGGATTAGTTGTAGTTTCCGGGTCACCTTCAAAGGTAGCCCCACGTAGAGCGCATTGCAGTAGTCCAAGCGGGAGATAACCAGAGCATGCACCACTCTGGCGAGACAGTCTGCAGGCAGATAGGGTCTCAGCCTACGTACCAGATGGAGCTGGTAAACAGCTGCCCTGGATACAGATTTGACCTGTGCCTCCATGGACAGCTGTGAGTCCAAAATGACTCCCAGGCTGCGCACCTGGTCCTTCAGGGGCACAGTTACCCCATTCAGGACCAGGGAATCCTCCACACCTGCCCGCCTCCTGTCCCCCAAAAACAGTACTTCTGTCTTGTCAGGATTCAACCTCAATCTGTTAGCCGCCATCCATCCTCCAACCGCCTCCAGACACTCACACAGGACCTTCACCGCCTTCACTGGTTCTGATTTAAAAGAGAGGTAGAGCTGGGTATCATCCGCATACTGATGAACACCCAGCCCAAACCTCCTGATGATCTCTCCTAGTGGCTGCATGTAAATGTTGAAAAGCATGGGGAAGAGGACAGAACCCTGAGGCACCCCACAAGTGAGAGCCCAGGGGTCTGAACACTCATCCCCCACCACCACTTTCTGAACACGGCCCAGGAGGAAAGAGCGGAACCACTGTATGACAGTGCCCCCAGCTCCCAGCCCCTCAAGACGGTCCAGAAGGATGTTATGGTCGATGGTATCAAACGCCGCTGAGAGATCCAGCAGAACTAGGAAACAGCTCTCACCTTTGTCCCTAGCCCGCCGGAGATCATCAACCAGTGCGACCAAGGCAGTTTCAGTCCCATGATGAGGCCTGAATCCCGACTGGAAGGGATCCAAATGGTCCCTAAATCAGCATTTTACTTGCATTTTTGAAGTTCTAATACAGGATTGTAATGTTTAAACTGGTCCCATGAGTTAATTCTTAAAATTGATTTTGGAGTTATGTTATATTAGAATATTAAAAATTCCCACTGTTACAAGACTTTATGTTTTGAGAAATCCATTTTGCATAAAAGTAGTAACATAATGAATATACACAATGCTAATCAAACAGGGCAACTTGAATGAATAAAATAGCAGGCAAATGAAATTTGTAATTTTAACAGGAACCGTACCCAGATTCCTATGCATGCTGAAGCATGTATGTTTATTGTTTTAACTGCTTTCAGTTTTTTCTTATATTCTAATCTAAGTAATGTAAGGGAAGTTCCTATTATCACATCATGTCATAAAATATATACAAACATTAATATATACAAATATTCTAATAATCATTTCCAGGTAAAACATTGAATTTGAATATAACATTTAAGTCATACGAAGTATGCTTTAGGAAGAAACGTCAATCAAATATTTCAGATCAAATACTTAGTGGACTATTGGAGAATAACTTTCAATATTTGTACAGCATATTCTAAAGTTAACATGGCATACTTTAGAGTAGCAGAAACTGATTTTTTAGTTGACTACAGTAATTAGTTAAAAGAAAGATAATTTGATGTATTGATTCAGTGTAAATACATTTGCATATTACCTAAAACATAAATGTTCCTTTTTGAAATATGAGGGAAAGTGTGAAGTAATAAAGAATCAATAAACGTATCTTTCATTTTTAGAGAAAAGCCACATGTCATTTTCGCTTCCAGTTCTTTTATAATAACATACAAGCTCAAAATATATAGGTGTGCTTTTAACTTTCAATCCTATCAATTTAAAATCGTTTCTGAGCTATATGCATTTCAGCTACAGCTTCAGAATTTCATCCCCCCCATTTTGTTGACTTTCCTGCATTTCCTATTGCTACATTTGTCACAAATCACTTGATGAATATATATTGGAATGGCGAAAAATAAATTAGTGTGGCTTTCTGCATGACTATAGATTTAAATGTACTACATTTTAACTACAGCAACACTAAAATAAATTAGCAGGGTATTTCAGAGAGAAGCTTAAATGGAATTATAGCCTTCATGCATTGCTTGACTAATTAACCATTAGACTTAATTTACTTAGCTTTACCTTGTCCTGTCATTCAGGCTGTGGCTGAGTCACACAGATTGTTAAATGTTTATGCAGAAATTATGAGGGGTAAAGCAAGGACACGATACCCTTGGAATAATTGTAACAAAACTCAATTTCTACTAGCGGTTTCTATACCTTAGCATAATGCATGGGACCCAGTTAGCATTCCAGTTTAGTTTTTAATACCATTATAGGTGAAGCGCTGAAACTGTTTCCCCCTTTTCTGTAAAATTCTGTAAAACTCAATTTCCTATAACACATTATTGTTACAGTGTCAGTATTGGATATCAGTATTTGTAGCTGAATGCATTCTTACACAGACAGCTTCTGTTTTCACTCATTCAAAATGGCAAGGCTTTTTGTACTGCTTTTTCTAGGATTCAAGAAAGATAACTTTAATGTTGGAGGACACAGAAAACTGGCTTTATGAAGATGGAGAAGACCAACCAAAACATGTATATGTGGAAAAACTTCAGGAAATGAAAGTAAGACCTGTATTTTAAGAAGTGTAATAATTGAATGTCGTAGATATGTGGACTAGTAGCTTTGCTGTCTTAAAGCCACTGAAATTTGACCAGAGACAGCAAGAGATTCAAGATGTCACAAGAACATTAATTAAAGTTGATTAAATGGAGTAGTTGCAAGTACTATAGCTTCATACGGACTTTGAGTACTGATATCAGCATTTTCTTTTGCATACCTCCCAGTAAAAAAACTAAGCCTTCAACCTGTACACTTGTAGAAAAATATATTACACCTTCATGCCAACCCAATTACCTTATGGTGACTGACTATAAAATTAAAATTAATTAAAAAAACAATCAGGTAGTTAGTCCTTCATGGGTTGAGGCTTACACCCAGCCTGTTTTTTGTTGTGACTCCTGGTAGAAGATGCAAGAAGAACCAGGGGACCAGAGGCACAAAGGTATTTGCAAGTCTCCCTACCAGCCCCCAAAAAACCTTGGCTAGAGATCATGATTTGCTTGGACTGAAACAAGCCTTGATTCCCAGTGTGGACATAATGCTAAACCAGTGGTTGTTTCTCCTGCACCAGGAAAGGAGCAGAGTGGCTCTGATAAGGAGGCTTATGGTTTACCATGACATTGAAACTGAGTTTTCATTTGCTCCTAAAATAATAGCCTTCCAAAATAAAATTATCTTCAAGGACCAGTGAAAAACATTGAGAGAGGGGACCAGCTGCACTTTACAATGCAAGATGTTCCATAATCTCAGTGCAGCAAGAGAAAATGCCCCCTTTCAAGTTCTGTCCAGCTATGCCTTCACCTAGGCAGGACTTGTATTACTCCCTCACTGAGCAAGACTTTCTCATCTGTGGTGCTGATAATGTGTGTCACAGCAACTTGCTGATGATTAATTTCATTTTCCCTGCATTTGTCTCATACACTTCCAAACCAAGGTTGGTAAGATGAAATTATAGTTGGGGATATACTAGCTCTGGATTTCTTGTATCGAGCATTAGCTGGAATTTGATGGTCTCTAACTTCATGAATTGGTTCCAGACCTGCTGTTCTAGGAACAGAAAGCCGCCTCTTGTTCACAGAAGTGAGTCTGATCCAGCAGAGGCTCCCACTCTACTAGGCACTCCTGCAAGCAGTAGGGAGGGGTTTGCACCTCCTGTGCTGTTTGAGAGGGCCTTGAACTCTGAAGCAGATTGTGGAGGGAAATAGCATATCCCCTTCTACCCACAAGAGCAGTCAGGTTGTAGAGCTTGGCTCTGCAACTCTGGATTCAACCCTTTGATTCTAAATACAGTAGAGGCTTGCTAATGCTGGTATGTGAGCCACTTTTCTGTTTCCCCAGCAAAGTAACTAGTTCATTTGCTTCCCCAGATTGCCATTATTTTTTCCTGTAGGTTTACAAGGAATTCTGCTTAATAGTTCCAAAAATATGCTACCTTTATTCATGCTTTCTCCAGTTTTTAGGGAATACTTTTTAAATACCTCAACTTCTGCTTCTTCTGTTGTAGAAATTTGGCGGTCCTATTCATGATAGATACATGGAACATGAAGAGAGGCCTAAAGCATTAAATGATTTGGGAAAGAAACTCCAGCTGCTTATGAAAGCTGTAGAAGGATACAAAAATAAGGTAGGTCCATAAGATTTACAGGATAGTTTTAATAGCACTGTATTGAACTTCTGTATAACTTACCTAATCTACAAATTATTTGTCAACAAAATATTTTGAACAGAAACAAATATGTCTTCTTTTTCATCTTGTAGTGTCTTGATTTTTTTTCTTTCATATCCTTAACATACTATATTCACAATTAAACATCTCTTCTGTGGTATGTAACAATTGATAATATATTTTATGTCTAAGCTTTGTTTGTCCATCAGTAAATAAGATGGAGTGACTTTTCACAAATTGCATTTCCAAACCTAGAGTTCCTTTTAATATATAATTACTCAAGTTTGCAAAATTGTTCTGTTTGGAAAAGACCGTAGCATAGAGAAGAGATGCAGAACTCCTGGCTCATAGATTGGATGTGGCCCATGAATATGGTATTCTGATTTTTCTGATTTGCTTGCTGATTGCAAATCATGATTTATCAGTTCACACATCATACGTAACCATAGTTATGCTTCCTTAATAATAGTCTGGAATGACTTCAGAAATGAGCGTATGTATTCATTACCTTTCTGAATTCTGAATTTAAATAACTTATCAATAATAACAATTTTTTTCCTCCTCTAGGATGAAAAATATGATCACATTGATCCTGTTGATATGGAAAAAGTTGAAAAGTATACCAGTGAAGCAATGAATTGGTTGAACTCAAAAATGAATGCACAAAACAGGCTGAGTCTCACCCAGGATCCTGTTGTGAAAGTGGCAGAAATAACAGCGAAATCTAAGGTAAATGTGAAATTTCTGTGCATGAAATGGGATTAATATAAATATGGATAGACCAAGAAATAAATGAATATTCCAAATAATAGAAGGGGATAACAAACATTTCTGTTAAAGTTAATAAAAAGGATATCAGTAGTACAGTTACTCTTTAGCATCCGTACACGGTGAACTCCATCTACCATAACTGATAATGTGACCCATCTGTAGACACAGGGCTTTGAATCACAGTGTCTCAGTATGGTGACACCAAAAATCAGCTAAAGCTCTGATTGATGCAGAAAGATTTGGCCTGGATCTTAAAGTTTCACTCCATCAATGGAAGGAGCATCTGTTGTTTTTCTTACACTAAATGTGCATAAAGGGTATATAGGTGTTTTTGTGTATGTCTGTGCACATGCCTGCATATATTGCAGGTAAAACCATATATCTGTTTTGAAAACCCTGTGTTCTGATATTTGGCAACAATTTAGATTGATTGAAAATGTGCAAAGCAGTAAACAGATTTTGACTAGCAATGGATAATTTCTGTCTCTAGATAAGCAAGAAGCAATTTCCTATGTGTGCCATTTAGCATACTTTGCAGAAAGCTTGATGATTCAACAGTTGGAGCAGATAATAATTTAGCTAACAAGATTTGTAGCAGTTTCCAATATCTGAAGGCTCTTCAAGCTGATTTGTAAACAGTTGCTTAATACCAGAATCTTTCAGTCACGGGCAGCTCTTTAGTGAAATAATTACCCGCAGGTATACCTCCCAAATACCACATCAAAATCCATTACATTCGTATTTTTTGCCAACTTACCATATTTTTCCCCTCTTCATCTTAATAACAGGAACTGGACAGTTTATGTAACCCTATTATTTACAAGCCTAAGCCCAAGGCAGAGCCACTGTCTGAAGATCAGTCAAAATCTAGTGAACACAATGGACCAATGAATGGACAGAGTGGTGCTGACACAAAATCAGAGGACAGTTGCCAGCAGCCTAAATCATCTGAAGAAATGGATGTGGACTAAGTTTTGCATTTCTTTCAGTCCATTAAAAACAGTGCAAGTAATCAGAGGGTCCATCTTTCTTTTATGTCTGATTCACACTACAGATGTTCAGTTAGTCAACTTTCTGTCCTTTGTTCTTTGCAGTAGGTTTGAAAGTGTTTTTCTATTTGAGTGCATTCCCATTGTTCATTCCATGATACCGCTTATGTGGAGCGTTAGTTGAATGTAGATTGTAAAAGTCAGTTTAAGCTTTCCCGATATATTTTATATCAAATAGGCAGAATTGCTATATAAATGACAACAATCTACCTTATTTAAAGCTTTTATTGTGGGTAAGCCTCTGCTCCTTTATTCAGGAAAGGCCACTGTATTGCACTACTGATGCTGAAGTCTAGATCTCTGCATCTTTATTTTGGAAGATATTGGATTTGATGTGGCTTAAATATTGCCACTTGAAGCACTGACCTTTTTCTAGTTGTTGTACTGTTCTAATTTAAATATTAAAATAGAGGTTAGCTGGCAAATTAGTTAATCTTGTTGATGTACCATGAAAACTGTAAGAACCTTGTAGACAAAACATCCAAGGCTTGAAAGGAGCTCATACCAGCAGCATTCTTTGTCATAAGCCTTAGCAACATGACTCAAAATAAAGCTCATGGTCTCCGTGTACACACAGTCCTATATATCATATTCTGTGTTGATGCTGAGGACACTGTTTAAAGTTGTAATAGTATGAAACGTTAGTGAAAGTTTGAAGGCCATAACTGGGGACTCACTCATGTTTTCATTTCTCTTAATTACCTCCAGACTTGCTAATTTAGCTTAATTTTGAATGCTGCCTATGCATGTTCTTTAAATATGTCCTCCTCAGAATTAAAAGTGGAAAATACACACACATTAACTGGTAATTGATCTCTGTCAGTGTTCCTTACTGAAATACTTCTACCATTTCTCTTGGCCAAATTATCTTCTATTTTTGTTTCTGTGTTTAGAAAAGGAACACAACAAAAGTCACAAAATCTGTCAGCAATGGTCCCAAGCATCCTTTGGCATCCATAAAAAACTCAGCCCAAAGATACATTCATGCAACTAATGTTCCAAATTTGCATTGCTTTAAACTTGATTCTACTATTACAGTTTTAAGCCTAAAAATTAATCAAAGGAGATAATAAATCAACTACCTTGAAATATGAGCAAATTGGGGTCAAAAGAACTCGTAATGAACAGACATCCTTCATGAGTAACCCAGTTTTTGGCTTAAATGTTGCCTTTGTCACATTAGCAGAGTTTTGCCTCTCTTTTTCCACAACTACTATGCAAGTTCTATTACAGTATTTTTCAAGTTATTCAGTCATTTCTTACAGTTTTTTGTGCACCAGGTTCCATGCAGGAAAGTTCTCCACTCTGTTTTGTATTTTTCTCCACATCTCAGATTTTAACAGATTAGTGAATATTGTAGGCAGAATTTCTTTTAGTTGTGCAATGTACAATATCTCCATAATGTTACTAAATGTTTTAGCATTCTCTAGGGTTTCTGTGGTACTAATCCAAAGTGATTGCAGGATGATAGGCAGACTTCACAAAAAAGAGGCCCTTTTGGAATGCTATCAAAATTCTCTGTCCAGGATTTGACAGGTTTTTTCTGAGGCTTTGACTTCGGTTGACTTTACCAGACATTCCTGTACTGGACTTCATTTTTCAGGCTTTTAACCATCTTTCTTCAGGGTAGAAAGAAGGCTATGTTGCTGCTTAAGCCATTTTCTGATCTTCCCTTGGGACCATGAGGTTGGACATGTGGAATCCTAGCTTTCTTGTACACTCCTTTCTGCAACTTTCACACCAATAGGTTGATTTTGGGATGGCTGTGAAACAGGATGGTGAATAACAGAGATCTTCATCTGGTCTGTTTAGAAGTACCAGAACAATGCAAGGAAAGGGGGTTTTGTTTGCTTGTTTTAAACACTCTTAAGATTTACTGAGTACAGTGAGGAGGCTTTAGCACCCAAGTGTACCACACCCCTTTCAGATGCCTCAGCAAACTAATTCATCTACTGCCATCTTAATAATGAGTGGTGCAGATGTTTTCTCTTTGTCCCCGATAACAAGAGCTCATGCAAGTGGAATTCCTTGTCAACTGGAAGAAGCCAGTTGAAATTACTCAACATTTAGGGGCAATTGTGGATTCTATCTTTCAAGACATTGTTATTGAATAATAAACGGGATTGGGTGGGAGAAGAAGACTGGGGTCATTCAGTATTCAGTCTTCCATGGATCAGGATCCTTTCTTGAGCTTGGGTCTGTAGTGGATTTCCTACCTCCTTGCCAAGAGATGCTTGCAGAAAACTTAGTGCTTACCCCGTTTTATGCCAATCTGCCAGCTAGATAAAATGCTTGTTTTTTAAAAAAATGTGAAGGGAAGAATTAAACTTATTATTGTGTTAGGCTTTGTACACTGGTAGGTACTTGGAAGCCTGCTTTATTGGGAGGGATTAGGAGTCACTTTCTCCTATTTGCCCCTCCATAAGTCTGTCTTATGATACCAGTGGAGCATAACCCAATTTTACAGTGTTTGATAGATAACCCAAAGGAAGTCAAATCACAGATAAGCAGCCAATTACTGTTTTTATGACCAATACCTAGGATAATGGATTATGCAATTTTGCTACATTCTTTTGACCTGTATTTTTCTCTTATATGTGGAACTAGTGATGTCCTTGCAGTCAATTTAGCACAGGCATTCATGGGATGAGACAATTCCTTTGACTTCCAGCAGCTTCAGTGTGAGGTAAACTTTTCATGTGCATATTCAAGCATATTCTGAATTCAGCTTCTGGTACGTCACGCTGACTTCGTAATGACTTACTCTAAACAAATGAATTCTGGATACTAAAGTGATTATTGGTTACAGAGAGCTGTGTATAAAATGTCCAAGCTAGAATATCGATGTGGAAAAGTATGGCAGAAAAGAAAGGTCTGTTACAGCATTAGAAACCCCCTGCTCTTATCTTCAGGGATGAAGCATGGTTCCCACCAAATTATTTAAGGAAATGTTGCTCAGATGGGAAAGGAGGTTGTACACTTTTGCAATTGTTCTTTATCCCTTGATTTGTTGCAGAAAAATATTCCCTTAATGAAATGGTACAAAGATGGAACCTTGTTTGTATTAATCTAGCAGTGTAGGCATATGGAGTTTGCCCAGAATTCATTCAAAAAGTTTCTAAGCTGGCCTCCCAGGGGTTTTCCACACTTTTCCACACTTTATCTTCAAAGTAGCTTGAGTGCTTTGCAGGGGAAGCTGCTAAATCAAAATCAGCCTATTAAAGTGTGATATATATGTAAAGCCTCTTTGTGAACGTGGACTCTTTCTTTTTGGGATAGAAATGCTAGATTTTTCAATGCATCTGTTTACATTTTACGGCATGGGTTTAGCTTTATACACCTTTCTGTTTCTATGTAACGAAAGCACTGTTCATACGTTTGGCTTACGTTTAGCATTTTGAGTAATTTTAAAGTACATTTTACGAGTTAATATACTAGACCATGGACTGATTGATACAGTATGTACCCTAAGTCACAATGGTATGTCACCTGGTGCTAGAACTCATGAGGCACAGTATCACATAACCAGTAGAGCTAAGTATCTTCTTAAAACATTATTTAAGAATGGATTTGGCCTCTCCAGTTTAGGCTTAATAGAGGATAGTGCCTTGTGTCTGAGATGAATTTCTTCCCCATCATGTTCCTGTGGTTCATTGTGACTCCAGTAGATTTATCAGTATGTTAGTGTAGTTAAATGTGTCTGGGATGGGGTATTTGCATGCTACTGAGAATGAAAAACACATGAGCAAAGTGCTTAGTGAATATCAGGAAGGCAGATTGAGCAGTTTTGCATAGTCTGCTTTTTTTCCTCCTGTCTACTTTCTGCCCACTTCTGGTCGTGGATGATATTGAACATGAGTGATGGGGAAAAAATTAATTAGCAACTTTGTTTTACTCCCCCAGTTGTTTATATGCATGAGTTATCTCTTATCTCACAACAGCAAATTAGTGGTACACTGCCTGCTTTTGTTCAGCTCCTATTTTCATCTCCACCTAGCACCAGTAATTATAGTTTTATAGATTCATTATTCATAGTCATGCCACCCACCCACACTTGTCTATAAAACAGTAGCCCATAAGTCTTGGCCAGTTTTACTGGAATGCATCAGATTATTTTCTTGAACCTGTTTAGAATCATCAGGAATTATAATTTCACTCCATATGTCATGTCCTTCTGCATTGATGCCTGCTCATGTTAACTGGTTATTCCTTCATCTTCCATGGCCCTTACCTCAAAAAAATGGAACCCACCATTTAAATCAAGGATGATGGGAGTTGTAGTCCCAGACATCTGGAGGGCCGGAGTTTGCCTATGCCTGATTTAAGCAGCTAGTTTCTCACTTAAATTTGGTGTAATTTTAAATTGGCTACAATTTAATTATAGGTATTTATTTAACTGAGTTGGAATGCAGGCCTTGATACTAATTTGGGGGGGGGGTATGAATCCTTGGGGGGCTATGAATAAAAGAATCGGCTGGGTGCCTGGATTCAAAATGCAGGGCTGAATGAACTCTCCAGCAGGAGAGAGCCCCCAGTAGCAGAGTTTAAACTCACAAAAGTCAAGCAGCACTATAGCATGGGAATATAGGCTATTAAACCCTTTTCATAACCCATTTAGTTGCATACATCACTCCTTTCTTTTTACCCCTCTGGCAATGAACAAACCACACACTGTTAGTTTAAAAAGCTTTACTTACAAAAAAGTCAGATTCATGCATTTATCCAAGGAGCAGCAAGGAGAAGACAGAATGTACAGAATGAAAACTTCAGACTCGTGCTCTAAGCTTGCTCCTTGATCAGAGAGAGAACAGGAAGAGAAGGCTTCGCTTCCTAGCACATCAGAGAAGAGGGTGTGTGACATAGCCAAGTCTGGGAATACAGCTCTATTTTCTTAACCCATTCATGCAGTAACTAGCAATCATGCATATTATGTTTGACTGCAATTTCCCACAATTTTTTCATCTAAACCCCCACTCCATTTTAATTCCTAATTGCTACTTAATTTAAGTAGGTATCTTACAAGAATCAGCAGATTAATAGGCCATAATTCGCAGTACAAGCTTCTCTACAGAGCTGTTATCCTACAGACAAATGTTGTCATTTTTTGAGTTACCTTTCTGTATAAGTGGAAACTTTCCTGCTATCTTCCTTTCTTGCACACAGACACAATACACACACAGAGATACCTAAGGTTCCAAAACAAGACTGTTTTATTTCCAGCCTTGCTTCAGAAGAGCTACTTTAAACAGCAGTTAGAATACCCAAGGCTGCCAGCTAGCAAGTTCAAGTCAGAAGTGTAAAATCATATGAAGAATGATCTTTGCAATTTCAAATTCATTTCCATAGTTTGGAATTTGGAATGGGTTCCTGTGAATATATTAAATTAGTATGTACGAGGAGGACAGAAGCTTGCTAAATTGCATTGTCCAATTAAAAAAACCACCATTTGCTATTTTGTTAGGATAAACTTGTGAATAGCAAAATGGTACAATTCTTGTAAGCTACAAAGTGACTCCATTTAGTTTTCTCATAAACGTACCTCAAGATACAGAAAAATGAAGGTGTGAATTGGGGAAATCAGTTCACCATAACAAGCTGAAGCTAAAGTCAATCAGCTGCCATGGCCAGGGTTCTACAGACATTTTATATTTAGCAAGTGTTTTCTTATGTAAATGTGTCTCCATGGGACAGGAGTGTGTTCAGCTTGAATAACCTTATAGCAGTGTTTAAGTATGCAAAGTGTTTATATGTAAAGGGATGGAATCCTTCATAGTGACATCATGCACAAATGGATGAATATGTCAGTTGATTTCCAAGTGGCAACACTAATTTACCAGAGATTGTGTGTAAAAATTTATAATAAATATTTAAATCTACTTCTTGAACCAGAAGTGATGTTCCCCTGAGACTTTTTTATTGTCACTAGTTTCAGCTTAATCTGCTACTGTAATACAATAATTGTCCTAACCAATGGGATTAATGTCCACGAAGAGGACTGATCTCTTAACAGCCATCAAAGTTCTTTGGTCAGAAAAAAACACATCAGCACACTTTATAAATTCTGCTTGCTTTTTACACATCATACATTTGAGAAAAGTTGCTTGGTTGCTTAAAGGCTGCCTCTGCCCTGCAGCCTGTCCAAGAAGCTGTTAAATTTCCAACTGAAATGGGTCGTCAAGTTCTGCTGCTAGATTTGGTTTGTGGAAGGCAAGCTGTGTGTCGGCTAACTCACACAGTGGAAGAGAGCGATAAGAATTCATTTGGTTTGCATCATGTTGAATAGGTTTCCACTGGAACTGCTTTGATCTGAAAGGTAAATGGTGTGCTGGTTTCTTTCTGGCTAGTAGTTGTAAGAAGGATACTTTTCCAAATGATACAAAATTAAGACTTCTTCCTTAAATTTGGGAAATTAGGTGAGGGAATGGGGAGAGAATAGATTATATGGATAGCTAGGAGTCTGCAGATCACTTCCAATAATTTCTGGGAAACTACTAACAAGGCACACAAAGGGAATGGTAGATGCAAAAAGCAGTTTTTTGAAATACATGTTGCTACTGTATCAAACTCACAGACTGCGCACTTGAGTATGGACTCATCTGTCAACAAAATTTAATTTTCAGTTGTCCTGTGTCTTTTATAAAGTGCAGCATTCTATTACGCCATGCAAGACTCGCATATCTGTTAAGTTAACCTAGTATGGGCCAGTATGTTGTCGGTGAATAAAGAGGATTTAAATCCAAGTTGTACACACCTGTGTAGTCTGTCTATCTGCCTTTGCTTCAATTCTTCAGCAAGTTCATCATCTGTTACCATCTTTGAAGTGCAAGTGTCCCAAATCATCTATGGGATAACATACCAATCATTTAGGCTGGGCAGAGAAGTGCCCTCAAAGTACACAGGGGGCAATGATTCCCAGAAAATAAAGGTTTTTGGTGAAACAGCAACTATAATTACAGGGCTTTCCCAGAAGGAAGAAAGAGCTTGTGGGGTGAGTTGGTGACACAATTGTGCAGTATAATTTTAGCTTCGAAGCAAAGGGTGATAGTAGCAGTAGGACTGAGAAAGGGTAATAAAATGGTTGCAAGGTAGTAAATTACTTTCTATAAAACATATATTACAGATCAAATGTTATTTTTTTGTTCCGAAAGTAACAAAGTATTGTGTATAATGTGTTTAGCCATTATGTTTGGTATATTAAAAGAACAGGGTTTTTTAGACAATTTCAAATCAAATTTACTTTTTATTTTTATTTTGTTACAAAGAACTAGAAGCTGCTGGAGCAGGCAAAAAAAGTAGCAAAACCAGGATAAGCCAACATAATAGTTTTTAAATATATATATATATTCTGAAAATTATGCTGTCTTCCAGTCCCTCCACGTGTCAAGCAGGCATAAAGCATTCATTTCCATAAAAAGAGCTGAGAAGAAGGCAGAGGACCAATACAGTACTCAATGAACACTACATTAAATTTTATCCCATTTTCTGATTCTTCATATTTTTCATTATACTTATCAGAGACTTACAAAAATTGCAGATCTGCCCAGATTGAAAAAGCTATGTAGTTTCACATCTCAAGAGCTATTGAGCTTGGGGATGGGGGGTATACTGTTGAGTATTTCATGGGCTGCAGGCCACTTCATCAGATACATGCAATGTTATCCTTATCAGGAATATAATATACCTGGTTTGGGGACAGGAGCTAGTTGGCAATGAAGCCAAATGCTAATGAAAAGACAAAACAATGGGAGATACTCAGCTACCTTAATTTTTAATCATAGTGGACCTTTTGAAATTAATGGACCTAGCTTAGTCATGCTCATTAATTTCAATGTGTCTGCTCTAAATAAAACTCAAATACTGCCCAGTGATGATAATATTCCTACCTCAGCATCCATCTTGGATTTCTTCAGTGTGTCAAAGGTTCTTGTAGATTCTTGTCCAAAAGAGTCAGAGGTAGTTTCTGAACTCGGGTTGGATTCTGATAGTCCCCATGATGACTTCTCTTTTATGTTCCATGGTTCTCTTTGACCAAATGTACCTTTTTTTAAAAAAAGTAAAGTTACCGTATTTTTCGCTCTATAACACGCACCCGACCATAACATGCACGTAGTTTTTAGAGGAGGAAAACAAGAAAAAAATATTCTAAATGAAACAGTGGATGTATGATTTTTGTGGTTCATGCTGTGGCCACAGACATGTGATCTGACAGTGAGTTTGGAGTAGCCCAATGCAAAAATCCTGAGGATCCATGTGGATCCATGCTTTGTAACCACGTTTTAAGTGGGGAGGGAAGGAAAAGCACTCAAGGGACAAGGAGCACGTGTGGGGTGTGTGGAGAAGGATGCTGCTAATAATGCAGAAGAGGGGTATAAGGGGAGAAGGCTCCTCTCCTCTCCCACTTTGCTCCTTTAAAGCAAGCAGGCTCTGCTTTTCTCCCTCCTCCCCACTCATCCCCGGCAGCGGCTCTTCTCCCGCTTTGCTGTTTCAAAGCGAGCCACAGAGGAGGGAAGGAAGGGGAACCATGGATCTTCTGCTCACGACTGCAGCAGATCCCCCCCCCCCGCCACCCATAGGCATTCCCTCCATAACACGCACAGACATTTCCCCTTACTTTCTAGGAGGAAAAAAGTGAGTGTTATGGTGCAAAAAATACGGTACTTTAAAATGCTATACTTGACTACCTCAGAATCTTCTCTGTTATGCATATATTCAATTTTTACTTGCATGTAGACAAAGGACTATATCCAACCAAGTTGCCCTGTTAGATAAAAACATCTGCCTGTGCAATGAAATTTCTGCTCCCTGCCTCCCCCAACCAATCTGCTCCAAAGGGTTGGAGAAAACCACAGGACAGATTTGGGAGGACAACAGGAGAGTAAAGGAAGAAGAAGTCCCATTGTGCAGGTGGAAGACCTGCTAACTGAATAACTTGATTGGATACAACCCAAAATAAAGCTTTCAAAAAACCCAAACCACTGTTACAGTCCTAGGGAATGAACAACCACATAAGAACATAACAAGAGCTTGCAAGATCAGGCCAATGGCCCACCTAGACCAGCATCCTGTTCGCATAGTGGACACCTATGAGCATGCCTGTGGGAGACCTGCAAGCCAGACCCGAGCACAAGAGCAATCTCCAGCCCTATGCTTTCCAGCGACGTGTGCAAAAGCATTACTGCCTCAACCGTGGAGGAGAAGCAGCCATCATGGTTAGTAGCAATTGATAGACTTCTGCTCCGTGATGATGCAGTGGTGATGGTTCCGTTCCAGATGCAATCAGAGAAAGTTTGATGTGGCAAAAACAGGATCGGGGTATGTGGGTTGCAGACAGATCATGCAGTGTGTGTGTGTAGTTATCAGTTTGTGCGTGCAACACCTCCTTATTCCTGGGTCCAACAAGTGTTAAAATGTAAGCCAGGCTAGCTTTGTGATGAGGTAGTTGCCTGGGTGATGGGCCATTAAGAGAACATAGGATTAAGGGGGCTCTGTGCAATACAGCAAATAGGTAGGGCCCCTCCCTCAACTCACAGATAGAACGCCAAAAGCCAGAGTTTAGAGTTGAGTTTGGTTGTGTTGTGACCGAGAAGAAAAGCAGAAAGACAGAGCACGATGTTTGATTTCTGTTTGAATTCAAGGCTGCTGCTATGGAGGAAACAATACTCTCTTGGGTTGTTGATGCTGTGAACCCCTCCACTGTAGGCTTAAGTTGTATATATGTGTAAATAAACCATATATCAAAGAAACCACAGCTTCCACTGTACCTCATTACCAAAAGGAAACATGAACCCTGGATAAGCGCCTGGAATCTCACACTGCTGGGTGATTGGAGTGGTGTGTAATAATGTATATGTATTTCCATCTAAAATTAAATCTTACCTATATATTCCCCTTTTAGGCTCCACAACTTTGCATTACAGTCTAAAGAAGTAGTGAGGAGAAGCTGGTGCTCGTTCATAAGGCTGATGCTACTCCATTGGAAAAAGAAAATGGGTTTAGTTTGTTATATTGACAACTGCTCTGAAAATAGGCACTGCTGCGGAATTTCCTTACTCTCTTAAACATCTTGTTTCTCAAGTTTTTTCCACAGCTAGAATGGCAATACTCGTAGAACTCCTCAATGCCAAGCCATACCCACATGCCCAACAACCGACATCATATATGATGTCACGTGTGGGGCAAATAAAGACGCAGTTGAGCCAAAAGGGGGTTTGTACAAAGCCCTGTACATAGTGCCATACACAGTACTTTGCCAGCGCAGACAACTAGCTGATGCTCGGGACTTGCAAAGCACAGTGCTGATTGTTGTGGCTTGCAAGGCACCCTGCATGGTGCTAGGGAAAAACAGTCACCTAATGACATTGTGGTGTCATGTGCCTTTCAAATGTTGTTGTGATGTTGTGTGCCTTTCAAAGTTGGCCCACGGGGATGGGGGGGGGGAGATAAGCACCCAATCCACTGGCTGAATCCAGCTCCCCACTGCTCTTCTACAGGGTCTGTGCTTTCTTACCCAAGCAGACAATGCAGGCAAAAGAGCTACACTGCAGCAGCTCCTCCTGCCACCACCAGTGCACCATGAGAAGGGGGCCTAAGACGTATGTAAAGGGAGCTTGTCCCCAATGGATTTGCCAGCTCCTAATCTTTCCGCAGGGGCCTTGTGTTTCTCAGCGTGTCTTACCAGGTTATGCTGCAGTTGTGAGTGTTCCAGCTGTGAAGTACTATTTGAAAAGAAGGAGGAGGGGAGACTAAGGTAAGGACATACTGTACACTTGGGAGCAAATATGAAACATTTGGGTTTTGAATAAAAATGTTTCTCTTACAAACTGGTGGCTTGGCTTCTGGGCCATTAATGGCATATTCTGCAATGTTCCAGATATAGAGAAAGCCCAGCTGGTCTCCTGCACACAAGAGGAAGTCCTTGTCATCAACTGCCATGTAACTGACTGTGGATCTCTCTTTTGACTGCAAGCAAGGAAAAATGAATAAATAAATAAATATCGTGTATGCTGGATTGCAGAAGCTTCAGTACTAAAGTTGTGGCGGAAATGTCCTTTAAGCGATGCATTATTTTATTTTTACTCTCAAGAGGGAGGACTAACAGCATAATTCTGTGATGATGTTCTCAGAAATAAATTCAACCGAATTCAATGGAACTCACTCCCAGCCCTGCCTAGAAGGGTGTGCTGGATTGAAGCTTCCTTATACCCTAAGGAGCACTTCGTTACTTGTGTCACTTTTGGTGAATGATTAGTTTTGCATTTCAGTTGGTGCATGTGGTGAGATTTTAAGTGCAATTTCGGCACACACAGGCAAGAAGTGCCTACGTTTTAAGGTTGTCCTTAAGCCAAGCAAACATGTGAAATGCATGGATCCAGCCCAACTATCAATAGGATATTGTTTACTCTTTATTTTGATTGCACATTATGTTACATACTGGGTTGATTCTAATGTAATACCAATCCATGGTTTTCTGCTATGCAAACAGGGTTGTTGGAGGGGATAGGGTTGTGCATGCCCCACACTCTGTATCTCCTAAAGTAACCTGTTGCCCTCAGAGAGGGATACCACCGAGATTCACCTCTCAGTCTAGCTACCTTCTGTATGTGGAAGCAGCAGGGTGGCATCTTGTCCTTTGTCTCTGATCGCAAAATGCCCTGGGCTAGCACTGTCTCTGGGTTCACCTTGATGCTTAGACTACCATCATATGAAAAGTCAGAAGAGGATACAGGCAAAGCCCTAATGCACAGAGCAATCCTATGCATATTTACTCAGAAGTCAATCCTACTGCATGCAACGGGGCTTACTCCCCCAGTAAGTGTAGCTAGCAGGGATAGGGAACCTATGACATTCCAGATGTTACTGGACTCCAGCATGGACAATGGTCTGCAAAGATGGGAGCTGTGGTCTAGCAACATCTGGAGGACTACTACCTACCCAGCCCTGGTGTTTAGGATTGCAACCTAAATGAATGTGTGCCACTTCCAGTTATGAATTATTTAAAGATCTAGTTCTTATTTTGTTTGTTTCCAAACTGTTAGGAATCTCACAGCACTAATAAAAACATACAGAGGCCTTAGAAATGGAAATTAGTAACATGTAAAACATTTTTCCAGAAAATGAGCAGCACTTACACTAGAGAAATAAGCAAAAAGGCTCCCACGGCCATATATATTCCAGAATGCAATATAACCTGGGAAATAACAGCAATCACGGTATCAATAACAGTATCACATAGATGAAAATGAGATTTTTCTGTGTTCCCCGCTTAAAGTAGAAGAAGTCTGCCCTGTGGTTGGAGGTGGGGTGGGGAGTGTTGGTTTCTATTTCCTTCACTGAGCAGCAACTGCTTGTCATGAGACAGGTGTTTACATTCCACAGTCTGTACTGTTGAGTTTCTCACGGGAAAGGGAGACTGGATGTGACGTACACTGGTTTCCTGTTTTTCACTCTGTGTGTTTCTCTCCGAGCTGTTGAGGAGAGAGGATGCATTTTTCTGCATCTTGCAGAGGCAAGATGTCTTTCTGTAATATACCAGCTTTGAACTGTAAATAAAGCAATATGGAGTATGTAACACATTTTCCTCATCCTTCCGCTGGGCACCAGAGACTCTGCTTTAAATCAACACGTGGTTATGGACTCCAGAGGTCGAATCGGAGTGCCGGCAGAGGATCGGAATGCAGAGGGACGGATCGGAAAGGAATCTGCTCTGCGCGTAGAAATGATTGATGAGGTATGTGCTACTGCTCCGGGCAGCCTGCCAGCTTCAAGATAATGGCTTTATGGCTGGACTTTGAACTTTTAAAGCCGGTTTTGCCGGGAAAAGGCAAAAGGCTCCCAGGCACAAGTCACTATGCTGGGGAAATCGAAAGTAACTTTTAAGTGTGCCTTTGTGATAAGGCAGCTGCAGCAGTGACGCAGCAAGAATTAAAGCAGCATAGATATGACGCTGAAGGCTAATGCCAGAGTCATGATGGCCCTTCAGGATGCTTGTGGGATTCCTAAGCTCAACAAGACAAATTACAGCGACTGGGTTCAGTATGCAGAGGCAATTCTGCGGAAAGAGGGTTTGTTTGAGGTGATTACAGCAACCCCCCCAGTTCCAGTTACAGATGCATGGGAAGCTAAGGATTCCAAAGCAAGGGGAACTCTTACATTGATAGTATCCCCAGAAGAGCTCTGTCTATTGCGTGATAAGACCTCAGCCAGAGAAATTTGGGACGCTCTGAAAGAGGCTCACTTAAGGACAGAAGCTGGATCAACTATGCTTTACTTTAACAAGCTGCATAATATGGCTCTTGCTGAAGGTGGAGATGTACGTTTACATCTGATGGAGATGCAAAATCTGAGACATGAGCTGCAACAGAGAGGACTCAACTTTCCAGAGGCTGTGTATTCTTTCATGATACTACAATCTTTGGGTTCAGGTTGGGAGTCTGTTGCAACCCAGATTGCTGTGCAACCAACTGCTCAGCTGACAGTGGACTTTGTTACTGCCGTGATTTTAAATGAAGCAGATCGCCGGGTGCTGGCTGCATGGGCAAGGGGAGTCTTCACAGACGTCATCCCATAGTGCAGTGGAACCACCAGATGGCGCCAAAGCTTTGAAGGCAGTGAAATGCTACTCGTGTGGACGTCTAGGCCATATGAAGAGGGAATGCAGACATCCCAGGGCCAAGACAGAGCAGCGCAGCGAAAGCTCATCGCGCGGAAAAGGCCGAGGCAAAGGCAAAGGTCCGGTGTCTAGGACAACGCAGCACAAGGCTATGGTTTCACGCTTCACTCCAAAGGTTGCAGAGGTCCAGAAGACGTCTAGATCTTTCTTCGTTGTTGATTCAGCGGCCACCCACCACATGTGCAACGATAAGAAACTGTTTGTGTCTTTTACACCGCAGGAAGGTGCGATTCACCAGGCGGATGACCACACTATTCCCAGTAAAGGCTACGGAACTGTTGTTCTTCACAGTTTGGACTTATCGATACAGAATGTGCTTTACGTGCCAGACGCCAAACATAATCTGCTCAGCGTTGGACAGCTGAATGAGCGGAACATTGACGTTTCCTTCAAGAACAAGAAGTGCATCATCACAAAGAAAAATGATTATGTATTGCATGCAGAATATGTTGATCGTTTGTTTGTTTTGTATTATGATGATGTGGTGCAGGATGACACTTGTTGCATTGCAGGTTCTAACAAAAGTTTGCATGCAGAATGTATTCACGATTTTCATCGCAAATTTGGTCATTTGCATTTTGAGGCAGTATCTAAAATGCCTGCCTTGGTTGAAGGTATGACTATTAAACCCTGCAGGTACCACATGAAGTGCAAAGCATGCGCAGCAAACAAGGTGAAAATGGCTGCGAAAGGTAAGGTGTCTAGTAGGCAAGCCACAGAACCATACCAGGTTGTTCATGCTGATTTGGTTGGACCACTATCGCCCTCTTTGGGTGGAAATAGGTACTTCATGGTTCTCATTGATGCATTTTCTAGATATATTTTTGTGTACAATCTCAAGCAGAAATCGGAGGCTTTTCCCAGGTTCAAGGAATTCTGTGCTTGGTTGGAAAATGTGCATGGTAAGAAGATAAAGACTCTTTTCAGTGATCGCGGGGGGGAATTCACTTCTCAGCAGTTTGAAGCTTTTCTGACTGAGAAAGGAATTCAACACGATTTGTCTAGTCCTCGCTCGCCATGGCAGAATGGACTTGCGGAACGGGCAAATCAGACATTGCTTCAAGGCTTAAAAACCTTGCTGCATGATGCCAATCTTCCAGAGAGTTATTGGGCCGAATCTCTCTCGTGTTTTGTTTACAGTTACAATCGCAGGTTATCTTCAGCGATTGGATGTACCCCCTATGAGAAGATGTTTGGCAAGAAGCCATACATCAAACACATGAAAATTTTTGGTTCTGACATGTGGGTTCGCTCACCACAAAACTCCAAGTTAGACAAGCGTGGATTGCATGGTATCTTTCTAGGTTATCAGAAAGGGTCTTACAGAATAATGATGACTGACTCTAAGACAATTAAGCTCACGAGAAGTGTTGAGTACAATGCAAAGTGGGGGGAGAATGTGGGAATTTTCCAATGTTATCCTGATGACGGTGATGAGACTGAGGATAGTCAAAAGCAACCACAACAACCCACACCCACTGATGAAGGTTCTGAGTCTGAATCTGAAACTGAATCGGGTGATTCAGAGGATTTCAAGAGTGCGAAAGCCTCTATGCGACCCTCTGAAAGCTCTGATCAAGAATTGGAGGAACCATTGTTCACAATAGGTCGTTTTCTCCTAAGAAGGAAGAGGAGAGTGTTGAAGACTTAAGGCTAATTCGTAGGTCACAGAGAGCCACAAAAGGCAGACCTCCAAAGAGATTTGCTGATGAGTTTGCTAAGATAGCAGTAACAGCTGTTAAAAGCTCCAAGAAGGTATTTGAACCTTCAAGTTTCCAAGAAATCCAGGGTTTGGATTCAAAGGAAACTGAGCCATGGTTAAATGCCATGAAGGCTGAGCTTGATTCCTTAGAAAGGAACAAAACATGGGAGCTAGTTCCAGTAGTTCCAGGAATGAAACTGCTTGGAAGCAAATGGGTCTTCAAAGCGAAGACAGATCAAAATGGCAAGATAGTCAGACACAAAGCCAGATTGGTAGCCAGAGGTTTTGCACAGGTACCAGGTGAAGACTATCACGAGACCTATTCACCCACAGTGAGATATGAAAGCATTAGGCTTATGCTCAAGCTAGCTGCAGAGGAAAATCTACACATTAGTCACCATGATATTAATACAGCTTTTCTGTACGGATCTCTGGATGAATCACTTTATATGCTTCCACCTGATGGCGTACAGGTAAAACAGGGATTTGTTTGTGCTCTGAAGAAATCCCTTTATGGTCTCAAACAAAGTGCACGGTGTTGGCACACAAAACTCACTGAAGTATTGTTTTCTCAAGGTTTTCAGCAAGGGAAAGCTGATCCATGTGTATTTGTCAAAGAGGAGGGGCAAAAGAAACTGTACTGTTTGTTTTATGTTGATGATTTATTATTCTTTTGGAAAGATGTTGCAATGTACAATAGCGCCCTAGCTCAACTGAAAGAGCACTTTGACATGAAAGATCTTGGTGAGGTAAACAACTACCTATCTCTGGAAATAGAGAGAGATCAAGATGGTAACATTCTAGTACACCAGTCACGGAAAATTGCTGATGTGTTAAGCAAACTAAATCTGATGGATGCTAACCCTGTAGACACACCGATGACAACAGGTTATCAGGTAGATGACACTGAAAAAGCATTTTCTGACACTACACTGTACAGGAGTGTGCTAGGCAAGCTAAACTTCATTGCCAGATGTTCAAGACCAGACATTGCTGTTAGCTGTAATTTGCTAAGCAGACAAGTCAACAATCCTAGTGTCAAGGATTGGAAAGCTCTGAAACGCATAGCGCGGTATTTGAAAGGCACTATGCATTACAGACTGAGATTTAACAATCAGAAGTCTGGTGGTCTTGAGATATTTGCAGATGCAAGTTTTGGAAGTGACACTACAGACAGGAAAAGTACGTCTGGAGTTTGCTACATGTACAATCAGAGTCTGTTTGATTGGTCATGCAAGAAGCAAACAACAGTTAGCTTAAGTACTTGTGAAGCCGAACTGAATGCACTGTCTTATTCACTTAAGGATTGTGAATGGTTAGTACAATTGTGCAAAGATATGAAAATTCCTGTCAAATGTCCAATCCAGGTTTACCAGGACAACAAAGCATGTTTGGCTTTGCTCAAGTCTGAAGGTTGTAAGCAAAGCACAAAGCACTTGCAATTAAAGTTGCAGCATGCTAGGGAATGTATTCAGAAGGGACTCGTAACGGTGTCCTATATGCCAGGTAATGAAATTCCTGCTGATGTATTGTCCAAGATTGTATCAAGGGCTCAACACTGTACCTATGTGCCGAAGTTGGGTTTGTACTGATATTGTACGAACACGCTGCCCAGTGATGTTCACAGAAAGGGGGAGGATGTTGGTTTCTATTTCCTTCACTGAGCAGCAACTGCTTGTCATGAGACAGGTGTTTACATTCCACAGTCTGTACTGTTGGGTTTCTCACGGGAAAGGGAGACTGGATGTGACGTACACTGGTTTCCTGTTTTTCACTCTGTGTGTTTCTCTCCGAGCTGTTGAGGAGAGAGGATGCATTTTTCTGCATCTTGCAGAGGCAAGATGTCTTTCTGTAATATACCAGCTTTGAACTGTAAATAAAGCAATATGGAGTATGTAACACATTTTCCTCATCCTTCCGCTGGGCACCAGAGACTCTGCTTTAAATCAACAGGGAGTGTTGGCTTTCTGTTAGAAACTCTGAAACCTCTGGTTTTTTTCTCTGTACTGAAATGTTCATTCTCACCCTACAATGGTCACACAATAGGTTCTATACTAAGACAGTTTCAGAAAGCTTCTACAGAGTAACATCCTCCCACAAATCTAGGTACTGATGCAAGTCATTTAAACATTTCTAAAGCCTCTTCTCAATATGCAGGAAAAAAATTTGAGTTGAATTTCTTAAGAAAGGATCTCTCTTGCTAAAATGCCTGTTTGATATGAATGCTTCTTTCAACAGTGCTAATCTTAAGCGGCATTGCCATATTTTGATAACATGGTGTCAGTGGTTGAACAACATCCTCTTAATAATATTTTGTATTTGGGTATCATTTTCAGGTGCTTCGAAGTGCTTCCTGTGCATTAGCTAATTGTCATCCTTACAGTAACCATGTAAAGTAAGTCAGGATTATTCTCTCCCATACTGCAAATGGTGGGGTGCTGAAGGAGAGAGGAAGAGACTCTTACCTAAAGCCATTGAGTTAATGGCAGAGGTGAACTTTGGACTGGGGGCTCCATCTGATTCGTAGCTCAGTCTCTTGGCCACGGTGCTGCACCATCAAAGTCACAAGTGCTGCAACTTATGACAGCCTCAGGTGCCATCGGGGTGTTCCCACCCACCTCCCTGCCTTGCTTGCCTGATATTTGGATTGGGAGGAAAGCTCTAATGGCTGCAATGGGAGTTTTTTTCTCTCCCAATGACAATATTCGGATCACATCCACACCAACATTTAAAACGCTTTGTTTCTCCTAAAGAATCCCAGGAACTGTAGTTTGTTATGGGTGCTGGAAATTATAGCTCTGTGAGGAGTAAACTGCAGTTCCCAGATTTCGGGGGGTGGGGAAACAATGTTATTTAAATGTATGGTGTGAGGAATGCAGCACGAATGCAAGCCCCCAGCCTCCCAAATAACCTTTCACACAATTGATGGTTGTATGAATGGTGTCCTGCCTAGCCTGGCCCTGAAACACCCTTTGGACTGCAGCCCTTGCACTGCATTGGCAGCCATTTTGAAAGGTTCCCCAATCTGTGAGCAGGTTTTTGGTAAGCACCTGGAGCCGTGAAAAGAATATGGGATCTGAGCATATGCAGGCCTCTGAACCCCAGCCCCACACTCTTTACTTTTTTATTTATTTTACGTTTGTCTTTACCTCTAGGTCCACTAGCCACTAACATTGCAGCTGTTTTCTTCTTTTCCAGCCTTGATAAGAGGAAAATGATTTTATTGATGGTTAAATCCTCTGGGAGGGGACAAAACGAACCATGAAAGCATTTCCAGCACAATCCAGCACAAAGTATTTCCACAATCTCACACCAGCACAGGGTATTTGTCAGCAATGCATTTCAGTGTTGTAATCTGTAAAGCCAAGCCCAGCTCGCCCAGGTACAGTGGGAGACTCCACAAGACACTTCCTCTCTCACACAGTCTTGCGGCACCGTCAAAACTAGCAAATTTATTACAGCATACATTCTTGTGGGCAACAGGCTACTTCATTGGATGCATGAGGTGTTATCCGCAATTGATGGCACAGGTACATATACCTGCAGGTACACAGAGGCTGGCAATTGGGTGATATTTCCACTGTGTGGACTCTGCACTCCCACAATAAACTCTCACATGAAGCCCCCTCAGTCCAGGCTTGAGATAGTGCACATTACCAACTACGGGAGCAGGCAGGGAGACTGGTGTCAGTAGTGGAGGCAGATGGAGGCCACCTGTGCATATGATTACCACTCCTTGGAGAGTGGCTTTAATTGTTTTGTGTGGGAGGATGTTGCCGTACGTCAGGTAAAGGTGTAGCACCTTGTTACATAGTAAAATTTGCTCACAGCTTCCTCAATCTACTTGGTTCATCTTGTGATTTGAAAACACACCAAATGACTTAGGAGTCTAAGTTCTTTTAACTCAACATTTTGTACTTGGAAATGGAGACCCAGATTAAAAAAACCCCTGTGTGTATCAACATAGCCACTTTCCCCTTTAAAATATGTAGCAACAGCAATGGGGGCTGGAATTTGCACATACTGTGGCTGTCACACAGAATAATATTTAAATGTCTTCCAAGTGGTTATTGCCTGGTCAGCTAGGTTTGTGCAGTGGTTGTAGCCCACCGTGCAATTTACTCCAGTTACCACAGATCCTTTTTTTTTACCATTTGTGGTGGCACAGACAAGAAATCCATTTTAAAAACATTTTCATTACTGACACTGTACATTCTTCGTTTTTCACTTCTCTCACCACACCTTGTGAGTTCTTTTAAGCGTTTATTTTAGCACAGCAAAAGGTCTAATCCTACTCACCTGTTTCTCCTTCCCTTGCTGCTCTGTCTACAGCATGAAGACGGCTGCAGAGATGTCCTGATACCAGATTCCATATGAGAACTTCACCATCAAAACTTGAAGTGGCCAAGAAATGTGGAGGACACGAAGCTACACATAAAATATCGTCCTTGTGGCCCTGTTCCTGCATGGTGCAATGGCAAAGTGGTCATTATCATGCCGTCATTGCCCTATCAAGCACACATGGGGTGTATCTTATGCTCTAAACTAAGAGTAGAGAATCTCTGGCTCTCCAGATGTTATTGGTCTCCCAAGTCTCATCAGTCCCATCCAGCATGGCTAATAGGCAGGGATAACAGATGTTGTAGTTCAGCAACATTTGGGTGGCCCAGCCCTGCTCTAAGCAAATTCATATAGAAATCTTTTCAACTTTTATTCATGTTTAACTACCATTTCTCACTGCAAGTTAATGTCTTACCATACTTCTAATCCAGTCCAGTTGTGGGTATGATCCTTCAACGACTTCATCATCAATATCCTGAAATTAAAAAAATTTCAGTTCCATCTTTGGTTCTAGAGATTCATAATTCTTTTATGGATAAACAAAATATTTTTTTTACTTAAACATAGGTTAATAATGTATGTCAAAGCAGTGCTACTGGTACTACTCATATTTCTAGAAAAAGGCAATGCTGAAGCTATAGAAACTGAAAAATATTGTCAGACAACTTTGCCTTTCATTTACATCCATGGGGTAGGCAGGATTAGCTGTTGACACAAGACAATTCTGATTTGGGGGGGGGAGCCATATAATAGAGATTAGAAACATAATAACAGCCAACTGGGTTAGACCAAAGGTCCATATAATCTGTCATCATACTAGAAATGAGCATAGGAAATACCAAGCCACACCATCAATCCAACCAGATGTGTATTGTGGCAGTAGCTCACCTTGGTTTCAGGCCGAAGTGTTTCCCAACCCTATTTGGTGACTGAACCTAACACTTTCTGCACATAAAGACTGTGCCCTGTCCCTGAGCTACAATCATTCCCCAAAACTTCCTCCAGTGACCCATCAGATGCTTCGAGGAAGCCTACATGGGATATCTTGAAGGAAACACCCCACTCCCAGTTGTGCTCCCTGGCATTTGTTAGAAGCATTCTGCCTTTGAACATGTAGTTGTCATTACTAATAGCCTTCAATAAACCAGTCATACTTATGCACATATAGACACCACACTTTCTGTTCATGTCTGCAGTATTAAGAGGGAATGGGAACTGTTCCTACTACTCAAAGAAGTCATTGGCTGTAAGGAAAAGCTCTATGAACTGATTGGACAAAATAAATTCCAGAAACCTGCTCAGACAGATGTCCATTATCCTGAACAAGTCATTCTCCATATTAGATGCCTGTCCTCTTTCGGTGCACAATGCTGGTATAGTTATTCTGGACTTCCAATTTCTTACTGAGTTCATTGTGGAACACTTAAAATTTCCCATTTTTGGCCTTCCCAACATCTTATAGTGGAGAAACTAAACTTAACATTAATTTATACTTACTAGGAAAATACTGATCTTCCTGCCCCATCCAACAGAGATGATGTATCTTTTAAAAAATTGAAACGCGTTATTTAAAGAGGAAAGCCAATTCTAATATAACCCCTTTTGTGTTGAATCCCAAAAGGAAACAACTACATAAGCAGTGTGGCATCACTGATTTTCATATGTATACAAGAATCCAGAAGCTAAACAATGGCTTATTATGCGCTGACTGGCATGATTTATCATCCTTAATCTACCTATACCCACCTTCACAAATGTTACATTTATTTTCAGCAAGTGTAAGGGCTATAAACACACTACAGTGGTACCTTGGTTCTTGAACTTAATCCATTCCAGGAGTCGTTTGACTCCCGAAACCATTTGAAACCCAATTGGCACAGCTTCCAATTGGCTGTAGGAGCTTCCTGCACTCAAGCAGAAGCTGTGTTGGACATCCGGCTTCCGAAAAACGTTTGAAAACTGGAACACTTACTTCTGGGTTTGCAGCGTTCAGGAGCCAATTTATTTGACAACTAAGCCGTTCAAGTACCAAGGTGCCACTGTAAGTTTAAAACACTAAGGTTGGAAACCCAAACACTCAGCTGCAAGTATGCCCCATAAAATTCTTACTCAGAGGTAAAACTCGCTATTTTTTATTTGCCTTACTGCCAAGTAAGTGTGCACAGGAGAAATCTGTGTCTTCCCAGATGTTGTTGGACTTCAAGTCTAGCCCCAACATGTATAGCCTATGGTCAGGAATGATGGTAACTGGAGTCTAGCAACATCTGCAGGGCCACAGGTTCCACACCCATGCAAATCACATACAAAATATGCACAGTCTTTCCTGAAGACTTATTGGATAACTTGCCTTAACTGCAGGAGATTCCATGATAGGTTCAATACTTTTCTATGCTGCCAGAGTTTGTGTGTGTTTCAACTGGCTGAATTGTCTGAAACATCCAAATTATTCTTATAAGATCATTCGGTATAGACCTCTTCCCTGCTTACTTGTATTTTCTTAGCCATTTATGCTTTTCATTTTTAAAATAGCAGCAACAACAACAACATCCTTTGTACCTGTTGTCGTAAAGGTCAGCATAGGTGCAAGCAGTGACTTCATCAGCTGAACTGGTAGCTAAAAGAGAGAGCAAATGATGATCATGTTGCAGTTGCTGGCAAAATATCAGAGAAACTAAGAGGCTGGCCATTAGCTCTCTACCTTGCTTAATGGTATGCATGTATCCAAGGGTGCTGCTATCCCATTTCTTCAGACTGCCATCTGCACCACCAGTGATCAACCTAGACAGCAGGAGGAAACTGTTCGTTGTAATGGAATTGCAAACTGGCAATTGAATTAATGACAACTGACAGTATAGAAAATTGTTGGTAAAACTGTTGTCTATTCAGCTTACTGGCTTTGTACCTCCTGCTGATCATGCTGTGAACACTGCATTGTTGATGCTTCCCACCCACATATATCTACATCAATCTTCTGATGCTCAGGATCAAGTATTGGCATGGTTGGGCATCTGTTGAAGACTCACCATCCCAACAGGGGACCTGCTGACAAGAACTCCCTAGACCTGCTAATAGTGAGAAAGTAGGCTTGAGGGCGGGGAGTGGGGGGAGGTGCCCATAGATAACAGAGCAGACATTGATAAACTTAACATCTGCTCATTCCATGAATGCATCAGAAACGTTTTCCTACCTGGATATTATTACCCTCCCTCCAAATAAACTAACTCTGAAAGAGCTTTAAGTTTGACAGCTGGAGAATATCATAATAAGGTGTAAGGAGAACACAACTCAACTATACCTGTATCTGTAGGTGTGGCTGGTGGTACCTACCTGCCAGAAGCATCTCCACAGCTTTCCAGGAGGCAATGGGACAAGGTGGCGGGGAGATTGGTGCAGTACCAATGCATTCAACCTCCTTGCACCCTTATTCTTCCACCTTCCAGGAAGCTGAATCAACACACATCCTGGGAGGTCAGGTAAGCGCTGCTGCCCCCCTCCCTGCTGGCTGCTCTTGTATATCTATCTCTGTGAGTGTGCATGGATGCAAGTGCATGTGCATATATATTTCTACACTGCCCTACACAATACAGTCCCCAGGCGGTGTGCAAAGCATTAAAACACACCAGTACCTATTTCTACAATCAATTAGGACATCGGTACAAACACAGCATAAATTAAAACAACAGAAAATAGCAACAAATACGACACAAGCCAGCCTCAACAAATTATACCTCCTTGCCTCCAAAACCCTGGTGGAGGAGGTGTGACATTTGGAGGTGAGAAGGTGTAATTCTGTTAATCTGATGATAACTAGATATTGAATACCTCTTTCCAATGGTATCTAAGGCCATGCAAGTTACAGCAGCTCCTCCGTGAGCTTCACACACTTTAACAATCAGCTGTCCAGTTTTAAGATCCCACACTTTTATAACCTATTAGAAGAAATAAAAGGGATAGGAATGGGGAACTGAGGATTGATCTCTCTTCTCTCATGCTGAATAAATAAATAAGCATAAAGAGAGGAGATGAGGAAGCTTAAAGGTCACAAGAAAAGATGCCTATAAACTATTTCTAAAATTCAGAATAAAATTAGCATTAACTGTTGAAGATGCAAAAGTTTCATCTGAACTGGGACAGCAGGGAGTAAAGGCATCAGAACCCACCTCTTTTTCCTAAAGCTGGCTTTTCAAGCCCTGCTTGCTGCCACTTGGGTATGGCAAGAAATCCCAGAAAGGTGATTTCTGCCACAACTATTAATATGTTTAATTCCTATAGGGAGAGCAGGTATTTCTGACATCCAAAAAACCAAACAAGTTTTAAATTGTTTAAGGGTTTTCATGCAGCATTGCCACAGTGGACCTTTTCAGACATAGCCTTTCTGGACTAATAAACCACAGTTTATTAAACTGGGAATGAGAATTAGGCCCACATGCTCTCCACCAATGCTGCTTCCCTTCATGTGCCAACTTCAGCACTTTGATTTTGGTCTGCTTTAGTTACAGGTCTCCATGACATCTGAAACGATGCACTGTGTCTTAAAGTTGGTTTACAAATCAAGATCTTAAACCACAGTTGTAAAAGCCTAGTTAGTAACTTGATATTAAGCCACAATTTTGGACATAGTGAGAAGCTGTAGTTTAGAGAGGCCAGGATCAATGTTCTGAAGCCAGCACAAAGGGGGAAGCAAGGCAAAAGAAAGGGCAAAGAGGGTTAGGGTTGATACTACTTCTATGGCTAATAAATGATGGTTTGTAATGCCAGGAATGTTGCACACAAACTGGGTCATAGTCTCAGGGTTACTTACGGAGTCTTCTGAGCAACTAATCACATGCTGCAGTTGCTGGTTATACTGGCAGCAAAAGATAGGCTTATTATGGGATGTGCCTGAGTCTTGGTTCTGATTCTCCCTGAAAAAGAAAACAACACAAGATGACGAAGAGGAGAAATACACTGGGGCTGTGTTCAGATGATTATCCAAGGGTTCATAAGCCATGATTTATGAAGCTGTGCATGAGTGCCATGGATAGGATAGGTGACCCAGCTTTAGTGTGAAGCTCCTGATGTGCATTAAACCAGAGTCTCCTGCTACATCCAAACTGGGGACACTCTACCTTAATGCCAGGTAACAATTCACTTTCCTGGTTTGTATACTAACACTCACCCAGAGCTCCCTGGTTCAGATGCAACAGAAAACTCTGGCTTCATGCAAACAAGGATTTGCAGCAGGAGGAGAGAAGGGGCAAAGGAGAGCACTGTTTCATGGCTTCACAAACCAGTCATCTGAAAATGGCCTGCATATGGGCATGTTTTAATCTCAGTATATTTTCCAGGGCAGGCACTTACAGTTCTTTTAATGCCATGTCTTGGAGAACTACATGACTAGGAAAATATCTGACCCTGCTTTTATCTAAATCCAAGAGAGATACACGTGGGGCCATAATCAGGACTTCTTATTTGCTTGTGATGTTTTGACCACTTCGAGTGTCAAAACGAGAATGACAGGCAGTGGCGTTGGGGGGCCTTGCTCTAGAGCAGGGTTTTCCAAACTTGGGTATCCAGCTGTTTTTGGACTACAACCTCCATCATCCCTAGCTAGCGGGACAGGGGTGATGGGAATTGTAGTCCAAAAACAGATGGAGACCCAAGTTTAGGAAACCCTGCTCTATAGTAAATTTTGATTTAAAAAATGCTGTTCAAGTTAGTGCTCGCATAACATATGTGTTTTTGATGTCTCTTCTACATGGAGCAATGTATTGGTCACCACCCATTTGATTTTATATAGTAACATTCAAACACACTGCCCATAGAAGGAACTATGCATAGATTGTGCTTGACTCAATGTCTACAGCAGATTGGTATATTGTTTGCCTACTTATATTGGAATTGTAGGAGCCCAAAAGTTTCAGCTGCAACATAAAGTGCTCGCAAGTCAGGTGAAAAGTAGCAGGCTTCCATCTCCCCTCTGATTTGGCTGGCTTTGGGCATAACTGTGAGGAGGCAGGAATGGTCTTCAATATCCCAGACCTTTGAGAAGAAATATACGAGTTCAGAAAAGCTGTCATCCATATCACAAATCTATTGCCCTGATAGCACAGAAACTGTCCCATGGTAAATGATTGAAAAAATAAATTGATCAGCCCAGTTATCTCCTGAGATTGTCACAATATACAGTGGTGCCCCGCAAGACGAATGCCTCGCAAGACGAAAAACTCGCTAGACGAAAGGGTTTTGCGTTTTTTGAGCTGCTTCGCAAGACGAATTTCCCTATGGGCTTGCTTCGCAAGACGAAAACGTCTTGCGAAGTTTGTTTCCTTTTTCGTAAAACCGTTAATACCCAGGGTGCATTGCTTGAAGAGGTGCAGTTGCGACTTGACTTCAAGGAGCAACTCATAGCACGCGATGTGGTAGCCTTTTTTGAGGTTTTTGAAGACTTGGTGAGTTTTGAAGCTTTTCCAAAACTTCTTTTGCCGCCAATTGGTAATTTAAACTTTTAAAACTTTTTGGGGGTTTTGGATTTTGGGTTGGGGTGTTTGGAATTCAAGGACTTGGTGTTGGGGAGGGGTTTGCAAGAATCTGGAAGCTTGTGTGTTTTTTTCCTGCATTTTTATGATTTTTTGTGACCATTGGGCCACTCTTCTGTTTGTTTGTTTTTTTAAATCTGGGTTTGAATTTCTGTGTGGTGGGTGGCTGGGGGAACAGTTGAGGAGGGGTTTGCAAGAATCTGGAAGCTTGTGTGGTTTTTTTCTGCATTTTTATGATTTTCTGTGACCATTGGGCCACTCTGCTGTTTTTTTATATTATTTCTGGATTTGAATTTCTGTGTGGTGGGTGGCTGGGGGAACAGTTGAGGAGGGGTTTGCAAGAATCTGGGAGCTTGTGTGGTTTTTTTCTGAATTTTTATGATTTTTATTGTTCCTTCAGTTTTTGAAATGCTCTTTACAGTATGTGTGACTTTAAAGAGCACTTAATAAACTCTTGTTGTACCAAATTTGGCTTTGTTTGGAATTTTTATGACCATAGGAACGCATTAATTGTATTTCAATGCATTCCTATGGGATTTCGTGCTTCGCAAGACGAAAAATTCGCTAGACGAAAAAACTCGCGGAACGAATTAATTTCGTCTTGCGAGGCACCACTGTATAAATATATCTCCCCTGATCCTTTCCCAGGTATTAAGATATTAAGATTTTGAGCTCCATGAGGCAGAACTTTCAGAAAAGTGAAATCTTACAAGTGAAAACAGTGATTTGCCATTCTTTGTGACTGATAAGACCTATTAGCACTTTGTGGTTGTTCAATAACACATGTGGATAAAATTGTGTGAGAGAAAAATGGATTCACCGAACACCTAAGGAAGCCTCCAGCTGTTACTTCCTTTCTAGCAAATTGAGAAGCAATCATATTGCAACAGTGGAAGTGCGAACTGTACCTCTAGGAAGAGGTAGCTGCTTGTGCAGAGGTTTAATTCTATGGCTACCATTATCTCCATCCACCCTTCCTTCTACTTTTTAGCACTGATCACTGACTCTGACACTACTAAACATTCCATGCCGGTTTCAGGTGTTAGGTAGACCGTATGTTGCAAAATCCTATATCTGGGAATCTAAACCACACACAGAGAGAAAAGCCCAAACCTACATTTGCAAATATTTCAGTGTGTGTCTGATTGCCCGAGTTGTGACATCTCCGCCCCCACCCCCGGACATTATAGTGACTCCTTGCTTGCGATGAATAGGCCATCTGGCACACGAGACAAGCATGACTGGCAATTTCATATGACACCATGGCAATTGCAGATGATACCACACTGAAGAAACCTTTGCAGGGATGTGCAGGTTTTGTTCTGTGTTTGATGCAAGCAGAGGAGGCATGATAGTTCAGTGGCAGAGCACACAGAGATCCATACTTAGACACACTTATTATAGACAATCCACAGAATCCAGGCTATGTGGTCATATGGTGACATTCTGTCCCATTTGTGGAATGTTCTCCCTAGGGAGGCTCACCTGGTGCCATCATTACATATCTTCAGGTGCCAGGCAAAAATGTTTCTCTTCAACCAGAAGGAGCGTCTCCACCCCCATCGTTCTGCCCGGACGCTGAGGTCCAGCGCCGAGGGCCTTCTGGCGGTTCCCTCATTGCGAGAAGCAAAGCTACAGGGAACCAGGCAGAGGGCCTTCTCGGTAGTGGCGCCTGCCCTGTGGAATGCCCTCCCATCAGATGTCAAAGCGATAAATAACTACCTGACATTCAGAAGACATCTTAAGGCAGCCCTGTTCAGGGAAGTTTTTAATCTGTGATATTTTAGTGTATTTTTTGTTTCTATGGAAGCCGCCCAGAGTGGCTGGGGAAATTATTATTATTATTATTATTTGACTGATGAACATTCTATGGCTTTTTTATGTGTTTGTGGGTTGAGGTTATTGGTTTGTTTTTGTTTTATTATGTATTTTGTATTCTCATTTTGCATCTTTCTGTTGTGAACTGCCCTGGGGTCTTTGGATGAAGGGTGGTATACAAACTGTACTAGTAGTAGTAGTAGTAGTAGTAGTAATAAACCAAGCAGTTTGTTGCCGATCAAAACCCTTACCTTGATGGTGCTGTCCAGAGAAACTGAGAAAATATTTGTACTGCCATGAGCAATGCATAGGAAACCAATTGGGGAAGTATGTCCTCGCAGTATTGCAATCGGCCACCTAGTGTAGTGGCAAACATATTTTTGGTTAACTTAGGAGTAATTTGCTCAGCAATCAAGCATCAGAGAGCCTATAGATTTTTTAAAAAATTAATAAGATAAAGCACTTCCCATAGCTGTCAACTTTTCCCTTTTCTTGCGAGGAATAAGGGAATTTCCCTTAAAAAGGGGGAAAGTTGACAGTTATGAGCACTTCCATTCACAGTAAGGTTGAAATGCAGTTGTGAATATACCTCCTGCACAACCACCAATCCATTTAAAAGTGCATTGAAAACTGCATTTCTGTCTGCCATGTATGCTCATGAATAGCATGAGAGCGCCTCAGAAGTGCTTTTGGGTGGCATGTGTGAAATCCATCTAATAACACTTTGTCACGGGGAAGGTTAATTGTCATTGAGTCAACCACCTGCTTCCCTACCTCCACTATTCTTTTTATTTAAATTGTAAGCTCCTCAGGGCAGGGCCCTGTTCTGATGCACTCTGTGTAGAAGCAACATGCACAGTATATAGACAACAGCAGCATCCATCCAAAAGACTTACCATATTGGTCTGAATATAGGCTGCACTTCCCTCCCCCACCAATGTGGCTTATATAAAGCCCTATAATCGGGCTAAGACAGAGAAGCAGGGTTCTCATTTTACGGGTAAAGTCTATATTTGGAGATGGCTTATATTCACACCACAAAGTATTTTCACTTTTACATATGTTTAGGGCTGAAACCTAAGAGCCTGCAGATGCAAACACATGCACATATATACATTACGGTTTGGAACTATTCTTCAAAGATTTGCTCCTCTGTGAAGAATGTTTGCATTGAAACAACATGATGATAGCTTTTAAAAAAATACCTCAAAGCCATCAGCTAGCAAAAGGATAGAAATAGGCAAGTTTTAACCCATTTTAGCTTTATTTACCCAGGGACGTAAGGGTTCCATAGACGGATATTCCGGTCCAAACCACCAGTCACAAGAATATTGCTTTCTCTGCAGAAGTCAAAGGTCTTGACTCCTTTGTGCACCTTAAAAACAGATTCATCACACTGAAAGCGCCTTGCTGGAGAAGCAGTAGCTGGTGGGGCGAATTTGTTATGGCTGACAGTGCTGGAACCCATCAGAGTTTTCAAGCGATGCTTCACATTTTTGGTTCTGCTAACGTAACCTGTGACAAGAAAATAGAAGAGTTGCATGGGAAAGGAAGGAAGACAAACTGAAAGCTCTCGAGGTAGAGAGATAATTGATTCCATTCCTAGGAAAGGGCTGTAAGCTCAGGTGGTAGAGAATATGCTTTCCACGCAAAGTTCCAGGTCGCCAGGGAAGAGAAATTCGATTCAGTGTGCATTTAAAGCCAAATCTATCAAATTCACACTTTCCAAAACAATAAGCAAGCTGAAACACAGCTATCCTTCAAAATTCGCATTGATCCAATGCAGTTCTGCAACCAAGGAATATTTACAAAAATGCATATATTAGGGAACTTGCTTGCAAAAATGTGCACATTAGTCAAAACTTCATGGGCAAGTGTGCTTATTAGGAGAAATTCATACTAAAATGCTGATGAATTTTCATGAAAAACAATTAAGAAGGAAAACTGCAAATTGCTGAAAAATGTGGACAACTGAATTTAAGACTGGGAGACATGATACGATACGATAATCTTTATTGTCATTGTCCCATACAGAACAACGAAATTGAAAAAATCTACATCAGACATTCAAAAACCAACAAGCCTGCTATCCCAGCCTGGTCAACCCTCTAAAAACTCTGATACCCCATAATTAAATACAAGATACTCCCATAGAGACTACCTTACACTGCGTTTAAAACCAAAATTGCATTTGAATAGAAACCGATTCGAGGACCCTCCCCCCACGCTTGTGGATAAGAAAGACACACGGACACAGATTTAAAGGTTAATGGGCTAGAAGAGCCCACAACTTTATTGATTACAGCATGTGAGAGGTATTGGCTTAGGCATTGGAAGAACACCAACAGTCGACTCCGCCCACAAGGAGGGGCGAGTCTAACAGGGGTTAACCACCAGTAGGGGGAGCCTGTTGATGCAAATACAACTGTAAGCTCTCCCCTGATGTCACCAGGGGTCATGCCATGGCCCCCAGCCACAGCAGGGCATCGGACAGGATCCACGACCGCCGGATTCCTTTAACGGAATACCCAAAAGGAAGGGGTAGGCGATGGCCTAGTCTTTATAACCCTGTACCTTCTTCCAGAAGGCAGAAGCTGAAAGACATCATTTCCGGGGTGCGCAACTGAGAAACAAAGAGAAATGAAACTGACTGAACTGATCCTTCCATCTCTACTCCCAGGTTCACTGCTGGGAGCTTCCAGGTAGGGCTGGGAAACACCTTTGACCTGAAACCATAGAGATCCACTGCCAATTACTGTTGACAATACTGAGATAGATAGACCAGGTGTCTGATTTGGTGTAAGGCGTCTCTTGTGCTCCTATGAACAAATTTTCTGCACATTTGTTGGGGAGGAATAACATAGTGGAATGAGGACTACAACCAAGAGTACCTGGGTTCAAAACATTGTTCAACCATTTGAGTCATGTGACTCTGGTTGAGTCCTTAGGTCGGTCCCTATCTTTCTTGCTACTCTACGCAGAAAGTGCTTTTGAAAAGACAAAATAGAGAGTGAGCAGAAGAAAGCACATCTGTTGCCCTGACCTCCTTGGAAGATAGGCTGGATAACAATGAGATCAACTAAAATAAACTATCCTCTTTAAAAAAAAGTGAAGGAGAAATGACCGCTATCTTTTAGCAAATCTTACTTCAACTTCAAATTCTGACATGTTTATTCTGCTAGAGAATGCCCAACTTACCTATAACCAGTGCAGTGCAATCATCATTTGAACTAGAGATGATGGATTCCGTGGAAGGGATATATTGAATCTGCAATAGCAAGTGTGCAAAGGAAAATCCTATGAAATTCAGAGTGTCCCAAGGATATCCCAGGCAAATACCATGGAGCAACAAAGGCAAATCTGGGAAAGCAAGGAGAAGTACAACCTTCCCAAAAGCAGGTGAGGTAAGATGTGCTGTGCAGAAATAATCTTACAAATAATATGGTGGGATCGTGAAATAAGAATACTGCTCAAAAACCTCTTCAAAGCAGATGCAAACAACTGCACCCACCTGCTCATGGGAAATAATTATCTGAATCCTTCACAGTTAACAGAAAGAAGATAGTAGCTGAACATGTAGAAGACAGCACAAATGTCTGAAGTTCTCTTACCTTTGTCACCCAGTCATTATGAACCTTCCAGCGAATGAAGGTGATACTTTCTTGCTCATAAATAGCATTGGAAGAAATGGTTGGGATTTCTTCCACGGGTGGATATTTTGTCCAATTCCTATCAGAACACACACACACTGTTAGGATGGAAGTATGAAACCCAGACAATATCGGATTCACCACCAAACATACTATTCTGAATTAGCAATCTAGGAAATTATTCTTGTAAAGTTTGTCTTGATGCAATAATGCCCCAATAGATTTTGTTTTGTTTTGTTTTGTTTTGTTTTAAAGGAGCTTTAAGAAAGTGTGTCAACAAATGTGCAAATAACTGTCACTCTCCCTACCTCCAGAATGGGCTACCGCTGGTGGGAATTCTTCTGCCCACAATTTTGGGTGGGCAGAATTGGGAGCTCCACACGAGCAGTGGTGGAGCTTCATCTTTCAGCACCGGGGGGCGGAGAGCAGGCAGGGACGGGGCTGGTGCGCATCCTGGGGGTGGGGCATGCCACCCGCAGGGTCAGAGCGCACGTCCTAGGGGCGGGGTGCCCAGCGCAGGCTGGGGAGCAGCCGCGATGATACCTTACTGGGATCACACTGCCAGGGGTGGTGCGCTCCCCCTGCACTCCTCTTCCTCCACCAGTGCACACGAGAGGAGTGAACTTGACATCATTCTGTGGGCAGAGGCTGGTGATGCTTTTTTGAGGACTCCACATCATCCAAACCCATCCAGTGTGGATTGCAGCCATGTTAGTGGAAGGTCACATCCACACCTTATATTGAAAACACATTTAATGGGCATTTAAAGGACATGGACCCCTTCCTCCAAATAATCCTGGGAAGTTAAGTTCACAAAGCTACAATTCCTATACCCTTAAGAAACTACAATTCCCATGGTTCTTTAGGTTAAGTCATTTGCTTTAAATGTATGGTGTGGATATGACCATTTATTTATTTTGTTAAAGGACTACAGGGAAGCCATTTCTGAAGCAAGGCATGGTGCATCTACCTCAGTATTGGTAGAGGCTCTCCAGCATTTTAGATTACAGTCTTTCCCATCTCTGGAGATGCCAGAGATGATGAAAGATTGCCTGGGAATAGGGTAACACTTTGTGTTAAAATCCACATAGGCCTGGTCAAACTGTCACGTACCTCAGTGTTTCTGCCACAGAACTGATCAACAGGATATTAACACAGCCCTGTATTTAACAGAATGCCACCATATCAGTACCCAGATTTATAATCAGCATTATTACCACTACAACATATGCCTAAGGTCATTTTTAACTATTGGTTAAAAGAACAGCAGGTGGCGCTGTGGTCTAAACCACTGAGCCTAGGGCTTGCCAATCAGAAGGTCGGCGGTTCGAATCCCCACGACGGGGTGAGCTCCCGTTGTTTGGTTCCAGTTCCTGCCCACCTAGCAGTTCGAAAGCACACCAAAAAGTGCAAGTAGATAAACAGGTACCGGTCCGGCGGGAAGGTAAATGGTGTTTCCGTGCGCTGCTCTGGTTTCACCAAAAGCAGCTTAGTCATGCTGGCCACATGACCCGGAAGCTGTCTGCGGACAAACACTAGCTCCCTTGGCCAATAAAGTGAGATGAGTGCCGCAACCCCAGAGTCGTCCGCGACTGGACCTAACGGTCAGGGTACCTTTACCTTTACCTTTTAAAAGAACAGGAGGAGGAGGGTAGTCTATATCCTGCAGGGAATGCCCAACAGCAAAAAATATCTCTGATTATATTTAAACCTATATTTTGCGTGTTTCACTTTTACAAGTTGTGGATACCTTTCTTAGAAACAAACTGCAAAACTCAGAAAGTTCTAGCTGTGCCATTTTCTCAGTTTATATCTGAATTAAAACATACCAGACCTTATCAACATACCTGCTCGTCACCATATGATATCACGCATTCACCTTCTCCCCGAACACTTTAAACAGGAAGAAAAAGCATTATACAACCTGTCTGTAATTTGTTCAAATAAAGCTTCTACGCTGATCATAGCTAATACATAGCTCCTTGGAGAAAAGGAAGAATACAAATTCAATGAATAATACATGTGTACAAAAGCCAAGATGGGTCTATTCCCCCGCTCTGAGGTCTAACTTCTAGAAATGCTGGCGGGGCAGAGCTGAACCCTGAAGAGCTTCCATGAATGAAATTTTAAACAAGGCATCTCCATGGTGGAATCCACACACGTATTTAAAAAAAAAGCAGTGAAAATGCTTTTTTAAAAAACGTTTTGAAAAAATGTATTGAATTTGCCATACCTCACCATCGTCATCTAGTGTCACATTTGTATACTGCACTTTACAACACACTTAAAACATTTTATTTGCAGCTGTATAGCAGAGTCCCCAGAAGCATAAAAGAGGAGAAAAACTGGGACAAGCATAAGAAAGGACAGGCTGTCCCTGGTAAACAGAGGCAGTTGGATTGTATGTGTTATGTGCTGAAGTTCTCACCCTGGGCCAGCAGGGGGATACTATAGATAGTTATGCAAATGAAGGATCGAAAAGTGACGTTCAGTGATTGGATAGTTTTAGAAAATGGAAACAGTTGCATTGTTCTGGAGCTCTATATAAGCAGGCTGACTGAGCTCCTCAGCCTAGTTCTGTTCTGGCATCTGAATAAAGAAGAGCTGTTTAAAGAATCGCTGTGTCGTCTGACATGTTCACCCACAATTTAACAGTATGTTTTTCCATTGCTATTACAACAGAGTAAGAACTGCAGTTAATCTGATGGCGTTAATTCTGTATTTCTGCTCCTAAATAGGTTTTAGTCTCATCTGAGCTCAATATAATATAGGAAATGTTAGAAATAAAAAATAACTATATGTCTTCTTTCTTCTATATTCACGGGAAAGGTATTTAAACTGGGGAATGGGTGGATGTAATTTGGGTAAGACTGTTGAGTCCAAACTATACCTGTAATCCAAACACAGAGGCATTGTTTCAAGGGCCACAATTTGGCAATACGGTTCCAAGTTGGAGAGCTCATAGAGTCGTATCTCTCTGTTACTGTAAAACACAATGTTAATTAAACACTTTTAAAGCCCAGTAAATGTTGCTTTTTAACGCCAGTTGATGTTAATAAACTACAATTTTCACTCCACCTTTGATTTAAAAACAGCTTGTTTTAGTTCTTGCGTTAGACAAAACTCAACAGATTCATTTTGCATTTTATGGTGGATTCAGATTAAGCATTGATTAAACAACAATAATTTGTTTTCTTTACTTGACATCAGCTGAATTATATAGATGTCTAAAGAGCAAGGAGTGTGGATGAGAAAAGATTCCTGGTTTGCCACAGAACTCCAAGAGACTCCAATACCATTTCTCTCCTGAATCTCCATGTTTCTGAAATGGGTGCTGCCATATTGAAATCAACCACAGAAAAATCCAAAATGTCAGCACTAGCACCACAGGTATGCTCCTGCAGTGAATTAACACTGAAATACCTACAGGACACTTATTCTGAAGCAGACTCACAGATACTCAGGTGGAATCTGCACACATGTTTAAAACATTGTGAAAATCTTTTTTTTTATCGTTTTGAAAAACTCATTGAATTTGCTATAGCTCACCATCTCCATCTAGTATCACAATTGTATATTGCAATTTACAACACATTCAAAACGTTTTCTTTGCAGCTGTATAGCTGAGTCCTGTGGCTTGTACCTGGAACAGCACCTTATAGTTTACTGCCTATTTACTCCAAGCAAACTATAAATAGTTTGCATTAACCATAATGAAACAAGAAAACATCAACACAAACAAGGTGTGTTGCCTACAATTTTCTCTTCCTTGTTTGCTGTTCACATTTTATATAAATATGAACAAATTTGTGAAATTTCTGTGACACTTTTCAAATGGTAGTAGCATATTCATCATACTTAGAAACCCAGAAATTGACTACATACCAGGTTCCAATAATTAGCTTGTTGTAATGGGCCATTAAAATAGAGTCGGAAACCCACTTTAGCCTCCTGTTTTGTAGTTTGTTTTCATTTTCATCCTAGACTCCAAAAGAGAACATGGTCAAAAGTCTGATCTAAACTGAAATATATCAACCATAGTTAAGCCGCTGGGCTAGGTTCGCATAGAACACAAAGTCATGGTTTAATAAAATACAGTTTACTAAAACCATGTGTCAGCCACTGGAGCAGGGGCCTGGGGATGTGCTGCCACCTTCTCATTTATCAGCAGATGTGCATCATTCAGCTGCCGAGTCTGATAAGCTTTGGGGCAGAATCCAGCGGAAAAAATAGCCTGGCGCTCCCCAAAATACAGCCAAATTAACAGACTACAGTGCTTTAACATGCCTCTTCCCCCTGACTCAATCACACTGTGGTTTAGCATTGTATTTGAACCAGGCCAGAGGCTGTTCTAATGGAAGCAGCAGCAATAAGAAAGCCCTGAATATAACAACCTATGAAAAAACTTGTGATTTGTTGGTGTGGTTGTAACCAACAACCAAGTTAAAAGCAGTTGCAGCTTACAATGGGCACATAAAAATGTTAATCGAACAAGGAACTCTCAAACTCCAAATAAGGAAATCTCCAAATAAATAAGAAAATAGTTCAAAAACTTACTGGGAGTAATTGCTACTTTTAACAGAGTAAAATATCTGTTCACCTGGGAGTCTGGCTGGGCAGCCATTCCCGCATGGCGCAGCCGTGGTGGGTTCAGGGAGGCTGCCATCTTCCAGGCGTTGCTGGGGGAGGGGATGGCTGACACTGCCCACCTCCAGCTGCATTGGACCCTCGGGTAAGGGCAGGCAGTAGCCGGTCACACAATCACAGGCTGGGGCTTGGAGCTGCGAGCAGCCCACCCCCAGCCCACTTAAGGGGGCAGCCAGGTGTCAGCTGCCCTCTTGGCCAACTGAATTTTAAAATGCATTGATTTATTTAGCTAAACAGAGATTGCCCATTAATTCCATATGTTCATAATCTATTCACTTATGGAAATACACACAAACTGTTTCACACTGTGGAGTTCCTCATTAATGTCCCTGGGATTTTAAAAAATTGCTTTCTGACTTGCTTGATAATTTATCGTTCTGTTTCCTGTTTTATATGCATCTCCCCCCCCCCCCCCGTTTCCTCACTTTTTCTTCTTTTCTGCCTTTTATTAATCCTTCTGAAACAAATGCCCATTGTCTTTTTTTGTGCTGTGGAAAAAATAAATACATAAAGGAGAATTCCTCGGATGCCAGGGTCCAGGTTTGGGGCAAGTATTATTTGGTGACAGAACCTCAGCTGAAGTTTAAAATCACTAAACATGCAGCAAAGTAAAGTGTGAAAATATAGGCTGATATTCTTTTGTGAGTTTCAAAACTTCCCCTAGTATAGAAAAAGACCACATGTTTGGTGAATTATAAATGGTTTACTTACAAACTCTCCAAAGGTCAGATTTGTGTACTTTTCTATACAGCATTCAGAAAAAGTTGCACAGGCAGTAAAACTTGGCTTGGTTACAGTAGTGAAAGTTCCTAAATTATTGGTATAGGAACTTGAGTGGCTTGTTAGAGCCAATGATTGCCCCAGCTTAGCCTCTTCACATGCTGTGCTTCTCAGGTAGAGTGAGGGGGAACAAAGGCTTGATTACCTAGTCCCTCCCAAGGTGAGCTAAGTCTGGCAGGACAACTTAGTCAATGGCCTTAACCCCTTGATGCATTAATTACATTTAAGCATGGTGGTTATATGAGGCTGGTTATCCCACAATTTTCAGAATGAAGGCAGCACCTTTTGTTAGCAACAGGCATATGAACCCTTCTGCATGTTAGCCTCTGTGCATGCATGTGTTTTACTTGATCCTTTGGCAGAACGTTAAGAACATAAGTGGTATGCTCCCAAACCTTTGTGGATTTACCAGTTCAGGGTCTGCTAAAATACTTCTCGTATTTCATAGAGTTCAACCTTTTGGCTCCTTAAACCAGACTTTTTCAACCCAGATTTTGTTGTACTACAATTCCCATCATTCCAAGCTAGCATGACCAGCGCTCAGGGATGATGGGAGCTGTAGTCCAACAACATCTGAGGACCGAAGGTTGAGAAAGGCTGCCTTAGACGATACCATAGACCCACATAACTCATATCATCCTTTAATCCATCTGGTTCGGTGTAGAGACAAGCATATATATATTTGTCAGAGTTAATTTCATCACAATTATACTTGGCTGACATCATTTTGAGAAATACAGTCATGAGTGAATGTGTTGGGAGAGAATGATAATGATTGTTAGGACAGCAGAAAAGCAATCTCCTTTTCATTTTAGCCTCAGTAGGAAGATCTTACACCTATTATCAGTAAATATCACAGTATTTAAATAATACCTCACTTCTTAAACTCACAAGAATCAGAGAGGTTTTCTTCAGTTTTAAGTTTGCACTCCAAATGGAAACCAATCCGTCTTGGCCAACACATAAGATGTGACCATCCACTGTTGAGGAGACGTAAAGGAGTGGCTCTCTGTGAGGTGTTTCTGTCACTCTGGATGGATGGAGAAGTGATGACATTTGCCTTAGGTGGTGCTCTTCCAGCTAAACAAAGCAGAATTCAAGTTTGGGTTAAGGCCACACACACAAACTGAGGCAAAGGAACATGTACGGGTTGTGAGCTACTTTCCTTAGTATGCTCATTGTACAATATACAGTATATTTTGTTCTGTGGCGCTTAATACACTCATTTCTTTTGTACAACACGGGTAGCTGTAAAATATGGATATTGGTCTCCCTGCTTGCACCCTGGTTAATTACAGGACAATTTAAAATGAACAAACAGCGCAAAGAGATGCATAAATCCCACTCTCCATCATGCTACAGCTCAAATCTGAGTTCTGTTGCTCTCACACAGCTGCTCTTAAGCAACAAAGAAAGACATCAGGAGATCTGATTATACACCTCCTGTGTTGCATCTAGTTTGGCTCTTACTGACATTAATTAATGCTGTCCTCTCACATGGAGACTTGCTTTAATCTAGCAATAAAAGCTCTTGCAAAGTATATTTTGTTGATCAGAATCATTGATAACATTGCTTAAGAAACTTCAGTGAGGCAATAAGAGATTGTAGTGCATTAAATGATGAAATAGATCAGAGGAAAAGATAGAACTGGGTAAATGTGTATCCATTCGTGTCAGTGGAAGCTTGGCCACTGATTTCTATGGGAAGTGCATTGCACTCCCAGATTGGTAGGGACTTAATAGATGATCTGAATAAACAAGGCATTCTGGATAACACTCCCCCTGAAAACTAGTTTGCCCACAAGAGCTATAGTGCCCAGTGCCCAGGGCAAACTACAGTTCCCAGGATTCTTTGAGGAAAGGTTTTTAATGTATGGTGTGGGTGTGAGTATGGGTTTTATAGGTCAAAGCTAGCACTTTGAATGGTGCTTGGAAACAAATAGGCAGCCAATGTAGTATCGTCACTGGTCATAATAAGCATGTTTACTCAGAAGAAAACGTCCTGGTTTTCAATACAACTTTCATTTCCAGATAGTAGCCTTGGAGCAAGGCATCTTAGTTAACTTGCTGCCTACCTAGCCACATTACCTGATTGCTTAACTGCATTGTTTGCAGTTAAATTCATAAACATTTAAGGATTCCCTTAAAGTTACCCCAGTGAATTCAGTGGAACTTGCTACTGAATAGACATGGATGGGATTGCACTATAAGTCTAGATACAACTTGGAGTGCTTTTTATACTGGGCTGCTTTAAAACTCCTTGCACCTGGTAAGAGAACATAGTGGGCTCATTTGTCATTCATTTATCTCCTCCCATTATATTTCACTTCTCTGATGTTTTACTGTCAAATTCATTATTTCATATGTACATGCAGCTACATATGAACCAATATTAAGAACATATATTGACAGAAAATGCAATTAATTGTTCACTGGTAAAGAAATTACTTTTTAATACAGTAAACACACTTGCAAGCTTCCTTAATCACTAGTGCAAACCTTTCTTTAAAAATTATTCCTCCCCACAACAGATAGTTTATAGAAAACATGTACCACTTTGGTATCAGCAGATGTTGTTTGCTCACTTTTTAAAGCTTTAGATAAGATCCACACAGATTTTGAACTGAAAAAGAAGCATTACTGCCTGACTGGAAACCAAACAAATTAAGTCAGCCATAAATCTTTCTCGTTGTTCAAGAGTTTGTGGTCCAGTGCCTTTGCTTGAAAATGTTATGTTGCTATGTGGAAATAAGCAGGAACAAAATCGGACTTATTTCTCATGAGTAAATGTATATGCAAAGCACTCACTTTCTGGATGCAATCCCACCTGCTGTAGCACTGACTTTGCCTCTTTTGGAAAACAATGCAAGGTTTATTTATGGGCACTCCAATCTGTTTCGCCAGCAAACTATGATCCGAAAGGACTACAGTATTTTGTAATGCTGAAGTTGTTATGGTGATGCAATGCAGCAACATCAAAACAAGGAACTGCTAATGCTAGTAACAGTTTCAGGCTTCCTTGACGATACAGAGTGTGAATAAGTTCAAGCATGCTCCTATATTGAGTTCAGTAATTATCATGCCCACCAAATGCTTTGAGGATTATGGGCATAGATCAGAGGTTTTCAACCTTTTTGAGTCCATGGCTTCTTTATTCAATCTCTGTCAACCCTATGAGGCTCAGGAACCCAGTTATGCCACCCCTTGCCAGCAGAGCTGGCAGCCTCTCACCCTTTTTCAAACACCCTCCCTTGTGGAGTGTCCCCTCAGCCTCTTCTCCTCTCCCCTCTCCTTGGGAGTCTTCCGGGCAGCAGCTGCTGCTGTCCCTGGTCTCTGAGCTGACCGCCCCCCCCGCCCCAAAGAGAGGTGTCTCTCAGAGGTACCAGTCACTTGCAGAGCTTATAGCCAGGACTGCTGCAATAAACAACTGTGAAAGCTTTCAGGAGGCAGAGACACGAGAAGGCATCAGAGGGAGGGAGGGAAGGAAAGAGGGACAGAGGCCAGTGTTGCCCATAGCACCCCTGACAATCATTCAAGGTACCCCAGGGTGCCATGGCACACTGGTTGAAAACCATTGGCATAGATCACGGTGCAGGGGACATGGATATAAGGCTCGAGGAAATGGACACGGTGCTTGGAAGGGTCAGGGTGACCACTTGCACTCTGGACCCTTGCCACTCTCAGCTGATAAAAACTAACAGGGTGATGACAGCTGGCTGGGCCAAGGAGGTGATTAATGCCTCCTTGAGAGAGGAGGTGGTCCCTGCCTGCTTGAAGGAGGCAATGGTAAAACTACTCCTCAATAAACCCTCCCTGGACTTGGAAAATCTAAGCAATTACCGGCCAGTTGCTGATCTCTCTTTCTTGGGCAAGGTTCTCGAGCATGTGGTTGCAGGCCAGATCCAGGCGCTTTGGGAATAAAGTGATTTTCCAGGTCCATTTCCATTGGGGTTTAGGCCCAATTTTGGCAAAGAAACTGTTTTGGCCATCCAATATGTGGACCTCTGTCAGGAGAGAGGTGGGGGAAATGTGTCCCTGTTAATTCCCTCAACCTGTCTGTGGTTTTTATACCACTGACCATGGTATCCTTCTGGAGTGCTGTCTGGGTTAGTAGTGGGTGGCACTGCTTTGCAGTGGTTCTGGTCCTACTTGGATGGTCATTTCCAGGTGTTTGGGGAGTACTGTTCAGCTCCATGGAGCCTTCAATGTGGGGTTTCTCAGGGTCCAATTTTATCTCCCATGTTGTTTAATAGCTACATGAAACTGCTGAGTGGGGTCATCCAGAGGTTTGGACTTGAAAGAAGCCTTCTATTTAGCCAATAGAATGGGTTGTGGTGTGCACTTACTTGCAATGTTTGTAGTGAGAAGTTTCCTCAGTCTGTATATATGCCCATGGGTCCCCAAAGGATGGCAGCCACTGATCTGCACTCTTAGTTCCATGCCTCCCTCCCCACACACTACACCTTTGAAGCACATGGTTCCACTCAAAGAATACTGGGCACTGTAATTTGTTAAGGGTTGCTGGGAATTATAATTCTGCGAGAGATAAAATACAAGGCCCAGAATTCTTTAGGGAGGGGAAATATGCTTTGAATGTGCTTTAAGGGTATAGTGTGCGTACAGTTGTAGGGCCAATACATTCACAGTGGAGTTGGTATGATATTGTAATGAAGAACATGACATATGAGGCAGAAATTCATGACACAAATTTCAGCTTGGTTGTATATCTGTTGTGTGGCCTTTAGCAAACCACTGAGGCTTGGGCTCCAATCTGCAATACATATTTATATTGGCATATTTTAGAGAATGTTGTAAAGATTGCTGAGACAATATTTGTGACATGCTTTCAGTATTTATGAAAAGGGCTATTTTAATACCAACTGTGTGGGAGGGTCTTCCCAGAGCACTGGGCTAAAGCTGCCTCTGTTCTGAAGCTTCTACAAAAGCTAGCAAATTCTTCCATAGATCATAGTGGTTTGACTAACAACAACGGAAATGTCAATTTTCAGAGACACAAAGACACAGGCAATTTTCCCACAACCGTCTTGCTAATTAACAAATCTCAACATTGTTGCTGATACGGTACGACAGACCATAAGAAGTGTAAGCGCTTATTCACAGTCTCAGCATGGCTTTCCAAAGGAATTGTAAGTGATGCACCTACTAGCACTGTGCTGCTGACCTCCTGCATTTAACTCTAAGTACAAGAGACAGGAATGGCAAAATGTGTGTAATAAATTAAAGAGCGAAGATGATATAGCTTGAAAATTATGCATCTCTTTATCAAGCTTGACTAGAAATCCTAATCAGCAATAAACAGCATCTGACAGGGAAGAAACTTGAACAAATGCATTTATGACAAGCAAATAGCTGTACACAGCCTAAGCAAGGAAGGGAACGGATTAATGTGTTACACTAATTCATACTGATAGTTTGACATTATGCACTAAAAATTAAGTGAGCAAAATAAAGAAGTACATGTCATAAAGAGAAATTAAAAAGTCCACAAAAGGAAATCACAAGTGTGTGATAAGCTGCTGAGAGGTACTCTTCACCATTTATTCAGTTAAACGCCATCTGAAAAGGACACTGGAGTCTAGATTAAAGGTCAAATTGAACAACGTAAGAAAGATTCCCTTGCCCACCAAATGAGGGAGAAATACATGTCAGCAATTTCTTCCAGCCGTCTTGCCCTTGAGTTGCTGCTGTTCTATTCAATACTCATTTTTAGAAGAAAAATCTATTAACACAGTGCATCTCCTCTGCTATTTCTTAGATATGATTGCATAGACATGTATAGGATTCCATCTATGTATATTAAGACTGCAATCCTATGCATACTTACCTGGGAGTAAACCCAACTGAACACAGTGAGACTTTTTTTTTTAACAGAGTAAACATGCTCATGATTGTGCTGTAAATCTTCATAATTCTACCAAACACGCCCAAGATTTGTTTGTAAATCCCCCCTCAGATGCCCCCTTGAGGTCATGCATGTATGTACAAACAACCCTTCCCAAACCAAAAATCCTAACCAGGTGAATTTAAGTCCACATTCCTAAATGTACTTATTGCTTGCTCAGTCCTATAAATGTTTATTTGGAAATAATTCCTCCAAGTTCAGTGGAGCTTAATCACAAATAAGCATGAGTAGGATTACAAGCCTTGTTTGGCAAGAAATGTCATTCAAATCAATGAGGCTTAGAATGTGTTCACACTCCAATGTGCTGTGCTGGGTTTTTTATTCATGATGTTCATACGGCAACAGCATTGTTCAAAGTGCATATCTATTATTTAACTCAGAGGAAGAAAAAAAAGCTGATTGCAATTCTTTCTCATAAATCAGGTTACCTGAATGTACCTTATGTACCCTCTTATCTACCTTCTGTACCTATCTGAACCTTATTATCTTTCCCAGAGGCCAATTGTTGCTGCCAAATGAAGTGAGCTGAGTAACCACCAGAGACAGGATCTTTTTAGTAGTGGCATCTTGGTTACGTCACACTGTTCCCACAGAAGTTTGCCTGAACTCATCTTTGCCCTCTTTTATGCTGCAGGTGGATCTTGTTTATTCAGTGCTTTTAAACAACTTGTGTCTCATTATGGCACGGCCCTCTTAATTTTGAACTTGGGTTTTAACTGTGTTTTTAGTTTGTAATGGTTTTTACAGCACTCATTTTTATTGTATTGTAATTGTTTTGTTTCGCGAACTGTCCCTCAGGGAACTTATGTTTTGGATAGCCTTGGTGATTGAGGAGGATTAAGTGGCTTGGTGCAATGTGGGACCGCTGGAATGTCGGAGTTTGGGGTGGCAAGAAGCAATATAACTGAGGCAATGAACTGTGTACAGATGCTGACATGAAGTTGAATTAAAAATGTTTTTTAAAAAAAGATTCAGGAGACACAAAAGAAGTACTTTGCACAACACATAGTCAACTTGTGGAATTCACTCACAGAATATGTTGAATTATTTCCGTCCTGCCTTTACTCCAAGAAGCTCGAGGCAGGACACGTGGTTCTTTCTCTTTTCTCTTCACAGCAACTCCGCAAGGTAGGCTAGCATGAAGAGGCAGCATAGCGAGAGGTGAGCTGCGTAGTGTACATTTAAGGAACAATGCGGTGGGAAGAGACCGGAGGAGGGCCATGACATTTACGCCCTGCTCCTAGGTTTCCTTAGCAGCGTCTGGTCGGCTAAGGCTGCCGGGATGACTTCGACCCAGCGGAGCTCTGCTTACGTTCTTCACAAACAAAGAAAAGCAAATGAAAACATGGACGTTCCGCATCCTTGCCACTAGAGGGCGGGTTTCCTCAGCAAGCCTAGCAGAGAACGCTGACTTGTACCGCGCACGCGCCCTTCTGCACGGCTTTTCTCCGAGGCCGCAAACAGCCTTACGGCGCCCCGCCCCGCTCCCAAGGAGCCAGGGGATAGGCGGAGGGGACGGCGTGATGGCGTCATGCGCAAGTGACGCAAAGGCGGCTTTGGTAACGGGCGGGATTTTCAAAATGGAGCCCCTCAAGGAAGGGGTTTCTCCCCGACCCCCGTAGCGGGGAGGGAGAGGCCTGCGGAGCGGCAACGGTGGCGAAAGAGACGCGCATTACCCGGCCATGTGGTAGCTTATAGGAAAGGAAGAGAGTGACGCGGGGAAGAGCGAGCGCCGCCGCCGCCATGGCGACCTGCATCGGCGACAAGATTGAGGTGCGGAAACGGCCATTACGGGGTGGGTGGGGACCGAGCCATTCGCGGCCTCGGGGGAGGGAGAGTTTGGGCCCAACCATATCTCAGTGGAGGGGGAAGCAGGGTTTGGTGTTGTTACAGGTGGTCCTGTCCAGCTTGCTGACTGGCGCTGCGTGATGCTGGGCGGGGTTTCGCCTTACCAGCGACTTAAAACACTCGATCCCTCCCACTTCGCTGGTTCAGGATGAGGTCGCATCTCTTTCCTCCCTTTTCCTTGGATGGCACCACCAGGTTGCACATCCCCTGCTTCTATGCTGCCTCCGCTTTAATGTCATTAAGAGCTGCGTGGCAGGCAGAAAACCAACCTATGCTTTATTTTTACAATGCCTTTGATTTGTTTTGATATCTGTCTTCCGCTTTTCCAGCAACAAATGCTGAGCTCAAAGCGGATCACAATAATCACGGTGGCGTTAAAAATGGGAAGTCTAAATCTGTAGAATTTGTACCCATCTCAGTTTTTCATGGTGTAGAAGCCCTGCCGGAATAGACAGGCAGCTCTGCACTTTAACATCTTTAAATTTAATGTCCTTTAGTGTATGACTTAAAAAGAACAAGTTGTTCATAGGGCTGAACTCTACACAACTCGAATGTTTACCATTAACCGAGGATGTGTGTCTGTAGTTGATGTGGGAATTCTAATCCGTGCTTGTATAGATTCTGTAGAACTAAGGTGTGGTAGCTATTTTGGACTAGTTAACAAGGTTTATAAAGGATGAATTTTGGTCCATATTAGCACTCTCACAACATTATTCTTAGTACTGTATACGTGTCACCATACTTCTACCTTGTATGGTGTTCCCTCTGAACACAGTTGCCTGAAGATGGTATTTCTTAGTAACAGGTGACCAAGCAAATGGTTATGTGGTTTTAATTGTAGCCTTTGTAATGATCATCTGTGCAGCCTGTAATTCTAGAAAGAGATTGCATCTACCCCTGAGAAATTCTCATTTGTATCTAGTAATTTTTTACTATGATAAATAAGTGAACCAATGTGCTTTGACAAACCAACATGAATAATTTGAAACATTACCAAATTCTGCAGTGTTAATTTTTAGCTCACAGAGCTCAGATAAAAGGTCTACAATTGCTACAAGTGTTGAAAACTTGCATCTTTTGTAACATTTTTTCTCACGGAAGCTTTGTTTACATTCAAGGTCTGGCTGGTTGCCAGATTGGGTTTGGAGCATCTTACCCAAATTTCCTCTATTAGCGAGGCATAATTAGGGTACTCCCATAAGTATGCTTTGGAGGAAGTGTGTGCTAGATTTCCACCCTTAATCATGTGAAAAAAGTATCCACCTTGGCCTTCAAGAGATTACAGCCTCAACACTAAATTCAGAGGGATTTTAAATGTGTGTAGGATAAGCCTGCATGCTTGCAACCCTGTGCACACTTATTAGAAAGTCAAACCTATTGAACTTAATGGGGCTTACTTTCAAGTGAGCATAGAAGGATCAAGCTGTAAGTAGTTAACATGAATTAATCTTTAAAGTGTTCTCTGAAGTGTGTAGTGGTAAACTATGGCCTGGCAAGTATTATGATTTATACTAAAATGATGGTTTCAACAGTAGGTTATACTTTTATTTGTGATACACATTTAAAATATGCTTAATATTTCAGGCAGGAATTAACCAAACAAAACAGATATTGGATTTTCCTTTTTTGTACTGCACAGTTGGGCACATTAATAATCATGCTATTCATGATTATTAATGGTTGACTTCTACAGTTGGAGGCTGTATGCTTATGAATACTAGTTGCTGGAAACCTCAGGAGGGGAGTGTCCTCTTGTGCTTGGGTTCTGCATATTGGCGACCCGCAGGTGTTTGGTTGACCACTGTGAGAACAGAATGTTGGACTAGATGGGCCATTGGCCTAATCTACCAGGCTCTTCTTATGTTCCTATGTTGAAGGATCAGAAGTACTAAAAACACTTCACTGAGTTAGGGAATAGATTTAGAATACAAGAATATATGCTTGTGTTTGCTGTCACTTTGAGTTTTCGTGATCAATTTTTTGGGAAGAGAATAGGGAGCATTTGAGATTCTCACAGATGGGCTACAAGAAAAGCAATTGTAAACTTGCCTGTAGAGTTTGTTTATTTTGATGATGATGACAGGAAATAAGTGTTGAGAAAAGTTGACCTGTTTTACTTCAGGAATAAATATTTATGTACCCTTTTGGCCCGAATATAAACCACACTTTTTTCCAAATTCTGACTGAAAAGTTAAAGTGTGCCTTATATTCGCAACCTAACGCCACCGGCAAAGCGGCACAGCTCTCCCCCCCCCCATTCAGGGTGGTAGAGCCTTGAATTTTAAAGGTGCGGCTTATTTACAGGTGGGTCTTATATAGGGCCAATATGGTATTTATTCATATTCATCAGTTATGAAAACATTGGCAGTGGGGGAAGGGGTAATACAACCTCCAGAAAGTCCCAGCACATGCTCTCTATTTCCCCACTCCTACTTCAACTCCAAACCACCCATCATTTCCAAATCATTAGGTAACTTCGTAAGGTGATATGCAAACTAATTAAAATATATTATCAGTCATCCTCATCACCGTAGTCTGGGGGTTGCCAAATCATGCAAACGAAAGAGGATCTATGTGGGTGCACACTTTTCTTTTTATGTTGATGGAGTAGAAAAGACAAATCAGTTGGAAGGCATGGTGCCCACAAAACACTCTCAAAATTCCAAATATTTTGCTAGTCCCCTAAAGAATGGCAATATAACAATTTGCTTTAATTCACGTACCTCATGATATAATCATTGCCCCTAGAAAGGTGTTGGGAAGGTAGATGCCAAAATCTAAACTCCCCAGGCAGTTTTGAAAATGCCACATTTTTTTTGTAACATATGCAGATATCTAAATCCTTTGAACCTTAGGACGTTAGTTTTTTGACACTAGCTCTTGGACTTCCACTACCCGCAAGGCTACATAGGTACGGAAGTCCAGCCCTATAGAAAACATCCATCGCTCTTAAAACGCAAAATCGGTTTTTGTCACGGGGGCAAAGTTTCTAACCGCAAGCGCCTTGCGTTGAAGAAAGGAGAAACCCAGCTCGCTGGTATTTCTTAAAAGTGGGGCGAAGCCTCTGCAGGACACCTTTCTTTTGCCAAGGAGTTTGCAAGCAGTTTAACGGTGCAGCCCTGTCCTTGCAAGCCCCGGACCGCTTGGGGGACCTTACTCCCTCTCGCGCGAAGAGGGGGCTAAGCATTGCCGTTCTCGGCGGCGGCAACAGTAGGGCGGCGCGCGGGATGCGCGGGCGGGGGGGCGCCTCCGCTCTGGCGTCTCTCCCCCGGGCCGTTTCCTTGGCGACGGGGGATGGAAGCCGCGTCTCCCCCGGGAGCGGGAGAAAGCGCGGCAAGGCGAGAGCCGCCCGCGAGCCCCGGCGCCGCGAGCTCCTCAGTGGCTGCGAGCTCCTGGCAGCGCGATGCCGCAGTGGCTGCTCAGTCTCCTGCTCTCTCCCGTGCCCAGCGCCGGCGCAGCCTCCGCAGCCGGCATGTCCCAGTGCTCGCCTTGGGAGAGCTCCATTCAGGTAAAGCCGCCTCCTGCCGCCGGCCGGTCTCTGCTGAGGAGCGCCTCTGCCGGAGCATGCGCCGTCGGGGCGAGAGCGCGGCCAGGGCGCCCTTTAACTGGCCCTCAGGGCACTGAAGTGCTTTTCCCACCTGCATCCTGAAAGGGGACAGGACGGTTTTTGAGGGGAGGGGGAGAAGTACGAGGATTGCCCAAGGGAACCAGGTTTCAGCTGGGCAAAGCTGAAACACGTGGAAGAGCCTGTGTTTTTTGTATCGTGTAAAAGTCAGAAACTGCAAGACTGAACTTGTATGGTGTCGACACATCTCTGTATTTGCTTCCTTTTGCCCTACCTCTTATAATACATTCATGACCCTAGTCCAGAGAGATGCGGATTTCGAAGCAGGCTTTCTAGTAGTCTGTGAAATATGGCACTGCAGAGTGATGGGAGCAAAACATGGATAAGGGTAGATGAGGGGAGAGTTGGTATGTGAAAGGTATGAACAGGATGCATTTTTAAAAACAACTTTGGAGGTGGGAGGGAGAAGCAGCCTTAACCTCTTTCCTTTTAGTTGCATTCTCATACTAACCCCCACTGCATTGGGAAGTAGAAGCAGTACTTTCCTCCCACACTTCAAGCTAGCCTCACAGTTTTCTCTTTAAAGTCTTTTTTGTTTCAGAACAGGGATTAATTTGAATCAAGGTGACTCTTTATATCAGCTATTTAAATTACAAGGCAAGGGGAAATTTCATCACATCTCTGCAAACATTTCAGGGGGAATTTTTTACAGGTAGCATATTAAAACAAGTAGATGTTTGACATCCCACACTATCTCAGTAGCTCATACGGAGCTGTCAGATAGAAGGTGAGGAGGCAGTAAGAGCAGTGAACATTGCATTTTCTTTTTCAGGATTTCAAGGTGGGGAACCTTCTGGGGAAGGGCTCCTTTGCAGGAGTCTACAGAGCCGTATCCCTGAAAACAGGCCTAGAAGTTGCCATCAAAATGGTAAGTTGCCATTGGATCAGATACCAAAGTAACTGAATTTAGCCAGAATATAGGATACCAAGCTGCTGGGTAAGCTAATAAATGCAATATTTTACTTTCTAACTTACTCCTTATGTTCTCACAACTTGTTAGTTCCTGATTTCTGTTGTTCACCTATCAATTTGAATCCCAGGCTGCAAAGGTTTTCTCCATATAGCACTTGCCCTATACTTGACTGTGCAAACACATAAACCAGTCCAGTCTTTTAAGCACTTAACATCTGAAGTGCTTCATCTGCCAAACTCCTCAGCACAGATGATTGTTTTTAGTATAGAATAGCTTTCAGGGTCAAGGCACATTATAATGTGAAATTAGACGTGTCTTTTGCACACTGAATATGTTGAGTCTTATGTTTTGTTTTTGTGAAAATAATAAATAGCAGCAGAGGGGGGAAATTAGGATTGGGACCTTAGTATAAGGGGAGATTTTTTTAAAATGGTATCAACGGCAGCAAGAGAACAGCATTTTTAATTAAGATCACAGCACAAGTGCTAAGAATTTTGTTTGTTTTTTACATATCCACCTGCACTATGGTCCCAATCCTGATTCTGAACTGTGTGGTTTCTAATTTGTGACCCTCCAGATGTTATGGACTCCAACTCCCATCAGTCCCAGTCAGCATGGCCAACAGTCAGGAATGATGGGAATTACAGTTCAATATCTGAAGTGTTGCAGGCTAGCCACCTCTGATTAAAAACAAAACAAAACAAAACTGAAGAGTAAACCATGCTTTTAAAATACTGTGTAGTAGTTTGGCCATTAGTCAGTATTTGTTGAGAAAGTTCAATATATATCTGTAGGGATATAATACAACATTTAAACCCCATTGCTATGTTTATTTGGAAGCAAGTCCCATTTTATTTAGTTGGGCTTACTTTCTAGGCTGGTGTCAAGCAGATTTCTGAAGAATTGTTATCTATACATGAGACTAAAGCAAGCTAGACATACCTGAAATAATGGTATTAGTATAAAATGTAACAATAAACTCTTTCCAACCCTCGTTTAGCTTAAATCTATTCCTGAATTATTTTTATTTTTAAAAAATCTTTACTTTTATGTGTGTATGAGATTAATTTTAAAAAGAAAATCTTTTCAGATTGACAAAAAGGCTATGCACAAAGCTGGAATGGTGCAAAGAGTTCAAAATGAAGTGAAGATACATTGTCAACTAAAACATCCCTCTATACTTGAGGTAAGAATTTACACTAAGAACTTGATATGCTGATAACTAAACTTTGATGTATATTAAAACTAGTTTTCATTTTTCTAGTTGTATAACTACTTTGAAGATAGGAACTACGTGTACCTGATACTAGAGATGTGTCACAATGGGGAAATGAGCAGATATTTAAAGAACAGAAAGACCCGTTTCTCTGAAGAAGAAGGTAAGGCTGAAATATTGCTTATTGTTGCACCTTGAAGCAGTCTTTCCATCAAGTAATTAGATTGGAATCCACCCAGGGCTTGGACATAGCCAATGAGATTATTTTTCTTAAGACATAGTGGTCTGTAAGACCTTGCTTTTGAAAGTCACCCAATCTTGTAGAGTTTGTTGTGCAGTTATTTATCAATTTTAAAGGGGTGTAATATGCTTCTTACATATCAGCAGAGGGGGCACTCTTGGTAGTTCCTCTGCCCTCAGAGGCTTGGGTGATATATATGTGTGTGTGGCATTTCCTTGGGCAGAGACTGGCAAATGCAATATTATTATACTAAAATTAGGGGTGTGTTTGAGCACTTCTCAAATGGTTTGCTGTGTGTTTTGGGTCATTGTCATTCTGGAATACCCATCCGCGACCCATTTTCAATGCCCTGGCTGAGGGAAGGAGGTGCTCACCCAAGATTTGACGGTACATGGTCCTGTCCATCATCCCTTCGATGGGGTGAAGGTGTCTTGTCCCTTTAGCAGAATAACACCCCCAAAGCATCATATGTCCCCCTCCATGTTTGACGGTTGGGATGGTGTTCTTGGGGTCGTAGGCAGCATTCCTCCTCCTCCAAACACGGCAAGTTGAATTGATGCCAAAGAGCTCAATTTTGGTCTCATCTGACCACAACACTTTCACCCAGTTCTCCTCTGGGTCATTCAGATGTGCATGGGCACACTGCAGACAGGCCTGTACATGTGCTGTCTTGAGCAAGGGGATCTTGCAGGCTCTACAAGATCTCAGTCCTTCACGGTGTAGTGTGTTACCAACTGTTTTCATGGTGACTATGGTCCCAGCTGCCCTGAGATCATTGACAAGTTCCCCCTGTGTAGTTCTGGGCTGCTTCATCACCATTCTCATGATCATTGCAACTCCATGAGATGAGATCTTGCATGGAGCCCCAGACCGAGGGAGGTTCCGACAGTTATTTTGTGTTTCTTTCATTTGCGAATTATTGCACCAACTGTTGTCACCTTCTCCCCAAGCTGCTTGGCCATAGTCCAGTCCAGTCTTGTGCAGGTCTACATTCTTGTCCCTGACATCCTTGGATAGTTCTTTGGTCTTGGTCATGGTGGCTACTTTGGAATCTGCTGGATTGATTGCTTCTGCTGACAGGTGTCTTTTGTGCTTCTAATCTTAGCTCATTACATACAGTGAAGATACCAGGTAGCCTGACATCTGGCTGGCTGATAGGGGATCAAATACTTATTTCACTCATTATAATGCACATCAATCTCTGACTTTTGTCTTCTGGGTTCCTGGGGGTTTTCCTGTTGTTATTCTGTCTCTCACAGCTACAATAAACCTACCATTAAAATTATGGACTGGTTATTTCTTTGTCAGAGGGCAAACAGGCAAATTTAGCAGGGGCTCAAATACTTTCCCCCCTCACTGTAGATTCATTTGTAAGTTTCATTAGTTGCTTAAGTATGAATTTCTGAGCTGCAATAATAATTGAATCTACTAGTTATAAGAAGTAGGTGGTGAGCATGTTTAAAGACAAAATAGCAAAAATGTTTCTTAACACCCGTCTTCCTTTTTTTATTTCATATAGTTCGGAACTTCATGCACCAGATTATTACAGGGATGTTATATCTTCATTCCCATGGAATATTACACCGGGACCTTACACTCTCTAATCTTTTACTCACCAACAATATGAACATCAAGATTGCTGACTTTGGACTTGCAACCCAACTGACAATGCCTCATGAAAAGCATTACACAATGTGTGGGACTCCTAATTACATTTCTCCAGAAATAGCCACAAGAAGTGCGCATGGGCTTGAGTCTGATGTCTGGTCCTTGGGCTGCATGCTCTTTACTCTTCTGGCCGGAAGACCACCTTTTGATACTGATACGGTAAAGAACACCTTGAACAAAGTGGTGCTGGCAGATTATGAAATGCCAGTGTTTTTGTCAGAAGAGGCTCAAAACCTTATTCACCAGTTGCTTCGCAAAAATCCAGCAGATCGTTTAAGCCTTTCATCCGTATTGGATCATCCTTTTATGTCCAGGTGTAGCTCAGCAAGAAGCAAAGATTCAGGAACTGTAGAGGATTCAATGGACAGTGGAAATGCCACCATTTCTACTGCTTCTACTGCCTCTCCCAGTGTCAGTACAAGTGGCTGCTTAAAGGAGAAGAAAAGACTTCTAGGGGGTCAGCCACTTCCCAACAAAATGACCATTCTTCCTAAAAATAAGAATGCCAGTGAAGTCTCATCTGGCTATGGAAGTAGTTCCCATAACAACTGGGGACTCCCAGTAAAAGAAATGGGAAATACTGGTAGGGGAAGAGCAATGCAGCTGATTGAAGAAAGACCGCATTCGCGCTACCTCAGGAGAGCACACTCCTCTGAAAGATCCGGCACATCCCATAGTCAGAGTCAAGGAGTACTGAATAATGTGGAGAGATGCCATTCCCTGGAAATCCTCTCAAAGTCCAGAGGAGGACTAATAGGAAACAGGAAGGATTTTTCACCTGCAAATAGCCATGGTGATATTCCTACTGTATTTAAAGAAAAATTTCCGACCAGCTCTGGCTCAATGGAAAAGAATCTGTCTCCACCTGTGAAAGATCAAGCTCAGTAAGAATTGTTCTTATATATCTCTGTTTTTTGAGTGCATCATGTAAAATTGGTTCCCCTATAATATAATGACCTTGTCTGGATGGAATACCAAAATGTGATATTACATAAATGAGTCTTGGTCTCATCAGCTGCACCCTTTCCTTTCTTCTAGCACATCTGTGAGGACATCAGAAACGTTCAGTTTTTGCCTGCAGTCTGGCATATCTCGGATTAATTATTCACAAACTGTGATTAATTTTAACCATGGAAATGAACCTACTTTAAACTCTGGCTTACAAATTTAGCTTGTTTCATTTTAGTACACCATAACTAAGATTAAACACAATTCTGGATTTGTACGTAACACTAAACTGTGGTGAACTGAAAACAAAAACAAGCATTGATCTCCTTTTAAATACTCCATGCATGAGGGGTTGGGAGTGATCTCTAATGCTTGCATACATAATTATTTCCCAGTCATCTATGTAAAAGGCACAAGGGTGCTGGTGGCAACAGAAAGTCGGAGCCAGAGCCTATGTGACCAAAGGAAATATGTATTTAGCTGTGCAGATAAGTGGACTGCAGAAGGGGGAGGGATTCGACTCATGGCTTTAAAAAATAAAGTCTAGCTTTCATATATAGTCCTGTTCCTGATAGGCTGCTTGTGCATCCAAAGGACTCAGAATGTCTACTGTAGTCAAGCCAATGAGTTATTTCTCGCTCCTATCTTGTAAGTGACAAATGGACTGGGAAAAGTTCTAGCTAAGTTCTAAAATACAGTGGGGCTCATTTTGCATGTAGCCGTGGATCATTATAGCTTAGAACTGGCCTCCATTTATTCTCAGCTATTAACTTAATACTATGAAATTCCTTTAAACTAAGAAATTAAAAATAATCTCTAATTTTACATATTGTCATTTGAGTATAAGAAACTGATACTGAAAAATTGCAAGTTGTCTCAGTACAAAGTGTTCGCCTATAGTAGTTTAAAATATTAGGACTATGTAGTAGAAAAAAACCTGTTATTTATATCATGTAGTGATACAATATGGGACGTGGGTGGCACTTTGGTCTAAACCACAGAGCCTAGGGCTTGCCGATCAAAAGGTTGGCAGTTCGAATCCCCGCAACGGGGTAAGCTCTCGTTGCTTGGTCCCTGCTCCTGCCAACCTAGCAGTTCGAAAGCATGTCAAAGTGCAAGTAGATAAATAGTACCACTCCGGCGGGACGGTAAACGGCATTTCCGTGCGCTGCTTTGGTTTGCCAGAAGCAGCTTAGTCATGCTGGCCACATGACCCGGAAGCTGTACGCCAGCTCCCTTGGCCAGTAAAGCGAGATGAGTGCCGCAACCCCAGAGTCGTCCGTGACTGGACCTAATGGTCAGGGGTCCCTTTACCCTTAGTGATACAATATGTTCCACAAATAGAACTTAATCTATGATCAATAAGTTATTTGTGTCCATATTTATGAAGTGTACTTATGAATAATTCTTTGTCTTTAGTTCAAATTATCTCTGTCCAATGAAGCCCAGCGTTGGTTTATTAGAACCGAAGTCCCAAGCTGAAACAATGCAGCAGTGGCTTGGAAATATGCAACTAAATGGTATGGATTTATTTAATGAGAGTGTTTTATTGCCTGTGTTGGACACATTGAATTCTCAAAGGATACCATTCCTATCAGTAGAGCTTATATAGGTACACTGTGTGTCCATCCAAGGATAATGTTTTTAACTGAGAGATTAACTTAGAAGTAATTCCATGTGAAGATGAACTTTAGATAATGAAATGTGTTATGTATTGTGGAAGGGTTGGTGCCCTCCAGATGTTGGACTCCCAACTCCCATCAGCCCCAGGCTGCATGGCCAATAATCAGGATGCTGGGAGTTGTGGTCCAGCAGTATCTGAGTAGCCATAATGTGTGTGTATGTAAGTGTGTGTTTTATTTGGGGCATGTTCTCTGAAGGAATCTTTGAGTATTTTAAGCCCAGCTTGGTCATTAAGCACCCTCTACATTTAATAATTATGGGAGTTGCCTTGGATTCCCCCCGTACTTTTCTCAGTCCCTCTTCATACATAAATACCACTTGAAGGAACATGCTGTGGTGATGGATAATGCTGCAGAACTCCCTAGTCCTACCACCTTTTCCTGAGCCCCACTGTATATTATGTAATGTCAAGCCCATGTTTGCCATCACGTTTTCATAAAGATACAATCCAAGTTTCCAGACAAGTGCACTGTTTGAATTCAGATGTTCCACCTTTATGTGCATAGATGAAAAATTGGGCAGATGGACCTCAGCTGTAACCTGTGTAGTAATTCTATGAAAGGTAGATATCTTAGTGTAGAGGGTTAATTGTGTCCAACAAGTCATAAATCATGGTTTGGGTTATGCTAAGAGCCCTTTCCCCTTTTGTCACCTCCAATTGCTACAACTAAGGCTAGCTCTTAACTTGACTAACAACAGAAGAAGCTCCTAACTATGTTGTGAAGGAATATTTATTTAAGAAACACGTATTCCAGTAGTCTGTTCAAAAGTTTATTTTGGTAAGCTGTCTAAAGTTATCTGTCCTTACTAAGAAGGCAAAATGCAAACATCTATATTTGCACGTTTAGGGATGGATCGTGACACTGCATTTTCTGGGTCTACCGGATATCCACACGTTGAAAGTTATGTTAAGATGGGAACATGGATACCTGTGTTTAGGCTCAGTATAGAATTCTTACCCCTCAAACTGGAACGATAACAATTGTGACGATCTGCATGTATTGGGCTCTGTGAACTGGCACGATCTTGATCCTGTGTGTAGGTGGAGAACATCTGTCTAGCGCTAATAACTGATAATAAATTATCTGTGTAGAGAGATCAAGGATGAAAACAGCAACTGCTTATTATATAAACATTGCTGCAGAAGGGAGGGTAGAAAGAAGAACAGGGCCATAAGGGAAGGAGGAGCTTTTGTTCTCCTGCATCAAATTACTTCATTTAGTGAAAGAGCACTGAATGTAGCTGTAATTTAGCCAAGGATTACTTAAATCTTCTCAGACATTTTCTTTTGTTTTGAATTACCAGGAATGCTTTGGGGAATTGTCACCATAGGACACACAGTTGGGATTATTTGAATCCTCAAGCAATTTTCTTCTTAATTTTTGCTTTTAATTGCTTCTGTACTTAGACAGAAGGTGCATATGATATTTCATGCACTTTACCAAGACAGACGTGGTGCTGCTTTTTGATACCATCCCAAATGCTTTATTTAACCACTCCCAGTCCATCTGTTTGCATGGGAAGAACCCGTAACATGATGTTTAATCTCTTTCAGTAGAGTTAAATTTAAGCAAGCTTAAACCAGTTTTCTAGTAAATAGTAAAGGAAGTTGTTGCTATTAACATCGGTTACAAACAATTCAGAAAAGTTGGTTATGTGCCACAATACTTAGCTTCTCATACATACAACAGTAACTTTCCCAGGGTGTAAACATTGTCAAAAATGATGTGATGCTTTCCTAGCCTCATTTATAGTTAGAGACATAACATTTTTCTCCTGTAAAAACTAGGAAGAATCCTGTAATGCATTTTCTAAATCATTAAAATATCCCTTTGCTGCTTCAGCTCAGATGCAGGAACCTTTATATGACAGTAGTATTAAGAACACAAGTGGAGATTTTCGATTCCATCTTGGTGTGCCTCAAGAAACACTGAAAAATGCATGGAATGGCTTAAAATGCAGAAGGCCCCCTGAATCTGCACAACCAACAGCACCAGCTGTAGGGCCACTGGACACAGGGAAATACACTGCTGAGAAGGCTCTGCCAGCACCTGCATTTGGTCTCCATCTAGCATCTGAAAGCAGAAGGAATGGGGGCAAAGAGCGACAATATGGACATCCGAAACCTGCACTGCAAAGTGTTGTATCACCTCTGAATGCTCACAGACTAAAGCCAATTAGGCAAAAAACAAAAAATGCAGTGGTATGTACTGTACTATATTTCAAAATAATGAATTGCAGTGACAATTTTATAAAAATTGAGCTCTTCCACATTTTTAAATACCTACCAACTATCACAACATGAACCAATTAACTTGACTGGTGTTAATCTTCTCAGGTGACAAGAACTATAACATTTCTTCATTTTCAAAGATGCACACCTCTATTAATAGACCACCCCAGTCTGGCTTGCAAGGCAGTCATCCGATTCTGATCCAGCTTCCATGAGATACCCCACAAAGGGCCATGGGAACACTGACCCCAGTCCCTTGTAGGATAGCTTATTAAAGCTGGTTTTCTAGCGATCAGATGAGAAACGGCTGGCTCTGCTTTGCTTGCCAGGAATTGGCTCTTACAGCAATACAACTAAATTGAATGCAGTGGACTGGGTTGTTTATAGAATGGCTTTGGTGTGATCCAGTCAAGAAGCAACCGCCATGGCAAGAATGCTGATGACTGCTACTTCGGCATTTGCAGTAAGGCTGTAGTTGTGAATTAGTGCAACGTGGGTTTTAGTGACCTCTCCAGTTCCCACCTTTACTTGAGCAACACCTGATTGGAAGAAGCCTTGCTCAGGTGCCTTTGAACGTTTGGTCCCAGATAATAAGAAGGGAAGTAAGTAAGGGTAATATAGTCTGTTGGTCCTTATTCTGTTGCAAAGTATGCAGGTTTTTAATAAAAATCTCTTAGCAGTCATGAAATAGTATCTTACCTACTTCCAGTATGTATGTCATTTTTTTGTCATCAACATAAATGTACACTGTCAGATTTTAGTTCAGTTATTGGACTTAAAAGACTTCTAGTCAATTCTTAATTTTTTTTACTGTACTAGGTTTCCTTTCCAGTATGTATCATATCTCATTCTATTGTGTTTCCCTCTTTTGCTTTTGTTTTCATGGTATTGTTTTCCCTTTGATCCTCCCATTTCTTTCTCCTAGTATTTGTAAATCCAGTGAGGTTGGAACACCCTCACAAATCCTCAGCAGCCTAATAGTTTTTCAGTCACACTGCAAATAGTACCTCCTCTGTTCAGGCTTAAAGCACTCAACAAGGAGCACAAAAACAAGTTCTTTACTTCACTGCAGTATTTTAGTTCATTTTGATGTAAATGGTGGGGAAAGGAGGGGGCATTTATATTGGATTGCTTCAGAAGTTATTTAGGCTGTGTTCTGTTTTCAATTTACATTCTAGGTGAGTATTCTAGATGCAGGAGAAGTATATATGGAATTTCTAAAAGAATATAATTCGCAAGAGTTTGTAAAAGAAGTTCTGAGGATATCTTGTGATGGAAGTGCAGTGAGTATTAATTTTTTATTTATTCTAACTTCATCGGCAGTATTGAAATGATGTGTTTATGCCAATATTACTAAGGTGTAATATGCCTCATCACACTGGAATATAAGCTTGTTTCACTGATTTTTTGCTTCTGGAAATCAAGTAGATTTTTTTTTCAGAACTTTGTATGTACATATTAACACAGAGCCCTCCTTTATGCTAAATGCCTATACGTCAAGCATGTGTGAAATCTGAAGCGTCCAGTGTAGTTTAAATAACTGACTTAATTTTGCTATGATTACTCATTTTCTGGTAAAATTGCTGGCACAATTCCATGAAAGAGTGAAAGGCATTTGTTTTTACTAATTACTTCTGTCTTTAGAAGCACTGATCTAACTAAAATATCTGTACCTGTAAAAGCTGCAGATAATCTTGCTTAGTGAGGATAGGAAACTGTTCTTTTTTGAGGAAATGAAGACTTTAGACATGACACATGCCAGATTCAAATTTTCAGTATCCTGTAGTGCATTAACAACTTGTTCATTTTCCAGAAAGAAGCATTAAACAAATAACTCTTTGGCTATGAGATTGTGTTTTTTCTGTGTATTAAGGTCACAGTTTACCACCCAAATGAAGGAAAAGGCATCCCTCTGAATAATAGACCCCCACCACCTCCTGAGGACTCAAATATATATAGTTTTGGCAACTTGCCAGGTAAGGTGCATTTCTATGGGCCCATTCAGAAACAGTGGCAAGGAGCCAAACAACCTGGGGTGGGTGTGGGTGAGCTTATGTTTCTTAGCCTCCCATGCAACATAAATAACTATTTCTGAAAATGAGAAGAAATCCAAAAGCAGCATGTGACAGAGGTTTGTTGTTCAAACAAATAAATGAACAAGGAAAGCTCCCTTTGTAATTCTTTGGATATTCGCCAGTAATTACAGGTTGGATGCAAACACTTCGGCCAGTGCAAAGGGGAAAAGCTATTTTCAGCAGTTCTTTGTTTTGCCTGTGTTCCCTGAAAAGCTGCTCTAGGGTTTGGGGGACCTTGCAAAATAGTACGGGAAGTAGTGCTGGGAGCTGCAGAAGGAAAGATAGGTGAGCAAAGAATCCCCCCTTCCTCCAATGGATCAGGATCCAATTGCAGTGTGGATCCAACCCTATATACGGATGTTGTTCTAGTAATTATGTTTCCCTTCACTATCAGAATATCATAGGTATTACAGATGCATTAAACTTCCATGTAGTGATTTGAATTAAAATATTCAAATTACTGAAATTCTTATACTTCATGTGCCATGTAAGCTTATTGCCCTAACTTGCAGTGGTTGATAGATTTATGTTTGTTTGTTTTTAATTTTTCATTAATAACAATCTAATGGAGGCCACATTAATACAATACCAAATCATAATACAATTTTAAAAAACCAATTAATCAGTTCCAAATTCAATGTTTTTGGATGACTTGCTGTGTTCCAGCTATCAGGAGTTGGTGTTATTCCTTAGTCCTGCTCCAATTCACTGTTTGTTACATATTCATTTTAGAGAAGTACTGGAAAAAGTATCAGTATGCTGCCAAATTTGTGCAGTTGGTAAGATCCAAAACTCCCAAAGTCACCTTCTATACAAGATATGCCAAGTGTATGTTGATGGAAAACTCCCCTCCTGCAGATGTGGAAATTTGTTTTTATGATGGTATGTATCCTTAAGCTGTTTTCTACATATCCCTTTAGCCATTACATTGCATTAAATTATTAGCCAACTGTTAGGGCATTTTAAAACCTAATAGAGATTTAGTTTAGTTTAATTTTTTTTATTTTAAATAACTCTTTCCTATTATCATATACCACATAAAAATTGTATACTTCAAAAAATCCTAATTTGAAATGTAACACATATGGCATTATTATTAGGAGGAAACTACATTCTTCTAATACTTTGTTTTATTGATGATTAAATGTAAATATTAAGAACAAATTGAAAATCCAAAAATTATATGAGTTGTAGCAGATAGCACTTCTTCTTAACACACTCAAGTCAGTGATAATTGTATTTGAACTGTAGGTAGTTGTTAAGTGCAATCTCCTGTTTACTAGTTTACTTCTGCTAGAGTGTGATCATATTGTCAATGTATGTGTACCCGAGGTAATATGTTTTTGTTTTTTATAGGGGCAAAAATCCACAAGACAGCGGGCGTAATTAGAGTAATAGAAAAATCTGGAAAAGCCTACACTATAAAAGAGGAGAGTAAAATTGGTTTAGAAAAGGATATACAAATATATGTGGATCATGCAAATGAGGTAAATATTATTTGTAATGTTTCAGTGGGTGTGATGCACATGGGTAAGTGATTCCAAATGGCAAATTAGCAGACTGTGATTCCTTTTATTGTTCCAAATACGTGACTGATTTTGAAAGGTTCCTATGAAATTGAGGGGTGTGGAGATCAAGGAAATGTTATGGATTGAACTTTATACTGTTTAACATTGATCATACTCCATGTCATACAATAGGAAGGTTAAAAAAAACCCCTGTACCTTTTAATTTAGCACAATACATCAATGTTTTCTTCGTTGCCTCTGCCCACTGTCCCCGAGTATTGAATTCCTGCCCTTTTTGAAAGTGTTAGCATGTTTTAATGCAAGTTTTCTATTTTTCAATATAGGGACATCACATTTGTCTTGCACTGGAATCTGCAATTTTGGCAGAAGAAAGAAATGGAAGTGTTCCATTTTTCCCCATTATTGTTGGGCGGTAAGCAGCCTCTTGTATTATTATTTTTTTCAGTTGCTTCTCACTCTCCACGTGAAATTTTTAGTTTGTGCCTTTTGATATTCTTAGTGGAAGTTGGAAAGTTTAAATATGTGACCATAATTCTTCCATTACCAGGAAACCAGGAAATCCTGAGTCTCCAAAGGCTTTAGTGCTCCCTCCCACTTTGCCAGATACAAGCCCTTCTTTGGCGGAAATAGCCTTGATGAAGAGAGATACTGCCACCAGCTCTGATGCTTCAAGTGAAGTGCCTAACATTAATCCCCCGGTAAGTACATGAGTGTGTAGTTCTTGCTTTTATTGGAGCCCTAAGAAACACTATGCTGGAAGGCTAAATTTAACCTGTCAAGTAAATAAAAAAGTTTAAGATGAGTAGAGCCAATTGTATTGGGTTGTTGCATATTTTAATTAGGTAGGTCTGAAACCCAAGTCAGGTATGGTACACCCAAGGAAGGTCACCATTTAAACACTGAAGTATATCATGGCTTTATGGCTCACAACTGCTATTTTCATAATTATATTCCAGATATCGGCATATGAAGGATCTGCATTTACATCAGCAACAACTGAATCAAGGAGCACCCTAAGTCACCCAAATGAGAGTGCTGTAAATTCAGCTCAACTGTTAAAGTCTGTCTTTGTAAAGAATGTTGGCTGGGCTTCTCAGGTGAGCTGGTAATCAACAGCCAAGCAGAAAATTCAGTCTCTTGTGTAAAGGAAGATGAGCTGTAATGCAGCAGTTGTTATACTTCTACTGAAAAGGAACTGATAGTATAATTGATGATGCATGGAATCAGCTCTGTTCCCTATTGAGTTTTTTTAAAATTTGTTTTACTTATTTGCCTCAAAATCTGTTGCAGATCAGGAAGTAGTTAATGGTAGAATACAAAGCTTTGTATCTAGTTACTTTCTGCACTTTTAACTGGAATATGTTCTCCTTGTACAAATTGTCAGAACCTGCATAAGAATGTGCTGAAGTTACACAAAATACTAACTAGGTTGCACAAAATGGGCAAAATTGGGATTGTCTATCTTGCATGACAAAACACAGTGGATTGTATCCAAATTCTACTTCTGGAAGAACAAGTCTTCTGAAGGAAGTGAACCTTCAGGTGCAACTTAGCATGGCTGTGCTGTGTCAATCCAAGCAAAATAAAGCTGCTTGACTAGAAAGATAAAGCACTGGGAAAGAGTTCATTGCTGTATTTCAGTGCAAACTAATTCTACAATATTTTTCCCTATTAGCTGACTAGTGGAGCAGTATGGGTTCAGTTTAATGATGGATCCCAGTTGGTAGCTCAAGCTGGCGTTTCCTCCATCACATATACATCTCCAGCTGGTGACACAGTGAGGTGAGTGTCAGTTTTGATACTGATAGCACATTTCTGATTATTTCAGTTACTTTTCCAACATTTTGTATTGGTACTGTAACTTAGAAGTTGTATGACCTTGAAGTACCATTCCTTGTATGTCATACATAATAGCATTTGCTGCTGCTGTAGATGTTGTACTACTGTGTATTGGTAACTCTCACTCTAGCCTAAGTTAATAATTGGTGGGAGTAACAAAGATATATACAAAAGAGAAAACTAGATGCACTATATGTAGTAAAAGTAGAATATCCTAACTGTACAAATGTTTATCTGCTAATTTTCCTATCCCTCTACCCGTTTTCCCTTCTTGTATTGTGTTTTTTAAATCTACCCACAGGCTTATAGTGGGTACCTATAGTCTTTTTTTAAATCTTTGTACAGCACTGAAAATACTTTTTCAGACAGTCTACATGCCTGTCAACTGAACACAAGGCTGTTGCCTGCACTGATTGTTCTGATTTAGCCTGGGAGGAAGTCCAAGGGGGCAATTTAAGTAGATTGACCTTTGTTTGCAATCTGAGATATTGAGTGGGTGGGGGTCCACTTCAACCTCACTTGCAGTATTACAGTATTACAGTAACCCTCCTATGAAATCTACTGTTAACAGCTACTTTTTCTCAGCACAGCCCTCCAGCCTGAACTGCACTGCTTTTTCAGCTCAATCTGCAATATGGGGTTAAAAGCAATAGGTAAAATTGAATGGTTGTACTTACAGCTTCAGCCCAATGCCCAATATGTAGTGGGGTCTAATACTGCCGGGAAACACTGTAGAGTTGTATACCTCGCAGAGACTGAGCTACACTTCCGGGCTGTCAAAAGTCACCATCTTCCAGGAGGCAGTATGAGGACAATGAACTTCATTTGCTTTGAAATTTGCATATTAAATAAGAACTGAATTAAGCCATTAGGTTTGGATCTGGTGATATAAGTTATCCTGGAATAACAGCCCCTCAAGTTGGAATATCTGGTTTATATACTGAAGGAGTGAATTTGGAATTAACAAAGCCTTTTAACTTCTTAAGCATGGCTTTAAAAGGAGCAATTGTATACAAGCAATGGACCAAAACGTTAACTTGCTGAAATTGGTACTGGGTTTATTTTATATGTGTGCTATTAAATCTACTCATCTAAATATTTTGCTGCTTCCTAGGTATGGAGAGAATGAAAAATTGCCAGAGTACATCAAAGAGAAGTTGCATTGTTTATCATCCATTCTGGTAATGTTTACCAATCCAGCTGGTCCGCACTGACAAACTTGGAACATGAAGGCTAATAACTTGGTGGTGATGAAATTACCTAATGTGGTGGCATGAAGCAGAGCTTCTTCAATGAACTCGGACCTTCCTGACTGGTTAAAGCATATGACCATAAGAGTTGCTGTGTTCTGCTTAGCTAAGCACTTGTAAAGCTTTTTAAAGTATGACCAATCAAGGCCAAATTACTTGCATTTTTATATAATGGATTATAGAAACTGCTGTGACCACTGGTGCTTGTTACTTTCCATGAAGGGAGTCTGAACTCTGTATGTGTGTTTGTGTGTTATTCTCTACTGTTCTTATAACTCTGGCATCAAAGCACATCTCTGCAGTTACAGTATTTGTGCCTGTAAATACTTTGTATTTTATGTTACTTTCAGCTGATATGTAAAGTGTATTGTTTTATAATTTTTATATTTTTCTAACTGTTTTTCTAATGATATAACCCTGCAAAGAACCTTTAAAAAATAAATGCAGTGGTAACTGTTCAGACCCCTTGCTTTATTCAACACAAATGCTGAGGTATGTTCTACTAAATACACTATAATTTGTCAATAAAATTGCACTTCTACAATAGCAATCCATAATCATTTGCACACCTGCGCATATGGAGTTGTATCCAAATGCTTGCACAAGTAAAAACACAGCTTGTATAGCTTTCCTCCTGCAGCAGATGGTCTGATGTATTATCATGACCAGGGAGGGCTGTGTCACAGAGGTGGAAGGATTCTGTGCCAGTGAAACCCTGCTCCTTGGGTGCAACACTCTTCTTTCTCATCTTGGACAGTTGTCCCTTGGCTGTACTTCTGTCCAACCCAAAAAATGCTCTGAAACAATTTCCTTTGTATAAAATATTCTGTACGATTATAAAACAAGAACTGTCAACAAGACACTTTTAAGTGAGACCATTTATTAGTTTCTGCTAAGTCATGTTAGAAAGCACTCGTTAAAATTTAGAAGAGGTAGCTAATTATAAAAGTGCCTAAATACAAAGTTTTTTCAAGTTGTGTTTGAAAAACACTTTTAATAAGACCTGATTCACAGAATCGAGGCATTTTAAGAAGTACACTACCACAGTAAGTAGAATTAGGAACTGTGTGAACTTTTGGAACGATATGCATCAAAACAGTTGCATTATCATGTTCAGTGCTGTACCAGTGATATGTCTGACAATAAATTATCAGCAGTAAAACATAGCATTTCTATAGGACACATTGGCTACAAAAAAAAAATTGAATAATAGTTACCCACAGCTAGGAGGTCTGCTCTTGAAGTCTCTGATATAGGACAGAAAATGCAACAAGTCTCTTGTACACAATTTCCAAAAGTAAAAGAGAGAGGAGAACAATTCCACATATCAAGCTGAATGCCCAGCGGGGTCCCAAGTACGTGTAGAGTTGACTGACAAAGACTGGGCCAAGTATACGTGCAGCACTTCCAGAGGCAGTCAACCAGCCCATGTAGACACCCTAGAACAGATCAGAGAATTCTGAGTGCTGATGCGAAACTTCTGAAACATTCAAACACAAGCTACTATCAAGCCATTCTTATCAAAAAAACTTATTTCTAACTCTAAAATTGATTAAAATTGACTTTTAGGCCACCTTTTTAAAAAAGACAATTTAACTAGATGTTTGCATACAAACATTTGATAGAAAAGCTGGAATGGGCCCAAAAGTGAACCCATGGCTTTGCCCCTCTAATGTGGCCAGGAAACAGACTTATGTGGCATTTAACTTCAATTTCTACATATCCTGTCTTGCTGCTACATAGTTTGTTGTGTAAACAAGGCCACTTTCTCTGCCACACATAACTTGGCAGCATGTGTTCTAAGGGAGTGGCATATAGTACTTTCTCCACTCTCACTTGGAGCTGCATAGTCTTGACACTCCTGAGGCCTCACTTTCCCACAGACACCACAGGAAGATGTGAAGGGTACAGAAGAAATGGGAGAAAGAATAAACTTGGGAAGGATGAGTAGTTTTTCCCTGTATCAGACAGACACATAAGACTGTCAGAGGCAGGATGTGCCTGAATACCTGCTGGTGAGAAATGCAGGAGGGGAAAGCACTGTTGCACTCAGATCTTGCTTGTGGGCTTCCCACAGGCATCTGGTTGGTTGCTGTCAGGGAACTGACATCGGAGCTAGAGGCGGAGGGAAGGCTCTCAAATGATGCTGGAGAAGGGCCCAGCAGGGAGAGAGGCAGCTCCGCAGATGGGGAAGCAAATCAGTGCTACACCAGGGATAAGGAGGGGCTGATGGGGGAATCGGCGAGAGGGCTCCAGGACTCTTCACCGGACACTAGCGGGGAGAGCACTGGTCCCCGGCTACCCACGCCCACCCTGCGCAGAAGACTTACGCGCAGAGAGAGTAGGAGGAGACTGGGTGTCAAACAACTTTTATGTTGGAAAAGATTTAAGAAATGCCCACTGACGGATTCTGCTAGCGACTGAGGCAGCCACGAAGTGAAGGGCTGCCCAGACTGAAAGGTTTACCAAGGCAACAAAGCCTGGGGAGGCAGCAACTTACGCACGAGCAACCCATGCTCATTATAGTTGCAGTGAGAGCAGGATGCTGGACTAAATCCAGAGCAGATTTGGGGTTGATGCAAGGGATGTGGGACGAGGAGCTCCATCCCACATATGCAATGGTTTAGTTGGATATAACTTGTGACCTCCCCTGCTACAATTGGATTGACTAGACTACAACAAAGTGCCACTGCTCTATGGTATTTTCTTCGTGTGATGGTGCAGAACTCCTCCAGCAAGAAAACACTCTTTCCTCTTGACAATGAAACATTATTCCAAGTTCAGTAAGGTTACTGGCACTCTTGCAAAAGTTTCTAGCAAAATTAGAAATTAATTTTGTTATTTGTAGAAAAGACCTTATCTACACACATCACACACATATTTCTTACCTGGGGCTTTGGTCCTATGATTTTTGAATATAAAGTGTAAGACATGACATTACAGGCTGGATAACCAAGTCCTAGTAGAATGACAGTAGTGATATATTGGCCCAAATAGATGACTGGAGTATAGAGGCACCAGGACTGTGACATAGGACATCCTGTTGCTTCAGTAGTATTACTGGATGGAAGCATCCATTCTAGTGTCCGGAGAGAGGCAAGGCTTTCACCAAAAGTCATTCTTGGAATAGAATTATTCTTTATGTCTGTGAAAAAGCAAATAAAAGGTATCATATACAGATATTCAGTAGGAAGCTTAGAAGTTTAATATTAATATTTGTACCTTCCCACTGGATGTTAGGTAACTGATGTCCCCAAGGTAGTAAGACAAAGAATCCAACCAAGATAATCACTAGGCCTCCATAAAGTATAGCACGTTCACCAGTCCTGTCAGATAACGAAAACTGTGATTACAATATTCATACTTAGGCTAGCTAAACCAAATCTGTGTACAATGCAAATGTAAAGTCTGTTTGCTTTTCTTAACAATACAGGTATGTTAGTAGGTGCACTCTGGGGATCAGGGTGCTACTAGTGCTACAAGCAACTAGTTTAGAAAGGTTTATGGACAATCATTTGCAACCTAGAGTTCATCAAACCTTTTAATTTCAGAATTTGTTGCTATCATACTTAGTAACTTACCTTTTGGAAAGTACTTTAACTGCTAAAAACACAATGACAGATTCAATGCCAACTGCACCAAGGATTAATCCATTGATAAACACTGCTTTTTTCCTGGTCCAGGAATACATATCCATTGTCAATGGTGTGGCTATGCTAGAGAATAAAATAAAACAAATTAGTATTCTCAAATTGTGCCTACGGTGATTGATAAGTGAGTTATTTGGACACCAGGCAACAGGAATCTCGGGGGTCCTAAAGAGCTGCTGGTTTCCCCTTCCTTTGTTACAGGTTTCTGCTTCTGTCTTATTTTTTTAGCCCTTGGACTTGTCATAGTTTGCCCTTCCTTCCCCAAGCAACTAGAATGCATCTTCCTATGGTGGTTCACCTCAGTTCATGTTGCCCCTTTAAGATATTTTCTGCAAATACTACTACAAAATAGTTCACTGTATAGTTAACTTACAGTACAAGGCAACACCTATCTACTCAGAAATAAGTCTCTGTGTTTAATGGGGCTTTCTCCTAAGTAAGCAGGCACAGGATGGCACCCTAGGCTTTGGACTAGGATTGGCACTGAGGGGGAAACAGGGTTCTCCTACATTTAACAGTTGCATGGCAGGCTGAAATTCAATGGGTTAAGTGTTTTCTAGTACAGAAATACAATTATGGAGAAAGCCTCAACTTGACTGTACTCTGACTTCGTGCTGTACGATGCCCCTTATGGAATTATGAGAAAGATTCTAGAAAATGGAGAAAGCCAAAAGTATGTAGAGGAGGATTTTGTGAAAAGAAGCCATGTAAGCAAGAACTGAAATAAATTATTAGTTGGGCTGTTAGTAGAAGTGAATGCTTAGCAAAGAGAACTGTTGGTAGGAAAGATGAAGAGTTTACCAGCTGAAGGCCTTTAGCCAAGTATGTTGCTATGCTGTGTGAAATGTAACAAGCTGAATAGCTAAGGCTTTGCTTTGAACTGATGTATAAAAGTTATTGTACTCCTCTGTTTCATGCGCTATTTCCCTCACTTATAAAAGGGAGCCGCACTGCAATGATGATAAACGCCATTTCGAAATTTAAAATGTGCCCACTAGTCCAAAAAGGATGGTGGATCCCTGGCTTAAACGATCTCTCAGCTCTACAATAATTAAATGTAGATATTTGATAACGAACAGATTGACTACAGTAAGGTGGTAAAGCAGGAGAATAAGAAGTAGGTCATCACCATCATTTTATGAGACATTGCTAAAGATGTGCGAAACACCTGCCGAGAAAAACCAACCACCTTTTGAAAGTTCTGAGAGGATGAGCAACTAATACTAAGAATGTGTGTTTTTCTGTCTGGATACTGAAATGTTTAGAGACCTAAAATTTCATTTTATATACTACTGAATTATTGACTGGATGTGAATGTTCTGGAATTTGTACTGGCTTAGATGAAGTATTATCATAATATCTTGTTTTTTAAATCCCATATCAGCACATCCTTAAAACTAGAGCAATATCTACACATTAAACTGGAATATGTGTTTATAATATATCACATTTTTCCTTGAGGAACTTTAATGCCTCTCCCTGAACATGTACCGTATTTTTTGCTCTATAAGGTTCACTTTTTCCCTCCTAAAAAGTAAGGGGAAATGTGTGTGCGTCTTATGGAGTGAATGCAGGCTGTGCAGCTATCCCAGAAGCCAGAACAGCAAGAGGGATTGCTGCTTTCACAGTGTAGCGATCCTTCTTGCTGTTCTGGCTTCTGAGATTCAGAATATTTTTTTTCTTGTTTTCCTCCTCCAAAAACTAGGTGCGTCTTGTGGTCTGGTGCATCTTATAGAGCGAAAAATACAGTATGTGGTACCTCTCTCTGCCTCTCCAAATTTCTATAAACTCCATGGGAGGCTGGATCTGGGACAGATTTATTTTTGCTTATACAATAAGTGCTACATATATTTATTGTGCTGTATAATGTGCTACACTTGACCTTAGCCAAAAGGCTGAGAAGAGATGCTGTGCCAGCTGAAATTTCAGTTGTGCATCCTCAACTATCAAATTTGATCTTCTTATATTGGGGTTATTAGGAGAGATTTCCAATATGAACTGCTTATGGGAATACAGCTAGGTTTCTTATTGCTATGACTTTGGGTCTTACTGTACTGCTACAAAAACAGATATTGGAGAATCAAGTATACTCACGTTTCAAAGACTGCAAAAACAAATAAGACAACAAGGAAAAGAAGGTTTGTTGATACAACAGCCACATGGTCAATGGTTGCTTGACTATCTTGACTCCTCTGCTCGTTTTCTGTATCAAAACAAAAAAAAGTAATAATAGGACAGTGTTACACAGTTCAGAGGTAATGAACTTGGTTTAATAAACCATTGTTTATTAAGTCAAAATGAGGCAAGCCCCTGCAGTCTTTTCCTCCTTTTCACTTACGAACTAGAACAGAAAATGTCTTCTGTTACATCTGGAAAACTAGGGTTTGCTCTTGGGTTACTATCTAGAATATTAAACCAAGGACTGAGCTATTGTTTCAGAGCTGAAATGTAACAGGAAGCTATAGTTTCTCATAATAGTTTAAGCAAAGAATAGAAGTTACAAATCCTTGTACTAGCAGAACTATTTCATTGGATAGTGCCCTTTGTATGTGAAGTTTCACAGTAGCCATTTCTATTTATATTTCAAAGTGTACTACAATATTTTATTTCAAGTTTTCTACAAAAATATTACCTTCAGTTTCAAAGTTAATGCTGCTTTGTGGTCTTCCCATGTCATCTACATGATGTTCTCTAAAAATAATTATTCATTAAAATAATTAATGCACTAAGGAAGCTTTGCAAGCTACAGCAATACATTTCAACACCCAATCTTGTAATATCATGTTATGTTCCCAGTGGTTTTTAATATTTAACCACTTCATTTTATTATCATTTCTAACCCAATTCCTCAAAATCCTTTGTGTCAACATCAGTTCAGTAACTTTCTAGGTCATGTTGAAGTAATTTTAAATGCCATAAAACTGAATAATTTGCATTAGCTATTGGAATCAAGTGTTCCAATAAAGTAAATCCATCTGCAACTGTCCTGTTAGTTTTTGGAAGGCTGACGTCTGACAAACATCAGTTAGCCTGATAATGAAATGAGTATAAATGATCCCTCATTTCCACCAGCAAGATTTCAATTTCACCTTCTCAGAAAAATGAAGCCATGCTCTTAGAAGATAACAAGTATAGTCCTCAGTAATTTATTCTGGAAAAAATGAAGTTCAGATTACCCCCAAACTAAACTTCGATTTCTACTCCAAGGAATTTGGCATATGGTTTGGACTTGATTGCTCCAGGACTTCAAAACTCTTAGTGGCAAGTCCTCCACTTTCAACTCTGTATCATGGAGATGGTTTTTCTAATTTTCAGAATGGGAAAATAAATCCCTAAATGACAATAATTTGAGAAAAGTTTGAAAGCTTTGCAGCAGTCCGTAAAAACTAGCATGGAAAATGCATCATATTATTTGCACAAAGTTACAGAGATGATTTCTTCCCTATAAGGCCAGGAAGAACTTGCCATTGCTAAAGTAAGCCGCTACTGTATTGTGTACATCAAGGAATTAAAAAAGAGCCAAAATATATTTATCCAGATTGCGCACTTGTTAGATCCAAGAAGAAAATAAAATCTAGAAGTCCCAAAGAGGAACAAAGATTTTAAAAATCACATATGCATAGACACCCCTACCCCGCACAAAAGAGAAATTAAGGATAAACACTTGGTGTCTTAGAACAGTCTCAGTTTCTAATTACCTAAACATAGCAAATATCAAAACAATGTTGATGATTCCTAGGAGAGCTCCAAATAGTGCTGGTGTGGTGTACATGTTTATCTGAAGATGAATGGTTCTCCATATGACTCCTTGTTCTCCAATAAGCGTAAAGAGGGTCTGAAAAACTAATCCAAAACAGAATAGAGTTAAAACAGAACATTAAGAGCATGTTCAAATATTGATGTTTCGCTCTGAACATGGAATCCAAAGTATTTCATAAGAACAGTGCATTTATTCCACAAAACAAAAATAAATCACTTCAAATTATATGGATTCCATGGATTGAAATGATGACTTTAATGCTGCCTATAATGTATATATATATAAAAGATCCTTGTGAAAATTGTAATTATTAAACGTAAACATTCTGTGTTCTTATACTAGAAAGAACACATTATCCTTATGTTGCAATCCTACACGCTTACATGGGAGAAAGTCCTATTGAGCCCTAAGCTCAATAGGGTCTGATTCACTTGCCTGCTTAATGTACCTTTTACTAAGCTGTAGACAAGGGATAGGGAACCCTTTTCCTATGAAGGGCCAGTTACTCACAGAAACATCAGTGCTTTGGCCATAGATTTCCCACCCCAGATAGATGTTAGAGAGCATGATGAACTACTAACATTGTCCCCCAAGGTAGTCACCATAAATGAAAAGCACCATAGGTATTGAGGTGCATGGAACCCAAGAGTGTTTCTGATGTGGAAATTGTCCCATTTTTTCCTAAATTAGGAACTATTACCCAAACCTGCTGCTTCAGTACATTAAAAGCATATGATAAACCATCTTCATACCCCTTGGTATCATCCTTAGAATTTGAGCTTGCAACTTTCTTCCAAATACTGTTTTAACTAAAGTTTACTTTAACACAGCAGGAAAATTAAATTTACACATACATATGCAAATGATTGACGTAACATTTGAAGTCTTTCTGATTCAGAATGCCAAGTTTCCACATACACATCAGGTTTCATTTGAAAATAATGAAAATACAACCTACGTTGTACCTGGTCCCAATATGAAACCCACTGCTTGACAAGCACTAGTGTTTGCCATGGCACTAGTTCTTTCGGTAAGAGAGGTGGCACCAGCAATGTATGACCGAACTACTGCTACATTTCCTAAAGAAAGATGAACAGAAGGAAGTACGTTTACTTGACACAAATAAAATATTAGGAATTAATTTTGTTTACCTAAATTACTAGAAATGTTACATTTATTCCTCTTCTGCCATGTCTTATTTTAAAGAGATTCACAGATATTGAAAGCCATCTGATTACAGAGACACCTTTTCGCTGAAGTGATTATTCACAACTGTATCCATCTAATTTCAGCTGTTAAACTTTTCAGTAACTTGGAACTCTTTAGCAGTCAGGAGTTAATAGCTCATGCTTCTTACATAACATTTTTGAAGCCTAATGTGTAAAAGGCTCCTGAAGAAACTGCACTAACTTCCCCATGCTTTTACTCTTGCCAAATCTCTTATATAGCAGCTCTTTCAGACCCTCCAAGTTCACAGTGGATCTCTGTCACTAGTGAGTCAGCTACTTAAAAATATTGCACCTTTGGGCTACCACTGACTCAATTGCAAGGCCACAGAGAGCTATGGGCAACTCACCTGGTAAAACTGGGAGACCATGAGTCTATATTTTGAAGTTAAGCAACAATGGAAATTATATATTTACACAATTTCTGAATTACACCTTGCTGGTGATGTAGCAAGTGGCGCTAAGAAGCAAGATAGATTTCATAGCTGCTTATGAGATTCTGATTAACCTAACAGCATAGCTGCCTTAAATAGTACACAACAACTGTCAATCTTTAGTGTAAATGTTTCTACAATTACCTGCGCCAAATCCCACCAGAGCTCGAGCAACCAGCATATAGTATTTGTTGTGTGATGTAGGTAAATGGACATAGGCATAAAGAAAGTTAGCAGCCACTGAAATGATAGTTGAAACTACAAGAGGCTCTCTTCTTGGCCTGTAATTGGACCATGCGCCAAAGAAGGGGGATGCTATCATCTGACCAATGCTATATGAAGCAATAATCCAGCCCAGGAAACTTGGATCTGCAGTTTTATCTATCTATGGAAACAACAAAAGCAACTTCAAAAACAAGCACATCTCATTCATCAGTTCCCAGCAAGAGTATTACAAACATCATCACAACATTTCCCAAGGTAATATAAATACTTTGAGGTATTGTCCTACTACTGAATTTATCCATTAGCTAAAACTGAAGAATTATTTGGGGAGAGACAGTTGAAAGGTATAATGCATTGCAAGGCGACTGAAAATAATGTGAGCAAGCCCACCGTAGAACTAACAAGGGACTATGTTTGGAAGATGCTTATTAAAACCACCCTGCTTAATGCCCAATTTATAAAAATAATTATGAACTGCTTTCTCAATAGCACTGCTACAATGCTAAGGTAAAACCAATGGGTAGTATTCAACTACATTTTCTTCACACTTTAGACGAGCCATAAAACAGTGAATGAATGTTAAATAGTAATATTTTGAAAAATAGGGTTTTAAACTAAACCTCTTTTGATTCAGCAGCCTGAATTTGCAAAATTGACATAAATCATCCCAGATTAAGACAACCACTTCAAATATCACAACAAAGAAACTCATTTATAGTCAAGTACAAAACAGATAACTAATTCAAACTCTCATGGTTACCTGTTGAAGATAGGGCCATATTGACATAATCACAATAGAAAAACCTGCAATGTAAATAATTGAAGTTATGCTTCTATTATTAAATCATTACATAACATTCTTCATATATCTGTCTGAATAAAAGGATTGTGTCCCTAAATGTTCAAAGTCCACAGAAAAATCAAAGTACAACCTGTTCCCTTATAATTTTATGGAGGCATATATTACCTTTTCTGTTTTATTCCTATTGGCTTTTTAGTAGCATGTGTCCAACTAAACAATCAGAAATCTATGACTCACTCCTTAAATATATGATCCAACAGAGCTTTCTTCCCCATACCAAGTCACATGCTTTAATTAAGGCACAAGGTATCAGAGTTTATGGCCAGTTATTCAGGCTGAACTGAAACCAGTTGAGCTAGACTTTGGAAAAACTGATATTTGGATTAAGAGTCTTCCTACAGCTTTATCACATAAGAATCCCACTATAGCAGCTTAGGGGAGGAAACCAAATTATAGCTGCAAGCAAAATATTGCAGCAAGATTTTCTTGAACATTAACCTTTAAAAAAAAACCCCAGGATAAACAGCAGTTCATTTTCTCCAAATTAGACAAGAGTGCACTGAGAACCTGTCTATACTTTACAATGGCTGGTATTCAGCTTTTTACTCAGTAGACCTATTGAAATTAATGGACATAACATAGAAATATTCATTAATTTTAATGCAACTACTTAGTTGCATACCAACCAACTAAATTTTGGCATTTTCTCCATACTGTGGCCAAAACATGTATAGTCGTACCTTGGTTGTCGAACTTAATCTGTTCCGGGAGTTCATTCCGACTCCCGGAACTGTTCGAAAACCAAGGCACGGCTTCTGATTGGCTGCAGGAGCTTCCTGCACTCAACCGGAAGCTCCGTCGGATATTTGGCTTCTGAAAAATGTTCGCAAGCCGGAACACTCACTTCCGGGTTTGCGGCATTCAGGAGCCAAAACGTCTGAGTACCAAGGCATTCGAGAACCAAGGTACGACTGTACAATACATTTCCATTAAAAAAGTTTCCATAAAGCATTTTAATTTACATTCAATATAGACATCAAAGCGGTGCTGCAAAGTACGTTATTTTACAAACCAACACTGCTGAAGAACATTGTGAGATACATTATCCGAATGGATCTCCACCGGCTATTGTAATGCTGCAGGGTTTCCATAACACCATCAGATCTGTAACAAATGAAAACATAATTAAAGATTAACAACTCTCGGCACTTGTTTTTGTCTAACTTACAGCAATCTGTTCAAGAATAATAAGCACTCAGAGCAGTCCCTCTATGACAGGGGTAGTCAACCTTTTTATACCTACCGCCCACTAATGCACCTTTCTTGATGGTAACATTTTCTTACCGCCCACCAGTGCTCGATGGAAGGATTCAGCTTGTGTCCTACCACCCACCTAGAATCCTGAAACACTCTAGTGGGCGGTAGGGACCAGGTTGTCAACCCCTGCTCTACGACTTCAGTATTTAAATACAACAATTTTTAAAAATCAGGAAATGGGCATAATGAAAGCCTTTCAAAGGCTCAACTAAAAAAATGCCACCGGATTAAAATAGATAATAAGAGCCTTTTTAAAAGGAGGCGCCATAATACCAATACTCATTGTGACGCTTCGCATTTTTATCTGGAAGCTTAATATTTGATTCTAAAGTTCAAAGCCTACTGACCTTTTGGCGCTAATTAGAACAGTATAGGAATATACCGTAAGCACAAACCCCCAATCAGAGACATCACCTTGACAACAAAGGTCCGTATAGTTAAAGCTATGGTTTTCCCAGTAGTGATGTATGGAAGTGAGAGCTGGACCATAAAGAAGGCTGATCGCCGAAGAATTGATGCTTTTGAATTATGGTGCTGGAGGAGACTCTTGAGAGTCCCATGGACTGCAAGAAGATCAAACCTCTCCATTCTGAAGGAAATCAGCCCTGAGTGCTGACTGGAAGGACAGATCTTGAAGCTGAGGCTCCAATACTTTGGCCACCTCATGAGAAGAGAAGACTCCCTGGAAAAGACCCTGATGTTGGGAAAGATTGAGGGCACAAGGAGAAGGGGACGACAGAAGACGAGATGGTTGGACAGTGTTCTCGAAGCTACCAGCATGAGTTTGACTAAACTGCGGGAGGCAGTGGAAGACAGGAGTGCCTGGCGTGCTCTGGTCCAGGGGGTCACGAAGAGTCGGACACGACTAAACGACTAAACAACAACAAACCCCCAATCAACAACAAAACAACACTTCCGCCCTCGCCTGGACCACCAGGCGCTTCCTTCCCTCAGCGACTGACAACCCGACACCGGCTTTTCTTCAGGGGCCTGACTCCGAGGCGAGACCCCGTCAAGGAGCGCAGCCCCTCTCCGCCTACCTCCAACTGGGGGTCCGGGGGTCCAGCAAAGGCTCCTCCTGCCCTTCAGGCACAGCTTCCCAAACAGCATCGTCGGCCATGGTCGGCTTACGAAGAACATCAGCAGCAGCGAAGGCAAGACGGAGCAGAGACGCTACCAGGAAGTAAGGAATGGGTGGGACGGGAATCACGCCATTCCCCACACGCCCACAGCCGCCCTCCTTTCCTTTACTCCGCGTCTTCCCGTTCAAGCCGTGAGGTGACGCGCCACGTGACTGACGGCGAACAAAAAAAACAACCACCAGCCTCCCACAACGCCAGGCCCTTGTTGGTCACGTGAGAGGCGATGCGCTGATTGGTGTAAAGGCGGCTTACCCCGCCCCCTACCTCTTGCCGCTTCTCGCGCGGAGACGAGAGAGCGGGAAGAGGGAGTGAGTGACAGTGGCGACCTTCGAAGTTCTCCTCCGTTGCCCCACCTCCCTCCCTCGTTCACTGTGGCGGGACGGTGAAACGGAGTTCCGAAGGCTGGCGGATGAGAGGAGAGGCTGGGAAAGGGGAGAGGCTGGAGGACGAGGACGAAGAGGAAGGAAACATCCCGCTCGCCTCTCCCTTCTGCCGCTTCTTCAGTGTGGCGGGTGGGGAGAATTCATTTTTTGCCTCCGCGCGGGCAGGACGTGCAGCCTGACGCGTCTCCCTGGGTGGCGGGACATGGGTAGGTCGTCGCCGTGGGACGTAACGGAAAAGCCTGTGGGCTCCTGGCCGTCCTTGCCCAAGCTTGCTGGGAAGCGCCAGAAGACCTGCACCTGCACGGGGTCTTGTGGCATAAGTTGGGGCTGCACACCTTCTCCTCCGTGCCTTCATTTCTCGGGAGGAAGGGTAAATGTTATCCAAGGACCCCCCCCCTTTCCACCCTCCTTTTTTTGGCAAAGTTTTGCTTCTGGGTTAGTCGGCAATCCAGTGCATCTTCCAGCTCCATTGAATGCCGTGATTTCGCTTCCCAGCACGTAGGTTCGGACGGTCCATCCCTGCCGGACCAACCGCGTTGTAATTTTATTTGTTGGCGGGTCGGGTTGAAGGCGCGTTTCAGGGACAAGCTCGCAGTTGAATCAATCACGAGCCCACGGCGCCCTTATCCATATGTGGGAAGCTTTTGTTTGCTTGTGAAGGTTATAACGACAGTCTAGAGTTCACCCGTTATGGTGAGAGGAAGGCCAACGAGAAAGGAACTTCGTTGAAGTGTGTGGATGCTGTATTTGCTTTGCCTTATATGTGTGTCTGTTTTCTAAAGCATTGCTCTCTCTGCGGATCCAGTGGCTATTGCTTATTAAAACACCAACGTTAGGAGGCCAGAACAAAATTCTGAAGGTCTGAAACATGCTGATTCTGGCAAATAAAAAAAATGATCTGCCTCCTTTGGGTGATACTATATTACCCTCTTTTTAAAAACTAGTGTGAGAGCCAGAGTAGTTGAGGGTATTGTAGCAGCACACATTGTGAGTGAAGTATAGCTCATAACTCTGGCCTCTTGGTAGTGGGTAAGTATCTCTGTATAGGGTTTACAGTGTCAAATAGAAGCTGTCCCCCAGATTTGTTTTATAAAAAGGTGCTGAGGGGAAATCTGAAGCCTTTCCTAGTAGCATATATACTCTTAATATTTTGAATTGCATACAGAATTTGACTCATTCATACTTTAAACCAGCAGATATGAAGAGAGTTGCGGGTAAGAGAATTCTGGACTGACAAGGTTTACAGGTATGAACAACTTCTGGTTGAGAACCTTAATGTATGTTTTTAGTGTGTGGGTGTTGTACAAAAGTGTGGTATGAAAACATTTGTTTCCTTTTTATTCATAAATTACATGGCTGATCTTGTTGTTTTCAGGGTTGTCGTACATTTCACAGTGTAGATTGCCAGTGATTTATTGTAGGGGGGAAATGGTGTCAACTTTTTCTTTTTGTATATTGCAAAGATAATGCATCCAAACCACGACTAAGACAGTCCTATGCACAGTTAGCTGGGAGTAAGCCACATTATATTAAACAACTTATTTATTAATGGACATGAATAGGATTGCACTGTAAATCACATTCCTGATGTTATAATACTGCTGTGTTATTCATGGCCCACTAATTATAGTTTTATTATTTCTGTTCTTTCCTGTTCTCATTTTGATTCCGAATTTCAATGTGTTTATTTGAGGACAGTGTTTTTGAAGCCAAGGTTGTTGCTACAAATATTTCACACACTTTGGGATTAGTAAAAGCTGGTAGATTAAGTTTGGCAACATATTATCTTCTCAACATACTAACCTTGTATGCTATCATTGTGAAACTTTGCAGTCATGCTTCATTTCTAAAGTAATCATGTTTTTACGCTCTGGAAAAATGCTACCTTATACCAAATATCAAGGTTAATCTGACATTACCAAAAGTTGGGAGGGGGTCATTTGCTAGGCTAACCATCTTGCGTTTCCTTGGGTTTTGCTGTTTGGAGTGTGTCCTTGTGTGAATGAAAAATAACTAGCTTTTTCAGTAATCAAAGTATATTTAGAGCAGAATGTTGTATGTTTGAAAGATCTTACATAGATTCTAGACTTAAAGCACTTCAGCTCCTTGTTATTTTTTCATCCTGTGTTGTAATTGTTGGAAAAAATAGCAACAAAGAACCTTGGCTATCAAATTCCTGACATTGTTCTTGAAGAGTGAGATAGAAATATGATTCTATTGATTTGTTTCCAGTCAAAAAACTCAGTGGTAAGTGAAAAGACGAAATAGCAGTGGTGAAATATTAACTAAGCAATTACATTATGTCAAAGGATAAGGCAGGTTGCTTTTGTTTGCTTTGCTTGATAAGCAGTAGATGACCGCAGCAATGATACTGAAATGATTTTCAGGAAGGAAAAGTCTCTCAGTGTTCGGACATAGCTTCTGTTTCTTTAGATGTACATTGCACAATTTAATACTTTGACCTAGAGCTATCTTACAAAAGTCACATCTTCTATTATCTTAGAGTTTACTTTGGAAAGCATTCTAAAAGATCTCAGTTTGGTGATGCAGAAACAACTTAGGTTTGGAATGCCTACTAATAAAAATATATTCTTGCAACCATCATATTACGTATGAATTTAGGAGATTGAAAAGAGTGTGCATGTTTTAAAATGAAGTTAAATACAATGGGAGAGTTCATTCAGTTATTGCAACATTTACAAAATTGAAAGATTTACACACACACACACAAAAAGGGAACCAAGCACCTTTCCCTTCACTCAAACTAATGCATGTAAATTGAGCTCTCTTTGTAAACTCCTTACAGCTCTTTTCATTGTTACAAGGTGCACATTCTTTTCCAACTACAACAGTTTGTACTCTTGGGATTTTTCCAACATCTTTATCCACTAGGATTCCGTTCCTAAAATTAGGTGGCTCTGTACTCTGTGGTATGTTGCTTATGCCACAGCAAGTATTGCTCTGTTTAAACAGCTGTGTCCTCCGCATTGGTCTAGGCACCCTTATAATTTACCCATTTGCAATACAAAATAATTTAACATGTAGAAGGTTTCTTTTCAATATCTGTGCAGTGTGAACAGGTGTGCAGGTAATAGGCTGTTTCAGTGGTGTTTTACATTTTAAAAAGTTTTCATTTTTCTGTTCAGATTGGTTCCTATTTCTGAGTGGGAGATTATCAGCCAAACCTAACCACTGCATATTCTTGCTAGTTAACATAAGAGGGGCTGACACCACAGACCATAGAAAATGTAATTGGTAGAGAGGGCTCTGCGTGTTGTCACTTCCCCTCTTCTCCTGGGAGGGAAGAAGTGTATAGTACTTCCTATTGCTCTCTCTCTCTTCCTTTGATCAGCAATGGATGTGGACATGCCTCCACTTGCTCCAGCTTTAGGCATATGCCTGAAGCTGGTTATACTATCAATATAAGTATTTTGCCTACATAGCTTTTCCCATTTGTAAAAGAAAACAAACTGGATTAATAGAATGTCTTTTTTTCTTCACTGATATTTGCTGTTGTAGCAGAATTGCAACAAATTGTTGACAGGCAGCTTATTAAAGGTGCATCAAATCAAGTGCTAACAAATTCTACTTCCTTAGTCATTTTCTTAAAGCAAGTACAGGGGTTCTCTTTAACAAAGATTAATGTGCCAGTTTCAAGCATGTTTTTGAAAGTTATATTGCACAATTTCTGTGTGTTTATAACTAGCGTTTGCTTTCATTGGAAATAAGAGCTGTACTTTTACAGTTACAAAGTAAGAAACAACAGTACTTTTCACCAGTATGTTAAACAGCCCTCTCTGCTCTTTTTCTAGATGTGTTTTGCTAATGGGTGTGAGTAAACTAGATGTCTTATACAGGCGCCTACTTCTCACTAAGCTTTTTATTCAAGGATGGGGAAGACCAGAAGACTTGAAAAGGTAGTTATGCTCACTCATGCTTATATTCCAGATTGGTGTACATGCTCTGTTTTTAAATTTCAAAAAATAGTACCCCCAAAGCTTATATTCTGAGTGCACGCTGAAAGGTTAAAACAGTTTTCTTATACTGTATGAAGGAAAAGTTAGAAAAGCATTTGTCTCAAATTGAAGGGTAATATTTGTGTTAATACATGTTTAAATTTAAAGACTGGTGTCACATTAAAAATAAACAAAGCTTGTACAGGAGTTATTAATGTTAACATTGGATATTATAACATCCTAGGTAGGGGTGGAATTAAAGATTATTCAGACCGAACAGAGACAAAATTATAAAACACATTTTTGTGTCTTGTGTGTAGTAATAGCTGAAACTTAACACTATTTTTTTGTCATTAACAGAATATTTGCATTCAGAAAGATTATTGGAAACAGAGAAAAATGTCAAAATCTGGTTTCAAGAGACTATCCAGTGCACATCAACAAGGTATTAGGTTGCATTTATTTTTAATTAGTTTAAGATTCTATGCAGATTTGTAATCCTGATTATGAAAAAGGATGAATGAGAAAGGAACCTATGCTTGGTAATCTGCATGTTGCTAGAATTCACTAGATATTAGTGGAAGGGCTGTAGCTCAGAGGTAGACCATCTGCCTTGTGTGCAGAAAATCCTTGTTTCAATCTCCAGCACCTTCAGGTAGGGTGCAGATATATTCCCTGCCTGGAGAGTTGCTGCTAGTCAGTGTAGATGATACTGAGATAGATAGACCAATGGTCTGACATGTTATAAGGCAGCTTCCTCTGTCCCACCAAATGTACTTGTTAATGTTTGACAGCTTCAGTAAGAATGCAATGTTGTTACTGTAGGTTGAAGAGCAGTCAGACTGTAAGATCCTTGATGGGCAGTTCATTTCCCCCTTGGCTCATTATGTTCCAGATATCATGCCACCAGAATCCATCACAGCAAGGTAAGGACAGGCACCTAATGTAAGTTACGAAATTACAGAGAGTGAGATGAGATGAAATGCTGATGAAAAGGTGACACATACGTGTGTTAATTTTGAATAAGGATAGGTTTGCATGTTGGCTAGGGCTTTGTCTGCACTGAGTGCCACTGGGAACAGCTCCTTACCTTACATGCTGAGAGCTCCTCTTGAAATTTTTGTCCCAGTAAGTATAATACTACGATTAAAAAGGTCCTAACTAAACTTATGCATGCCTTAAGGGACATTTTAGATCCCTGTACAATGTTTTTTTCCCCCATACACATGTGCCAGTTATTCTGGATTTGCATTTGATTGGAGAAATGCCATATATGATGGCTAGCAGCAGTTTTAATTATCACGGTAGCTGGAAAACATTTTCTGCAATCATGCTTATTACTTAAGAGTGGGGAAATGCATTACTAGTCCTTGATGTAAAACTTTGTGTGATATTAGCTGCTAGTCTGTTAACTTTATTTCATGTAGGCATAGTTTTTAAATGATTGCTTTCTATTTGATAGGTTTCAGTTTTTAGTACCCAAGCTATGGAACAGCAAATACAGACCAGTGTGCATTCATTTAGCAGGCACTGGCGACCATGTAAGCATACAACATTACTTCATTAATGCTTTTTTAAAAAACCTGTTACACTTGTTCTCTTTAATTTAATCTTATTAAACTTTTGTCTCTTTAGTACTTTTGGAGACGACGCACATTAATGGCCCGTCCAATGATCAAAGAGGCCTGCATGGCTTCACTGTTGTTAGAAAATCCTTATTATATCCTTTATATTAAGCAAAATGTATCTGTGAAGCACAGATCTAGAGAGGAAAGATGCTGCTGCCTAGTCATGTGCTTAGTTCCAACACTAATATGGTGAATGGATATGTCAAATATGTAAAAGCATATGAAATGTAAACCATTTATATGTTTCCTGTATAGATTGGTAGCTTGGAAATTGACAAAACTATAGTAAATGACCTGTAAGTGACCTAATGATTATACTTAAGTATGTGTGGTTCTGTTTGAAAAGAAATCATATAGTCTGTGGATATTTTGCAACTCTTAGATCTCCAAAAGCATAAATAACTCAAATTAATGTTGTGTGTATGTAATCATATATAAAGTTAAACTATGTGCAAATAGACTCCAGGGCATCATTATCTAAAATTAGACACATTTTAAATGCAGCTTGGGGAGGGCATGAGGAGCATTTAGAGAGAAAAATAATAGGAAAAGAATGCATTGCCCCACTTGATTGCCATGTTTTCATTTGGCTTGTCACAGTTAAGAGATTCAGTTTCCAAATTACCAACCAGCAGTCTTTCATAAAATATTAGTTTTCTGTCTCCCTGTTTGAGGCCGCTGCATTAATTTATCTATCAATAAATCTGAGGTTTTTTTTAAATCCAATCCTCTTCTGTTGGCGTTTTGATAACACAAAAATGGAAATCTGTCACCAATTGGGCAGCTGTTAACAAATTCTGAATTACTTTCTTATAGAGATATTATATTTATCCCATGATGTAGCCCAAGAGGGCAAAAATTTAATTCACATATTATAATTTTCTTAATACTAGTTGGCAGCAATTAAACATTCAGAATGTTTGTGTGGAACGTGTCTGGATCATGGCCATTATTCTAAGCAATGTTACTGAAATTCCTAATAAAGCAGTAAGACAAGTTTTTCATATTGCTGTTTAGTTATATATAATGACTTGCCTAGATAAGTCATTCAATGATTGAAATGTTACGCATGTGTGAACTCAAATCTCCTATGTCTAACATAATGTATGAGCTCAGATTAAAGGTAAAAGTAAAGGGACCCCTGACCATTAGGTCCAATCGTGATTGACTCTGGGGTTGCTGCGCTCATCTCACTTTATTGGCTGACGGAGCCGGCGTACAGCTTCCGGGTCATGTGGCCAGCATGACTAAGCCACTTCTGGCGAACCAGAGCAGCGCACGGAAACGCCGTTTACCTTCCCGCCGGAGCGGTACCTATTCATCTACTTGCACTATGACATGCTTTCAAACTGCTAGGTTGGCAGGAGCAGGGACCGAGCAACGGGAGCTCACCCCGTCGCGGGGATTCAAACCACCGACCTTCTGATCGGCAAGTTCTAGGCTCTATGGTTTAACCCACAGCACCACCCACGTCCCTCACATTACCTCCTGTTTAATTGTTAAATTGCAAGCCTAAACCCACACAGTTAAAATAACTTTTATTTTAGTGTGCACATTTATTTTTTAAAAAAAACCTTTAAATATAAATTGTAATGAAAATGTTGAGGCTCAAAAGGTATATACATTTCCATATTAATTTCTTTGACTCTTATCTGTACATGGATGCAGAAAACCCAAGGATCAGTTGTAAGTATTAGCAGTGTACTGTATTCTGAGATACATTTAGGAAATATACTGCTTAAAATTTACAAGTTATATCTTATTTCTGATGTATCGTGTTTATTTGACTTTATTCCTTTTTGCGAGAAACTCATTTTAAGCCACAATGGTCAATAATACAAATAGGAATATTGCATTCTGCCACTTTAGGGGCTACATAACCTTTTAAAGTTGCTACCTTCTGCATACCTTGAATGTGAGACGGTTTTGGTAACTGTATTAATGCTGAATGTCTTCAAATCCTTTATATAAGCTATTTCTAGAAATAACCTTGTTCCAAGTATGCAGCGACTTGGTGTTGCAAGATGTTCAGATGTATGAAAACTAGGTCATTTCATAGAGTGCCAATCGCTGTAAATAAATTTCACAGTGAAGGCTTTATGCGGCTGTAGCATTTCACTTGTTTCTTTTGCCAACCATTTTGAGTGAATAGTGGCAGCTTTCCCCAACTGAGAAGGGGAGGATAATACATTCCTCATCTCTGCATTCTTCCCTTCTGTTTCCCCAAATTAGCAAAGTGCTCTGAACAAGCATAGCATGATGGATTCCAACCAGGCACCAGAGCTATCCATCGTAAAGTTAAATTGTTGCAGTATACTTGTAATACTTCACAGCAGACAAAACTGCTGTATAGCTACAGTACTTGGAAAATAAATCCTGTACTGTAACTTCAATGCAGGTATCTCTGCAAAACAAATTTGTTTAATACTGTAGCACATTTGAAATTCTGGCCTTAATAGTAATTGTAGCTTGATTGATAAGTTGCACAAAGTCCACAGCTTTTCTTCATCTGGCATTATCAATATTTTGAGGCCTTTTTGTCATAAAGCAACTTTATAAAGAAAATATTTTACTTTATTGGCCAAAATCCATTGCTGGCAGTTTTGTGTGGACTGTGCTCCTGTTAACTGTAGTTCAAATAGCTACAATAAATAGTTGGGCCAGTTTGTCCCGGCAGCAGCTACTAGGTTTAAATATAATCATAATCCTGCATCAAATTAAATGAGAGAGAGTTTTCATGAGGACAGTGATCTGAATTGTAGAAGATATGATTATAGGTACATTTGTTAATATACATATGTAAAGTTTGCCTTTCTTTTCTCGGGAGAAAAGAAGATCATGTCTAAAAAATGTCTCTGACCTGTTTGTCATGGGAGGAGCTCTTGTGCTAGAATCAGCTGTTCTTCTGCACTGGTTAGAAAGAGAAGGCTATGGACCCCTTGGGATGACAGGAATATCCATGGGAGGACATGTAAGAACCTTTATTTGAAAAATAGTAAATCACTTGAAGCTTACATATGTCTATCATTAGCTGGTTTTAAGTGTTGTAAAATAAGTTACAGTATAAGTGAGTTATCTAAATCACATGACATAGACATGAAAAATGGCCTTACATTTTCATATTCCATTAAAATGAATACTGAATATAGTTTGATCAAATTCTTATTAAATTTCAAGTTTATGTCCTGGTATACATCCCAGGTACAAACCCATGAAACATAAGAAGTATTGTTGGCGTATCACTTACCTTAGACAAGTCTGTCTCAGCAAGTCTGTTGTGAAGATTAAACAAGAACCTTACTTATGTTACTCAGTGATCCTTGGAAAAAGGACCTTAGGATTTGTATTAAAGAGGGAAGGAGGATTCCTTGGAAGAAGGATTTGTATTGGATGCATACATAATGATTAAAATTATGAAATGCTTTTCAAAATCTGAAGTTTTAGATGATATTTTTATATAAATGCCACTTAAGTTTGTTGTGAATAAAATCTGGAAGGGGAAAGAACTGGGAAGGGTTTTTTGTATTCTAAAATATGTTGAGGGGTGAAAGCTATTTCTCTCAGGTAGTGATTTCATTTTACTTGTGCTTATGAAAACAAAATAAGTCTGTCGCTCCCTAAGGAATTATGAAACCAACTGTGTTGTATAATTTATTTGATTTGCAGTAAATGCATTGTGTGTTTAAAGAAAACAGATAAAGATTTACGTTAAAGGATTTTGGAAGAAAAATTCTGAGGTGACTAGTACAATACAAATCACAGGCACTATTCATCTTCGGTGACAAGCAGTATGTAATCTGAAAAAAATATTGTATTGTCTTCTATTTGACAGATGGCATCATTAGCAGTGTCAAACTGGCCTAAACCGTTGCCACTAGTTCCTTGTCTCTCCTGGTCTACAGCCTCTGGTGTTTTTACTACGGTAATCTATTTGTAGTGTACAATGCCAACAAGTGGGAAACCAAAAGGCTTCAAAGCCTTATTAATCAGGTTTGATTTATTGTTGGGATATTTCATAGTAGAAATACTTTGTGTTCTTGGGGTTAGGGTAGAGTTACCAAATTTTGAATTGAGGAGAAACTTTTTTAAAATAGTTATTCCATCTCTCAGTACCTCCACAAACACTCCATTTTTAAAATGCTTTATGAGGTATGAAAGGCAGCTGAGTGAAACATGCAAACCTAAAGCTTCCATGGTTCTTTGATCCTTGCCCTTGTTTGTAGATGTGTCCAGAGATGTTTTCACAACTCATGGGGAAACTTTGCTAAAATGATATAAATTAAAATTATTTTTGTATAGTTGGTTTCTTTAGAATAAGAGTTCATAATGCCTTGTCACTGCTTTATAATGTCTTTAATTTCAGGGTGTACTGAGCAAGGCAGTGAACTGGAGACAGCTTGAGAAACAGTATTATTCAGAGAGTGTTTATGAAGAAGAGATCATTCAAATGCTTGAATATTGTGGAGTAGGTATAATTTTATTTTTCATACTAAATATTAGCTGCACAGTTTCACCACTGAAAACATGTCACAGTGCTCAAGCATTTCAGCAAAAACATTAGATATGAAACTATAGGATTTGTTATACAAATATTCTTGTCAAAAGATGCATTAACATTTTTTTTAAAAAAATGCATTACCCTTCTACTCTTTTTTATTTTTACACTGGTGAATGGTGGATTGTGAGAGAGCTTGTCAAACTACAGTATGTGGTTAGGAAGGAGCATTTTCATCGTATGACTAGAACCAACCAGAGCATTTAACCAGAAAATTGAATTTTTGGATTGCTTTTGTAAAAAAAAATACTGCATTTCCTCTTACATTTTGTATGTTGGTTGCTAAACGGCTCCCATGTTTGTTACATGTTCACCAAAAATTTAGTAAACAACATAGCTGTTCATAGATGCTTAGAAATTATAACTAGGGATTATTTCTTGTTATCAGGTTATCAAAAACATTAACGTAAGGATGCATAGGTAGAATATCAGATGCTGTCTTTTCAATAGGATAATGTAATGGGCCACCTGTCTCATTTCTCTTCAATAATAATAATAATAATAATAATAATTTATTAGGGACACGGGTGGTGCTGTGGTCTAAACCACTGAGCCTAGGGCTTGCTGATCGGAAGGTTGGCGGTTCAAATCCCCGCGATGGGGTGAGCTCCCATTGTTCAGTCCCAGCTCCTGCCCACCTAGCAGTTCGAAAGCACATCAAAGTGCACCTTTACCTTTATTATTTATACCCCACCCATCTGGCTGGGTTTCCCTAGCCACTCTGGGCGGCTTCCAACTGAATATTAAAAACACAATAAAGCATCAAACATTAAAAACTTCCCTAAACAGGGCCGCCTTCAGATGTCTTTTAAAAGTAAGATAGTTGCTTATTGCCTTGACATCTGCTGGGAAGGTGTTCCACAGGGCAGGCGCCACTAACGAGAAGGCCCTTCCTGGTTCCCTGTAACCTCACTTCTCACAACGAGGGAACCTCCAGAAGGTCCTCGATGCTGGACCTCAGTGTCCGGGCTGAATAATGGGGGTGGAGACGCTCCTTCAGGTATACAGTAGTACCTTGGTTTGCAACTGCTTTGTATTGCAACTGTTTTGGATTACAACCACGTCAAACCCGGAAGTGCGTGTCCCTTTTTTTGGATTACAACCTGTGTTTTTTTTTGGATTACAACCAATTTTGGGGGGAAGGCCACATTGGCGAAAGCACGCCTTGGGTTACAACCTGTTTTGGTTTACAACCAGACCTCCGGAATGGATTATGGTTGTAAACCAAGGTACCACTGTACAGGACCGAGGCCGTTTAGTTCTCCTGACAGTGGCCAGATGTTGGGGGGTTTTTTTAGACCACTGTTGCAGAATGTGGAGGAGGGCTTCTTCTTCTTCTTTGGCGATAACTCGTAGCCGAGTAAGATTGTCCTCCGTGAACACAGTATTAATGGTGTGTCCCTAGGTGACTCTAGGAGGCCAATTTTGGATCCACACGTCCTTTTACAGTGGGTACATGGGTTTCTGGATGGGAGTTGATCATTGTGAGGGTTTGACAAACGTGCCTTCCTCTTCGCTTGTTTCTTCCTTTCATCCTCAGTTTGAGTATCTTCAAAGTCCATGACACCTTTGGTAAAGGCTGTTCTCCAATTGGAGCGCTTGCAGGCCAGTGTTTCCCAATTCTCGGTGTTTATACTGCATTTTGTTAGATTTGCCTTGAAAGAGTCTTTAAACCTCTTTTGTGAACCACCAGCATTATGCTTTTCATTTTTAAGTTCGGAATAGAGTAGTTGCTTTGGAAGACTATAATCAGGCAACCGCACAAATGACCAGTCCAACGAAGTTGATGTTGAAGAATCATTGCTTCAACACTGGTGATCTTTGCTTCTTACAGTACACTGACATTAGTTCGCTTCCCAAGTGATATGTAAAATTTTTCAGAGACTCTTTTGAGGATTTGGAGATAGTGTTTATAAGTGGTGCATGTTTCACAAGCGTACAGTAAGATTGGTAGTACAATAGCTCTGTAAACAAGCATTTTGGTTTCCCTGCAAATGTCCTGGGCCTCAAACACTCTGCACTTCAATCAAGAGAAAACTGCACTCACAGAGCTCAGGTGATGCTGGATTTCGGCATCGATGTCTGCCCTTGTGAAAAAATAACTGCCAAGGTAGGAAAAATAGTCAACATTTTCCAACATTACACCGTTAAGTTGGATTTGTGGTGCAGCAGAAGGGTTGTTTTGTGCTTGTTGGTGCAGCACTTGGGTTTTTTGGATGTTGAGCGATAGGCCAAGCTTTTCATAAACCTCTGCGAAGATATTTAGGGTGGTTTGGAGGTCATGCTCTGAGTTTGGACACACTACGTCGTCTTCAGCATATTGAAGCTCTATGATGGAAGTTATGGTAACCTTCCTCTTTGTTTTCAGCCTAACTTAAGAGTTTTCCATCTGTTCAATATATGATTTCTACCCCGGTGGGGAGTTTCCCTTTGACAATGCTCCTTGCACTCCTGGCTCTATCCCTTTTAGTTAGGAAGTAATTATAGGAGGACTTGGAGAAATGTGGCAGTGGCAGAAGAAGGGTTCTTTATCCTCCTACTCACCTGCACAGTCTTTTCCAGCTGTTTCATATTTTGCATAGGAAACAAAAAAGCAGTGACTAGATGTGCTAGGAGGCCACTAATGGAAGATGCCGAGTTGTTGCCACATCAAGTGACTGCTGGTAAAACTATTCCCTGGAATTTCTGAAGATGATGGAGAATAGAAAACTTGGGTTTTTTGGTGTTTCCAATGCTAGTTATTTGTAATGAGCTTCTAAAATATTGGGACTAAAATGTCCTCCTCCTAGTAAGAAAATTATAAATCAGTGGGAAAGTATCTTGTTCTCTAGGAACATTTATTTTATGTTAAGCAGAACTGACAACTACATATCTTGCATATTCCTTTACCCTTTCCGGTGGAGTTGGTACTGTATGCGTTGCAAGTACTCAACGTTAGGTAACAGAATACACACAACAGCCTATATTGTTGTAAACTGCTTGGGCTTTTTTTTAACAATCAAGTGTTATATAACTTTTATGAAATAAAATAATGAATAAATAATCCATTTTCCAACCAAGTGCCCTCTAGATACTTTGAGAAAGCCTAGTGTAGAATGAGGATGATTTAATCATTTATGATAGGGGAGAGGACACTATGTTGAGATTTCTGCCTTTCTCTCTAAGGATGCTTGTGGATGTGCTTGCATTTGCACAGATTTCAAATTTCTGAAAATAAATTCTACCCCACCCACCCCAGATACAGTTAAATTAAAAATTGTTAACATAGGGGTGCATTCATAAGGCAGTTTCATATAAGCCAAAGGTTGGGATATGTCACTTTAGTCTTTTCTATGTTTACATAGTTTAAGTGACTCACATTAGAAATTAAATTGTTCTCAAGATTCAACACTATCAATTGTACCTTATATAATGTAAGAGATATTTGGTGTTGTAGTCACCATATATTTGGGAAGTGTCTTGAGTTAAAATATAAACACTGCCATATTTTTTTAGAGCAGCGGTCACCAGCCGTGCCCTCCAGATGTTGCTGCACTTCAGCTTCCATCATCCCTGACTTAGTAGCATTCTAAGTAAAGTTCATGGCAATTGGGAGTCCCACTAGCATCCAGAACGCACTACATTAGATACCCCTGGATTAGAGTAATGGAACATCTAGCTCATTCAAGAGAGCAAATTATAGAAGTTGCCACATACTAACCCCCCCCCCAGAGCAAATGTTTTAGGGTTACCAGAGTAACTGATACCTTACAGGATATCTACCTAATATTCAAAGTGTCTTAATTGAATAAATATTTTTGTTTAGACAGATTCATTCAAGATGGGACAAGACTTTGTTAAAAATTCTCCTGGCAGTGTGGACAGTTTAAGCAATCTGGATCTGCATTCCGGTATGCTGAACCTGGATACCAGAAGCAAAGTTCTATCTTCGGAAGCTGGTCACTGCATTAGCAGTAGCAGAACTCCTCTAAGTGCCTCAATGGAAGGACTGTTGGTGCAAGAGGCGTCCAAAATGCAGTGCATAAACCAGACGTTTTCAACCAGCAGCAGTAGCAATAAGGATTTTACCAGTAATCAGAAGCATCTGATAAGTGGAAAAAGGGACAGTTTACAAAGAGAATCTTTAAGATTCATGAAAGGGGTGATGGATGAATGTACTCATGTAGCTAATTTTTCAGGTACATGTTATTTTAACACAGTTTTGAAATTGTTCTTTTTGCTGCCCTCTGCCTACTTCCACCCTGTTAAGTAATACTTCTGTTTTTTATGTTTTCTTTCTCCAAATTTTCATTTCTGCATTTCTAATCTCTGAGCACATAAAGCATTTAAACTTGATTTTTTCCCCTTTCTTCTTTATATCCAGTGGTGTCTAGTTTGTCTCATAGTACTAGAAATGTAGCTTATATCGTAAGTTGCATAGTCTGTGGAGTTATTTGAAGCCTCACATGATCACTAACAGCATAATTCTCTGGTCTGCACAAGGCAAAAAGCAGATAGGGTTGAACACAGCCGTTGCTTCATTGTAAATTATGGTGAACTGGTGGAACAGCAGCTAGATCAATACCTATCAACATGCAAAGCTTTGTGTGAGCAGAGAATGTATAGCAGTGGCTAGTGACATAAATATAAGTGGGACTAGGGCTCCTTGTTCTGCAAGGCGAGGACCAAAACATATTGAAATGAAAAAATTGAGCACCAGGGCCAATTATTCTCAACAAAGCCCAGCAGAAAAACAAAATGCAATACTGTGCCATAGACCATGCAACATGTTGAAATGATAGGGCATGGCCATAGACAATACCCCACTACCCCATGTGTCTATGAACCAAAAAGGGGAAAACACAGGGAAGGAGGCCACAAGGTCAACATGAGACCATTGCAGATCACAAGATGATGCTAACTTATACTAGAGCAGGTTATTAGGCTATAAGGTGGTTCTTCAGCAGGATCAAGAAAGCTGGTTTCATGTTCAGAACTTATTGTATGTGGACTAATTTTCCTTTGCTGTTCGTTCCCATTCCTGTGTAATCTAACATAAGCTACTGACAGTGTTGCTTCAGCAGTAAAAGAGAACTAAGGCTACATTAAATAGTTGCCATTTGCTGAAGACATAATTGTGAATTGTGGATTCCCATGCAATTACCTTGTAATTTTAACCTTTCTGTAACATTGTCTTCCGAACTAAAGATAGCATATTTAGCTTTAAAGAGCTTTGTTCCTTGTTCTCAGTTCCAGTTGATCCAACACTGATCATAGTAGTTCAAGCCAAGGAGGATGCTTATGTTCCAAGAACTGGTGTACGTAGCCTTCAAGAAATATGGCCCGGATGTGAAATAAGATACTTGGAAGGAGGTCATGTTAGTGCATACCTTTTCAAACAAGGGTTGTTCAGGTGAGGCATTGATTAAGCAATGAAAATCAAACAAATTTTTATACTCTACTACTACTGCATCTCTTAAGTGCTAAGTATACATATTTTGTTGTGGCAGTCTAAAAGTTGCCTGCATTCAACAGACTTAGGCCACTTCAAAGCTAGTAATGTCATGGTTTTGTGCTATGTAAACAAGCTGAACTGAGTCTTGGGCTTATGGACTCCTGTCTCCTCAGTTTGAGCCAGGCTTGTTTTAACAAACCATAGTTTAAAATAACTATAGAGTTCCCACCTAGCTTGGATGTAGTCTGAAACAGAAAATGTATACTGCCAGGTTGTTACAACAGTGAAGTGGTGGTGTATAAACCTAGGTTCTCTTCTCATTTATTTAGTGCTAAATGACAGCATTACATCTGAAATGAGCTTTATTTCCTACTCAGTTCTGTTTTATATTTCAGTTGTTGTATTTGTTACTCCTAAATTATGGATTTCTGAGATTTGTGGCCTTGTTTATAATTGGCAGGAAGTACCCAGCATTGCCCAGGAATTTTAAAAAACACTTTTGTTGTGTGTTTTATAAATGGATAGTGTGAGTTTTGACTCATGACACTCAAAATAAGTGAAGTCACACCAAGTCAAGTTTGGTCCATCAACTTGAATTAAAATTATGTCCATTGTTCAAATGTCAATGAAGACTGCTGCACTCCCCCCGCCCCCCCGGACCTGGAACCCTCATGCTGGGTTTGGTGATGATTTATTTAGAGGCAGCCAAATCAATGCCAAAAAAATTCCGAAGTCCTGTATTGCTCCGCTAAATTGAATCAAAATGGCACCTAGCATCCAAACATTGCTGAAGACAACTGCCCCCACCCTGGCAACTTTCATGCCAAGTTAGGCAACAGTATTTCAAGTGGTGGCTGAAGATATGCAAAAAAATGGGCATAGTCGTGGCAAAGTTGTGTTTTATTCCATCATTTCTATTTTAAACTGGCATGCTGAATTCAAACATCAATGTAGGCCACCACCCCAATTCAGGAACCCTCAATTTTGGCAACTATATCTCAAGAAGTATCCGAATGCTGAAAACAGACAAATGGACATTTTTCTAAAATTTATAGTAGAAGCAGGTGCTAAAATCTTTTGTTAGAACACTGTGCTGCATCTGGACAAAAAAATCTTGTAAATTATTAGTGTACCCTCATTAATTTTGTTGATCTTCTCTTTCTCTTAGACAAGCTATATATGATGCCTTTGAACGCTTTCTCCAGAAATATGCTGTATAGCTCTGTCCTTTGGAACCGCTCTATATAGACTTGTTCTGAGCTCTTTTTTACATGGATCCTCATGTTGACTTCATGTGGCGAACAAGTCAGACATAAGTTCAGTTAAGTCACCAACTGGACGGTAAATTGAACTTGACGTTATATCAGAATGAAATCAACCAATTTCAAACTTGCACCAGTCATGCCAATGACAATTTTAGCACAATTTCTTAATACAGGTAATGTATGTCTAAAGAATAGGCTGATTTTTAAGACTATTGTTATTTCGAGAGTACACTCATCCTTTGAAGAGAGACCAATACAGGCTGCTTAAATTTGGTTTATGTAAATTTTAGCATAAGTTTCACACCCCAGGTTGTCACTAGGACTAGGAATTCAAAAATTCCTTCAGGGAGACCAGCTAGACTCTCAATAATGAGCTCAACTTGAAAAGTTTATTCATAATAAAAATTATTAAGATGGCCTATGCAGACTCTGGGGAGTAGGCAGCTACATACTCCCATAATCTTCCCAGTGTTCCCTGGCCCTATTTCAACTTCAGTTGGAAGACCAAAGTTTGCACATTACTTTCCTGCACCTCATAATTGGATCTTTAAAACTATTTGTCCACCTTTAATCATTTAAAGCAGCATGCTAGGTGTGCTCTTATTTTAAAATGGAGGGAGGAGGTGTGTACTTCAGTTGAGGAATCATAAAATGTTAATTGACTGAATTGTTACACCTTAAATGAAAATAAAGTGTGAATCCTTCTGTATATGTTGCATGTTTAATGTTGGTTTTCTTACAAACTATTTTGCATCATGTTGCAGGAAAGAGGGATTAACTTCATTTGGATCCAACCTAATATTGTAGTTAATTCCTCTTTAGTTCCATTGAAATCAATGGGACAAGTTAATCAAGACTAAGTTGACTCTCAATGTTTTTAATGGGATGAAAGTGACCATCTTCATTTGGATCCAATCCTTATTATCCCAGCATTCCCCATGCTGTCTCCCACATAGTTCCAGAAGGTCCCCCAACACTCCAGAACAGCCTTCAATGGGGCTGCTGTGTTTCAGGGAGCAGGACTTGGTGAAAATAAATCCCCCCATTATTCAGTGGTTGCATCCTGTGACTTGAGCTAGGCTCACAGAAGCTCTTCATCTTACCCATTATATTTTCTTTCGTATTATATGGAAGCTAGTATATGCTGTTGAATTTGATAAAATATTATTGTGGCTGAATCCAATAATGTTATAACTTCTGCTCACACAACACAGTCTCTTTCCTTCCATCCCAGATCTGCTAGAGGGTTGGGGGGAAGCTCAGAAGAGATTGGGGTTCTGTTGTGTGAGTGGAAGTTGTTAAACCCCTGTAGTGACTTAGTTGGATACAACTCTCTAAGTGCAACTGGATTCTGCTGAATAATTAAAGTTGAAGTCAGCCCACTTATCTAGGAATAGGTTCCATTGAATTTGGACATGTTTAGTACACCTGCATAAGACTGTAGGTACTAGAATAATTTTTGAAGAGCAAAGTCTGATGAAGAGGAAGTTTATTAAAAGTACCAAAACTTAAGGTGAAAGCCTAAGTAAAAAGAAAACTTGACCGAACTTCCTAATCGTAGTGAACAGCACTTTACGCTGAAGCAGCAGCTTTAAGTGGATTCCAGATACTGCTGAAGTCTTGTTCAAAGTAATTTCCTGGAGAATTAAAGTATTAAAACTCACTCCTTTGATGATAAGTTATGGATAACTGCAGACCTTCCAAGTGTCCCTATTTTCCAGGGATAGCCCCGGATTTACAGAAGCCATCCCGGTTTCTGATTTGATTCCGAAATGTCTCATTTTTCCTTAGGATAGCCCTATTTTCATCTGCGAAATGTTGGAGGTTATGTAACTGGCACAGCATTTCAAATTAAGTATTTATGGCTCACATGAATCGTCTCTATGTCTCCTTTTGGAATGTTCCAGTTCCAGATTTCTGGAACACCAGAACTGGCAAAAACGGCTTGGCTTGAAATAGCTGGATGTTTGAATATGGAATCTGCCACAATATTATGCATCTACTAGAATTTTATACTGCAAAATCTGCTGTAGCAGGAGCAGTAACATGCTTGAGTGTTCAATTTAGTGATTAAGGGGTGGCATTCATTGCTAGTGCTACCCAGTGTAGACACGCTGAAGTTAATGGACATGGTGGGTTCCTTGTAAAGCACTTTGAGGTCTTTTTCAACAATCCAAGTGGTATATAAATTTTGCTAAATAAATATTGTCAAATTTGTCTAAACATCACTATTCTAAGACTACTGTTTATGTGTTGTGAATTAGTGTGTCATAATCATATGCTTTCAACAGTATTTTATAGAATTAATTAATCTTGCATTTAAAGTGCATTCTGTATTTCAAAGACCAGCAAAATTCTTGGTAACAAAGTCTTTGATAACAAAGTTTTGTGGCCTTACTATATTCAAATGTCTCTAATACTCTTGCCTAACACATTTCATTTAAAAGAATTTACTAATGGTGTTGTAATCAAAAAGGAAAATCATAGTTAAATGAAAGTAAGTTTCAGAATTCTGTGTACTTTTCTAAACTGCATTTTATATTTTTCAATAAAACCTTGCAAAAACATTTTCATGCTGCTGGTCTGTATTGTGAAGAGCCTTCTTGTAGACAGTTGCTTATGTCATTAGGCTCCAATGAAAGTACTGTATCCGAACTGAGTAGCCAAACCAAGTTTTAGTAGGCTCTGCAACTGGGATTGCCGTACCCATGGGCTCTATGTAATCTTAAATGGCAATGTTTTATATGAAAATAGTTGACTTCTTCCAAGACAACTCTCCCAAGAACCTGAATTACTCAATAGTGAAAAAACAAAACACAATGCTCATACATTGAAATATACTCAGAGTCGAGAGTGGATTTCATGCTCTTTATTCAGCTCATAGTGGTGAGGAGGGAATGGAGGTTCCCTCAAAGTATCTGCTTTATATACATTATTTACACAATGGGCTGCACGTGATTGGCTAATTCCGGAATTCTCCTGTAGGCCAATCAGGTTGTGGATTCACTTCTATCTGGAGCTGGATTGGGTGGCTCCTATTTGAAGTTTCATATTTGCTGTATCTAATTATTGTCTACTTCCAGGGAATATACACTATTTGGAGTATGCTTTGGCATAAAGGTGTTCTCAACCAGAAACATCACCCGTTTTGTCTTTGCTATGCAGCCTTGATGAATCTAACGAATGACCTTGTCAACATGTTCTCCGTTCAATCTTGAATCGTTTAGGAACATATGACATTGGAAATCATTCTATATAAAGAACACCATTCTTGAAACTTGAGCCAAAATGAATGCTAGATCTTTATGTCCTGTATTCAGAAAGCTTATTTAAGAAGGATCTTATATTTAAGAACTGATTTACCCAGATCAACACTGTCCATAATCAAAGTAGCATGTAATATCCTTCAATGGACAGTATGAGCCACAGTCTTCTTTGACGATCACTCGTAGCCGAGTAAGATTGTCTTCCATAAACACAGTTTTAACAATGAGTCCGTAAGTGACTGTGGAGGCCAATTCTGGAACCACACGTCCTTCCACAGTGGGGACATAGGTTTCCCGGCAGGAGTTGATCACAGTGTGGGAGAGACATATGCTGTCTCCCATTATATGCCCCTAAATGTCTCTACCCAGTAATGCAAGATGGAGCAAAACGCCCTCCTGATGCCCTCATAACCACTGAAAAATACCACTTTCATTTGTGGTTTAGGTTCTTCTCATACGTTTTTATCTGTTCACATGATTTACAGACAGGCAGTTTTTCCCTAACCATTTCACATACACAATTTTATGAACTTCATGCATTTTAAGTGGCATGTTCTAGTTGCCTTCAAAAATTATTTGTAGTTATGTAAATTTAGTATTTATATCATTTTTAAAATACCTTGTGGATTCTTTAAGAGCTGTGGATTGCTTGTAGGGCAATTTTTTAAAGTGATGAATTGCAAAGCAACTTCTCTAGGTGCATGTCTGATATGGAAGGAATGCTTTCTATTCTATACTGTTTCAGTTGTAAGTAAAATCTGTCTAACCTGACATTTCCTATGGTACTATCAGGTGTGACTACATTAGCATTTTAAATAGTCTGGGGGATTTTAGCTGCATTTTATGTACAATTTTTCATATGCTACTTAGCTGTTTGCTTTATCATTCTAAATAAAAATAAATGCTGCAGAATGAATTAAAGCAAATGCAGGGCATCATTGATAAGCATTGTTGGGATAGACCACAGCTGAACCAGAAAGTAACAACACCCCTTTGTTTAAAAGCGCAGTTACTGTTTTTCACCTTAGAAGAATGGAAGCAACTTGGGTTATTGCAACATGTACTGTACATAAAATGGAATTACAAGCTGAAGTTGGCTTCCAGCTCCATATTTGGTTCTATTATTATTCTACATTTAGAATGTATGGATTGCTACGACACCACCACTGTTGTTGTTTTTTTAACTTTTTATTAAAGATTTTCTTGTTTTACAGAAGTAAGTGTAATGCCTCGTATTTATTCCATGTAACATTTTTACAAATCCGTTTCATTTGTTGAGACATTAGGGGGAGAAGGAAAAAAAGAAAGAAAAAAAAGGGGGGTGGAGGGAGGGAAGATGGGTGGGGGTGGAATCGGGTGGCAATGTTTCTATTATGCTTAATGTATGTAGGGTTTGGTGTCAGCGTTGCTTGTGCTGTTCACTTGTGTTCCTTTGGGACACCACCACTGTTTACTGCTTTGGTGCTTTCTTAAATGTGCATGTCACAAAGAACAGCCACAGAAGCTATAGACAGGTGTTGCAAGTGAAGATGACAGCATCTTTTTAGGTGCAAATCGCTTTTTGTTGTTTGCAGAATTAATTTTCCAAGAGAAAATCTAGTCGTTTGTCTACTGTGTCATGGTACACAAGAATCATAGAGTTGGAATGCATCTCGGGGAGTCATCTAATCCAACCCCCTGTTGAACCATCCCAGCTAAGTACTGTATCAGGGGAGCCTACAGCACAACTAAGTTTTACTTCGAAAGATGTTTTAGCCAACGCTGCATCACTCTGGAACATTTTAATCTTATTGGATCTTCAAAGCCATTGTATATTAAGCCAAAATTGAAAGAGGGCGGGGAGCAGCCGCCCTCCGAGTGCGCTCATGTGCTGGTGTAAACTTCAAAATGCTAGTGCTTCCTCCTACAGCATGCAGCCACCGGGAGCGGGGCAGGGATGTAAATCTTTCGGCAGTAAGCTATAATCTATGCAACAACGCTTAATTATTTTGTCCAGGTAGTTGTTTTTAAGTCTACAATGTCAAGGCAGCCTGCCCAAAGTCTCTTAATAAAAATAAAAAAGCTCCCCAAAATAACCCTTCCCCGCTTCTCCTGAGGCGAAGAAATGCTGGTGTGGCCGAAGGTGAGCTTCCTTCGCGCCCCACAGATCCCTTGTCAACTGACTCCCTCTCCCCCAGAGACCGGCGTCTGCCGTGCTCCGCAAGAAGCGGCATTCCTTCGGGCCATCTAATTCGAAGGGGAAACGGTGGCGTCCCCCTGAACGCCGCCGCCGCCGCTTCCCCTTCCTAGGTCCTCCGTTGAGGACGGCCGCGCTCCGCCGCCTCTCGCTTCCTCGTTCCGGGCGGGGCGGAGGCGGGGCTAGCCGAGGCGGAGGTGAGGGGAGCGAAAAGGGCGGGGGGGGGGGTAGGCGAGCCCGGAGAAGAGACGCACGCGGCCTCCCTCCGCGCTGTTGGCCGTTGTGATGTCACAACGCGCCGAAGGGGTTCGGAGAGGCTCCGCCCTCGTTTTGTAGAGCGCTTCGCCCGTTCGCCGCCACCGCCGCCGCCTCCTTCTTCTTACCCCCCTCCCTTCACTCCTTTCCCTGACTCTGTCCCCGCCCCTCTTCCCACCCACCCCGCCTCCCCCGGCGCGAGGAAGCACACACGCGCGACAGCTGTGACGGAGCTCCTTGCCGGACCTCAAAGCAGGCCCCACGAAAACTGTGCCTCGGCTCCGGCGCCTCCTCCTGCCCCCCACCCCCGCCCCTCAACCCCGGGCGGCCCCTCAGCGGTGGCGACGCGTTCTCGTGCGCGGCCCTCTCGCGCGTCTCTCTACAACCCCCTCCCTCCCCCCCCCCCCGGCACGGGGCGGTGGCGGTTGAACCACCCGCCGAGGTGAATGAGCGGCGACGCCCCCGGAGGCCGCTGTTGGGGCGGGGGGGCTGCTTCCCCGCCAGCCGCAGCCCCCGTGGGGCGGGCCAGGCCCCCCGCACGAAGCAGCTCAGCTTAGAGGCTCTCTTTCTTCTTCTTCCCCCTCCCGCCCTACGGCAGCCCCGCGGGGAGCGGAGGGAGAGGGGCGCGCGGCAGGACAGCGGGTGCGTACCCCTCTCGGTATGTCCGCGGCCGCCCCGCAGGCACCACTTCGCGGCGGGGAGAAGAGCAGCGGCGGCGGGGCCCGGCTGCCCGAAGAGAACCATCAGGAGCAGCTCCTGTTTCCTTCCGGCCAAGTGACCGAAGCCCCCCGGGAAAGCGGCTCCGGTGAGGGGCTGCAGCAGCAGCAACAAGAGGGCGGCGGCGACGACGACGAGGAAGAGGATAGTAGCAACGGCGACAAGTGCCAACCGGGGCAGCAGCAGCAGCAGCCGCCTCAGGCCGTCGAGGCCCCCCCGCCCAAGGATAACCCCTGGACCCGCTGGAAGCCTCCCCCCGTCTCCGGCGGCAGCTTATCCCCCTCCAGCGCCTCAGCCGGCAGCGAGCTCGCCCCGCAGGACTCGGGTAAGGAAAGGGTTGGGCGGACAGGGAGCTTGTGTTTTGACCTACTGCGGGGACGACCAGAGCCCCGCGTGGTGCTGCTGCTGCTGCTGCTGCTGCCTCCTTCTCAAGTTTCTTTAAAGCGTCCCCTCTCTCTTCCTCTCTCTCTCTTTCTCCACCCTCCCCCGCCCGCTTTCGGCGGCGACCCCGAATGACACAGGCTTCGCAGAAAGGCGTGTGCTTGCTTGCCTCCAGCCAGCCAGCCGGTGCCAGGGAGCTCTTTTCAGCCTTGCCTGCCCTCTCTCATGTTGCATATATGGTCAGATTAGGAAAATGAGCGTGAAGAGGTGTGGCTTCTTCTGCCTTGGAGTTCTTTTGTGAGGTGGACGGTGAGAGCGAAGCGGTTGGGAAAGCCAGAACTCAGTTGGCGGCGGTAGGGATGCCTAGAAGCGAAAGTGGCTACTTCTTATTTGGGGGACGGGGGGACGGGACGGGACTGAGAAGAGATCTAACTTGATAGACGTCGTGGTGGTGGTGGTGGGGAACTGTTGTAGTCCCACTATGCCCATGCAGAACTTTTCTGTGTTTTTGTCCTTCTTTATGCCTGTTGCTTGGTCTGCTTCGTGTCAGAATCCTGTTTGGATGCCACTTGTGTGCAGGGAATAGTTTGTTCCTGCTTGCATGTAAATCGTTGTGCATGTACCTCTGTTGTATGCATATACAGTGGTACCTGGGGTTACATAGGCTTCAGGTTACATACGCTTCAGGTTACAGACTTCACTAACCCAGAAATAGTACCTCAGGTTAAGAACTTTGCTTCAGGATGAGAACAGTAATCGTGTGGCGGCGGCGTGGCGGCAGCAGGAGGCCCCATTAGCTAAAGTGGTGCATCAGGTTAAGAACAGTTTCAGGTTAAGAACGGACCCCCAGAACGAATTAATTACTGTTACTTAACCCGAGGTACCACTGTATACTGCAGTTCTACATATTTGTGAACTTATATGTATGAGTGGTGCTGTTAAATAAGTTTGCAGTACTTCCAAACAAAAACTTAACGAGTTAACATATGAAATAGCCTCTACTCTTTCTTTGGTCACTGTGCATGTTTGTCAACACTTGGCATTACCTACAATAAAACTGAAAAGCGTGAGTTCTGTATAGAGTTTCCTTCATTTTTTCCTGAGGGTGCTATTCATAGTTTAGGGTTCCTGTGATAGTATTCTGGTGGAAGCAAATTCAAGGCTTTTAAACATACATTTGCGCTAACAGGTCTTTAGAGAATGACCACTGTAGTAATTAGTCATGCTTTGCTTTGTAGTTCATGCTTGATGGTCTTGCAAGAAACTTTAGCATGTGCTGTACTGTATATAATTTGTGGATCACAAATCACGGTATGCCACCGTGTAGCAGGAATTATCATGAAATGGTATTCAAATTCAGCAGCGGTAGTTGCAGCACTCTTTGAGATAATAGAAGGTATTATATTAGTGCTTTGGGACTTAGCTAGATTAAAGTGATATAACAGTACAATTTAAAACTTGGATAAAAGAATTAATTTAGTTGAATTCTTAAGTACTTGCTCCCTAATAAATGTGTTGAATATTCTAGCTTAAATATCTTACAAATAAAAATAGAGTTCTGCCATAAATAACTAGTTTTTGTATTTTACATTTAAAAAATAGGGAAAGTAAAAGGTTAATTAGCATTAATTAGTATTTTGTTAAATAGATAATTTGTTTTGCATATCTTCAACTTTCATGTAATAAGTTCATTAAGTGATGCTATGCAAACTGATTCTACACAGTAAGACTGCAATTTACACACATTTAACTTGTGCGCATTCAGCTTTACGTGCTTGCCTAGACAGATGCATAGTTGCTCAGGCACTACCTTGTAGTGCGAGAATAGAATATTAAAGCAGCCATGTTCAAAAAAGATGATGTCAGATATGATATGCCAGACTAGTTCTTGCTCTAAATGTGGTGGTGGTTAGTAATATATTATGCTACTCAACCCTTTCTCCAAAATGCTTAGAGTGGTGTTTATGACACTCCCCATTGGTCTCCAGATTGGGGGTTGCCTGAGGCCACCATGGTGCACATGGTTGTCGCATTGGATACCCCAATAGTACAGTACTATTCTTCTGCAATACAATGAGCATAATCTCTACCACACAGTTGTTGTTTTGATCATATTATTTCTCTTTTGGATAAGTTACTAGCTCACATTCAAAATGTGTTACATATTAAAAAGGAATATATTACAAAGTAGTACTGTGTACAATATATCTCTTCCATCTTAAATTCCTACAGTGTACAGCATGGGGTCACAATCTTGTTAGGCTCGTGTACATTTGCACTCCTCCCTAGGTTGTTAAACATATACTGTATAGGGAAAGCATCCCCTCCATCTATATTTGATGCTTTTTGATAGGACTAGCAGTTATAATTTTTTCCTCATAACCGCCAGAAAGATGCAAACAATTAATTGACATTAGATTAATTTTAATTATTTAGCTAGCCTGCTAAGCACTAGATAGTTTTTTGTTTTAATTAGATTTTGTTTATAGTATACTATTTACATTCTTAATGTTTGATTGACTTCTTGAAACTAGACTGTTTTGTTCCTTTATTTTCACTTTGGCTCTAGAATCTTCACTCATATGTCTGTTCAGAATATGATACGGAGAAGACTTGAAGCATTAATCATGTATTAGTCAGTAATATTTGCCCTAATATTTGCCCTAATAATACAAAGTTTATAAGAGTATTTATTTTTCCAGAATTTTGTATTCCACATGTGACAGCTGTGGGGGCATAGACTGAAATATTTAAATAGTTGTTACATATATCTATAAGCATAATGGTAAAGTAAGAATTTGTCTGACATAGATTGGATATTTGTTCTGAAATCTACAAGTATGAACTGTGCCAGTTTCAGCTCATAAAGCACTAACTGGAGTATAAAAATACATTTTAATCTATTTTTTTCTAACAAAATCTCTTTTTAAAGCTATCATAAACTGAGATTGCCATGCATCTTTATTTTTGTAATATAGTCTACGTGTGAGTTTCAGTCATCAAGTTTTATATAGGCTCCTATCTAGAAGTCCCATTGATAGGATATCAATGGGACGTACGGTTTCTGATAAGTATGGATAGGATTGCAGCCATAAGAGTCTAACTTATGTGAGTAATTTGATGTGAGTAATCTTAGCATTTTACAAGGCTAATAGCAGTATTCAAATTAGAATTAACACTTAAGCTAATTTGACAAGCTGAAAAAATGATTTTTTCAAGTTCGATCATTATCCAGTTAATTTAAAAAATCATTTGTACTTTGTGGAATTTCTATGTTTCAACTTGTACTTAAACAATTTGAGAGCAGAAATTAATCATACTATTTAAATTATGTGATGAACTTGGTTTTGTTACTCTTTCTAGATTACTTGAATCACATCTTTCTTTTATTCATTTTAGAATTGCAGAGTTCTGCTAAAGTCATAAAGGCTGGAAAATCGAAAGTAAAGAAATCGAGTAAGGTATGTTTTAGGAGTCCAAATCAGTTTTATAGTCTATTAATTTAGGCTTAAATTATTATATTAATTAGTAATTAATACTTTTATAATTAATTATTAAATTCATTTATTGTAATATACTGATAATCCTGTATTTGCATATTTATTTAATTTATCATAAGGACTTCTTTGATACCACATACTTCATATAAATAGGTTTTTTAATATGGAAAAGACTATAAAACCTGAACCATAGGCTTCACCCTTATTACTGAACTGTTGAAGCAAAGCTTTTAAGTTATCATCTTATTCAAGTTCAGGAAGAAAGATAGTGCTGGTGGACTTACATGAAATTCTTTTCTCATATACAAATGTTGCTTTTAAAATCTGTTTGTATATGCTTTTTAGAAAGTGGGAGTACCCAGAAATTAAACTGTTGAAAGTTGTTTTAAAGCAAAACAAAAAAGTTTATTAAAGATTTATTGATACCTTTTTCAGGATAGCCGTTATCTTACAATATGGTCTGTCCTTCGAACTGAACAAGGGATAAGTTACTGTAGGAGCATCTTGAGAAGTAAACAGCTAGTCTGAGTGTTGTATGTAATTTTCCAAAGTGATGGAAAAGTTTTCCTTACTAAGAGTTATATTGGAAATAGAGGATAAGCAGAAAAGCTATGTGTCAGGACTGGTCGTTGTCCTCTTCAGATCACCACACAAACGCTTCTTGTTCTTTTATAACTTTTTATTGTGTATTAACAAAATAATCTTATAAACAGTTCTTAACTATTATTCCTCAGAGTCACTTATTTCAGATACCTTCTGAGCTCTGCTTCTCCATGACCAGCCACCCTCAAAATGGCGAAGGCGCCCTTCCCTTTGTTTTCCCGCTCTTTTTTCTAACCTCCTGGCTAGAGCTGGCCTGTATCTCCCCTCCTCCGAATCTGAGCTAGAACTTAACCCTTGCCTTTCCTGTGAACAGCCGGTCCCTCCCTGTTGTTCCTCTTGCTCCCTTCTATTAGATTCACTGCTCTCCCTCCCCCCCTTGGGGAATGCTTTCTCCCTCTGATAAACTGGAAACTTCTAACTCTTCCCTGACACTATGTTTAATTGCTGATTTTAGCTTCAAGTAATTCACATCCATTGACTGTTAATTATTATGCAAATTATTTCATAACATTAATATCATATTTGAAAAGACTGCCTTCATAAAAATGACTGAGCACATTTTTTAAAAAAAGGTGTATGGATTCAGAATTGCTGACCACGTTGCTGAGTTTGGTTTTTCACTGTCCTATTTTGCGAGTCAGGATGTGTAAGAATCAATAATTTTTGTTTTGTGATCTCATTTCTGTAAAACTGTAGCATAAATCCAGTGTCAAATGGGGGTGCTTGCTTGCTATTGAACAAATGTTTCTGGACGGTAAGATGTGTTCATTACCATTGCAGGCAAATGACTTCAGTGATGCATCAAACTGGCCAACACCAAGTGAAATTGCCAACTCTGAAGTAAGTACACTTATAACGTTTCTTTGTAACAACAACAATGAAGTTTGCCACTTCTATGTGGTGGGTATCTCTTGCCTCATAGAAATAACAAACGATATTGCACTCTTCTCACAATTCTGTCTACCAGCCAATTTTCTCCTGTCTCTGCACTATCATCATACTGCTCTTTTCATAATAGTATTGTAACTTTCCCAGCTTCAGAATGCTAGACAAGCTTAGGTTCAATGTGGTAGCAGAGGAGCTAGCAGCTATAAGGTACAAGAGATGGAGATGAGCAAGCTGGTTAACTGTTAGTTTAATTGCTTGTATGACTAGTAATTTAATTGCTTGTATGACTAGGCAAGAAAAGCCATCTAGAAATACGTAAATGTTATCATTGCAATTTAAACTTGTTAAGGAAATAAATTTGCCTTCATTGTAAAATGAAGGCAAATTTATTTCCTTAACAAGTTTAAATTGCAATGATAACATTTACGTATTTCTAGATGGCTTTTCTTTTCTGTACCACATAAAAATAATTTCATATTGTGACCTTTGCAAAACACAATATCAGTGAGGTATGATAGAACTAATTGATGCACGTAATGTTCAGTTCATTCTTAACACATAATTGAGTTGTACAAGGCTGACCTGTTAATTAATGACAATTGTTTTGCATACAGATGACCTAGGTATCTGTTTGGGAGATCAGCAAGGGCAGCTAGACAATTTACAGAAAAATATTTTTGGGCAGCCAGCCCCCTTTCCCTCTCCTAAAGCATTCTGTAAATAGCTCACGGTTCTCTACCCTATGCCACAGGACTCTTGTAGCTGATTTTTCTTAAGTATGATTTAGAAATCTGATTGAATGTGGAATGATATGGTACTTAAGCTGAAAAGGATCAGTCCCAATCTTCTGTCTGTGGCAGCAAAACCCATTGCAACCTATGTTCTTTAAAGCTATAACTAGAGTCCCAATCATGGTTTATTTGTGAGAAACAAACCATAAGCACTGGTTTGAATGTTACACTAATGCAAGGCTTGTGGTTTGTTGCTTCATCTGAACAAACGAAGGAATGAAATGGGAGCATTTAGGTTTAAACAGCCACATGGTTTAAACAAATCACACAACTTGGATTAGTGTTATGTGAAACCCTGTTTGAAGGAGAAAGAACATGGACCACCATCACTGCTGCAAGAAAGCTGCTCCACTCAGAGAGTTCTGCCTGAGTGGTTCGTAGTAACAAATGATCTGTCTCTTTGTAACTCACCCACATGAAAGTGTTTTGCAGAGAAAGCTACCATTGCTCAGCTGAGGTAGATACCAAAAGTGGTTTTGAGGAAGCAGCTATTGCTTATTTCGGCAAGTTGCCTCCAAAGAAAGAAAGAGAAGGAAACAGAGAAAAGGAAGGATTGCAGAGGAGCCTGCTAGTAGAAGCATGTGGGGAAGAGAAAGGGAGCCATAGTAATAATAATGGATTTAACTGTTGTCACATTAGCTGGAAATCTAACTCTACTAATAATGGAATACAGACATATCTTGGTCCTCGAATGCCTTGGTACTCGTACATTTTGGCTCCCGAACGCCAAAACCCTGGAAGTAAGTGTTCTGGTTTTCAAACTTTTTTGGAAGCCGAACATCTGACGCGGCTTCTGCTTGAGTGCAGGAAGCTCCTGCAGCCAATCGGAAGCCGCACCTTGGTTTTCAAACGGTTTTGGGAGCTGAACGGACTTCGGAATGGATTACATTCAAGAACCAAGGTATGACTATTCAGTTATACATATACATATATGAAAAGGCAGTTTTTAGTACTTTTTTGTAGCAATAAACAAATTTAACAATGAACTGAGGTAGATTGAATCAAGTTAATAATATACAACAATACTGACAACACTTAGCAAAAAAAAACCCTTCTTGGGTCTGTCCATATGTTCTTGCGCTCACTGATGCGATTGGGGAAGGCAATAGAGGAATTGTGGTAGCAAGCCGCCCCTCACATGTTAATTGTGCCATGTACCTTGCTTTTGCAGGTTCCTTGGAAACATGTACAGAGCCTTCATACATATAGCTGGCTCTGAATACGTGTGAATAGGGACTGTACAGATAGTATAGCCAACACATATAAGTTGAGGCTGGGAGTTTCTGCTGGCAGTTTCTGCTGTGATTCTGTTCCTTTGCATATGTCAGCTGAACACTTGATAAAAGGACAGTAGGAAAGAGTGGTTTGCTTTTTTATCATGGAGCTCAAATTTGGCAGCAGGGATGGGATGGCTGCAAATATTTGAATGGGGTTAGGATTCAGCTCTAATTTTTTCCCTGTTGTGTTACAGTGTAAAAATATAAGCAATCAGAATAAAAAAACTCCAATCAAAAAAGAGAAAGAAGAGAAGAATGAAAGGAAGAATAATAGCAAAATCAAAGAAAACCTGGAAATAAATCCGGATATTCCTGGCGAAAATGTTAGTGAAGATGAGGCTCAGATTAACAATCAAAAGAAAAAAGGTTGGTCTGGGCTAGCATATTAATAACGTTTTCTATAACCTGAGGTATCATGACTAAATTTAAAAAATGGAGCTGTAATGTGTGTTTGTGCTCTTGATTTCTGACATTCTTGTTAATTTTATTGACAGTTTTTTAAAGGTTGAAACTCTAATTTACGACTGTTTCAATAGTGCTTGTTCTATTGTGCTTGCACAAATCTTGCTGTATTAATATTTTAGGATTTAGCAAATCTTCATTTTCCTAAAATTTTAAATTTGGGCATTAATTTATATATAAAGAAATTTCATTAGCTTTTTCTGTGTGAAGATCAGTAACCTCATACTGCAAATGCATGCAGATGAATCCTTAGATAAAATTTTAATCTAAGGCAGAACACAAAAATCATATTCAGAAACAAGGAGCTGCTTCAGCACTTTGAGTGCATCACGTCAGTTTTGTCATGAGAGGGAATTCCTTAATCCTCTGACAGTGTCTTGTTTCCCCACAAGTCACTTAATGAGGTGGCAACCAACCTAATATCCTGCTTATATTACAGGAAAAACTCACATAGGCTAGAAGTATGAAATCAGATATTCTTCATCTGGGATTAGCATAGGTTAGGTTTCAAAAGAGTTGGAAGGTAGAAAGGTGCAAAAGAGTGAGCAGTTATAATATTAATATTACTACTATGACATAAAACTGTTCACTGTCTCCAAAGCACATTAAACTGAATAGTATTTTCAGTGGTATCCCCACAGAACTTATGAATGTGGTAAAAGGCACAGTGGGATTACATTTCTGAAGAACTGCTTTAAAAGAGTGTCCTTTTAAGACCTTACTGAGGCCCACCAGTGATATCTTACTATTCCTGCAGCAGTCTGATTTTCTGGGGTTTGCATACATGCAAGGAGTCCCCACAGATATAACAGCTCCCTACCTTTCATCTTATGGAAGGTGCCAAAAATGAAAGGAGGCAGAGCTAGCATGCCTTCCTCCACAGCTCCCCCTCATCTAATAACTTGCATATGTGCATATTTATTCAAAATGTGGGAACTAATACTTAGTAAATGTAATATATTTTATAGGGTTAATGGGTATTCTTAACAGCATTCTAGTTCTATATTTTACACTTGAAGGTAACAAGCACAAATGGGTGCCACTTCATTTAGATGATATGAAGCCAGAAGGCCAAGATAGACCAGGATCTCGGAACAGTTCAAGATCTCAGCCAGAAACAGGCAAGCTTGTGCCACACAACAACAGACGCAATGAGACAAGAACTAGTATGTCATCTAAATTTTATTGATTTGTGTTTGCATTTAATTGACAACTACTTCTTGTTAAAACTTCTGTAACTTCTGTAACTTTAGGAATCTACATTTCTTCTCCTATTTCTAAAAGGCTGGCGACGGGATAGAGAAAAACGAGATGATCATGATGAAGTCTCTAGTGTGAGAAGTGAAGGTGGCAGTATTCGAGGGTTTTACAGAGGAAGAGGAAGGGGCAGAGGAAGAGGAAGAGGACGTGGAAGAGGAAACCCTCGAAGTATGAAAATAGAAATTATTATGAAAAAATTATATTGACAGTTCGAATAGTGTCTGTTCCCATAGGAATTAGTTAATTGCCATTTATGTCCTTCCATTGTGAAAATTGTCCTTCTGTTCCCTATTATCCTGTCATTAAGCAATTATTGCTTCCTGAGAGAGAGAGTCCTCTTATTCCATGATTATAATGTTAGTGAGAAACTTTGCCATGTGTTTTCTGAAAGTAAAAGTATATTTCTACCCCATGACTCCTGTATATGTATTGTAAAATGCTTTGAAGTTTTTTCTACAATCAGGTGATATGTAAATTTTATGAAATAAATAAAATAAAATGTTGACTCTCTCAAATAATTCTAAACATTGACTAGGTCGAGGCTTTATATTTTCACATACTTAGACTCATAATTTGTAATTCAATTTTCTTCCTTCCTGAAGTGAACCATGACTATTCATATGGCTATTGGGAACAATATAATGAGAGAACTGACCAGCCATTTCAGCCAGATCTTAACACTAGTATGATGTATTACTATGATGATGGAACAGGAATGCAGGTGTATTCTGTTGATGAAACACTACTAAAAGAATACATTAAACGCCAAATGTAAGTAGACTGCTCTGTGTTTATGGTGCAGGTGGTTGGGGAAGCAAGATGTTAAACTTTGTGCCTGTACAAGACTACATTCCTTTAATAAGCCAGTGGTTTCAAATAAACCTGTGGCATAGGTTGGAAATGCTACAAACATTTCACTGTGAACTTTTAATAAGAACAGGTCTTGAGTTTTTTGGTGTTATAAACCACATGCAATCCATGTGTATACATCCTTACTCCATTCTGTCTGTGGCATTTTGTTGACATTGTAACTTAGGTATGCTTGTGTTATGGTATAGTAAGACTGTGTACATATGAAAACTTTGTAATTATGTTGGCTTGGAAGTAATTTTGCCATTCTTAATTTTTCTTTCCAAAGTACTTATTGGTGCTTTGCCATTGTGTTTGAATTGAAGAAAACATATTGTATATAGCTATACAGTGGTGCCTCGCAAGACAAAATTAATTCGTTCCGCGAGTTTTGTCGTCTTGCGATTTTTTTTGTCTTGCGAAGCACAGTGTCGGGAAAGTTTTGGAAAAGCTTCAAAAATCACCAAAGTCTTTAAAAACCTCAAAAAAGGCTACCACACCGCGTTCTATGAGTTGCTCCTCGAAGTCAAGTCGCAACTGTATTAACGGTGTTAAGAAAATGAAACAAACTTGCAAGACGTTCCGTCTTGCGAAGCAAGCCCATAGCGAAAATCGTCTTGCGAAGCAGCTCAAAAAACAAAAAACCCTTTCGTCTAGCGAGTTTTTTGTCTTGCGAGGCATTTGTCTTGCGAGGTACCACTGTAAATGGAAATATTCCCTTGTATTTCAATGGGTTGTGAAAAGCCATTTGGAAGGCTGGTTATCCAAATCCCTGGAGAAAATTATTGCTGTTGTTATTATTAATTAAATTTCTGTACTGCTCTTCATTCAAGGATCACAGTGTGGTTCAGAATTTTCAGATTGTAGTGAAGGGTTTATGAATTAGCATATTGCACACTCTGTTTTGCCATAGTTTAATGGTGGTTTTTGTTGCTCTTGCATTTTATGTGGCTTGTTGCTTGCTTGTTTTGTTACAGTTAATGCAAATGAAAAAAAGAAAAACAAATTTGGTTTATTGGCAGATAGACTCTGGCTTGAGGCTGCCAGTTTCAATTTTTTCCAGTTATTGTTGCTGGGCCTTGTGAAACCTGACAGTTCCATGTCACATTAATCAGCTGGCTTCCACTGCCCTCAGACACTTCTTCTTTGTGGTCAGATTTCTGAGCTTGCAGTATAGAATCCAGATTCTCTAAGGTAGAACATGATGATGTCCCCCTCTGATGCTCAGCACATTGTTAAACCAAATATTGGTCATATCTTCAAGTTCTGCTATTAATAGTAGGATTTAGTCAGATATCCCAGTAGTGGTTAAATTATTCACAAAGTCTCCTTAATTAGTTTGGAAATTTCCAAGCCTTATCATGGAATGTGCTACTGTTCTTGGAATGTTAGAGGCTTTTTTCACCTTCCAAATAGTTTGGAAGGTCTTACAATTTTCTAATTGGGTGTCTGTCCAGCCTTTTGTTGCAATAGGTCTTTATTTTCTAAATTATTAAGTACTAGAATTTCTGGACTGTGTTTACAGATTCTGCAGCCATATAGAAATAAAGCGTTAAGACAAGTTAGAATATGCATAATTTAATTTCTAGTATTGCTAATTATAGTTTTAATTAAATAGCTGGCCTTGAAACCCTCCTCCCCCAAGCGTTCTATTTGTTCTTAATTGGGATAACCTTATAAGAGAGAAAATTAATATAAAGTGCATACATTGTTGTTGTTGTTTTTTAAACACAACCATAATTTGCATTTGTTGCCATAAACTGCACTTCCTTATGTTCTAAGAGAAACCTTATCGGAATCATTTTGAAAATTAATATAATTGGTTCCATTCTGAAAATAGAATTCAGATAAAATGAGTTTCTACCTTATCAGAGTTCTGAATGTTGTGTAGAATTCAGAGCTAAAATGATTATGTATTTTTGTCATCAATATTGATTTGTTGCCTTCCATGTTTTGGAGGAAAAGGCCTTTCTTAAACCAAAACCTTGAGGGTATGTCTTCTTCCTTTTTCGTAGTTTGGTAAAGTTATACTACCTATGTAATGTTGTGGCATATTTCTGGCTTCAGTGGGATTGAGGGATATTATTTCAGATAATCAGTAGTTGGTTTCAATAAGCTATAAGTCTGTCTTGGGCTAATTTTCTTGGGGGCTCCATATGTATATTTTGACACTTTTCGAACCATATGCACTCTTTGCTCTTGAGAGCATCTCCGGAGCCTTTATTATTAACTCACTTATGGAAATGTATTTTCCCCTTCTTTCTGTGTTCCATATTTTGGACACTTTCCAATATTTCCCAGAGATAAGAATCTTGGGTGTCTTACAAGCTCATTCAAACACTTTTGAGAGCATTTTCTAGGTGACCACAGTGAATATAAACCAAGAATTTTTACTTCCCAGATGGACTTTAAATTGTCACTTTGTAGAAAAATGTATGCTGCTTTAAGGCAGAGAATATGCTAGTATCTTTAGGCAGTTTCTTTTTACTTGTGTATCTTTCCACCTTACTGAAGTACATGCATATCTTCCTGATCTTTTCAAAGCTCATGCCCTTCTTTTATCCACATCTTTTAATGTTTGTGTTTTATCGTATAGGATATGCATCCCATGGTGGTTTTATGATAGTATAAATTAATCATTCTAAGAATTGCATTTTTTGTAACTTAAACTTTTTTCCCTTTCCATGATAATGCCATTATAACTATTACTATTACTCTATGAACATAATAGAAATTTAAAATACAGTAATAACATTATTATTAATTATTTATTTATACACCGCCCATCTGGCTGAGTTTCCCCAGCTAATGCTACTTTGAGGTAGTTGAAGGAGGGGCCACTAATAAACTTAACTCCATTGCATGACTATAATAGTGACTACTACTGTACGCTCATAAGAGCCTTCTGCATCAAGCCAATGGTCCCATCTAATCCAGCATCCTGTTTTCACAGTGCCCCATCAGGTGCTTGTGAGAAACACACAAGCAGGACCCAAGCAAAAGAGCCCCCTCCCTCCCTCCCATTTCCAGCCACTAGTGTTCTGAAGCAAACTGCCTCCATGGTCTCCAACCGTGGAAGCAGAGTGTAGCCCTTGAAAGCTATTGATAGTCTTATTCTCGAATACTGAAATTACACATTATTGATGCAAGGTAGAGAGAAAATAAAATGACTATTTTTTTAACTTGGGCATTTACTTCTGCACTGTATTGAAAACAGGGATAAGATCAGCATGTGTACCCAACTGTGCAGTTTGTTTTGTTGCAAATAATTATACATTCTAGTCATATGATAATGCTTATCTTAGTAGGTGTGTGTACTCTAATTGTATATTACACCTGTTCTGTATTTCTATACAATAGCTGTTCTTTGTTGGGGTGAAAAAGCATTCTACTGCCTGATTGAAGACAGGAAACAGTTAATTGTTTGGCTTCTGCTGAGTAGACTCCTGTTCATATCCTGGTTTTCCTGAGAAGGAAAATCTCTTCTATGCCCTTTCTTCACTTTAACTGGCTCTTCATTCTAACCTGTTAATTTTTCAGCGCCTTTTCTTTTTCTTATCTTTGTCTTATGGAAGAAACCTGCCTCCATCTGCCTGCCTTTCTTGTTTTCTCTACTCTTGTGGCTCTTCCTGAGAACTCCTGCAAAGACAAAAATCGAACATGCTTCACATGGAGAAAGAAAAACAACCCAAGTCTGTCAAACCTGTGATTATGATGCTGCCAAATCTGGGTTTGATGTAGACTGCTTTGATCTAGAGACCTACCAGCTTTTGAAATTATAAGGCTTCCTTTGCTTCTAGTTTCATAACAGAACATTCTAGGGTGAACTCAGAAGCAAAAAGTGACCAGAAAACATGAATGACGCTGGTTTGTCAGACCTGATCGCAAAAACAAAGGTGTGGAGCAGGTGGGAATTTGTCCTACATGGAAGCCCAATAGCCATCTAATTATTGAAGACTGTCAAACTGAAATGGAGGGCATTTCTGAAGCCCAAAATAGACCCTGCTCCTCTAAGCCAAAATTGCCCAGGCAGGGAGAAGTTCTTCCTTTGATGGATGAAGCAAATAATAACGTCCCAAAGCTGTGCATTTTATCTGATTTTGCCACAGTCAAAACGGGCTTCTGAAACGAAGCATTCCTCAGAGGAATTGCCCTAATACATTCCTTCTCCTCATCTCACAGGCAGTTCTCAACTCTGCAGATACTTTTCAAAGGATGGCACAAGCCAGCTTGAGGACTTCTCAGAAGAGTCCCTCTTGGTAGCTCTTGCTAAAGTAGATGGAGATGTGTGTACGTTTTTCAACTTCCAAACTAGCTACCAGAGAGGGTCCCCTCTCTGTAACCCATACAAGACAATTTAGAATACATGTGTGTCTGCAAAAGCTGTCCTCGACCAGAGATTCTGGCAACAAGTTTTCTATCTATAACACGAGCCCATTGTCTTTCTCCCAAGATATAGTTTCACTTTGGCAAATCGAGTTTTGTTGGTTGTTTTTTCATCCCAACTGTGAATGTACTATTGGCTACTTACTGTGAAAGGTGCAGTCATACCTCGGGTTACAGACACTTCAGGTTGTGCGTTTTCGGGTTGCGCACCACACCAAACCTGGAAGTACTGGAATGGGTTACTTCCGGTTTCGGCACTCGTGCATGCACAGAAGCACTAAATTGCGCTTTGCGCATGCACACAAGTGCTGACCTGTGCATGCGTAGACGCGGCGCTGTGGGTTGTGAATGCTGCAGGTTGCGAACGTGTCTCCCGCACAGATCACGTTCGCAACCCGAGCATCCACTGTACTTCTTTCTAGTTGGGGGTTGAAAAGCAACCAAGCTTCAGTGGGCCCAATGCATACCAGGCTTCATGCTCTCCTGTCCTGATGCATCTCTCAGTCCTCAGTCAAAGCACTCAGTTTTTGCTATCTTCTTCCTGAGATTCCCTCTTCGCTCCTTTTCCGCTGTTTCTCCCCACAGAAGCAACCCTCTTTGCTTTCCTCTTTAGGCCTTTAGCAGACAGCAGTGAAACTAACAAGTTTACTCAGCAAAGCTGGGGAAGGAGCTAACAGTCTGTCTTCACTCAGGCTAGCATAAACCATTCCTATGACTCCTTTTACTGGTCATGGTAAGTGAAGCAATGGTACTTTATTTTGATAAGTTATTTTATTATTATTTAATATTCACAGTGGTATAGGACAATATCTTCAAAAAGTTAGTAAAATGAGAAAACAAATATTTACTACAAAGAGATAAGTAAGCCAGCTTTGATAAAGGGTGATGGTAGTTTAGAAGAACGTAGTGGGCTAACCAAACATTCTTCTTTATTTAGTGAGTATTATTTCAGTGTAGAAAACTTGGAAAGAGACTTCTTCTTGAGGAGAAAGATGGACCAACAAGGATTCTTGCCTATTTCTTTGATTGCCAGTTTCCATCGTGTGCAGGCTCTTACTACAAATGTTAGTCTAATATTAGAGGTAAGCCAATTTCAGTTTTTAGTCCCTACTGTAATATAAATCTTTTTTTGGGGGGGGAGGAATCTTTTTTGGAAACCTGAATTAGAAACTTCAACAAAGCTTGGTTCAATTTTTTTGTCTAGCCTAAAGCTACTTAATGCTTCAAAATCCAGTTTTTATAAAATTGTACATTTGAATTCAAAAAATACCAAAGCAATACATGTCTAATATGCAAGCTGATCAATATAAAATGAATTTCAGCATATTTTGGTTATTTCACTTGCCATTGAGGGCTGTTAAATGTAGAACTTTAAGAAAACAAATGTGGGAATTCTAAATTACTTTTCCACAGAAAGGTGAAAAATACGTTCTCCTTTAAAAAAACACAAACAACCAGTAATACATCTTAGTAAAGCAGAATACGTTAATGGCTCCTTACCAGCAAGAAGAGGTACATTGGTCCTTCTTGGTATCAATCCTACATTGTCAGGAATAATTGAAACAATTATGAAATTCATTCTGAAAGAAATAGGTTAGAACATACCCATTGGAACTATAAAAAATAAGTCAAGATGTGGTAGCACTTTTGGGGTGGACTTTCTGTTTCTAAATGGAAGTGTATGATCTCTCAGACTCTTGCAAGATTTAGGAAACAAGCAATCTCTGCTCTTGGATATCCCTTTGATACAAAGAAAAAATAGATAATCAGAAAGGCATTGTTGGCTTCATGATGAAATGTGAATCCTATTGATAAGCTAAGTATGTTTTCTCTGTAGAAAAGGTAGAATATATATGAAACAGCCATTTGAAACAAAAAAAGTGTTACACAACATTACAATTTATTTGTATTTATGTATTTGTGTCATCTAGGCTTTAAAGGACAGTACAGAAGTAGAAATAGTGGATCAGAAGATGAGGAAAAGAGTAGAACCAGAGAAATGGCCAATTCCAGGACCCTCTCCACGCAGACCTCCACAAACAGACTTTTCTCAGCTTATTAACTGTCCAGAATTTATACCAGGCAAAGTTTTTGGTTCACATACTGGTAAGGTATTTTTATTTCTTTTTCCACCTAACTTTGAAAAACATGTGAACTTCTGTCGACTGAGGACATGCACAGAACTCCCTTTCTTGTGCAGTAGGCCACCCCCATTCTACTGTCCCACAGTACTGCTTGAAGTTTGATCTTAATCCAAGGAAGCACTAAGTTGAGGGTTCTTTAGGTGAAAACATATTTCCTATCTTGGACAATGAACAGCCTGACTTCTATAGCAGTTGCCTTCCTTTTGATGACACTTGAATATGCAGGTAGATTGGCTAAGGTGGCAATAACTGCACTAGAATAGATCCTTCATGAGATTTCCTTTCCAGCACCAGCTGCTGGGCTATCCCAGGGCCTGGACTGCTTTGTCTCCCCGGATAACTACCAATACACTTGTCTGTTGCTGCTTTTTGTTTCCACTCTTTCTACCTGTTTTTCAAGTTGCCTGCCACCTAGTAGACCTTCTCTTGCCATGTAGTTCAATTAATAGTTGTAGTTATCTCCCCAAACTGGGAATGATTTCCTCTCTGGTCAGTGATATAAGTTTTGTTGGCCTTGATATCTGAGTCAGAGGAGGAATCAACTCTTTCATTTTTCTTATTACTGTCCTACCAGCTAAACAGGAGGGGAACATGACAGTAGATCAGGGAATGATTCAAAGCTCCAGTTCTACACTTGTCAGCTACACCTTACATTTTAAAATATTCTGTAGACTTATTTGTCTTAAAACACATATCAATAAGGACATGAATGGAAAAGTAGGTCAACTTCATGAAAGAAAAATAGTAAGTCAAACAATAGTAAACAATAGCCTGATCTGTTCTAAATACAGAAATAATTTTCAATCTTAGAATCTGCACCAAGTTCTCCAAGAATGGGAAGTCTAACTACTAAGAAAAGCACAGAAACAAGTAACCTTCAAACAATGTCTAAAGGATTATCTACAAGCTTGCCAGATCTGGACTCTGAACCTTGGATAGAAGTTAAAAAAAGACATCGTCCATCCCCAGCAAAGCCAAAGGTATTGTAAGATGTTCTAAGTTACGTGTCTTCCAGATACTGTAAAAAGTATTTCAGGATAGTTCTGTACCTGGAATGCTAGATAAATAAGGCACATTCAAATGAATTTAGAATTGGTGATAAAATGAGATTACAGTGGTACCTTGGCTTAAATTCCTTCCGGAAAATGTGGATTTAGACATGGGATGTAATGTACCATGACCCTAGACCAGGCATCCCCAATCTTCGGCCCTCCAGATGTTTTGGACTACAATTTCCATCATCCCTGACCGCTGGTCCTGCTAGCTAGGGATCATGGGAGTTGTAGGCCAAAACATCTGGAGGGCCACAGGTTGGGGGTGCCTGACCTAGACACATGTCGAAGTACAGCCTTCAGGCCATCATAACTTTAGCAAATATACTGTATTCTTTTAGTGATTTTGGTCTCAAGCACGAATTGTCTCTGTCTGTTAATTATTCATTTTATTCACCTTTACATACTGTTTTCCAAAGTGCCTCACAGTATTTTCTTTTTTAAAAAATAGACATAAGCTTTGTCCTTGAGCTTAAATGTGAATAGGCAAGATGCATATGGAAGGGGAAAAAGGTAGAGGAGGGAGATCAGCTTGACAATGCCACAATTACATGCTGAGTTGTATATAGGGACTTGTATCCATCTGTGCCCATGTTGATATTTTTTTTGCTGATTCTTTTACTCGAATTGAAATGGGTTTACTTTCCAGTGGCCTATGGTTCACTCACTGCAGCAGGGGCTAGTGACCTTTCCCTTATTTCCGCATTGCTAAAGTAATGGGAACAAGAGCTGCACTTTCAGACAGGGAAGGGTAGACAAGCTCTGCACAGTTGCTTCTGCTGGCACTAGACTGGTCTTCACCTTGCTATTGCGTTTTTCTTAGGAGGGAGGTACTTAAAGCTACATGGATCCATCATTGGTACAGTGGTACCTCGGGTTACATATGCTTCAGGTTACACACGCTTCAGGTTACAGACTCCGCTAACCCAGAAATAGTACCTCAGGTTAAAAACTTTGCTTCAGGATGAGAACAGAAATCATGCGAGGTGGCGGGGCGGCAGCAGGAGGCCCCATTAGCTAAAGTGGTACCTCAGGTTAAGAACAGTTTCAGGTTAAGAACAGACCTCCGGAACGAATTAAGTTCTTAACCAGAGGTACCACTGTACATGTGCTTACATTATACCCCACATCTGTGGAAAGCAGCCACAGGTGACATGCTACTGAATTTGTTTTGGGAAAAGAAAAATATGTAAAGCATGCCAGCCACAATCAAAACATGCCAGCCACAATCAGCGTATTGAAATCAGGAGGCTTAAGCATGTTTGGCTCTCTGTTGAATTGGGGCCAGTGTTAGAACTCTGTTACACTATAGAACTATTTTTTGAATTGAGTTGTAAGCCTAAGAAAAAAGGTGTGGTTTTAAGAAGTGTAAATGATAATTTGTTAATCCTTCTGTTCCATTCTGTATGACTTGGGATGCTGAAACTGCTATTCCTGCAGTTAATTCCTCTGTTCATTTTATTTCCAGTTAGATACTTTCCCAATATTATTTCAAGAAGTGATAAATTAGCTTTGATTCACTGAAAGTGTGAAACACTTTTGCCTTTTCCAGGAATCTGTGCCTGCAATTGAGGAGATGTCAGGACAGCAGCAGCCACTGCCTTTAGAGGAACAAGAACAGGAAGAACTTGATTTTTTGTTTGATGAAGAGATGGAACAAATAGAAGGCCGAAAAAATACATTCACTGAGTGGTCAGATAGTGATTCAGATTATGAAATTGATGATCAGGATTTAAATAAGATTTTGATTGTAACACAAACGCCACCATATATGAGAAAACATCCTGGAGGAGATCGCACTGGCAACCATGTCTCACGAGCAAAAATTACATCAGAACTTGCCAAAGTTATTAATGATGGCTTATACTACTATGAACAAGATTTGTGGACAGAACAGAGTGAAAATGACTGCATTGCTTTGAAGGTAATTATGTTAATGAATGGTTAATAAATAGGTATTAAATGTTTATTGAATCAAATACATATGTCGTGGGCTCAGATTATCAGCAGTGGTAAATTAAGTAGAAATCCATATGCTAATAAAGTTTTGGTCTTTTTGTACTTGTGTTGGTAATACTGGAATTTAGACTTTAAATGAATGAACTCATTGTCAATTTTTGAGCTAGATCAATTTAAAAAAAATAAGTGACATGTTTGCAGAAGAACAAGATACATTTAAATTGAGAAACTAATGGTTTAGAAGTCATTTGTCTGGTCTGTCTAGGTTTTGTTGCTATCTTTTTCAGGTTCAGTGTTTAAAGCAGGTCTTTTCCTGCTTTAGGCACAGAATCTTGAGATCAAGGCATTTTGTTCTTAGATTTTAAAGTGAAATTACTGTGGGCTTGCGATATTACTCAGTGTGTGGAACATAGCAGGTTTTGTTTATCCAAAGATAAAGCCCACCATTGTTGGTATAGCCAGGATTTATGTCAGGGGGGACAAGCTTCATGTTACCGGGGGCGGAACCTAAATTATTTTTATTGATTTACTTGCTGGGGGGCAGCTGCTCCCCTTAGCTGTGCTCATGTCTACCATTGGCATATAATGCTATACACAACTGGAGATGTGAGAGATTAGGGTACAATTTCCTTTTTTCCTGCATATTAAAAAGATGGGACAGTTGGTTGAGCAGCATTCTTAATCATTCTTGCTATCAAAATCTTTCTGTTTGGCAACTTGTTTGATAAGGGTGATCACCTATTTCAGACATGGGATATGAACCTGGAAGGACTGGTTTTCTTTCATTTTAGTGTTTTACTGTCTTCATGAGCATGACACAGTTTCATTGCACCCTGCTTGCCAGTTGGAATAATTATTAAAATATTAGTAAATAATATGTGATTATTTAACAAATAGTTCATGTTGATATGGCTTGTTTCAGCTATTATCCTATAATTTAATGATACATTGTTACAGAAGCTTTTATCCCCACTTCAGCAAGAAGTTGAAAACTTTAAGAAGTTAAATCTCATCAGTAAAGAAGAATTTGACAATCTTACGCCTGAGCATGCAATTGATCCAAATCAGGAAGTTCCTCCGGGTCCTCCAAGATCTCAACAAGGTATATATTCATAATGTTGCAAAATTATAAGTTATCAAGATGGTAGTTGATATGGTGCAACCTGATTGAGAACTCCATGAGTCTTCACTATTCACATGGAGTTCCAGGTGCTTATAGTGGTTCCTGTTCAGCTTGGTTACAATGGACTTACTTTATACATACTGAGAGTATATGCAATGAATTTTTCTTACAAATAAAAAGGGGGGACTCTTAATTAAATATTGTTATACTAAGAAGTTAATAAAAGAAGATAACATTAAATTTAAAGAAACAGATAAACACAGAGCCAGGTAAAAGGCCTCGAAGAGCAACAGAAAGCAAGATGCCTAGTGTTCATCTGTTAATCTGCTGGTCTTTCTGTTTAGACTTAACTGAAGAGCTGGCTTGTAAATTGTTTGGCATCCAAGAAATACCTCCAACAACAATGGCTCGCTCACTGCCAACAGCTGTCCCTGAATCTCCTAGAGTCCACCCTACCAGAACACCCAAAACACCTCGTACACCAAGGCTACAAGATCCTAACAAAACACCAAGGTTCTATCCTGTGGTTAAAGAAGCAAGATCCATTGATGTTAAGGTAGCTAAATTATTTCTACATAAACTTTCAGATCATACTTACTGTTTCTTGTTGCCAGAGATCACAGGCTTTGTAACACTTTCAAAATTCCTGCTGCTCAAATATTGTAGTATAGGAAATAATAATTTTGGATTTGACCAAAACTGCTAAATCCATTGTGAAATAGTCACACTGTTAACTTCTTGTTTAAAGCTAGGCAGTTGGGTAGTCAAGCTCAACTTTATGACCTCACAATGCATATGATATACAATGTGAAACTTTATGAAGCTTGACTTTAATTAGGCTGTGATTCTTCAGAAAAGTGGCACCAGTCACATCAGGAAATTATAATGTTATATTTTATTATAGACACGGAGGAAAAGAAAAACACGGCATAGTACAAACCCTCCATTAGAATGTCATGTTGGCTGGGTAATGGATTCCAAGGATCACAGGCCAAGAACATCTTCTATAAGGTAGCAATATTTTTTAAGATTATAACTTAGTTTAATCTTCTGTGTTCATAGGATCATTGGAAAATTGCTTGATTACACAATATAACAAAGCAAGTAAGAGGAAGAGAATAATGAGAGGAATGAAATACTCTTAAAAGCTGCAAGGTTTGCACACATGAGCAGCAACTGTAGAGGGAAAGAGCAAGTGCTCACACCTATTATGTTGGGGAAATTGTTATTTATAGATGGTGGGTATCCTTCAAAATAAACACAGCCCCTAACTACAAGATATGGTCAGGTGTTGCCTGTTGATGAACATAACCTGCAAGCATATATTGTCAGGAGTTTCATAGAAATGGATTCCATGTATATAAATGGAATGGAAATCTCTTCCAGAACACAAATTCGTATTACACAAAACAGCTTGTGCTTATGAATGGTAGTACACAGTTTACAGGCACTTGCCACATTGTTGGCTTACATTTGTATTGCATCTGGCATCAATATTTGTGAAAACATTTTTATCTAGTTAAGTGTAGGCATTGTCTCAATAGAATGGCTACATTTGGACAATCATTTGGGATAAAAACAAACCACCTGTATTCACATGCAGCTGCTTTACTTCTTTTTAAGTGCACGGGGAGGCAATCCAAGTAGCTACATCTGAACTGGGAAGCTAGGATATAAACCCCTGGTTTAAACCAGCTTTCTGGATTGTTTTCCTGCTCATGAAGGTAGGAATTACATGAAGATGCAGGAGGCTGATTCATTTTTTAATTATCCAAATGCAACCATTGTCATAGTCACAGCAGGGAACAGTCATGAAGTTCCAGGCATAGGACTAATTAGTAGGTAATACCTGAATGCAGTTATGAAGCCTTCCTTGGATGTATAGTAGATAATACTGTGTCATTTAGACTTGTTTTCTGTAGTGGTAGCTAGAGGAGTGTTCTGTGGTAATTCCATATCTGTTGTGCCAGAACTGAAGGGCCTTTGCAATCCTACAGGGTTCTAACAAATTGTCAGAAAAAGCAGAGCTGAATAAAGAGTTAGGTACGGTAGGACATCACACTAGAAAGGGCTTTCTCAAAAGTATATGTAGATCCAAATCTATTGGGTGGGTTTGCTAAACATAAATAATTTTCATTGTACATGCATTATACTCCAGCCTGAACCTTGTGAAATCAGAGCAGATTCAAAAATTTTGGGGAAAGTTTGTGGTATACACCTTAAGAATCTCCTACTTCAAAATGCAGGCAAGAGATGGCATATTTTATGTTTCCGTCTGCCCAAAATTCCCTTCATGCAAAAAGGTAGCATGATCAGATAAATATTATTATTTAACTATGCTTCCTGCTATACATTTAAATGTAGTCTTGCCACCTTCATTTTGAAATTAGTATAGACCCTGGAGGCATTCAGAATGTTTGATTTGACTTTAACTTTGAGGACCGCCTATTGGTGACAGGGTTGGAAAGTTGGTTCTACATTATTCATTAAAAGAGAATGCACAATTATCTGTTTTCAAAAATGTTCTGAAGAATTTAAGCAGCTTGTCTTTTATTTTCTATAGTAGTTCAAATGCATCGCCATTGGAAGGTGCTCCGCTATCTGGAAGTTACGGCTGTACTCCAAATTCGCTTCCTAAATTTCAGCATCCTTCTCATGAACTTCTAAAAGAAAATGGTTTTACACAGCAAGTGTACCACAAATATCGCCGTAGATGCCTAAATGGTAAAAAATACGATATTTTTTCCTGCAACTGTAACGGGAAATAGCTTTTTGTCTTTAGTTATAAGAACCATAACCATTTATGTTCTTGCTTTGTGTTTGTTCTTATAGCTTGTAGGATGTCAACAATGTTATATAACTACATATTTTTGAAAGGGACTTGGATCGCAAGTGGGTGCTCCTGCTGAAGTAAAAGGGGAGGCAGTTTTGATTATCCCTCAGCATCCTTTTGCCCTCAGGGCAGCTTTTCAGGGCTCAGGAAAGGAAGCATGGCCAAAAATTGCCTCTTAGTTATCTTTATAGAAAAATCAGGTTTGTGTTTTGATGCCCTGACCTCACTGGAGCATGGCAGAAACAGAAATAAATAAATGCCATAATCGACTTTAACGTTCACTTCTTTTCAAGCTGTAGTGTAAGGTGTATTGTTTTTTGTTGCTGCTCTTTTGTGGCATAAATTCATACAAAGCATCTGTTCTGAAGAAAGTAGAATTAGAATGCCAAATAGATTATTTTTCATCTTTGCTACCTTATTATTATTTTTGTCTCCAGAAAGGAAACGGTTGGGAATCGGCCAGTCTCAAGAAATGAACACACTATTTCGTTTCTGGTCCTTTTTCCTCAGAGACCACTTTAACAAGAAAATGTATGAAGAATTCAAGCAACTTGCTCTAGATGATGCAAAAGAACACTACAGGTAGTGCTTTGTTTGACTTGTAAAGTCATATACGGTACAGGAACCCAGTGCCAACTTGTATAGCAATATTAATGGCATTGGTTTGGTGCTTCTGAAGCATTAGTATAGCAAAATAAAGTGGTTCCAGCTGCAGAATAGAAAACAAAGATTTCTTTCCATCATGCAGTGTTTCCTCTTGAATATGGAGCTTACAACAGACTGTAAAAAGTTATCAGATGGATAATTTAAGAGACTGTTTGCTAGGAATCCTTGGCTGTCCAGTGTTCCTCATTGGATAGCAGCTTTGGGTGCACTTAACAAATGTAAAGATTCTTCTTTCAATGTCTAAATTTTTGCCAGAGTTTTGATTCAAAGCAAATGACAGAAAAACCCAACAGGCAGGTGCTTCCACCGTCTCCATTTTTTGTTTTAAATAACATAAGATTAGGAATCTTTATGGAATTATGTACAAGTCTTGTTATATTTGTTAGCAATATACTCACCACTATTGTGCTGATCAACATGAAAATAGCTCACACCAGGGCCTGGGCACTGTCCAAAATCAAGTCCAGGGATGTTTCTCCACTATGTAGATACAGTTAACTAGTGTAAGACAGTCGTTTATCATCTAGAATCCCCACCTCCACTTCATCATATCTAAATTCCTTCTGTAAAAGTCATCATGAAAATATGCTGTTCTGTTTTCAGGGTATGGCATACTCAACAAGAAACAAGGTAGCTGCCTGTACTGAGGGGTAGGGGTGGGCGAGTGTGTGTGTGAGAGAGAGAACTAGCTTATGAAAATTGGAATAGCTGGATAAGCTTCCCAGATTCCCATGGCTGATCCTTAAAGTGATGTTTTGTTGTTGTTGTTTTTGCTATAAGGAGAACAATAAATATGGTAAAACAGCATCAATAGATTTTTGTGCTCTTATTCTTTATTCACTGTTCTACAGATACGGTCTGGAGTGTTTGTTCCGGTTTTACAGCTATGGGCTGGAAAAAAAGTTCAGGCAGGAGATCTTCAAAGATTTCCAAGAAGAAACAAAGAGAGACTATGAATCTGGTAACACCTTGTTCATAATGGTCTTGTGTAATATAGCTTGACTTCATGCTTAATTAGTTTTAAGATATCTCCAACATGTTCTCTCATTAGGTCAACTCTATGGACTAGAAAAATTTTGGGCTTATCTAAAGTATTCACAGTCTAAAACTCCACCTATTGATCCAAAGCTTCAAGAATACCTCTGTAACTTTAAAAGATTGGAAGACTTCAGAGTAGATGTAAGTGTTCAAGCTATCTCAAGCAAATTAATTTAGTGTATTAACATTACTGACTGATTTAAGAGACACAACCCCCAAATTTAATGTAAAGTCAACAAATGTCTGTTAAGATTGGAGGGTAAGTTTAAGACATTCTGAAATGTAATATGGTCTGAAATGCCAAACCGATTTGTAGTCATGCTGCACATTTTCTATTCTGCTTTCTGCATTATGAAACTTTGTACATGTCATCTGTGTAGATAATCTTGTATACCTGACAGTGACAACTAGAGCAAAGCAGGTCTTAAAAGAGAAAATGTTGTTGCTGAGTTGTATTTGATACCTTTCATGCAGGCCACATTCCCTTTATTTATTCAAGAAACAATTTCTCATATTTTGGCATGATGTCACTGCATTTCAGCCATTTGGAGTAACCATTAAATGCTCAGGCTTTGAGGTTCAAAACTAGATCATAATAAGTTCTGATAACTGCAAGGGTATAATAATATTTCCATGCTTTCTTTCAGCCTCCCATTAGTGAAGAATCTGGGAGAAAACGACATCCAACTGGTGAGGAAAGTGATCGTCATAGACATCAATCCAATTCTTCCAAGATCCTTGCTGGTAATTCTACAGCTGCCCCTCAGGCGTGGGTCCCAATAAACTTTCCCACTACAAATACTGTACAGGAGTTGAGTAACAGCATACACCAGAACAGTACTGCCACAAAATCAAGAAGTGATATACCTGAGCAGTAGACTTTCATTAAGCTTGAACCTTGAGATCAACTCCTAATGCCAGTATTTTAGCTCAAGGATCTTCAGGGAGAGCTATTTTAAAGCTTGATTAAAAACAAATGTATAGGAAAACGAAGGATCGCATTGGTTTCTCACAAAATTAAGTTCCAAGTACTTGCCCTTGATCAGTTGTACTGGGTTTGGCGAATAATCAAAGAGATCCTAGGGAAAATATATTGGTCTCCGTGTTGCTGTCCTTGACTTATTGTTTACAGGATCTGCATTCCAATATTATATGCAAAAATACTTTGGGATGCCTTATGGTTCAGCTCATACTTCTTAAAGAAGTTATGGTATACTCATGTAACTTACAAAGCTTTTTTCATTCAAGTTTTCCATCATTATTTCTACTTATAGAAGCCAAAAAGAAGACATTTTTAATGGAGAAATGACATAAGTTGATAAATGCATATATTACTATCAACAATTTTTTTTGCAGTACATGCACACTCCATGCTGTATAGGAATGTGCACGTTTCTTGGGTGCTGGATTTTGTTTTGCTTTTTAGTTTATTTCAGGATCTCTTTTGCGTTGAGTATGAAATTTTGAGTTAGGCATCAATCTCTTTGGTTTAAGGTGTTTTATTTTATGCTGGTTCATACTTGTACTTAGGCAAAAGTAGGTTGCAGAGGGAAAGGGGTATGGCTTAGTAAACGTTACATCTTTAAGTTTAAGCAGAAGGATAAAAGTAATATGTGGCTCACTAATCACCCTTCAGTTAGAAGAGATGCTTGTGTTTTCTGTTTAATTGCTCTACTAAGTGACTTGCACTTCAAGGAGAGGTTATTTTTAAACAATTATATTTTGTTATTTGACACTGTTTTTATTTAAAGTACAAATTTGACACTGTTTTTATTTAAAGTACAAATATAGTACATTCTAAAAAATGTTGTCAAAATGGGTTTAAATAAAGTGCAAATTTCATACTCTGCTACGACCAACTGAACTTAAATTGTCCAAGTCATCACTTTTCTTAAATGTAAATGATTAATTCAAATAGTAGTTATTTGTATTGGGAGGTAGAAGTTAAGGGGATACTTAACCTGTAATTACCTGTTCATTTCAGTTATTGTAAATTAAAATGCTTAGAATAAGGAAACGGAAAACCTCCTTCCCTGAAGTGGAAGGAGTGGTAGGAATAGGTGCATTTTCATTACATACAGCAAAACAGTGAGATACTCAGCTGTCTTCAGGTAACTTTCTACAAATAAAGCCTAACACTGTTTGATGCCTTATTACTGGGAGATATCCTAAGTGATCCAACATTTTAGTTTTATTGGACTTCTCTGGTAGATATGGTTGAAATCCATTGCAATTTTCTGTCATTATTGCCTTGTGAATCTGAATAGAACAATTATGAATATGTGCATATTTGTATATGAATATAAGAGGATTTCCCAGTAATTAATTTCTACACACAAACTAGCCTTTTAGAACTACTTTGTTTTGCAAAGGAACTAGGAATTGATGATACACATTTTATATAGCATCTTTTCAGTGTGCTGAAGTTATACATCTCAAACCTGTGCTCTATCTATGCCACCTCCTCCATGAAAATGATGCAATTGTAAATTTGGATTAAACTGTATATAAAAGAAATATATTTACTTTCATTTATTTGAATGAAATGTGTGCATATCTAGCCTTTAGTATGCATAATTTGTGGTATCTTTGCAGATTTTATAAAAATACAAAAAAGTCACCTTTGTGTAGTGTGTGGTTCTTAAGCAATCTTGTTCTTTAAACTTGTGTAGTAATAGTGTTGTGTTGCTATTAGTTAAACTGGCATGTCTAGAGCTTGTTGCAGCAGTGAGTGGAACTAAGCATGACCAGGGGCTTTTCTTTTCCGGCCAAAATTTAAGTTATGAAAAAGTCTTAATTTACCTTCTTAATTCACATGATTTTGGCAGGTACTGGTGGCGATGAGGTAAACAATGTTGCAAATATAGGAGAATTTGGAGTGTTGCTTTTGCATAATGGAACACACTATAGACACTGGCAAAAATATATGGGCTTTATTCCAAGCTTATGGTACTTGGTATTGTATAGCTGATAAACTTCACCTGAATATTTTTCCTGCAAGTTGTTCTTGGCTATTAACTTTTGACTTTTATTTCCAGTTGATTAACTGTGATTTTGATTGTAAAGAAAGAGGTGTGTTGTGCTTTTGTTCTCTAAAACTGGTTTGCACAACTTCTGTCCACCAACTCTGTACATATAGCAGCTGACTAGGCTCTTGCTGATCCTTATCCTGCCTGGGATAAACAAGGGTTTGTTATACAAGGATAAAGCGCTGAATGGATCTGAATGGATCTTGATGGATCTGTTCGTGCAGACCACCTATATCACCTGTTGATACGGTTGTTCGTGCACTATGTTCCAAAATTCTAGTGTTTGTGACAAGGAAACTCAGATGATATTATGCAGATTTAAGTTTATGGAAAAAAATAGACAATGTGTTAGGCTAGTTCATGAAAAATATATTTAATAATCAAAATGCTTAGCAAATGCTGCCTTGATGCATAGAGAAAGATGTTTAAATGAGCAGGGGTACAGAGGACATTTACCACATGAATTGCATGGTTGTTTTAGGTTGCTTGTCTCTACTATTTGAATCCTCCTTGAGTCATAAAAAACTGTTGCTTGTTGGGTAGCAAAAGGTCAATCATTTACCCAAATAGTTGATGGGAATAGAAAGGGAGGGGGGGTGTTAATCCTTTCTACACAAGTTTTATTTTTAAGGTTTTAATTTGGGGACTGTGGGGCTCATTGCCAAGGAATCAAGTCTCTTGGGATGGATTCAAACAAGGTTTTCTTGCATCAGATATTAGCTGAGGAAATACTGTGTTCCCTGCATTCAAACTGCAATACTTTGTTGCTGGCCAATTTTGCTGTTAAATGTTTTATACCTCATCTTTTGATCAGATTCCTAGATTGGCTTATATAATTTCAAAATAGAATAAAACTAGTGGGGGAAAATAGAAATACACAAGAAGCAATCAACTATTAAGAAGGGCTAAAAAAAACCAGCCTAGAAAAGAGATCAAATTTTAATTTAAACAACCTGAGAACATTAAAAGGTATTCACCTTCCAAGACTTTGAAGCAGTCTTTGTCTAGGTAGTTGATTCACTAATCTAAACTGGAAAAAGGCTCTTTAAAAAAATAATTGATTAAATAATTCCTCTAGTCTGCAAACCTGTCCCCCCAGAGATAGCATAACCTATTAGGCTGCCTCTGTGAAAGAAATAATAAACTGCTGCTGGTAGTACAAGCCCCACCATTAGAAAGTGTAGGCTGGAAAAACAACATTTCTGAACATTCATGCAGCAAATTATGTGCAAGGTAGTCCTACAAAGTTCACTCCCTACCTCTTCTTGGTAAGTAATACTCATCATGGTCTGTTTCCTGATAACATCACAAAACCAAACAGTACACCTGTCCTTTAAACAAAGCAGTTCCCCAAGAAATGGCTATTTACTTATCTCACCTTAGTAGTATAAGTTTGGAGATGAAAGTTTTTTTTTATGATTGTTTGAAAATGCAGTTTCATGATTTAATATGTTCTTTATTTGCAATCAATCAAATACTCTGGAGTCTTTAAAAATGCCTTTGAATGTTTGTAGTTCAGAAGTAGCACAGCAAGTGCATATGAGCAAGTGATTGGGTGGGAATCTTACTGATGGAGAGGGAGTAGTATTTTCTTGCCTTGTTTGTTACTGGATCACATAAGACAGCCTTGCAAATAAGCTCTCAAAAGCTGCAATCCTAAAAGAAAGAAAAATTGCTATCAGCTGCTAGAAGGACGGAACACTCCCTCCTGCAGAAGCAGAGTGCATTTTTGTGTTGGGCAAAAGGAGGACGCTTCCTTCCTCAAAGCCTGCTTACTGTCTGCTGAGAGGAGGGACAGAGTTCAATTCTATATGCCTGTGGTTATACCAGGTGAGTTAAGTGCAATGCTGTTTTTAAGAGAACATTAACTGCATCAGAGACAAGCTAATTTACACCAGTCATTTGTTTTATTTGTATGTCACTTTCCCACAAAAGAAATCATGACCAAAGCGACTTGCCACAAATAACAGGTTGGCTGGAAACGCCCTCCCCAAACCTTGCTTTATGGTTCCTCAGAAATAAAATGGGCAGTAGGGCATTTCTTTCTTCTTTGGCAAGCAGTGTTTTGTTTTTAAGTGCATGTCTTTGTAAAATAGTGACAAGCCATGGAAGGCAAAGGTTACTAAAATCACTAGCAGCTGATTGTGTGGGGAAATACTAATCTGTGTCATAAAACAGATTTAGAAAATGCTTCTAATTTATTTCTGTTGGGTTGAATAGACATAGTCTCTGATGAAGACCTTGGGTTTTTGAGGATATGTCTATGTTTTTGCTAGAGGTGCCATCATACATTAGATATACTTACAGCCTGCTTCTTGTAATAGACCTCAGAAGGTAGTTGCTATCATACACACATTACAGGTATAACTTAAAAATAAAAACTATCAATTTAACAATGAGAGTGGCCAAAAAACACAATTAAAACTAAAAAACCTCAAATATGCAAAGCAGACAGCAATAAATACTCCTACATCCTCCAAATGCCTAGACATAAAGTTCTTTATGTGGTTTTGGAATTATAGAAGTATATTTGGGACTAATATTTCTAAGGGGAGGAAGGACATTCCACAAATGGGGGGCCACCACAGATATGGCCTTTTCCCTCATCACCACATAATGGACATCTCCTAGCATTGGGGTGCCAGGAAGATCTTAGGATATGAACGGGCTTGTACTGAGGAAGGTGCTGCTTCACCTTTTTTCATCCTGCATAGGTTTTATATGTGAACACCATCAATAGGCATCTTGTTCAGTAACTTAGCTCTGTTGCTGAAACAGACAAATCCTATTCATTTAAAATGGTTGCTTGAATAGATGGGAGCTACACCCTACACAGGAGACTATTAAGCTGCAGGTTATGTTTTGTTAGCTGCCCAACACTATACATTTAGCAATTTTCAAAGCATACAGAATTAAAAACGACCATCAATGCAACACACAAATCATATAACCCCAGCTGCCTCCACAGAAACCAACTGAAAAACTCCAAAATGCAGCAACACTAACAAAGCCTTCACAGAGCTGGGTCACATTCCACCAAATGCTTGCGAAGAAAAGGGAAGTCTTAACCTGGTGCCAAAAAGATGTTCGTGTGTCTCTGCGAAGCAGTCCTCACTGGAGAAAGTATTCCATACACTTGGGGGCGGAGTGGGGAGGATGGGACACAACTGAAAAAGCCCTCTCACTGGATAGCTCAGTTGGTTAGAGCATGGTGCTGATAATGCCAAGGTTGCAGGTTCGATGCATGGGACAGCTGCATATTGGACAAGATGATCCTCAGGGCCCCTTCCAACTCTGATTTATTGCCACCCTTCAAGCACCCTGGAGAAGGAAGTCATGACTTGAGCGGAGGAAGGACACAATGTGACAATGGTCTCCAACCATTCCTATGTCCTTTATGAAAGCCATCGAAGTAGAGCTTTAAACCTAAATGTCCATCATACTTTGTATAAGGATATGTTGGAAGTGCAAGCAGATGCTCTTGCTAATTTTCTGCATCGAAGCAGGAAAATTTAATTTTCCTACAGTGGAGGGTATTGTCAAATGGGTTGGTCCTTCCATACTGTAATAGGGCTGTGGAAATTGCTTTTAACTGCCATCATGTGTTGGAGAGGGCCTCCTGCAGTTTCTGTCCTGCTGAGCTTCAGTGGTTAGGGCATTAGCCGAGTTTTGCCAAACTTTTCCATTTGCCTATTTCTGCCACACACACCCCGCTTCCCTTTAAGTTGGGGGAGTTGATGAGACAGATTAAAAGGACAGTGAACCCCAAAGCTGCAATGTTTCCTAGATGGGCAGGGGGTGGACAGCCCTACATTTCAGTGAACTCCTTGGAGAATCCAAGATACCCATAGTGGATGCTCCCCTCATGGAGCTTCTCTGCTGTCATAATTCTGAAAGAGGGCAATACTCCTGAAATCAGGTGTTAAGATGCTCAGTTCTGGCCTGTCATAAGGCTCATGAGGGCTTGGGTTTGGCCCAGAGCCATCTCAGCTACCTCCAAAGAAGAAATGGCACCAGACACTTGATGGACCATTCATATACAATGTAGGTGTACTAAGGATGTTGAATTTTTGGTAGTGGTGGGAGGAAAGTCTTTAAAGCTTTACTAGAATGGTGAAAAAAGCTTGCATTTCTGTGTTACAAAGCATCCACTCTTGCCTGAAAGGACCACTGCTCACTCCATGTGAAGTGCAAATACCACCATAGTTCAGTATCAATCCTCCGGACAACTGTAGGGCAGTCATATGATCATCAGTGTTGTGTGTCATTGTGAACTAAATGGTTCTTTCCAAGGTGTCTTCAGAGGTGGTCTCAGCTTAAGGTGGGAGCCGCAGTGAAAAACCCTACTATGGATGGGTGCAGTTTTTGAACATCCAATCTGACCCTCTACCGTAGGAAAACAATGTTGGACTTACTGTGGGAAGTTCCTCTTCTACAGTAGATGGAGGGTATTCTACTTGGAGTGATTATTGCTGCTAGGAATGTCAAGGGAAAGTCTCTGGCTCTCTGCTGGTGCTATTTAAGGATAGAGATGCCTTACATGTTTCCTTGTCTGTTATTTTTGCTTTTCAGGGTTGCAATTTCTGAATTGTTCAGATTGTTGCTGTTATATCCCTAAACTTAGGGAGACATACTCTCATGCAGGATAGCAATTACAAGTCTGATTAACATAGCCCTCCCCTACTGGAATGGGAACACCAACTGATTTGAGGATACCCTCCATCCACTATAGAAAGGGAAATTATGTTAAGTCCAACATTTTACTCCCCTTCCAACAGCTTCCCTGAATGTAAAATGACAAACACAGCACACTAACAATGTATCTACAGAACACTTTATTTAAAAAAAAGTAGGAACACAAATTGTTCATTTCTCAAAACAGACTGCATTATTTCAATTATGGAATACATTTTTTGAGTGGAAGAGTTGTAACTGTGGCTCATCAGTGGAGGCTTATTTTCAAATTAAAGGACAACTGCATGTTCACATTTAAAAAAATGGGGCAGCAGATAGAAAATCTTCCTATTGACACCATAAGAACATTCTACTCACAAGCCAACCTGAGCATGGTCCAGAACTGTTTGGTCATTTTGGACAGGAGGAGGATGCTGTTTGTTAAACACACTATATCACATAGCTTGAAGATCACAGCTCGGTTTTCTTCATGCATGACACATGGCTGTCTTACTGCATGGCATGATTTTCCATGTCTTGGTTGTTGATGGCAGCTTAATGCTTCTTTATTGACTAATTTACAGGAAATGGATTCAAGAAAAAGTTATTGTTTTTTTCCCCTTTACCTGCCACACTGATAAAAACAAGCTGTGTTTTTAATATGCCAAGAAAAAGGAATGACAACCTTCAATGAAAAGTAATAGCCAAAGCATGTCAACATACAGATATGCTCCAGTTATATGCCACCTGTTTGCTCTCATTCATCTAAACTGTACCTGAATGTCACATTTCTGTTGTGAATTAAGTGTGATGACTAAGTAAAAATGAGCTGGGTAAAGCTTTATTTAATAGCAGTGCAAAAATATTTAATATCTCCAATATTTCTTCTTTTACTCATACACACGAGTCCTGGCCACCGATACTAGCTTAATAGCATCTACATAAAGTCTGACAGCACATTTGGTATTTTACATGCTTTATTAAAATTGTATTCATATTTACAGTATCTGCAGGAACCATCCCTCCATTTCTTGCACATGAGCACCCACATCCATGCACATCCCTCATTTCTCAAAGATATGAGGCTAGGCTCCTTAAATTTAGGGAAGAGGTGGGCTTGTTTATTTAAAAAGCAAAAGGGGAGTGCATTTGGCCATTACACTGCTAATTAAGTTTATGTATATTAACATATATATATATATGGCAGTAACACTGAGTATTCCTTTACATTCTATATACAGAATGACATCAATGTTTTCCAGTCACCCGAATGTTCTAACTTCAGTCCTCAATGCTGCTTTTAGTGACTCAGGTCACATTTGGGGTTTTCCCTTAAAACACTTCAAGTCTCTAAGTTGAAATAAGGCACAATTATTCCGATTTGATTGAGGGGGAAGGAAAATCATAGAAGCTTCAGATGATACCTTCTGCAGATAAATTTTCCTTTATCCTCCAGGAGATTCTATTTGAAACCCTTTAATCTGCAGAGATCTGAAGTAGTTTTCTGCCATGGAAACCAATGGCCCACAAACTAGTTTGAGTATTTTCATTTTATTATGTTTCAGCAGCCAAATTTACTTGGGATTCCTTAACTAGGTTTTCCATTTAGCGTCAAGAGAAGTAGAAAATGGCATATGAAATGCTTAAGCTTGTAAATGACAAACTGTTCATAGGCTTCAACATGCTAAAAAGAATAGTTTTCTTTGCATTTTAAATCCCTGCGCCCATTTCATTTCTGAAGCCTTTCCAGACATTACAGTTAAACTGCAACAAAAACTATGTTTGGCAGCACAAATAATGCCTAGTAATCAATTTTTTGTTGAGAGGGTAATGATGTTCTTGTACAAAACCTATCAAGTCGTTTTCCGCAGCAGATGAACTGTACCCAAGGACACAGGGCATTCTGTGATGGGGAGTAAGAGATTGCAGTTCCAAAGGCCCCTGACTTTGGTGATTTACAATGTTTATTCCTGTTTAGTGTGATCCTTGGTATCTTCCTCATCTGTATATTCTGATGGTTCCTCTCCTGGCTTTAGCAGTCTACCTACATAGTCATATTTTTCTGAAAAAGACATGTAGGTATCATAATCAAAAGTTACAACATGACATTAAACATCTATATAAACATTGGTCTATCTCTCAACCCATTAATTTAACTTTTTTAGTTCGTATCCATGATTAAAGGTGTTATCAGACACACCTAAGCTGTTCTTTTAGCTTTCTCCTACCTGAAAAACATCCTAGTATACTGGAAATAACACGCCCACAATGGAAAGGTTAGTGTTTCTGCAATAAAAATGGCCTTCTTGACAGCTGTCACCATGGGCAGAAAACTTACTTGTCCACCCACATTCACCAAACAGCAACAAGTGTCAGAGGTTAAGTGAACTTACAGAGAGCAGTGGCTTTTGCCTCTGCCACCACCACCCTCCCCTGCTGACTGTTGACAGTCAAGGACTAAGCTCTGCCTGCACAAACATCCATGCAAGAATGTCTCTACAATGATGAGAATGTACTGCAGTCCCTGAAGCAACTCATGAGATAGTGATTTTGGAATTCTGGAAGAACCCCTGTGATCACTCCCCGCACAGCAGTAGCTCCTTCCCCCACAAGAGGTACTTTGACTAATGCTGATGTTTACAGAAGCACTAGGTATCCTAACCTTCCCTAATCTGGTGTCCTCCAGATGCTCTGGATGACAACTCCCATCAATCCTAGCCAGCACAATTTTTTATCTTGCTTGTGGCAGCAGAATTAACAAGAGGCAACTGTATACTAAGACTTAGAACCAACTGCCTCCAGATCCTCCTGATCCCCATCTGATCCAGTATTTTCACTACTATGAGGAAGGGAGTGGTCCTGTTGTGCCCAGCCATGGAAACCTATTAAGGTGTCTCTTACCTCCCCTTCCACACAGATACACTATACTTATGCATATTTGCATAAGTATTTACATATTGCATGAATATTTACATAAGCTGAACCATGACATTTTCACTAGCGATTTAGTAAATATCAATTTCTGCAAAATAATTGAGAAACACCTTTACAAGTACTCACTTTCCATTTGATTTAAAGGAATATCCTAATTTAAACATTACCTTTAAATTGCATTTCCCATTCTCTAACGCTTTCCATTTGCACAGCATTTAAGTCTGATAAGTCATCATATTCATCTCTAAGCGCATCTTTATCTAGACAGAAAGTTGCCAGTCCCCTTGAGGCATCTCTGCCAGCAAATATTCCATAAGGACCCTCTGAAAATAGAAAAAACAGACCCATGTATTCAGTCATTCACTTGCATTATCCTTTCAGAATAACATTGATGTGTTTTCATAATCCCCTACTCCAGATTAATTATTGCCAAACATCAGAGCTAACTGAACACAGTTTAATAAATTTGAGCTTGAACAAAAAGCTTATTCAGTAACTCAAACTGCTTTGCCTCCTTTGTCCCAATTTTAATATTTTCTTTTTTAAAATACATGACAAATGCTAGTCACACAGTGGCTGAGTGCAAACATCTTTAAAGTGCGTCTTTAAAGTCTCTACTCAGGACTGCAAAATATAAATTTAGCCTTCTTTCTTGGGCAGAGCATTGGCTAACACAGAAGCTGAATGATCCACAAACATGAACTTTCCTCTACAAAATGCTGTTCAAATGAAGTGAAATGTGCAAGCTAACAATGGAGGTCACTAACTCAAAGACTATATAGGCCATATGATACATGAATGGTAGAACAGAATTTGGTTAAAGAAACTGGATATATTTATAACAAAGCCACAAAACATTTAAAGAAGCGTGAAATATTTTTCTTGGTACCTAGGGACATTGGCAGTCTTTAAAAATTGCTGTAATGGAACTTGGCAACACAACTAACTTTTATCAACCTGACCTTTGGAAATAGCTTAACTTGAATCTTAAGATTACATAACATCCAGAAAATTACTAAATGACTTTTTAAAAAAGGCACAGAAATTCAAGTTATGGAAATAAGTTTTATGTTTTTATTCAAATGAACTGTGACACTATTATACACTTATCTACTGAAACAAAGGGTTTAAGGTTAATAACAGAATGATAGCAGGCATTCTGATGAAATAGTATATGACCAATTTGTGCTGAATTGGCTCATATTATCTGATCAATGGACTGCTTCAGGAATTCAAGATCACATGGTAGAACATATGTAACCTAGAGTAGGTTACAACAATTTAAAATATAACAAAAATAGTTTAGAACAGCTTACAACCACAAAAATGACTTTCTAAAACTTTTGTCCACATTGCAATACTAGGATTTCAGATAAAATACATATCCTAAGGCTTAAATTCATTAGTGTTTTTCACAACCATGCACTTAAAAGTGTTTAAGCATATGATTTTACCTTGCTATGCTTGGGAAAAAAAACCATTTTCTATTATACTTTTGGGTTAAACAAACCCAAATTTTAGAAAGAAAATGAACAGAACTCTAGTTTAATGTGAAGAGAGGTAATTTTTTATTAAGAGTCATAGTTTATAGTACAAAACCACAACTATACCAAGAAGCTACCTATAGTCTCAAAAACAACTGCAATGATAAATCAGTACACCAACACAGACACTGAAGGTTTCATTCAGCAAAGCTGTCCCATGTAAGAACTTCCACTTGCACAGTAGAACTCCCACAAAGCACAGATGCGATCCTTTTTCATGGCTTACTTATATGATGCAGCGAGAGAGAGAGAGAGATCTGGAGGAGAGGGGGTGTGACTTAGCTGAGTGTATCCAGCAATACAACCCTGTTGTCCTTTACCCCTTCATGCACTAACTTCTGCTTGTGCATAGTTGTGTTTGAACGTAATTTCCCACAGATATCACAAATTTTATGAGCATGGCAAAGCTTACAAAAGTCCTGTAAATAATGCAACCTGGGTTGTTCTGAAAAATGCTAAATAAATCAATTTTGAATTAAGAGAGGTCTGTTTAAAATATAATGAAAATCTAACTTCCAGCAGTTTTCAACTATCTTACACATCCACCACACAGCAGTAGCATCCAATCTCATCACCACCTCTCCAGCACTTTGGTGATATGGGTCTGCTAATCATGTGTAGTTTTAATAGGTCCAAATGCCATTAATGAATTACCTATAATCATTCTCATAATCATAGGTTGAAGATTTGAACTGTACTTTGTTCCAAGTCTCCTTACAATTTTCCTCCTCAGTTCTATACATTCCAGCAGTGTTTCAAGTTATTAAAAGGATCACTAAAACCCCTGACTGTAGACTCAAAAGGAAAGCACCTCAATATAGTAGTCACCTTTTGTACATGTAAAGTCTTTTAAATGTTATTAATTATTAAATTTCTATATCACCCTTCATCCGAGGATCAGAGTGGTTTACAATATAAAGACACAAGAATAAATAACATAGTAACAAACAAAAGCAATGCCCCTCCACACAGTTAAAAAAGGTTGTACTGCAGTTGTTTTTAGCCAAAGGCCTTGGATGAAGAGTGGTTTTGCTTAGTGCCTAAAGAGATGAAATGAAGGTGCCAGGCAAGCCTCCCTGGGGACAGCATAGTATCTCAAACCTAGGAAACCTGGAGAATAGTATCTAAAACTGAATGGCTTCTTTTTGTTTTTATTATACATTTTGTGGTTACTATATTGCATTTTTATCTTGTGAACCACCCTGAGATGTAAGGATGACGAGTGGCTAAATACATACATACATAAGGTAAAGGTAAAGGGACCCCTGACCATTAGGTCCAGTCGTTACCGACTCTGGGGTTGCAGCACTCATCTCGCTTTATTGGCCGAGGAAGCCAGCATACAGCTTCCAGGTCATGTGGCCAGCATGACTAAGCCGCTTCTGGCGAACCAGAGCAGTGCACGGAAACGCCGTTTACCTTCCCGCTGAAGCGGTACCTATTTATCTACTTGCACTCTGACATGCTTTCAAACTGCTAGGTTGGCAGGAGCAGGGACTGAGCAACGGGAGCTCACCCTGTTGCAGGGATTCGAACCGCGACCTTCTGATCGGCAAGTCCTAGGCTCTGTGGTTTAACCCACAGCGCCACCCGCGTCCCAACATACATACATACATACCCTTTATTAGTCACATTAGATATGATTGTACTTGAATCCCTAAAAAAAATTGTGAACTTAACAACTGCTACTAAAATAGTATGCGCTAGAAACTGGAAATACACCAATTCTCCATCTGTTTAGGAGTGTCTATTAACATGTGTGGAACTAGCCAAAATGGGTATGTTGATGAAAGGCATAGAAGAGAAGGGCTCACAATTTTATTGTTTGCTGGCAAGCAATGGTAGATATATCAGCTGGGACATTAGTTTGCTTTTGTTTTTTTGATTACTTTGAAATAAGTAATTAAAGTCTAGGCCTCTGTTCATCAGATTAATGATCCCAGGGCAGGTTATATTTGTTGTCCTAACAAATACTGTAATTTGTAAATTTTAAAGCATAAAAATAATGCTTCACTATGTAACAGTTAAGATTACCAAAGAAACTGGTATCCGACAAAAGTAGTAAAATTCTCACCTCAAATTTGTCATTTTTTGCAATGACAACATAGTTCCATGGGACAGCTGCTCGTATTGTTCATAAACCCCTCACCCAAATCTATTCTGATAATATCATACGGTAGCAGTTACAAAAAAAGAAATCACCTGGGCAGCTGAACAACACAGACTATCACATATTTATTGAATTAACTACTGAGGTGTTAATTCAGGGAGGTTTTCGGTTCCATGAAAAAGGCAAAATCTAGACAAAGCTAAACATTTTGCAATCTATGGACTTCAGAAGCATAAGCATGACTTTTACAGAAATGAGGAGGTTGAGAAATGCCTAAGTTTGGTTTATTGTGTTCTATTAATATTCTTGAGCTGGATGTGTTTTGAGTAGGTGATTTTCATGTCTCAGAACTAGTAGGCTGTTAGTAGCATTCCTCCTAAAATAACAGGTGCATAGGTTTTTTTGGGGTGTGTACCTGGATATAGTCTCCACCAATAGGAGTGCCAGCTCCAGCTAGTTGGCCAATTAAAGCTGTTCTTGGATCAGGATGACCTAGTTGCAGTTGTCCACACTCAGACAGCTCCTGATTAAACTAATGCAACACAATCTACATGGGTGTTTCCTTAAAGATGATCTAGAAGCTGCAGCTGCCGCAGAGTGCTACTGTCCAGTTGTTGTACAGGGCAGCAAGAAATGGTAAATGACACAGAGCATAAAAGAATTGTGCTAGCCTACCAGGTCAAATTCAATAAGATAATAGCATTCAAAAATGGGTTAGAACTCAAGTACTTGCAGGAATGCCTTCCCCAGTATCAGCAAACCTTTGTTTTGAGATCTGCAGGCGAAGCCTAGCTTGCAGTGTACCCTCAGTGTATTTGACCCAGAGGATTGCTACACAAGACAGGGCCTTCTCAATGGTCTTGCCCTGACTGTGGAACCCTTTACCTATCACACTCAGACTGTTCCCCACAGAGGGCAACCAAATACCTGTTTGTTCCAACAGGCCTTTGGGGTATAGTAAGAGTGGCATAATTTATACGGCATTTCTCTAATTTAGTGCTGACTTGTCTGCTATACTTTGTAGTGTGCTTTTACTTTGGTCTACCCTTTGCTTTTAGCCACCCTGCACTCTCATGAGAAGGGCAAAATATAAGAAATAAAATCTCCATCAACATGGAGTGCTTACCAGTCTCTATTGTGCTTTGGACTCAGAATCATTTGATTCGCTGAAGTCACATATTCTAACCTCAAGTTTATAAGCCACCACTTATTTCAGTGTTAGATGGACAAGCATATTCTTAAAAAAGATGTCTCCTTTATTCATAATTCATTTAGTGACCCATCCATGTTAGAAGGCTGAAGATCTTCTGTAGGAGTCTTCCAAGGTACTTTCCAGGAAGGTTTACAACACAACAGATACACATATTGCTTATTCTTTAAGTAGTTATAAAAGTTTAAGAATTAGTTTTACTAATAGTACTTTTTTGTTATTAAATATCAAAACATATTGATGCTGGGGAAATGAGATTCATTTCTCCAGTTGTGGGATCACTGTGATTTGGACTGCTGTATTGTGTGATAGTGAAAATGTCAAGATACCTACTTGATAGTTAGCATATTGGGGCCAGTATATAGCCTGCAGAGAGAGCTGGAAAAGATTAGTTTCAATGCTCAGCACAATGCAAGACACAATAGACCCCTATTCCAGCATCGAATTCTCACAACTGACTCCAGTATTCAGGGAGGAAGGTTTAGTAGCCCAAATGGCATGTTATCTATTTGTACCTACATTACCACTGTTTTACTTCACCAGCACAAGTTGCACATTTGCAGTGCGTAAGTGGTCAGCAAGATATTTATATAAACAGTGCCACCAAGTTTAACCACTTAATTAAGGTCTTTAATTAATTAAAAATATCATGATTAATGGACAGATCTTTTAAAATTACCTTCAAAACATATTACAACACTATTTTTAGAGGTATTCGCAATTCTTTTACACAGAAGAATGCCTCTTCTAGCATGCTTACTACAACCTATGTGTACATTGTCTATGCTTTGTATTTGGAAAAGTTTTTAACTATATACAAACTCACTTACAGTGTGCACATCTGTGTACACAGAACCAAGGCAATTAGAGTTTCAATGTGGCTGACCCCCAATGTGGCTGACCCAGGCAAGTGAGTACAGCAGGGATGGGGAATATATGAACCTTCAGATATTGTTCCCCGCCAGATGGGAACTGAAGTCCAACAACATCTGGAGGGCCACAGATGCCCCACTGGTTGCGCAATTTTTTTTATTAAAAAAATGCAGCCCCAGTCTTATAATTTGTAAATTTCTTTAACCAGGTTTAAAAATAAACAACTGCAGAAATATCTATTCTAACTATTAACTTTCTATGTACAATGATTTTTTTAAAAAAAATCTTGCCCTACTTTTCCTTCACTACCTACTATATACTTCACAAAAGATCATTGTGAGCCTATTAAATAAAATAATGTTTAATTATTAAACCTGCTACTTAGAAGGATTTACTTGCAAGTAAACATATTAAGAACTGGATTATATATTGCCAATCTCCCGCCTCCTTTGATATATATTAGGCAAAATCTAATCAGAAGCAAGACACATTTTATTCCAGCTGCCAAGAACTTTGCGCAGATATGAATCAATAAGCCTTTATCTGTACATGGTTAGGACCAGTATAAGATTAAGTCCACAGCTCCACGTCAACTTATTATAAACTTTATTCTGTTGTAACTATGTGTAAGACTGCAGCCCAATTATCATTGCAATTCCTGAGAGACTTGCAGAAAGAGAAAATATCCAAACCTTAATAAAATGAAACTGGATTCCAACTCACATTGTAAAAGGCTGGAACTATTTCTACTTAGTTAATCAAAATCCAGAGAATTACATGTGTAGGGAAAGGAAACAAGTCAGCCTCAGGATTTCTGAAAATCTGGGAAGCAAATATGCTGAAGACAGCTTGTTCACTCCAGGGCAAATATGCATTCAAAAGGGACTAAATGTCTGAAAGTAAAGCAGATGTGTGAACAAGACTAGGAATGAAGTTTAGGTGCCCAAGGCTGTATTTGTGGGCACCATGGCATGCCAATAAATAATTCCTCATATTTGCCATATTTTTTAAAATAATTATTTTAAATTTTGCATTCTTCTGTTTGGTTGGATGTGGGCTACTTGTTTCTGTGTAGATGCTGTCTGCTTCCTTGTCTGTATTTTATTTGGGGTGTGTGTGTTTACCTTTTGTTTTGGAAGGGAGAGTTCAGAGGAGATCACCAGCTTTCCTTCTGCGAAATGGGTATTTTGTGGTGCCCTTGGCACTTCCCTGCCTCCAAACGTGCCCTGGAACCCCCCCCCCAAAAAAAAGGCTGGGGAAACCAGCCTGGTCTGGAGCCTGCTATATCTTCTTTCTCCACCTACCCATGTGGGTGGGTAAAGCGGGCCTTTTCCCCACTCCCACTTACACACTTACACCTGCTACTTGGGGCGAGGGCGTTTCTTCCGCCTTCCAGGCCTTTGTCCCACCGTCGCTCACCCAGGAGGCATGTATGCCGCCCCCTCCCCCGCTAGCCCCCTTTCCCCCTTCCCTCCGTCCCCCTCACCGGGCCCGTAGAACTTGCTGCCTTTGGTCACGTCGAAGACTTTGCCGTTGACAGCCAGGAGGATGCGCGCCGCGCGCGCGCCGTCATACTCGCGCAGCTGCTCCAGCGTGAAGTCCCGCCGCTTCATGCGGGGCAAGGAGTCGACCAGGCCCTGCTGCGCCGCGCCCCCCACTCCGCTCCTCTTGCCCCAGCGCCTGTAGAGCCGATAGGCCGCGAGCGCCACGATCGCCAGCAGCGCCAAGCTCAGCAGCATGTCGAGGCCGCCGCTCCCCCCGAGCCAGCTGCCGGCGGCCGTCTCCTCCGGGCTGCTGCTGCCGCCGCCGCCGCCTCCTTGTTCAGTCCTTAGCTTCCCATCCCCATCGTCCGCCATCACTGCCCAGCCAGCGCCTGCCTGAGAGGAACCGCTCCGCCCCGCGACGGGGGAGGGAGGCGGGGAGGCGCAGGCGGGGCGCCGTCTGACTCTTGCCTCGCCCGGGCTCCAATTGGTCACTGGTAAGGACACGTCACCCACGCTAGCTCGCGCCCAGCAGAACGAATGAGAAAGAGGCGCACGCGGCTACCCAACGGCAGATTTCCACCTTAGGGGAATCTTCGCCTGGGAGGGGTTGGTTGGAGAGAGAGAGAGAGAGAGAGAGAGAGAGAGAGAGAGAGAGAGAGAGAATGTGTGTGCGCGTGTGTGGCGTCCGCGCGCGAGCGAGCCTTCGCCCTCATAAATTCTTGGCGCTCACGTGGTGCCGACGGAGGAATGCCGCGCGCGCGTTGCGGGCGCTGGACTAGAATATTCTTTTTGAGGGGGGAGAGAGAGAAGGGGGCTCGTCGACGCCATAAACATGCTTCTGTACTCCCCCGCCCTTTCCCTTATCGATTGTAAAATCAGGGCGGTGAGGCGCTGCTTATCTCCGAGAGGCTCCCTCAAGGCGTTTTGTCAATTTCTTTTGCCTTCACAATGGCGAAGATGCATGAGCGTCGTCATGAGTTGTCAGTGGTATATTGCACCTAAGAACACGGGGCGCTCTGTGCAAATAAAATGAAAAATCAGGTAGGCCCTACCCCACAGACTTGTTAACACTCGCCCTGAGGGAAATGCTGGCTGAAGGAGGCAGAATCTCTGTATCGTCCCAGCTGCTGGAGAGGGCTCGTTTTCGCGGGCTTCCTCACAGGCATTGGGGTAGCCGTTGTGAGAACAGGGGCGCAGGGACTGAAAGGGCGGTTGGACTGACCCAGCAGGCTGTTTTTAATACATAGGGGCTGCATAAACCCTTTCCCTAATGGGCTTCTTTTTAAAATAGGCAACCCCTCCCCCCAAAAATATCCTTCACCGAAATCCACATTTCTTCGCTACGGTATTTTCTTTTAATTGTGCTTCGGATTTTTTAAATTCAATATGTCCCAGTTTTTATTCTTTAACACTGTATTCTTCCGTTTTTGGTTTGCTTTGTGAGTTGCAGTTATATGGCTGCTGTATAAATGAACAAACCATGCCAATTTCCTAGTACCCACAGGACATGCTTTGCACACCACATCATGCCCATGAGAAAGCAGGATTTCCTATTTTAACACCTCCCCACTCCAAAGCATTGGTCACAAGCTCCAGAGGCCTTCTGTAAGTGCTTGCTGAAAACAGTTTCTCTTGTTGGTCATGGAAAGGGGCATCCTATTAAGCTAATTCTAAGATTCTTGACCAACCTCTATCTAGGACTACCTCACACTTGTTGCCAGCCCTCTATGGATATTACTGGCATACAGTAAGGGTAGCCCCCCTGTGTACAAACGTGTGTGCACATGGGTAAACAGATGTATACACCACTCCCCTAAAAAGAAGTGATATAAGAAGGATGTTTATGTCTGTAGCAGGTGGGGTCAGATTTAATATATTGCAGAAATACATCAGATGTTACTGAGCTGCATCTCTTTTAATCCCCATCTAGCATGGCCATAGTTCAGGGATTATGGAAATTGTAGTCATTAGTGTTGGAGGGTACCACAGCTCCGAGCTGTGGAAAACACACCAGGGCTAATATTCTAGAAAAACACTTTCATATGGCAGTGCTCCACACGGAGCCATAATGGTTGAAATGTGCTTACTACAAGGAGTCAAGCCGCAGTCCAAAATAGGTTTACTCAAAAGTAGGTTCTACTGAAACCAATGAAAATTACTTCCAAGTAAATGTTTTGGGATTTAAGCTAAACAATAACAGACTTCCACATCTGACCTTGTCTTTCCAACTTCCTGTTGAGCATATTAATCCATGCTATTTTAAAGCAGACTGTGCTTAAGCAAATATAATGGGTTTTTAAAACTGAAACTACAATAGAAGGAATTCCTTTTTTAATCCACCCAGAACAGAACAGGAGTTTCATTGGACAATGTATTTTATCAGTGAATACCATATTCAGAGTACAGGGAAGAAGGGATGGGTGTAGCTTATTTGGATTTCCTTACCGTTTGGAATGGGGTTCTGAATATGTATAATCCATTCCTAGTTTAATGCCATTTGCAATTTATTTGGACAAAAATGATTATATAGATAAATATAAATGCATGGAAATTTCAGAGAGGTGCTGTAAATTCCTTAACGTTTTGAATGAGGTTTTTTCCTGCTCTTAGTAGAGAATATATAGTTGCCATAAGCAGAACACACACAAGTGAGAATAGTAATTGGCCAGGTATCAATTACCAATACACAGATTCATCATAAGTATAAATGGTACTGTAATTGTACAGTAATGAAGAAACATCTATTTAGGTTGATATATACAAATGTAGGTGAATTAAGAATCCTTATGTTATCCCTAAGCGGAGAATAAAATTACATACAAGTAAATGATAGCAGTGCTTTTTTTTCTGTGGGGATACAGGGATACGCATACCCCTAAATATTTTGTGAATCTAAGTTTGGCCTCATTGAGGGGTAGTAATTCAATATGAATAGGAAAATGAGAGTACCCCTAAACTTTTTTGAAGAAAAAAAGTGCTAGATGATAGTATGGTGCAGGCAGGAAGGCCACCTAGTGATAAATTTTCCTACATCTGTCCCAAAAAGGTAATTTCTGTTGCTAATATAAATACATGGGAGAGTGGTATAGTCCCATTTCATTCATCTCAAAGTATCAGATAGGTTCCCTTACCAAACAAGTGTAGCTCCACTTTATTCTCATGATGCTGGTGCAAGGAATGGATCCAAACCTGGCTTTGAGGACAGACTGGCCACTTCTTAATTCCTTTCATGCCAAAACCATTTCTCATTCTATCAATTTTTTGTGATTCTTGACATGGGATTCTGCTGATGTATGACTGATTACATTGATATAGCACTGCCCCTAGCCCTGTGCCAGTACAATCCTGTTGCTTGGTCGCAACAGGTTCTCTTCTCTACGACAGCATCAGTACTATACTGGTGCAAATGGATTTGGGATTGGTGCTGTCCATTTTAACATATGCCATTTAAGGACTGGATAGTTCTGCAATTTTATCATTACAATCTCTAACCCATTGCTTTTAATGCATTTACAATATCTGATAGAGGGCAACTCCTTTTTATAACAAAATCCTCAGTTACAGTTAAGAAAAATAATGATAACAATAATGCTGTCATAAATAATACAATTATTTTCAGTTTACCTCAAAATGTAAAATATATACAGTAGCTATACTCTGTTGATAGCAGTCTTTCCAAAAATTAACAAATCTGATTTAAAGCAAAATCCCTTTTGTGAGCATCCCATTCCTTACCTTCTCTAATCTGAACTAAATGTGTAAATGGTGTTGTGTATTACTACATATTCCACACTTCACCCAATCACTTTTATGTGGACCTTGTCCATTTCCCCATTTATTTGCCACCTCAGTTTGAGTTGTAATGATTTTAACACCCACCAATTATTGTTTTTCAGCTGGTGCTCTTTACATATATCTACAAGGCAAGGTAAGAATTTGAATACTTTCAAATTCCTTAAGAAGGGCAGCCTGTCCTTCACCTATGTATTTGCATGAAAGGCTTGCCTTGAAATTTTTACGTCTTTTCCAGATAGATTTGTAAAAAAATACTGGTATTGAAATCCAATGGGATTGGGATTATTTATAACTATGAACATGGAGAAGAGGCCAAAAACCTTCGGGGCGAGGGATTCTGAGATGAGGCCAAGAGTCTGCAATCTGAAATATTGCTTGTAAGCTGCAATATTGTGGTAATGGAGCTGTAAGCATTCCCGGAATAAATTAGATGGGTGGGGTCGCACTATTGTTGAAGGAGCAAGTACATAGTTTGAGGGTGCTCCTGGATCCCACTATCACTGGAGGCACAGATGTCTTTGATGGCTAGGAATACCAGTTACCAACTTTGGTCGGTAAATCGACTATGGTTGTTATTGGATCAGGTTAATGACTGTAGTTTTCCATGCACTGATAACTTAATGGTTGAATCACTGTAATGTGCTCTGTGTGGGGCTACTCTTGGGGTTGGCTGGGAGGCTTTAACTGGAACAGAACATAAGTTAGGTTGGTTGTGGGGGCAAACTACCACCAGCATACAATGCCCTGCTTGCAGGATTTGCTTACAGACTGCCAGTCTGCTACTTGTACTCTACAGCTCATGATTCAGGTGGGTAGCCTTGTTGGTCTGATGCAGTAGAAATAAATAAAAAACTTGAAAAATTGTCCAGTAGCACCTTAGAGACCAACTAAGTTTGTTCTGGGTATAAGCTTTCGTGCGCAAGCACACTTCTTCAGATAACTGAAGATATCTGAAGAAGTGTGCATTCTACAGCTCATAACAAGGTTACTTGAGAGGCTGCCTTATCCCTAATATACCTAGTAGAGGAGTAGGGCTTTTAGCTTGGCTGCCCCTGTTCTGTGTAACAGCATTCCTATCGAGATAGGACAGGGACCCACTATCTGCATTTTTAGGAAACACTTGTAAGATACTTTTGTCCCAATAGGCTTTTGTAAGATAGATAAATGGGTCTTTGGTATGAGTGTCTTTTGAATGGTTTTAGTTTTGTTTAAAATTTATCGGTTTGCGTGCATGTGTGTTTTTAAACCATTTTTGCTGTTTTTATTATATATAATTTTGAGACAACTGTTTAATAAATTGACACCAATAATGATGACAAATAATAACATTGTATGTTATTATCTTGATCTGATTTTTAAAAATACAGATATTCAAAAGCACCTGTACCAGAATCAGATTATTGGGGCATATTTGTACCAACACAACTACACAGTCTTTATTTATTAATCACCTTCCACACAGACATGCCTCAAGGCAATGTACAAAATAAAATAGAACCAGCCAAAAAGAAGAAGGAAACCCCAGTTAAAAACAACACAGAAAATAATAGCAGATGAATTTTAAAACAATACAAAGTAGACACCAATGGCAGCATTGGCTTTATGGAATGTGTGGTGTATGTGTCACCTGTGTTGTGTGGCTTCATGCTGCAGGGCTCTGAAAGTCAGCCTGCTGTGATTACTT